CGCGCACTAAGCAGCATCAGCATCAGAATCAGCATCAGCATCAGCATCAGCATCAACAGCAGCAGCAGAAACAGGGAACGGGAACAGTGGCAGTGGGGAAGGGAGTTTTGCCGTACGATAAGCTACATAGGATCAGCATTTCTCCGGGGAAGGTTTCAGATGGCGGACTTGTAAAGTCACAGTTGATACAGCCAGCGGCCATCGCACATCTTCAGCAGCAGCAAAATTTTCAGCAGCAGCATCTTCAGCAACTACAGCATCAACAACATCAACAGCATACCAACAACAGCAACAACAAAAACAGCAATTTCAGCAGTGGGCGGATAGCGGGCAGATGCAGGGGCTGAGTAGTACAATGACATCCAGCTTGTCGTTAAGTTGGCAAATATTGAATCTTCTGTGGCCGCAGTCAAAGCAGAGGACGTGCAGCCCAAGATCGAGATATCGCCCAGCTCCACGTATGGAGAAATGCTTGGCGGCAACATTGCCAGCTTAGAATACGGTCTACCGCCAACTCTGACACAGCATTTACCGCAGGACACCAGTTCTGGCAGTGGCACAGCAAACGATTCTGGACAGCATTTCGTGGAGGGAGCGGTAGATCGCAGAGAATCAGTGGCACGCAGCGTGTCAAGCATTGGGTCCACCACTGGCAACTACAGCCCGCTGGTGATGACTAGCACCCCGACATCAGCAACAGGAGTGGACGTACGCCATATCGAAGCAACCATGGCATTGCCTGGCACTGTGGATGACATGCTCAAAGCATACTTCCGGTACCAGTACCCGAGCTCTGGGTTGATCCATGAAGGGTTCTTCTGGTTTCAGTACCAGCACAATATGCTTACACCCCTGCTCATCTACGCGATGCTGGCGGTGGCCACGTGGAGTCTAGTGGGGGACTCGGATGAGATTGCGGCGGCGGCATACGGGTCGTTGCATGAGGTGTTTTATCGGCGGGCCAAGCAATACGTGGAGGACGCAATGGATGAGGCGGATTTGCACAGCATACAGGGGCTCTTGGTTCTGTCCAACTACGAGGTGCTGGTCGGGCGGTGGAACAGGGTGTGGAACCACACGACATTGGCGCGCAGGCTTTCTGAGGGCATTATTATTCGCAATGCGGATTTTCCCTGGGCCGGCGTCCAGCTGCAAAATGGGTTTGACTTTGAGTATCAGCGGGTGGTGCGCGCGTACTGGCACTCGTTTGCTCACGACATCTGGGCCGCGGTGATGGTGGACAAGCAGGTCAGCGGAATTGATATTGCCATGCCGCCCAGACCGTCGCATGACTTTACTTTCCGCACGCTGCAGTTTTCCTTATCGGAGGAGGCGCCTGGGTACAGGGTGGCTTTGGGGCTGGGCGCGTTGGAGGATCCCGAGCACGGGGCAACGGCGGCTATGGGTGAGTTGGCGCTGCTTGTCGGGGCCATCAACAATTCTGTGTACTTGTTTCAGCACGCGAGCCAACTGCCGGGATTCAAGGTGTTTATTGGGTTTGAAATGCGGCTCACCGAGTGGTATCGCACGCTGCCAGCGGATGTCCAACTGGACGATACGACGGTGGCGCGGTTTACGGCAACAGGGGCGCGCGCAGATCTTGGGGAGATCATCTCGGCGCATTTATTCTGGAACTTTGCCCGGCTGCTCCTCATGCGCATGGGCCTGGTGCTCTCCTTGGGCGAGGACCCGGCGCTGCTGCGGAATATCCATGCAACAAAGGCCTTTTACACAGAGGGGGATTCGACAACGCAGCCGCCCGCAAGTCCGCAGCAGGATATGGTGGGTATATTGACGTCGCCCGATAAGGCCGAGTCCTACAACCAGTGGCTGTTCCAGTTCTGCCGGTATATGAGCCTGCAGTCGGCGCAAAACATAGTTACGCTGTTGAAGCTCGGCGAGCGGCACGGCGTGCATCCAAGCTACTTTGGTTTGAGGATCAATATGCCCCTGGTACAAGTGGTCAGTGTCAGTCTGGGGCTTGTGCGGTCGCCGGACGCGCAGGTCGTGGCCCTAGCCCTGGACCACCTGGCAACGGTGATGCGCACGCTTCTGAGGCTCAAACATTGTTTCAACACAGCCCTGCTCTTGCTGCATCTGTTTTTGTTCATGCAGGACCCGCAGTTGCTTCTTCCTGCGGATCCTCTACAAGAGACAGGGGATCTCGCTGTTGACTTGACATGTCCGTTTGCAAGTAACCATTTGGTGTCGAAGCTTTTGCGCAGACTGGGAATATCGTTCGATGAGTTTGTTGGCGAGACTATGCGCGCCGTGCGCCTATCTATGCGTGGACGTGATGTGGAGCTGTTTATTTCGCCGCTGTTGAGGTATTTGCCCCAGCAGCAGCAGCAGGAGAGAGAAAGAGAGAGGGAGGCTGTGGAGACGGCGGTAGACGGGGAAGGGGGATCATCGACAGCGGCTGATGTGGCGGCGAGAGAGCCCGAGTGGTACAAGGATGCGCCGTCGTATATGCGCTCGGCATGGAAGCGGCTGACACGCATACAAAATAGCAGTTGAAAAATATAATAAAAATATAATCAATAAATCTGGGGAAATATGAGAAGGGTGATGATGCCATGCAGAATGTGTTTTTCTTTATTTCTTCAGGGTATTTTGCCGTGTTTTGCTTTTGTTTTTGCCTCTTTTTGCCATTAATTTGTTGTACCCCTTTAGCGCATTTCCCCTCCCTTCCCTTCCTTTCAATTCAATTCAATTCAGCTTTTATCATTATTATTATTTTCGCAAATGGACACTTCCTCTACTCCTCCACCTCCACCTCCGTCTACTTCCTCCGGCTCTACAACCTCGGCCACACAGAGCAATGCCGGCTCACAGCATGTCCGGCGAGCAGCCCGCGCCCTCGGACCCACACCCGACGCCAGACACATAAGGTCCCACTCAACCCAGACCCCAGCACCCCGCACCCACAGCAACATCTGAAGCCCCCGACATCTCAAAAGGACCACCGACAAAGAAGCAACACAGTATCAGCATCCACCACGTCTCCTGAGCAAGAGCAGCAGGCAATGAACTGTCCTATTTGCGGCGTAATGGCCCCGAGTCTTTTCGCACTCAACGATCATTTGGATGACACGCATTTCAGCAACAACAATGGCACAACAGCAGCAGCAGTGATGAAGCAGAATAGAAGTGCGGAAAATAAACAACCCAATGTTGCTTCGCGGTATGCTGCGCAGGATGATTTGGGAGAGGTTAAGGAAACCATCCTGGGGTTTTTCTTTGGCGGCGGTGGAGGAGCCAATGGAAAATCCAAACAGCCAGAGCAGCAGCAGCAGCAGCAAAGGGACTCGCCACATGGTCATGGTTGCGCGCAGGAGACCCCGGTGACCAAGGAGCATTGGCAGCAGTACAGGCCAGGCACTCGCTGTGGTGTCCCCGCCTGCGGTATCGCCCCGGACCCCTCGACCTTGAAGCATTGTCAGTGTTGTGGGCGCATCATGTGCTTGCAGCACTGCCACAAGAAACTGCGACTCTCCACCACGGCTCAGCCTGTTTCCTCCGGCGGTGTTTTTTCAAAGTATGCGGCGAATGTTACGAGCGTTCATTTTCGCAGAGTGCAGCTGCTGCTGTGGGTGTAACTCGCGATTTAATGCCTGGGTTTGCATTGTTGCGGCGTAAAGCCCGGAGTGGGGCACTTTTGGAGGGCAATCGGATGGAAAAGCGGCTGGAGAAACTATCGTTGATCCATGGCTCCGATGCATATCAGGGGGGGCCCGGGCCCGTAAAGCAGCGGCAGAAGCAGCGGCTACAACAGGCAGAGCAATCTGTGGTGCGCTGGGAAGACGATTCCGCCGTAACTTCCTGCCCGTTCTGCCTCAAGACATTCGGGCTTCTGTCCTCCCGCAGGCACCATTGTCGGCTCTGCGGCCGCATTATCTGCCACCGCCCCACGTGCTCTACCCACTTGCTCACGCCACTGCTGGATTTGAGCTCCAATACCGGCGGGTTTACGGCGGAGAGAACAGCGCAGATTCGCGCGTGTCGGGAGTGCGCCCATGTGGTTGATCGGCAGCAGAGGAGGGCGCAGGGCGCAGGCACGCTGGCGCAGGAAATGCTCCTGAGAATGTACCTGGTGCTATGCCAGCAAATGCGTAAGGTCGAGGAGACTCTGCCAGTGTTCAATATGCTGGCTTTGAAACACCGTGAGGATGGCATGGGGGCGGACTTGGCGCGAGCGGCGAGGATTCGCCGTCAGTTGACTGGTGCCTTTGGTGAATTGGACGCGGTGTCGAAGAGGATTGAGCAATTGCCGTGTGGATCGGTGACGGATGCTAGGCTGCATTCGGCTGTAAGACGGATGGTTGCGCAGTATCTGCAAATACACATGTTCCCTTTAACTATGCTGCCCAGTAAGCCGAGCACTAAATCTACTGTGACTCCGCAGCAGAAGCAGCAACAGCATAAGGGGGTTATGGGGTTGGGCTTGTTGAGTACAGATGCGGGTGTTGCGCGGGTGTCTTCTTCGGTTTCGGTCAGGTCGACTGATGCCGGTTCTGCAGCTGTGGCTAATGGTGTTGTTGAGGCTGCAGTTTTCGACCCGTCACCATCGCCATCGCCATCGCTGGATACTGCCACTCCGGCGGCAAAGTCACTGGTGGGCGCAATGGGAGGCACAGCCAGCAACCTGGCCACATCCCTTCTCTCCTATGTCATTCCTCCCCGCACCACCCTCACCACCACCACTGCTATTAGCCGAAAAGACACAACATCTTCACCTTCTAACATCATTACCACAGGTCAATCCACACCAAACACTTTGGACCCCGAAAGAGAAGCCCGCATAGTATCAATGCCGTTAAGTGAGAAACTTGCATCCCTAGATATACTGCGAGATCAAAGACAACGTGTCCAAGGGTATATCTTGGAGGCTCAGAGAGAGAAAAGATCAGATGATGTGTTTTATTTGCAAAGCTCCCTAGGTGATTTAGATATAGAACTATCTCTTATTGAAAAGAACCTTTAAAGAATAAGAAAAATATATATATAACTAGTATAAGGTTTTGTTTTCTAATTAGTCAGATTTGAAGTTGGGAACTTTGACGCTTCCGGCATCCGATAAAGGTGTGGGGACGCTGGTTGAGGGTGAGCTATGAACTTGGAGTCCGGTGGGTTTGTTGTTAGAGTGAACAACCAATGCCCGGAGACCCCTCTGGTAAAGCTGCTCGGCACCCTACAAAATAAACAAGAAAAAATAATAGAATGATAAAAAAGTTAGTTTATTTTCATTTTTATTTGCATAATCTTTTCTTTTCCAAAAAAAATAATATAAACAATAAACAAAACATGTGTAACTTACTCTTGTGGCTGGGAGCATAAGCCAAACGATAAACCCAAGCTTGATAACAAAATAAAACGGAATCCAGTATGTCAGGACCCGAGTAAAATACTCGACAACATTGAGGAATCCATAAACAACCCTACAACAAAAAAGATTAAGAATGGAAGAAATTAAGGCGTTTTTTAATATTGCATATATTCTTACACAATAAACAACACCCTTGTTTTTATGCCATTTTTTGGGGGAGGGGTTATTTTTACTTACCAGTACGTCAGCCACTGTGCATCATCCTCCTTGCCCGGACTTTCAATAGCGTGCATAGTCGCATAGGCTACAAAAAACGAGAGAATAAAAAATAAATGAAACATTAGTCTCACTACCACTAAAAAAAATACACCCACATAGGCAAAAAAAAACTGATACAGACAAAACAGTAAAAAAAAAAACTTACCAGCATATCCAAATCCAATCAGGTTAACCAACAGTGGTGCCGCGATATTGAAAAACACCATGCTGAAAATAAGTCCTCCGGCTCCAACTGCTCCGTAAGCCTTGGGAACTCCGGTTTTGGCTTGGAATGTCTCTGCTACTCCTACACCCGACAGTGCCCTGTCGATAATGCCGTAGTACTGGTCGTGCAATTTACGTGCTTGTTCCATCTTTATTTAAATGTAAATTTTACTATTCTTGTCAAATTTAACAATAAAGTGCAAAATAGAAAAAAAAAAAAAGTAAGGAAAAAAAAGAAAAAGAGAGAGAGAAAATGGTTTGTGACTTTTTTTTGCTGTATCCCTTTTTTGCCTGCCATACATCGTCACAATGAGATATATATAGAAAGAAAAAATGAAACCTGCAGTCATTTTTATTTATTTTGTTTCGTCTACTGATTGCTCCAGTGTGAAAATCCCTTGTTTTGAGTCGACGTCAACCACGCTTAAAGTTTTTTCTTTTTGCATTATCGGCAATGACCCGCAATATTATCTATCGTCTGACCTTTTCTTCCATTTGTTTCTCCGACACGCATCACATCACACCACCATCACACCATCACCACATCACATTGGCAAGCACTGTCATTATTAATCAACGAGAAAGAAAACCCTCCTGCAACACCTAATTCTTTGACGCAGAGCCCATGGACGCACTGGCAGCACGCGTGAGCCGTTCAATATGCCTCTCCGTCAGCTTGACGCGAACCGCCGCCCCAATCAGCACATCAGGAGCAACCAGCGATGGCGGAATATGCAAAAAGAATCCGAGCTGCTCCGCAATAGTCGGACATGCCGCCAGCAAATAATTGCTCGCCAAATCCGTAATCGCCAACGCCACGCGGAACAACACCTTGGTCCCGCGATAAATAAACCAGTCCCACACGCGCAGCGCCGTTTCCCACGGAAGCGAAAGCGTGAAGATAGTCATAAACCATGGCGTCACATACATCAGTGCATCGCAACCTTGCTCGGACAGATGCGCGTGGAGTTTGGGGTTGCGCTCGCGCAGAAGAGAATCGAACACCACCGTGTGCAGTCGCAGGCCGCCCAGGTCCGACAGATAGTAGTTTGGGACGTACTCCTTGATGGTCGCCGCCAGGACCCAGAACGCGCGCTCCTCGGAAAGCCCAATGATCAAGAACAAGCCGACCAGCCGGCCCATCCCCTGGCAGTACCCGACCTCTGCGTTGTATTGGGAGTACGCTCGCAGGATCCGCCGCAACTGCCGCTGCCCCTGTCCATCGGCATCCACAAACATCGAGTGGTCTGGGTAGCAGCGCGACACATCGCGCTCAATGACATCGTAGATCGGGATCTTCTCCAGCGCCACCAGCCGCGTGTACTCGCCGGTCTTCTCCAATGCGGCCGCACCCGACAGCTTGTAGTAAATGCGCGCGCGCATCCGCGGAGGCATACCGGCCTGCACCAGCTGCTTGACCTTGCGCGAGTTGCGCAGCGTAGAATTGTCAAATGTGTTCATCAGCTCATTCCAGCTGCCCTCACTGTCCGGGTGCAGGTGAAGCGCCGACTGTGCGGCCTTTTCCGGGTTCTTCGCCCGCCACGCCTCGTACTGCTGCGCGTACTCGGACTCGCGCTCATTGTCGCCCTCAAACTTTATGAACCCGTGCTCGTCGATATTCTTGATCTGCTTGCGCCGCTCGGACTTGAGCCCCTGCAGACCGTTGGGATCCAGATCAATCCCGCTGATATTGTCGTCAACTTCAAACATGCTGCTGGACATGGCTTCGTTGTTCTCAAACACACCAGCTTCCTTGGGCGACACGCCCATGCGCGCGACGCGGATCGCAATGCGGCTGAACCCGGCCCGCATCAGCAGCCGCATGGCCACCTTCTTTGACTGCGACGACAGCACATGTTTGGAATGGTCGTTGTGGTTTCGGTGGTGCCGCTGCAGGCTTCTTACAGTGTTGTGCCCTGATATATGCGATGAGCCAGTGGCTGTTGAGAACTCCGAAGCGACAGACAACCGGTTCTTGGGTTTAGATGACGACGACGACTGGACAGACTGCGGATTGTCAATGCGTTGCTCCTCTTTGTGCATGCTGACCTTGTTCTTCTCTTTGTTACCATCGCCCGACCCGAGAACATCAGACGCTGAGATGCTGTGCGCCCGGCTCCTCGCGACGCTGTTCCTCGAAATGGGCTCCGACGGCGCTACAATGTCGTCGGCCTCAATAGCACGCATGTAAATGACACCCTCCTGGTCCAAATACTCGTCATCGTTAATTATATCGTAGTTACTAGGAGTCGGCAGCGGCTGGGAAGTATACGCAGGCCGGTCAGCCTCAGCCTCGGTCTCGGTCTCGGTCTCGGCACCAGGCACACTATCCTGTGGCTTGCTCTCGCCGGCACTAGGCGCAATCTTGACATTTAACACAGATCTCGTCACTGACGACGCACTTGCCACCGACCCATTGCTAGCTGGTGCTGTCATCTGCCGCGGCAAAAATCTAGCCAGCGGCACTGCTGATCCACTACCGCCGTTGCCCATTTGGCCGCTCGGCCGTTTCGTTACAATCTTCTTGTCGCCAGCACACCGCTCGTGCGCTCCCGTCCTAAACGACGGCTCAGACTGGATTGCACGCACGGCATCCTCGCCGGGCGGCGCCATCGGCGGAACTAACTCAAAGCCCAATCCTGATACTACTCGCTCCGACGGTATCGAAATATATGTCGATGTGCTAACAATGCTAAGCACTTCCTGCGACGCAATGACGTTGCGCGCCCGGCGCTGGCGGATGTCGTCCTTCCCCGGCCGCGCGCGCGGGATAACTGCTGCGCTGGGGTTTTCGGTAACGCTAAAATCGCCGTCCCGAATCTGGTCCACCGTAGTCGAATAAAACAGCGCGTTTTCCAGGGTCTGCGAGTAAGTGCTGTGTGGCGAGCTGCTCACGCTCTCGCTACTTTGTCCGGCAGCGCTCTGCTGTTTTATGGCATGTATCATGGGCTCGCTTTTGTACGTCGAGCGAAGAGCGGCAGTAGCCTGGTGGTGGAGGTAGGGAGGAGAAGACAAAGACAAAGACAAAGGGTGGGCAGAAAGAAAAGAAGAAGGATGCGCTGGCGGCGTCGGCGTCATATCGCCATACAGCTTTTTTTGTTTGGCTTGCGACTCTGGCGATTCTCGGCTTGCAGCGCCAGCAGCCGCATCCTTGACCCCATCGACAATTGGCAAATACTCTTCGTAATAAGAGCCAATTATATCATCATAGCCATTGTCGTCTGTACCAGCCTCATCAGTCGCGCCGCTGTCGCTGTTGTTCGCACTGTAAGAAGGCTTTTTGCTTTGGTCATTGCCGCCATTGTCCTGCCGGCCACTTGATAGTCGCCTGTAATCATCCACTGGGCTTGCGTGAGGCTTCAGTGTTGTCAAAGAGCCCCCATTGTGTGTGAATCCACCATAAGGAGCATTGCCATTGACGCCAGAACCGCTGCCTCCGCAGTGATTGCCGGCCTCATATCGGCGGTTGTCACTGATACTGTTGCTGGTATTGTCTGAATGCGTCGCTGTGCGCAAGGTCGAGGTTACTGTGGAGTCCGCATGCCTCCCGGTATGCTCGCTGTTGTTGTTTGTGCCGGCAGTAGCGCTGATTTTGCTCGACATGGCCGCGCGCGTTGGGGCGTTGTTGGTCTGTTTGTCAGGGGAGTCGCCTGCTGCAAAGGCTTCAATCCCTTCTCCCTGCAACGAGCAATGGAACGACGGGGATGATGCGATGCCGGATGAATATACGCGGTCACTCTCTTGCAGGGCGACAGCAGCGATGGTCTGCAAGGCCAAAGTCTGCTGATCCAAATAACTACTGAGCGCCTTAGATTGCGGCTGCTGCCTCTCTTTGCTGATACTGGGCTCTAGAAACTCTGCGTGCTGGTGGCAGGGGCTGTCCGATAAGTAATGGTTAGGCTGTTGCCCAAAATACTGTTTCTGGTTGGATACAAAGGTGCCGCCGTTCATCGGCTGCTTATAAAGCTGGTGCACTTCGGAACCACCGTCGATCGGTGCTGTAAGGGAAGTGCTGCTGCTACGGTCAGCGATATCGTACTGTGAGAGCGTAAACGGTTGCAGGAGAATGCCCTCGCTGATGTCTGGCTGCTTGTCACTTGCTGAATTCAAAGCTGGCTCTACGAATACGCCGTGCGAGCTCTCAAGAGGCAGCAAATTGGCCAAGCGTGCGTCTGACTGATTTCGAAAATAATGTGGCTGACTGACAAAACCTGCCTGCTTATTTCTGGCGGCTGCTGGCAAATTCGATGTGTCAAAATGCTGAATTTCGGGAGACAAAAAGAGAGGTGTTAGGCGTTGTGGTGATGGAGAGCGTGTGAAGGTCGGGCTTTTGTTGGCGAAAGGCGGGGGAGGGTGCGGAAACGAAGTGATGATTCTTGAGGGGAGAGGAGCAGAAGAAGCGGGGTGATCGTGTGTTGAGACTGCAACAAACGCACTGCCTGGACTTTTTATATTTTGGAATTGTGTGTATGCGCGTCGGCGGCAGCGGCAGCGGCAGGCGTTTCATTACAATTATTTGTAATTACTGCGTCTTCATTTACCAGCATTATCGGTACGGGCATTGTGCTTCCACCTATGGCCTGCGCCTTCATGCTGGACGTAGGAGATGCCAGCGTCCAATGCCTGGTGGATATGCTGTTTTGTATACTCGGACGTTGGGTGCGCTTTGGTACAGACTATATTTGTGCTTTCTGTGTGTAAAAAAACAAGGATCAATTAAAATAGAATAACAATTATACAGGTTGAAGAGAACAAGTGAAAAAAGAATAAAAGTATGTTTTTACAAGTATAAATAAGGAGCGGAGTGCAAAGAAAAGGTTCAAATGGTTGTCAATGATCTCGGGTTCTATTCTTGGTCATTCAACTTTTGCGCCTTTGACAAAATAATAAACAGGAAAACAAAAATAAATGCGTACAGTTCTTAATTTGGAAAGAAAAAGATGCACACAAACAAGCAGCACCCGATTTCAAGCAGACGAAATATGCACTGTAATAAATTCCCAACCATTGAGAAAACCTTTGAGATTGCGTTTACACACTTGCCTTTATATTTTGTTAAAATGTAAGTGCGTTCACCTTTTGTTAGAGGTAGGGAATTAAATGCAATCATTTGGCAGAGATTCAGCAGCAGCAGCAGCAGCTGGGCGCAAAGCCAACGAGGCATCCTCTGCTGTGGCTACTCATCTCCACAGGCAGCGCACGGATTGGTATATCCACATGTTATGGCGGCTATAACCTTCAGTTGTTTAATACAGGACAGGGCTTCGTCAAATGAGCAAGTGGATCAATATATCTATTTTCTCTGGGTAAAGTGTGGATGTTTTTGTCCAGCGCATCAAATTATAATTACTTGCTTATTAGGCGTCATTTTTTGTACTTGCATTTTTATTACTGTTTGTTTATTTTGGCGGTATCTGGTGTGATCGACAGATAAAAATATATGCCATAAATAATAAGTTTAGGCTAAAAACATAACAAATGTCTTTTTGCCAAATTAATAATAGGCTCAAATAACAAGTCTGCATCTCCTGGTAAACTTTTCCTAAAACAGGACCCGGTGCTTGCACCACTCGAGGCCATAAAGACAATTGCTGAAAAGCGTGCAAACATGGATTAACATTTGTAAAGATGTGACACACGTAGCCGCAATGTGTTGTTTCGCGCAATTTAAAAACAAAACATAGCGAAAACATGGAATATAAAAACCTGTAGACTTTAATAAAACTTGACTTGTACAGCTGAGCTAACCGGATCTTGTTAAATACAACATGATTTTGAGCTTTTATTCTGGCATTTAGAAAGCCTTCATCGTTTGTGAGCATAAAACCAGCTTGTAATTAAATGTGTAGAGCTCTCAAATTGACTGATTAATAAATTGATTTGGTAATTGATTAAAAACATAAACCCATGAAAAATAGACTAATAAAAATAAATAATTTGGCAAATGTTATTAACTTATGTACTGTTTGTACGTGTTGCAATAAAAAATAAAAAATAAAGCATGGGATTATAAATAATTTTGTAACGGATATTTTTTTATTAAATTTGGCCCAATTCATCATGTAAATGCGGCCAAAAGGGGGGGCCGGTGGTCGGCAACTGAGCAGTCACGAGGAATACTGCTAAAATGTGGAAATAAAGGTTTATTAGAAAACTGAGAATATCCTGTCTTCATAATGGGATACGCTCAGTATATATAAAAAAGCAAACTATGACAAGTTCACGGCATCTCCAGCACCGCTCACATGTAAACAACTACTAAATCAAATACTATTTTAATACACTTCGAAATTCTATCAATATCTGCTGCTGTAATTTTCTGGCAAAAACAGGTTCAATCATGAACACCACACGCGGTTTTGCAATTGATGTGATTGGACCAGAACGTTGGCTGACATCTCACATCTGTCCAATGCATCTGTGCGTGTCGACGGGTTTTAGCCCAGGTTACTGGCCTGGGTTGTGGGTCCCCCGTTACACTCTCGAGGATATCTTTCCACTTAATACAACTATTTTTTGTTTTATATGTAATAACACATATATAAAACAAGTCACAATTTTCAGGTCAAACTATATTAATGGCTTATCTAGCAATTGTATGTAATCCAACATTATTTCCATCTTCAACTGTGAATGTAAAATTTAGAGAATAATAAGATACAATTATAGATTTTAATAATTGTTGTGCTATTTACCTGTCATAAATAGAACGAATTGACCAATTGTTTTATCTTCTTCTGCAAGAACTTTTATTTTTAAATTGTCAGAATTAATATCAATTGGATATTTGCGATCAAGTGTAAATTAATAATATGTTTTTATCAGAATCCATGGTTTTTTAAATCAATTATTGTAAATAATAAAATGTAAATGTAAAAAGTATCAAATGAGCAATAAGCTGGAGTTGTAGGTTGGTTTGTATTGTTACGCAGCCCGAGGATATGGAGGTAAACGCTGAGGGAAAAAATTATGAGACAGATTCCTGCCAGCTTGCTGATAGATCTGATACTAACCAAATTACAGGGGACTAAATCAGACGCCACTGTTGACATCCAGATATAGTGTCTGTTTCGAAATAGACGTGCTGAGCACACGAATACAGATACCCCAATAATGTCATATCAGAGACCCGGGTTACGTTCATAAGGACCAGTTCTCGCGAACGGAGCACATAACTACCAGTATGTGCCACAAAGACATATGAGGTACATATATAAGATGGGGTTGGCGATAACAGCACTTTAGAAACACTAGTAATAAAGATATTTATAATTTAATACCTACCCCTTTAACACTATTGTAATAGTGCTCCCCACACCTCCCCTTTTACATAACAGTATCAAAATGTGTTTTAAAAATTGCGTTATTTTATTATAAGGCGACCTTGTACTTTATTGATTTGCTTTTAAACAAAGGTTAATAAAAACTGGTGAGGTATTTGCCTTGGAAACCCCATTTGAAAGCATGGTCAATTATTCTATTTTAAAGAAAAGTTTATATTTTATCCATAAAATCCCCCCAACAACAAATAGCTTTTAATTAGGTTGAAAGCTCATCGATTAACCTGTTAAAAGGTTTTTTACTCTGTTATTATTCTATAAATAAATGTTTAAAAGCATATGCTTTTGTTTGTCTTGGTAGCCTGAAAAGAATTGTCAAATTCTTTGCTCAAAAAAAGTAAATACTTTAAATTTAGCATGTATATCCAACAAAAAAGGATTCAATTATGGAATGGCACATCATTTTCTTTTTATAAGGCTGCTTCATACAAAGTACATGTTGGGTTTTCCGCTGTGTTAATTATTCAAGTGAATTAAAGTTTGTGTGCAACTGATATGGGTGCGACAATGAAATATTTGAGTACTGTTGAATAATAGGAATAAATAAGGTCAACTGCAAAACAATAGACCATTCGAGCGAGCGAGAATACACACTAGTGCAAAATAACGAATAACGAATGGGTTTGTTATTTGCACAGTTGCTGCCAGAGTTGGTTGTCCATTCGTGTTGCCTGTAGCAATTTTTTTGGTTATAGTCAATCTTGTAAAATATCTGTTGCAATTTGATATCATCATTCAACAGCCGCAAAAGGGGATCTTCAAATGACCTAACACTCTTGTGTGTGTCGGTTCTGACAAATAGTCGCAAGATATAATACGCAACAACAAATAACATGGCATGCATCGACTAGAAAACATCTCGACCTTTGCATGCAAGCAGACTGTTTTATTCTCTCATTAGCTTTGTTTTCACTCTCCAAGAGGTTGCGGAAGAGAGACTAAAAAACAGGACAAACATTTTTAAAGCTGACAAGACCCTCACAACCTGACCACAACCTTTACCAACTGAGCCACCAGCAGCCCCACCAGCCAACCGAGCACTTACAGCATAGGCTGGTGCTTTCTTCACTTTAACCCCCTTTTAACAAAAGGGCTTGGTTCTGGATGAAAACCATGCTGCAAAGCTGTTACAAGCTGCACAAGTGACTTTTATTCCTGCTGGATAACAGGCAGTGCAAACATAAGGCCAAACACTGCACGACAGCAACCAAAGAAAGTACAAACACAAAATAAGGGGACAAATAAGATTGGGACAGGGATTGCTGAATCCTCTGTTATCAACCGGGGATATACGATCCATTGTCAGATATATCATCCTTCATAATATCTATGCCGTGGGTTCCAATACCAGGATAATTAAGTGGGCGTCAAAGGTTGTGTAAAAAGCGTGCAACCTCCACGCGGTTGTTACAATTTACCTCAAGCCACAAGTGTGAGAATTAAAAACAGTCATAAAACAAAAGAGCAAGCGAGACAGCTTGTGTGAAGAAGAAAAAAGGGAAGAGAAGGCCGGAAATATATTGCCCTTTTTGGATGACTTACTCCTCAGTCTCTGCCATTCGGCAACAAAAATTATTTGCATCCTTTGCATTGCTATATTGTTTTTTAACAAGCCAATAATTTTTTGGTAAAGGTTGTCATTATAAATAAAAAGCCTCCAGTTTCCAAGTAAACAAGTTGCTCGACGCTATGAATTATATGCAGTTTACAGCAAATATTCTCCACAATCAATAAAACTAATTGTTTGCTGTGACTCGACCAATATAAACAACGAGTATTGAAAGCCCCTAAAATTGCTTATGCTTTTAATATTTCACTAACCCAGCTCTGAATTACAGCAGCTTGTCAACATCCCTTTTTCTATTCCACTTTTTCGTTTAACATCCTTAATATACACTTTTTTTAAAAATTATTTGACATTTAGATACGCTAAAAACAGCACTCAGGCCAGGACACAACTCGAATCGACACGCATTTATCTATAAAACATCACAAATCAAGCAATAGCATTTTTGTCCCCAATAATATGAATTCCAAGGTATCCATCTGTCCTGAATGCAAACATGTATTCATCGTGCCCTATGCGCAAGATCGCTGCTCTCCAGAGTGTTGCGATAGATACTTGGCCATGATGTATTTGAATTTATCTGACTGCCCTGACAGTAGCCCACAGTGAATATTTGACATTCGCAGAATATTTTGGCTCATATCAAAAACTTAAAAGTTGGTGGAGCCACAAAATAAAGTATAGTTTATTGAAAATAAATACATATTTCAGTTAAATCAATAAAAAATATTGCAAAAAGTTAGAGTCGCATGGGTGACACAATTCATACAGAGGCAGTGCTGCCCAGCATGCCATCTAATCAACTTATTTGGTGCGACCGGTTTTCCCTGCTCAGTTGCCTGCCTGGGGTGATGCCCGGTTCTTTAATGCCCTTGACGCGCCCAGTCCTTCGACAGCACGCCAATGGCAACACTAATAATTGAGTAGACACACAGGCAGACAAATTCTGCTATGTTGCTCTGCCGCCCGTCAATACGAACGCAGGAACCGTGTCATGTTCCACACTCCCCTGACTCCAGAGGCATCCCTTTCGAGATTACAAGTAGTGACCACTCTGCCAATTGTATAAAGCGCTATTTCTAAATTTTATAGTCTGACCAAATAAGGGGGTATAAAAGAGTATGGCTACGATCACATGCTTTAAATATAAAGTTATTATGAATTTTGAACAATCAGCTTCATCCATTAAGTTCATCTTTTTATTTACTTGTTTGACATATCACTCAATGAATATATCTTCTCTCTCAATACAAATTTTGAATGTAGGTTAAAAGCGCATTATGAATAAAGCTTCATTCTTGCATCATGTCTTGGCTCGTATCGGGGCGAGCATACTCAAACCCAAGCGGTCGAGCGCGGTAGTTATCGTCACTGTCGTAGGCGCGCTGTCTCAGCTCCAACTCAGGCTCTGGCTCACCTTGATCGTCCTCATCCGCCTCATCCACCTCATCTGGCATGTCCTCGCCCTCAAACTCGGCGCTCCCCGGGTGCATCAGCTTATCGATACGCTCATACCCCACGCGAGCGCGCTCGTTGTCGGGATTAATACTCAGCGCAGTGTTATAGTTTACGGCGGCCTTAGGAAGCTCGTTGGCCAGTGTGAGAACGTCTGCGTAGTGCGTGTACATATCATCAGACTCGTTGTCAGGCAGGTACTTTTCGATGAGCGCCACGGCCGCGTCAAATTGTTGGTTAGCAACGTGCAGGGACGCTAGGGCGGTTACAGCCTCGGCGCAATGACAGTCTATCTCTAGGGCAGCCTGTAGCAAGCGGGCAGCCTTGTCGGAGCTCTCCACGCTGTGCGACAGTACCATGCCGACCATGGCTAGCGTGCCTGCGTGGCGGGGCATCAGCTCAGCAGCCTCCTTGGCATATATGAATGCCTCCTTGTATTTAGCGCATCTGACGTAGGAATCAACCAAGCCTCGAAAGGTCAGCATGGAGCGGGATAACTCGTGGGCCTTGAGAAATGCCTCGGCAGCTTCCTCAGGACTGCCGGCAGCCAGCTGAATAGTGCCTTCAGCGCTGTGGGCCTCGGCGCAGCCGGGTGCCAGGACCTGGGCCTTCCACACAATAGCCAAGGCTTCCTGGGTCTGCCCTGTAGCCAGAAAGTACCGTGCCATGGCAACCCACCCTTCGGCCCTTGCCTGGTCGGTCTTGAGCAGCTGACTTCCCAGTGTGTACACGGCCAAACTGTCACTGGCGAGCAAGTCCGCGTACATGGCCATTTCCGAGATCAACCCGCTGTCTAAAACTCGTGCTCGCTCGTACAGCGCCTGCGCGCGCCTGGGCTCCTCCAACATGTAGTAACACGTAGCCTGCAGAGCCACAATCAGGGCGTTTCCACGGTGCCTTCTGCCGAGTCTCTGTAGCTCCGAAACCGCCCGCCTGTACTCTAGCTTCTGCATTAAGCTGCGCGCCGTTGCCAGGCTGGCCGAATCATGGTATGTGCTTCCGTCTGCCGCCCAAGTATTCTGCCGATTCCGCGTCTGCAAAAACGTAAATGCCTCGGTGGCATTCGGCTGCGCACGCAGCAGCTCAGAATATAGGTCTTCGGCGTCGGGGCTTTGGATCAGTGCGGCGCTGCGGGCCATCCTCGCGAGATCCTGCACTGTACGGTGTGTCTTGGGGATCTGCCGCAGTTGTGCCAGACACATGTCGAACTCTCCCAACTGCCATCGGATGCCGGCGATGTCCCTGGCTATTCCTTCGAGTTGTGAGCTGTTAAGTTGTGAGCGGATAGGTCCGGATACAAATTCTGTTATTGTGCGTAGGGACGCTCGGTGGTGCTTAAGCTGTCCGAGACACTGGGTGTAGGCGCGGAGCAGCGCCAGGCGGTCGTCGGCTGGGAGTTGTGTGTCCTTCAGTCGTGGCTGGCACTCGAGCTCGGCCAGCTGCAGCGCAGAGTCATTGAGGTCGCAGTCCAGCAGCTCCTTAATTTCAAGAATAAGTGAATGTGAAAAGTTCATTTTTTAGCGGAATTCTTAATGGCCTTTTGGTTGAATAGGAATAAAAAATGTGCAGAGCGTATAAAAGCAGGATGCTGGTAGAAAAAAGAGTAAAGGGCCAACTACAAAATAAAATAAACAAATTGACGTTTATTTGGGTTTTCCTCTCGATTTATGGATCACTTTCTTTTCTGTTCACCTCTTCTTTTCGCTTGCATCACCCACTTTTCAATTTTATCATTTATATTCATATTCATATTCACACTTGTTTTCTACACCATGGATCAGCTCTTCTCTAGTCTGGCGATGCAGACTGTACAGCTGGTAGGCAAGGCGGCGTTTGGAGCGGCGAGCACGCTGGCGCTGCGGCGAGTCAATGAGTACATCAACCGGGCACCGCAGACGACGCCAGCAGAGCAAGTCGAGGTCGGGCAGTTGCAAGCGCGGTTTGAGGCCAAGCTGCGTGTTGTCACGCCAGCCATTGATCTAATCGAACTCATCTCCGCGCGTGGGCACTCGACCATGGCCGGCGTGCTCCAGCTGACGCACGCCCTGCGCAGCGAAGTAGTAGGTTTCGGGGCCAAGCTCGCCAAGCTGGAAAACAAGTCCTCGGACAGTGCCGGTGGGAGCATTGCTGCGGATTTGCGCGTGCTCTTGGCTAAAATTGACGATGCCGTGCCGCTGCTGAACCTGGCGCTGACAACGTCAGGCATCCATCTGGGGGGCACCCTGCCCGAGGGGATTTCACCCAGCCGGTTGATGCAGGCGTCCAGGCTGCTGGCGCGCGCATATTTGCGTCATGATTTTGCCGGGAAGAGCGGCGTTCTGGTGGGCGAGCCCTTTGTTCTCCGCCTGTACTCCCTGTTTGTGGGATCGGTAAGGCCAAAGTCGCGCCAGGACTTTACCTGGAAGGAGGAGTTTGTTCTGTGCCGGGCTGGCCTGTGGCGCATTGCTTCTTCTAAGGACGATGGCAGTGCTTTTGAGTACGAGCTGCGCATTGTCGAGGATCTCGACGATGGCCGGTACCATGAGGAGCCCACGGAGGCTGCGCCCGAGTGGACAGCAAAGTTTGTCCAGGAGGCCGAGGACAGGGACTTCCGACCCGGCTGTGTGCTGCAATTCTGCTTGGATAAAATATGCAGCCTGCACTACACATCGGCTGGTTCGCTCTTGAATATCGAAGAATCCAGCTCGCCAGTGCTGGTCGTGGGCCTTCGAGGATCCGATTCGGCGGCAAAGAGCGGCCAGGACACAAAATGGTACGCCATGGAGGTTGTGTCCGACCAGGTCGATCATTACTCCTCTTCGTCTGCATCTTCCTCTGCGAGCAGCTCTCGCAGAAACTCTATTGACGATACGACCACACAGGGAAACACCAAGTCCATCACTAGAAAGGCTGTCGATTCTCTGGCCGACTCGCTTCATGTCTCGTGCGCAGTGGACAAAGTCACACTGATCTCGGGGCCCGATGCCACTGAGGAGCAGCTTGCGATCAAAGAGGCCTTGCAGCCGGCCAATTTCCTGGCGCACGAGTGGAACCAATGTACACTTAGTCTTTTGGAGTACATGGTTCGTCTGGCTTCCGTGGAAATGTGCGAACATATGTCACATTTAGAGGTTCCTGATGAGAAGCTGCGCCTGTATTTGCTCAGCTCCCCGCCGCCAGACAAATCCAATGAGGATCATGGTGTGCGGCAGACTAGCCGGTCAGCTTCGAACAAGACTCTGGCAACAAACGCCTGAATTATTGCTTGGACCATTTCTGTTTGTAATTTGACGACAAGTAGATCATGCTTTTTATTTGTTTTTTCAGTATAAATGCAACAATGCCGCATGCACATTTCATGCACATTTTCTCTTTTTGAGCTATAATTGGATTGTTCAAGGATGCCACCAAATGACCCGAACGACAAGCAAAAGCTGCCGCCTCGTTTTATTCCTTTGGTTATTCTGTTGCTTCTGTCTCTCCGCTTCTCTCTCTCTCGTGTGCTTTCCAACATTTACCATTTATCAATTGTCACTTATCAATTGTCATTTATTGCTCGTAGTTTTACTTCACTTCACTTAACCTCATTTCATTTCATTCTCACACTACTATGTCTGCTGCATCCATAGCCGCAGCCGTAGCATCTGCATCCAATGGATCCTCACACCCGGATCACCAGCGTGCGCCCATGCCACCACACCTACCCGACGACAGCGATATACCACGGCTGCTCCGCCACGCGTCAATGCGCCAGGACAAAAACATTTCGTTCAACGCCTACAGACAAACAATCATCGGCAACACGCCCGAGGCTGTGCCCGAGATTTACGTAGAGAACTGCGCGCCCGTGTTTGAAGTCGGCTACTGGATGAACTACGGCAACTTCAGCTCCGTACGCGAACACCACGATAGGTACAAGAATCATGTACATACTCTCAGCGTGTGGAACCTCCCCGTCGAGTCCGCCTACGGGGCGGACATTGCCGCCTGCTTGAACCTCGGTTGGCCTAGCGTCACCCACGTGTCCCTGGAGTACAGCACCTGGGAGCCGGAGCCCAACAAGCACAGCATTTTGTGGCACAAGGTACTGTGCGAGTCCGAAATGTTCCCCAAGCTGGTTGACTACAGGGTGTGGCAAATGCTGCCCGCACGCCTGGAGGTGTTCTCTGTCCACAAGGAAAACTCTGCGCAGGAGCGCAACCAGGCGGCGGAAATCATTTCAAAGGTGCCCGAATTGCTGGCACCCACGGCTGCCGTGCAGCAGTTTTACGAGCATAGATGCCGACACTTGGAGCACATTGTTATGTCCATGGACTCGATGAGCAAGGCCGAAACATTCACAAAGTACAAGTACTTGACTCTAGCGCTAGCCACCCCCGTATTGGCCCCAAGCTCGCTGACCATTGTCAACTGCCGGCTGAAGCACATCAGGGCCATTCTCAACTGCATCGACCGCAATGCCCTGGGCCTCCCCACCACTGAGCTGCAGTACCACCCAGGCAAGCCAGAGTTGGGCCAGGGACTGCAGCACTTGCACCTCAAAATGGTCAGCCTGTACGACGAGCTCACGGGGCTTCCCATTTCGGCGGCGCGCTTCCCCAATCTGACCAGCCTCATAATCGAGCATTCGCCAGCCTTGGAAAACTCGCTCCCTGATGGCGAAAAGTTTGGGCACCTGTGGGAGATGCGCTGGACGTCGATGAGGCGCCTGCAGTTGCCATTTTTCAGCGACCAGCATTTGGCGCTTCTAGTCAAGTTTATGCCCAACCTGGAGATCCTCTCGGTCATTCCTACAGCCGGTTTCGAGGCAGGCGACGAGTACCCGGACACTCTGAGTGCCCCAACCATTGTCAAGCTGGCCACACAGCTTTCATCTCTGCGGCACCTGGAGATACGCTCGATGCTGCGCACCAAGGGAAAGCGGCCCTACAATACGAGCGAATTTGTGGCTCTGGCCATGAGGAAGCCCCCCGCAACGAGCCGTCCGGACCTCAAGGTCTTTGCCATCCCCTGCGTGCACATGGATTTTGTCTCTGTTATCAAGCTGCTAATGTACCTGCCCGGCGTTGAGCAGCTTGAGTTTCAGCTGCCCGACCAGCACGCCCTTCCGCCGTCCAATGGTGGGTCAAAAGCCCCCCGCCACTATCATCTGCCGATAACGGTCGCTTAAGCGCCGCTATTGCACATAACCTCGAGGGCCGCACGTGGTCTGAGGAGCGGGCCAGGTTTGCTGAAATATTTGCCGGCAAACCGCACCCTTTGCAGTCCATCATCATGTCCGGGTATCATGTGGACTTGCATTCGGCTGCGGTGACGGATTTCTTGAAGCTGTTCCCCGACGTCGACTCCCTATCATTCGCGTCCGTTGGGCGGGAGGATCACGACAATATTGACCAGCTGGCCGGCGTTCTGACGGCACTGAATCCTGATCTCGAAGTCTCTATAATTTGATTAAGCTAGTTTATATTTTTTACTTGTGAAATACATGTTGGGTGTTTGCCAATTATCGACGGATTATTTTTTGTTGGAATTCATACTGAATTGCTTCTTGATGCTCGGCGAGGACAGCAGTGACGTTCCGGGTCGTTTGAGCAAGGTCTTGCGGCGGACGATGAGGTTTTCGATAGACACTGAGTTGAACAGCTCGCCGTCATCGTTCTCTTCAGCGCAGGAAACAGCAGAGGCAGAGTCAGGGGCAGAGGCAGAAACAGCAGTAGCGGCAATGACAGGGGCGCTTGCCAGCAGCCCAGAGCTATGAATCATCTTAGGAGTATTGCTAAATCCATGAACCCAGTCCTCAGACTCGGAGTCGTCGCTCTCATCTCCTCTATGCCCGCGGGTCATCTGCCGTTGAATGGTCATATCCACATCTCGCTCATCAACGATTTCCTCCAGCGCAAACTCATCATCGTCGTTATCCATAATACCCATCGGTAAAAGCAGCGAGGGCTCATCAGCGTCACTCCCCGAGACATATCCAGAGTTGTTCTCGGGCGGTCGCATAAGGGCGGCGCGAGCAAACGCAGCGGTCTCTGGATTCTTGGCGATCTCGGCTAAATTGGTATCATGGATCTCTCTGGCCTGCAACTTCCTCCGCATCCGCAGCCTCTCCTCCATTCTCTCTGCCCTCGTCTGCCTGTCGTTATAATCCTCAGCATCAGCGAGCGCAAACCCAGTGCGGTTTCCCGAGATGCGGTTCTTGAGGTTTCCCGTAGTAATGTCCTTTACGAGGTCCTGAATATCCTTCTCATCCTGGTCAAAATCCTGTTTGCGGTGGAGGTCGCGGACGGCCTGCTCGTCCTCGCTGTCCTGCTCGACATCGTTGTTGATCATGGGGTCGGCCAGAAGCGCCGCGGTTTCCTCGCCCGAGTCCAGGTCGTCCGAGGATTCCTCCGGGGACTCTGCCACCTGGTCATCGCCCCAGTTGAACTTTCCGGCTGGCGTCTTGTGCTCGGCGTCAGAGCCTGAGCTCTCGCCCTCTTCGGCTTCAGCCTCGATAAACTCGGACTGCTGATGGCGCCTCTTGGACTTCTTGATACGCCTGAGTTGCTGTTGCTTGCTGGGCAGCTCGCTGCGGCGGACCAGGCGACCTGGACGATGCCGCGCAAGTTCGGCGGGTTGAGATTCGCCCTTCATGTCGACCGATGGGGATCTATCCATATACGAATCCGCGGCCACCTGCGAGAACTCCATCGGCTGCGTCGCTTGTGTCTGGCCCATCAACTCCTGCGTCGGTAAAGTCAAAGGCTGTGTAGGCTGCGTTGATTGCGTCTGCTCGATTAGCGACTGCGTGGGGTGCGTCTGCTCCATATACTGCTGTCCTCCGTAGGTGAGCGAGTACGAGCGGTCGTATTTCAAGGCAGCGTCGGGCGTCAAGAGGAGCGAGTCCTGTGTGTTGACTACGCCCTCTATCTGGGAGAGCATATATGGCAGATCCTGCGAGGCAGAGACATCGCGTTCGCTGAGTTGCGGCTCAGGGGTGGGAGAGCGCGGGGTCTTGGACAGAGGCTTTTGTGGCATTTTGAACATATTGATAAACTTGGTCTTTGTGACTGCTGGCGCAGGAGGCAAAGGCGCATCGTCTTCGTCGTCCGAGATAACAGCTGTGCGGGGAGTGCGTCGTGACTGTGTTGCTCCCTCATTGGCCTCGTCTTCGGAATCCTCCTCTGCGCTTTCTTCGTTAAGGTCAAGTTCTGGGTCGGTATCTTCACCAATGCCAGAGGCGCTTCCCGAATTGTAGTCCCCATCGACCTCCATGTCCTCTCCCGCTTCATCCTGAGGCTCGCTCTTGGCCTGCAATTCTGGCTCCTCCTCTGACTCTTCCACAAACTTGACCGATTCCTCACAAATTTCACTCTTGCGCACCTTCTTTTCGCTGGCAATTTTGGCATCCAGGTCCTTCTTGTAGACAGCACTGAGCAGCGCACTGTTAAGATCTCTGAGCGCCAGTGGACCGTCTGTGCGCTTAATCCCGGGAGTGTACAAAGATCTAGAAGAATGCATTGGCTGCGATGCGTAGCTAAGGATGGCATCCAGACCGTCCACATCAACCACAGTCGGGGTTATCTGTGGTGGTGGTGATTGTGGAGGCGGCGAAGGCATCGGCATGACCATGGCGGGCTCCCTTGGGCGCTCGTCAATAATCTCCACATCATATTCGCCCGAGTCTGAATCGTAACAGAAGCGCATGGGTTGGCGCGTAGCAAGAGGCGGTGAAACCCTAGGCGGCGGTGAAGGCGTCCGTGATGGTGAGTGCGATCGCGGTTTGGTGTGTATGTCAAAGCGAATAAAGAAATCCTCCATAGTTAGTCGCTTTGTAAAATCCAGCGGATCAATCCTCACGGCTGTTTCGCGTATCAGGCGCTCGGTCTCCCGGTGCATATTTGCAAGAGCTGCCTTGGACGCCGCCCTCTCCTTACGCTGCCCCTTTTGTGGCTGCAGTTTTTCTTCCGGTGCAACGGTCTCACCGATCACCGGTTTGCGGTCCAAGTCAGAGTCCGCGTCCGAGTCAGAATCAATGCGCATGTTGATCAGGGTGCGTCTCTGGTTAGTTAACTCTGGAGAATCCTCGCGCTGGTCGCTGCCGTTATCGTTATCGCTGTCATCAATTTTCTTGGGGCGCCGCGATAAGGACAGGCGCCCGACTACACTGTCCTTTTTGACACCTTTTTCCAGGGCAAACCGCGAGACATTGAGGAACTTGCGCTTCTTCTTAATCTTTGCCTTTAATTCTTTCTCCTCCTCTCCATCTTTGCGATTGGCAGTGAGCTTGATGGCTGCTACAGGCCTATCGATAAATAGTGAGGCAACTGACGGTCTGGTTGTAGTTTTCTGCAGTTTGTCGGCTTCATTATCTGAGTCCGAGTCCGAGTCCAAGCCGAGAAGCTGGGCCACTGGGTCGTATGGCGCTGGTGTCTTTTTGACTGCAGCAGAATCATCTTCAGTGCGCGCAAATGCCGAGAGTAACGAGGATGAGCCCAAGTTGAACCCTCCAGTTGTGTCAAAGTCATTGTGCAGGTCGTCTGCCGTTGCGGGTTGCGCCTTGATGCCAGTGTCTGGACTTGCAGCAGGTGGTTGGAGCGTATTGTCCTCGGTCATCATCCAAGCGGAGTACACGCGCAATTCAAGAAAGCTTGTGGACAAAAAAATTGAAATTGAAATTAATGAGTTGAGGAAAAACAAAAAAAACAGAATTCTGTTGTTTTTACGTGCCAAACGATGAAACCATGTGCTTTCAACGCGTCTTTTCGACGCGTTTTTACTGCAAACCTGGCTCGCGTTTGTAATGCTTTTCATTGGTTAGATAAAATTGTTGAATTGAGAGGGCCATGCATTTTTTTAATTGACGAGCTGCCCAGCCCCTTTGCTAATTTAATCCACTCAAAGCATAAATTTCTCTTTTGGATGCTTGTACACTTTATCTGTTCAACTAAGTTTGAACAGATAACGCAAAACTTTTTTCGCGCACTTTTTTATTCACAAACCAGTTAGTTGACGCAACATTTATGCACTGAATGTTCACTCTTACTTTTATCTCTACTAAATTATACACTCTTATTTCCCATTTATTCTTGACCGTTCTCTCTCTTGATCCCTTGCAGCACATAGGGATTCCGCTTTTATAATGTAAGAGCTGTGCTTCGTCTTTATCTGATTTACTTTATAAATTTTTTGGCTTATGCTCTGCTTTATCGTTCCTTATGCAATTGAATTGTACTGGCTTTATAAAATAGTAAAAATTAACTGCCAGAAAGGTGCTGGTTTTCTTTGTTGATTCGATTTAAAAAGTGGCTGTTTTCTTATCTGATCCCCCAAACTTTTGCTTTATTTTCCACTCTGTGGGCCCTCCAACATTGTCCTGCGCCTCCTCGCACTTTTACAGCCGCATACTTTTGGCTTAAAACGCTGTTGCTACGATGAGCACCATCTTGTATACTCTCTTCTTTATTTGATTCATATCCATACATATTTTTTATTTGCAGTGTAGTTCAGTGCAGCGACTATTATTATAAAATCTATTTTTCAGCTCTTATTTGTCCAACTCGGCTCGCCATCACCACCTACACACAACCAGTGTTTCCTTTTTATTTATTGGCTCGCTCAGTGGTCCACACAGCCCACATCCCAAACAATTATTTAATTGCCCTATTTATTCATTTATTTTTTGCACACAGCCACATACCTTTAAATTCATAGACCGAGCGCCCAAAGTTGTTCCTACATATACTTTATTTTTAATATCGATGGAGAACGGCACACCAGAAGCAACAGGCACAGGCAGTGCTCACACGCAGCCTGTGAGACTAATGCTCTCCTGTGACAATTGCCGCAAAAAGAAGATTCGGTGCAATGGTGGGAAACCCAACTGCGCTAGCTGCAATAGAACCAGCACCCCCTGTCATTACTCGCCCGTGGGCCCGCGCAGGAAACCACGAAAATCGTCGCCGCCGCCGGCGCTTCTCATGGACTTGGCCAACAAATCGGTGCGACACAGGAACAAGCGGCGGGCGTCCTCGCTGCAATTGTCTGACGGCGAAAGTAGGTTTAGAATGGATTCGCAGGGATTGGGGAGCGTGAGTCACATTATGCTTGAGCGGCTGAAGGAGACTGAGACCCTGGAGCCACCCATGTCAGTCAGTGGCCCGATGAGGGATGACCAGGTCATGGAAATGCTGAGGCTGCAGACGCAGATTTCTTGCCTGGTCAATCAGCTCCGAAACATTACCATCCGCGTGTCTGGACTGACGCCGGCTGCGGGGTCACCGATTGGCGAGCAAATGACTGGCGGTGCGCAGGCCGCTAGGAGTGTATTTGGAGGCTTTGACGCCAATTCAGAGCCCCGTACTTCAGACCAGTTCCACGGAGAGCCCTCAACACCGCAGCAGCCGTCGCAGGATGAGTCCAGGGCGGACTCGCACGGCAAGGAATCGCCACAGCCCGACGAAGTTCACATGAAGTCTCACGGCGAGGCAGCCAAGGGCATCTCAGTGTCGCGCGACCTGATCAACCACCTGACCTCCGTCTACTTCCAATACTGCCATGCATCCGAAACCGGCATGTACCCGCAGGAGCTCTACCGCGATCGCTTGCAGCGGGCCCAAGTGAGCGAGCCATTTCTTCTTTCCGTCCTGGCTGTTGCCAGCCGCTTTTCCGACGATCCCCGTGTGCAGCGCGAGCCAGCCTACCTCGCCGGCTACGACTTTTACGAGCGCGTTACGCGGCATCTCATGATGGACGTTCTGGAGCGCGACTGCATCGAGAATATGCTCACTCTGAACAACCTCGCTGTCTATGCTGTCGGGCTGCCCGTGGCCAATCGGGGGTGGTATTTTTCTGGGTTGGCCATGCGCATGGCCACCCAGATGTCCCTGCAGAAGGTCGATGCACCCGGGAGGATGCCTGGGGCATCTATGATGAGCGGGCCCGGAATCGAGTCAGCGCGGAGAGCCTTTTGGACCACGCTGCTGTTGGAAGCCTTGGCGAGCTTTGCCAGCGGCGAGCCACCGCCAATCACTATCCAGGATATCCATGTAGCCGAGCCTTTCGACGATACGTCGTCTCTGGGCGACAGTTCCAGGGGATTCTGCGCGTCTGCAGAAAGCGCCAACGCAGCTGGCGCTCCTGAATCAGACGATGTCAGCATGCACGACCAATCATCGTCGCCTATGACCGGGCCTTCAGGTTGTCGCACGCGCAGTGGCACCAACCAGAGCGGTGGCAGTGGAGGCAACGGACGGCCAAGCGTGTGCGCCTACATCACGCAGCTGGCGATGCTGCTGATTCGTGTGGCGCGCCTGAATGGTAACCGGCATCCGGAGTCTGCGCAATTTAGTCCCGAGTACGCGGCCTTGCATTCCGAGATGGTCGCATGGTACCACGGCCTACCCGATAACATGCAGATCAAGCCGACCATAGCCAAGGAAGAAATCCAACGCGAGCCAAAGTTGTTTGCGGCCAAAATGTTTGTCCATTGCCATTATCATGCTGCCATCATTGCCTTGCACCAACCGCGCGTGGACTTGGTCCGCGTCGATGCATCTCGCGGTGGTGAAAGCGGAAATCGGTTTTCTGGACGGCAGTCTAAGAGTCCCGACGAACAGTGGAGGCAGCTGGCGCAACAGCAATGTTTGACTGCTGCGTGCACAATGACAGAGCTACTGACCTTGGCGAGGAACCTCGACGTGCGCTACCATATTGTTACTTTGGATTTGCCGTATTTATGGCCGGCGTCGTTCATGTTGGCGCTGTCAACTACACTCCCAGGCAGTCGAATGAGCGCCAGTATAGCATAAATTGTGTCAAGGAGCATGTCCGTTGCTTGGATCGGCTGGGTAAGTACTTTGCCTTCCATTTCATTATGGCCAAGCACATTCGCGCTCAGCTGCAGGTTATCGAGGCTGCGGATCTTCGGAGGCAAAATACCATGAGTGGTGCTCCTGCGGTTGTCCCAGCAGCAGGTATGGGCTCTATGGATATATTGGGTTTGGACCCTCGGTCTAGACTGCAGCATGGGTCGGAGATGGCGGCGGCGGCTGTAGCGGCGGCTGCTGTTTCAGGAATGCAGTTTGATTTTGCAGCTGCTTTTGGTATACATCCGCAGTTTGGTCCTGGGATGGTTTCTGCTGCTGTTTCAACTGCTCCTCCCCTATCTGCCACCAATTCTCTGCCAAATATTGACATTTCAGATATTGGGCTGGGTGCCGGCTTGATGGGATTCGGGCCATCCGGCAATGTTGTGCAAAGCAGCGGAAATGGCATGGGTGCGGCCAATCCGTGGTTGTATTCGTCGACCTCTGGGATATCCTCTATGGGTGCTAACCCTGCTGCTTCTTCTGGTCTCCCTGCTGCATCCGGCACTCCTATTTCTGGGCCAGCCGGGAGCTCATCGATGGATATGTTCCTTGGTCTATTTTCGGCAGTTCCCTCAAATCCATCATCCGGCCTTCGTCTCAAAATGTAGCCCAGTGTCCAGTTCCCGGTGTTTGTGGTGGCCTTTGCGGTACCCACTCACCTGCCACAACAGCTTCAATGGCTATGAGCCTTCAAGGCTTGTCTGGGATGGCTGGCCTGGGATCTGGAATTAGCTCCTTAGCGCAACTGTTTTCTTCCAGCGAGGCGTCATCAATTTATCCTGAGAATATTGTCAGCAATAGTTCTTTGGCACCCTCAAAAAACGGCATTGGCGGCGGGCAAGGAATGACTTCCTCGTCCGAAGCTCTAAATGCATCTGCTTATCAAGCGGATCCTGCAGCTCCTCTGAGACTGACTTTGCCGGGTGGGATGCAACAATTTGGTTCATTGCCTCCGTTTTCTCCCCTTTGAACTCTTCTCTTTTTTATATTTTATTTTTATTTTTAACCCATCGGCGGTTGAGTAAATACACTTATTAGACACACAATTTAGTTCTTCATGTCAAGATAAAAATAAAATTAGGAGCACTTGGGCATGCTGGTATATAACTTCCGCTGCATATATCGTACAATTATAATATTTACTTCTATTAATATTTTGCCAAAATAAAAATAAAAAACTAAATGTCACTGTAGATGACAGGTAAAAAATAAAAAATATATAGATATTTTCTCCACAGAAAGTATATTGCTGTGTGGTTAAAAGGGAAACCAATACTATTCAACTAAGCAGCCACAAGGAATACTGCTAAAAAGTGAAATAAATATGTATTAGAAAATGAAGGTGTTCTCATCCTCATGGTGGAAACACCTTAGTATATATTAAACCTAAACTATGATAATGTGTACGGCACAGGAAATGCCGTGCGCATTATCATAGTTTAGGTTTGCTATATATTTATATTTTATCTTTATAATTTGCAGCATATACCGGTAGCTGCCTGCCTTGCACTTTATTGGCCCCTATTGGCCAGGTTTACAACAATTGTAACTGCTAAGTAAAATATTGCAATTATTTATTTGAATTGAGGTCAATAAGAACATAGTCTCTCCATTTATAAAATATAGCTAAAACATGGTTTGTATGTAATTTTTTAAGCAAGTGTATTTAATACTCATTTTCTTTCTTGGCATATACGAAATAAACAAGTAATATATCTTCATCCGCTACTTTACTGTCCAACAATTGCGGCGATATAACTCCGTCTTTTGTCTTTACTAGTCACATTGTCATTTCGGTTAAAGCTTTAAAGGTGCTTAATAGGACAACGTCTATCAATTTACAAAACAAAGCTTTTTCTGTCTAAAATAATATAAATGAATAAACCGGTTGATATGTATTGGTTAGAACAACAATAGGTACAAGCTGTGCGTGTGTATGTGCCTGTGTGCATATTTGTTTGTGGTTGACTTACAGAGGTGAGGGGTTTAGCATCAGCATTTAAAGTACAGGGAGCAACATGTAAACAAATAAACAAATAATAATTAGTATTAGTAGTTTAGTAATAGAAGAAGGGTGTAAACAAGAGGCAGGGTGCGGCTACAACGCGAAAATGTGTTTGTTGATGAATGCGGAAAAAGGAATAAAATTTTCTTGCAAAAAAACTTTTAAATTGGTTTTGTGCAATGGAAACAATTTAATAAAGGCAAAAAGTCATCCTTTGGTGTAGAATTTGCCCTCTTTTTTGCCTTAATTATTCTGGCAAAGAATACTCGCCCATTAATATTAAAACAATGTGAAAAACGCATTATATGGAGATTAAATCACCGGAGCTAAATATCAAATCTGCGATTTTGGTGCTCCTGCTGTGGTATTTTCACCCGCCTTTTACAATTCAACTTTGAATTCGTCCACATTTTTTGCTCTCTTTCATACTTTTATTTATTTTTATCTTTGACCTTACCAATCAAAAATGTCGTCAAGAGCAATCAGAAAACTACTGAGGGAGCGTGGTGTCGACGAATTGGCTGAGTCAGCCGCTCGCTTGGAGGCCAATGCCAGGCAAAACGACGACGCTAGCGGCTCAGATACTAACGGGACAACAAAGAAGGGCGCAAAGATAAACATGTTTGACTTGTTGATGGGTGGTAACAGCGGTGACGACAATGAGGGCAGTGAGAAATCCGACTCTGACATCGAATCGGCAAGTGAAATTTCTCACAAGAACACAAAGAAAAACCAAGCCCTTGCCGCTACTGCTGCTGCCATTGCAGTCAAGCCCGCGGACAACGAGGCTCACAGCGACAAGAAGGCTGAAGGCGGAAATTCCAAAAAGAAGAACAAGAACAAAAGCAAGAGTAAGGGCAAAGCGAAGAACAAGCAAAGTGCGACTGGGAACGACGGCATGTCCATGGCAGAGCTGGATGCACACTTGGAAGAAATCCAAGCACAGCATATCTTGTTGGAAGTACAGAGTAACGAGCTTAATTTCAGCGAAAGTGTGCAGCAGAAGGGCAAGGGCGGGGCGATTGGTGTGGGTCTGACCGAAGAGCAGCAGCGGAACCGCGCGCTGCTGGTTGTTGATGCCAAGCACCTGGACTCGCAGGCCGAAATTAAGCGAATGTTTGGCTCTGCAGCAGTGAAGGATAGCGGCCAGCAGCGAGGACACGGACGCAGGCGAATGATTCAGGGCTCAAGGCTCAAGAGGCTGACGCTCGCACAGCCTAAGGCGACTTGGCCCCCGATGCGCGCTTCTCCAGGTGTGGAAATGCGCCAGATGAGCTCTGACGACCACAGTGACCGCAAAATGCACGAGATAATTGAGCGCGACCCGACCGGTGGCACCTGGTTTGCGCTGGATCACTCGGCGCGCTTCCGGTCAATTCAGGTCGATTTCCTAAGCGCCGTCGTGACGAGCAACGCCGATGCTATTGCGGCAATTGCCTACCAGCACCCGTATCATGTCGATGCACTGCTGCAACTTAGCGAGATTCTTAAGCAAACTGGCGGCGACTTTGGCGAGGCCGGGGAGCTGGTGGAGCGAGCGCTTTATGCCTTTGAGAGCGGGTTTGCGCCCCGGTTTAGTGCAACTAACGGCTCGGGTCGGCTGGATTTCCGGTACGTCGAGTCGCGGGCGCTGTTCTTGGCGTTGTTCCGCCATATGCAGTTCATGTCGCGGCGCGGATGCTGGCGCACGGCATTTGAGGTTAACAAGGTGCTGCTTTCGCTGGATCCAGTGCAGGACCCATACGGTGCGCTGATGACACTGGATTTCCACGCACTCAAGAGCAAGCAGTACGAGTACGTGCGCCAGTTTGTCACTGACTGGTCATGGTCTTCAGCAGAGCTGCCCAACTGGGCGTTCTCGCGCGCTCTGGCCGAGTTTATGCTGGAGACCGGCAGTGCTGCCAAGACTTTGTCATCCAAGAAGGGCGCGAGCAGTAAGGTTGCTGCCGGATACAGCGTCGACCTGCTGGTCGACGCTATTTTGGTGTTTCCGACGGCAGTGCCGGCGATTCTCAACAAGAGCAACATTGACGTCGACCCAGTCATCTTGACCCACCCGTACTTCCAAGACGAACACATACCGGATTCCACCGAGTTGACGCATATGCAGCTGGTTGTGCAACTCTTTGTCGAGCGCCACGGCTCTCTATACCGCACGCCCGAGGTCGGCCGCTGGCTGCAGGAGGGCCTCCTTCTGGCGCTGGAGCGAATTGCTCGCGGAGACGCCTCTACACTGCAGCGCAAGCAGGCGGCGCAAAAGCGGCTGTGCACATATGTTATTCCGGAAAACATCTCGCGCCACGTTTTGGTTGCTGACCTCGAGTCAATCAAGGCCGGGTTGCCCGAGGACATCCGCACTGCCGAGAGCTACGCCTTCGACCCGCTGCCGCCCAAGGACAACACCAATGTTTACGACGATGTTCTGGGGATGGGTGGCGTACAGGGTGCGGACCGCATGCCTGGAGCCTTTGTTGAGATTGACGGCGAGATGGTCGATATGAGGGAGTTTGGCGATGAGGGTATGAACTTTATCCAGCGCATGCTCCAGCAGGCCCGCAACCGTCTGGGCGGCGTCTTGGGTGCCGATCCCGAGGATCCTGGCACCAGTGACGACGAATACGACTACGATGATAACAACGAATATGTTGACGAGGAGGACATCTCCGAGTAAAAAAATAGAATAGTAGCGGTTTGTAAGCTGAAATTGGGTAATAAAAATAATTGAGCAAAACCAGTTGAATTCTCGTTTGTCGTTATCGCTTTGAGCTTTGCCATGCTGAAGAAAATAACGAAACAAGTATTTAAAATTCAAGTATCCTGCAAATCGACATCTTTCCTTCACATCCAGATTGTATAGCAACCCGGAACGTGCTTAGAAACTAGAGGCAATAAATACTCCACTATGGTTGAAGATATTAATTATTGCGCAGCTTCTTGCAAAGCGAAGCTTTGGTTTTGGGTTGGGCAAATTCTCGGACAAATTCTCGGGCGTCACTGTAGTAGACTCGGGTTCAACCGACTCAAGCTCTGTCTTTTTGCGCTAAAAACGAGAAGGCCGCTCGCTTGTAAGCAGGGTGTTGAAGATGATGCGCAAGTTCAGCACCACGGCCATGTCACGATTATTCCACTTCCGTCTGCCTGATGACACTTTATTTGCCATGCCTAATCTGCTGCTAAAAATGCTTATGAATGGTTCACATATGTGCTGCCTTTTTCCTACCACCGGTGAAAGGTTTTAACAATGCGTTAACGCACTACCCTTTAAATAAGTGTAAGGATAAGCGCGTAAACACAATCTTAAAAATGACCCAAGGGATGTTGTTTAATACGCGTTCAGTGTTTTCTAATTTTTCATTTAATTCGTTCCAAAATAATATTCAATTTTCATTAACAATCTTAAAAACTACCCTGCAGGTTGGAGATTTGGTACAGTGCAGTCTGGACCATTTATTTTTTGGGGGCATAACAATTTCTATTTTTTGATTGCTAAAAGTTCAATCCAGCTAGAAATATCACTGATTTCTCGCGTACTCTGGAGCTGCAGAATCATTCCTGTTAAAGCGAGCAAAAGTGCGATGACACTTTTTGCGATTTCATTTTTTTATAGGACACCCGCTATTCATTCACTTGCTCACTCAAAAAGAAAAATATAATTACGGCAGGGGTACAAAATGTCCAAAAAAAATTCTACCATGCGTCTCGCATGTAAAGTATGCACCCTCATGTTCACTCCTTGCCCTCTTCCTCGTGCAACATGCACTTGATTTGATTTTTTAACAACAAAAATAAACAATGTGATGTTGATGTTGATGCTGATGCTGATACTGGTGCCGATGTCAATGTGGTTTAGGAAATCCATAAAGTGCGACAGTGACAGTATTTTTTATATATTTTTACTGCTTCCAAGCCACTCTTAAGTTGGTCCAATTTGACACGAAAATAATGACATACACACGCATGGCAGAGATATACCCAATTGTTTTTATGAAAATATTTATAACCGTGACCACATGTGTCTGTGACTTCTAGCAAAAAACACGCGAGAAACAAAAAAAAGAGAGCAAACACGCGTGCCTTTTGAGCCAGGCAGAAGTAGCACCTGTATTTATATAATATCATTTAGCAGAAAACGAGGTCAGGTTTTGTGTATTCTTGTCAATCAACAATGTGTGTCTGACCTGCTTGCAGCGCGCCTCTTTATTTTTTATTACTCACACATCTTATTTTTGTTTATTTTTTTGTCTTCATATTCCCCCCTTCCTCTTCTGTTTTGCCTTTTTTTCTTTCACACTTTTGTTTTAAGCACAGTCAGCGAAAGCGGCAAAAAACGTCTTCTTTTTCGTATATTTTTTTTACCGCACTTATAGCATATTAATTTTTCCGTCATTAATTTTTCAGTTCTATTTTTATATAAACCCAAACAATAACAAGCCCAAATAGACAGACAGGCACCTAATATTATTTTGTCACTAATGTCAGGAGACGTGGCCAATTCGGAGACAACTCCAACTGCCGTATTGTCGACAGAGGGTGACACCACGGGCGACCAGAGTCTCTTGAACGCTCCGCCAAAGTGCTGGGGCTGCCACAAGGCAATTGACGGCGGCAGTGCTATCCAATTTGCAGATGGTGTCTGGCACATTGACTGGTAAGGCGCTTTGTTATTTTTTACTTTTTTTGTAGAAATTGCATTCCGACACAGCTCTAGACCCACAGAGGCATGTTCCAAGGAGCTGAACGGAGATCTTACCAAACGCAAGCCAACAAAGGTGTTGGCTCTTTGAACGTCAGTTGACAATATTGCTAACACCACACACGCTCATACCCCTCATTCTTTTTTATCCATATAGCTTTCAATGCACCACCTGTGGAAAGGTCATCGAGTTTGACTCTAACCTGCTCTTCCTGGCTGACGGCAAGCCAATCTGCCCTGAGTGCTCATACTGCTGCAGCCTATGCAAGAAGCCCATCTTCGACGAAGCCATTGTGACAGTCGAGGGCACGTACCACTCGGAATGCTTCCGCTGCACTAACTGCAAACACCGTATCCAGGGCAAATCCTTTGCCAAAACCAGCCAAGGGGTAATTTACTGCGTACTGTGCTATGCCGAGCGACGAGAACGAAAGAAGGCCGCCAGACGAAGACGAGACCACCAGGTTCCTGAGGAAAAAATGTTGCCCTCATTGCCATTCGAGGCCACTGTGATTGCTAACGAGGAGAGCATATTGATAAAGAGCCCCGACAGCAGCATGCGCGACAGCGAGCCACAGTCTGCGTCCAGCAACACAACCGTGCAGACACCACTGTCCACCAGCACGACTGGGAGTCCTCGGTCATCGATGCAGCAGCAGCAGCCGTTGGCTGCATCAATCACATCGACAACGACGGCAACCGCGGGCGGCGTGATATCATCCAAACAGAAGGCTGCAGGGAAAGGGTCCGACGAGAGAGCCAACCGCCATAAGCAGGATAAATCTCAGGACGCGCGCACTCGCCGGCGCGGTGTCCATACTTCTGGTGACTTTTCGGGCACCAGCGAGGCTGCCAACACGGCCGAGGACGCTGACAATACCAATGGGCATCTGCCACCTGCACCACGCGGCATGAGCGCCGGAAGCACGCTGCAGACCACTGTGGCCGAACCTGAACCTGAGCATAAACCTGAGTCTGAGCCCAAGCCCAAGCCTGAGCCTAAGGTCGAGCCTGAGGCTGAGTCCCAGCTTAGCGTGCCACTACACCGGCCAAGCCTGAAGGTGAATTATCTACGGATGACCTTTTGCCGCTCCCAGCGTTCCCTCAGAACCCCAGCGCCACCGACCCCATCCTGGATGTCAATTTCGAGTGGACTGAGGATATCGGTGCCCTGGAGGACAACTTTGTGCGGTTCTCCATGCGCGCACCGCTTGCTCCCAAACCGGATACTTCCAACAAAGCCGATGTCGACAAAAGGCAACTTACCAAGCAGCGCCGGCGCGAAGCAGAATTCGGGAACAGCCCCAGGCCTGGCAGCCATTACCATGTAGACAAGCGCACAGTGATTAATAGGTCCTCCAGCTTCAGTCGCACACGCGCTGCCAGCAGCGCTTCGCTTTTTGGAAACTTGGTTCCGCCGGGCCTGCGCTCTCGCGAGAACACGACCACCGTACTCCAGCAACAGCAGCAGCAGCAGCAGAATCCAGAAGATTCCGCAGCAGGCAGTGCCAATGGTTCCAATTTGCAGGCAGACAGCAAGGAATGGCTGAATACAGCCACGGTCAAGCAACTCAAGGATGAACTGCTGGTGAACTACGGACAGCTGTGCCGCATGGAGGCTAGCTACCAGAAGCTGCGCGATTTGTATGCGACGGTCATTGACCAGCTGCTCGTTTCGCGTGAGTCACTACAGCAGGAGCGCACGAAGCGGCTGGAGTATGAGAATATACTGCACAATTTCTACGGCTATGTGGCAACAGACGCGCCCAGCGCTGATAAGGGGCCGTCAAGACAGGCTTCAATAAGGCACCGCGGTGGAGCAAGCAACACGGTTTTGCCGGCGCTAGCTTTGGGCCAAGCCTCGAGTGCAAAGCAGCAGCAGGCTCGTGGTCAAGTTCCCAAGCAGCAGCAGCAGCAGCGAGGTGAGTCATCAGTAACAGCCCCTGCGCCACCGGCGGCCCGTCAGCCGAGTCTCCGGCGCCAGCGCCAGACACGCAAGCATGATGGAACCCACACCGACCACGCCAATGACTCAGGATCCGATGCTGAAGACGCCATCATCACCACTGTGCCGCAAAAGGCCACAAAGCGCTTCATGTGGCCATTCGGCGGCAACCGCGCAAACGGTGACGAGGCGCAGGTAATGGGCCATCATCAACAGCACGAGCGCGGCACGTCTGAGGATTCCACGCAGCACAGCTTCCACGTGGCCAGCACGTTTCGCGCGAGCAAGTGCGACCATTGTCAGGATCGACTCAAGACATTCAGCAACACCGTGGTGCGCTGCCGCAACTGCGGCTTTGTCTGTCACCAAAAGTGTGCCGTCGATGTCACGGCCACATGTGCCTCCTTTGACAGCACGACCGGGCGGCAGTCGCGCCCCAGCGCCAGCTCTACCAACAACGTTGTTGCTGGGAACCCGCTGGTGTACGACCCAAATGTCCCCTTCCAGGCGGACAAGATGTTTGGTCGCGATCTGTGCGAGCAGGCGGCGATGGAGGGCAGTGATGTGCCGTGGATTGTACGCGCGGCCATCAAGTTCATCGAGACCGAGGGTCTGACCATGGAAGGCGTGTACCGGCGATCTGGCTCGACCATGGACATCCGTGCCGTACAGGTCGATATATCGCGAGTGGCCGAGGCGACAGGTAACAAGTTCTTTGATGCTCCCATTGCAGACTCTGACGTTGACGTTACTAGCGTCACTAGTGTGCTCAAGCAGTACTTCCGCGATTTGCCGAACCCGCTGATGACCTCGGATACGTACCATTTGTGGGTGCAGGCCGCCAACATTGGCTCTGCCGAGGAGCGTATCAAGGTGTATCGCACGATCAGTGACTCGATGCCCCGCACGCACAGCGAGACCCTGCGGTTCCTGATGTCCCATCTCAAGCTTGTCGCCGATAACCAGGCGGAGAACAAAATGACGACCAACAATCTGTCTGTCGTTTTTGCTCCCAACATTCTGCACATGGGGAAGAACGATGTGCTTCAGGAGATGGCCAACATGTCGGGGATCAACAAGACAGTTTCGTTCCTGATCCAGCACGCAGACGATATCTGGGGCGATGCGCATTACGCGAAATACAGCGAGAATACAATGGGGGTCGCTGCTGATGGTGCTGCTGATGGGAATGCATCCGTATCTGGCCTTGCTTTTGCTCCTCCCATGTCATCCGTTGATGCGGCGACAGATGTGCAGACAACTGAGCCGTTTCCAATTCCGCCTATGACAAGGAGAAAAATGAACGTGGGTGGTATTGGCATCGATGTAATGTCTTCACCCAGCTCCCCCACCCAGCAGCGGTACAACCCCTATTATCAGCAGCAGCAACATGGTGTGGCAATGGGTATGGACGGCGATGCACAGGAGGGCACATCGATGTCGCATAGCATGCCATCTCCCAAAGGCTTGTGCTTTGACAAGAATGAACTGATGCCGTCCGACCGCGTGTCTTCTCAATACAAGACCGCAAACAACGGCGGGGGAGCGTACCAAAAGTACAGCTTTGACATCCCGCGAAAGTAACGCTTACCGTTAATATTTGGCACTCAACAATAGCGATTTTTTAAAAACAACATTTTCATGAACATTTTTGCTATTTCATCCATCCTTACGTTCAGACATTATGTTTTATTTTTTAATATATTTTAATGTGAAACCTAATTGAATTTATTTTTAAAATAGAAAAATTATAAACAATCAAAGCCATTCAGAAATAAAAAAACTAAATAAAAAACGTAAATAAACACACACCAATTAATGAGTTTACCAAAATGTTTGCCTTAAGCTGCCGCATGTATGAAACTGACATTGTCATCGCTATTTTTAAAGCTGGGGTTACTGGTTCATAATTTCTAGCATGGATATGTAGCTGTATACCTTGCTGCCAGGGTTTCTATCTCTTGAATATCCTGTTTAGCATTGCTAATTTTACTTTTAATTGCAGCGGAGGTAGCATCTTCTATAATGGAAATTTTGGTTAAATCTTTAATAGCATTTCGAATTTCGTTTAAGGTAATTCCTTTCCAGCATGTATAACTTTTAACCCCTTCAGTATCAACAGGTTTTCCTTCACTGTTATAAAATACAATTGTGCTATTTCCGTTGACACGCCCACCGATTTTGCTGTTGGAAATAATTTTGTGCAAAGTGTCAGGGCCCTGTGATGCAATGTCGATTCTATCGGCTCCGGAGTTTTTCTCGCCAATAAAAACAAACCTAACTGTGGTGGCCATTGTTAAAAAGGTGGAATAGCTGTTGCACGTATAAATAAAGCAAATGCAAAAATGCAAAAATGTATGAATACAAAATTAATATAGATATAAAAAATTAAATAATAAATAATAAATCGAAAAAGGCAGACCTGTAGCTCGCTTATATACAATTATGTTTAAACAATGAATTAATTAATTTTGTACTCTATTTTGTCTCGTATTTCTTCGTCGCTATATAATAAGTAGTGTAACCTATTTGCAGTTTTATCTGCCGGGATTTATTATTTATTTTAAAAATATTTTGCTCCGATTTCACTTGTAGTACGCCTTTTTATAATGGTCGCGACGTTTTCTCTTCTCAACACAATTTATTCTAGAATGTCACAACGAACCCTTTGGAAATTTAAATACAAAAGAAAAATGATGTACGCTAAAGTCTAGCGAGAAATCTGACGACATAGTATGACTCCGCTCTCCTGCTATTCCTATTATTTTTGGATTGCAAGCACAGAAAGCGCCGAGTCTCTTACTAGTCAACACAGCATGACGTCAGGGAAGGTTTTTTTTAGAATATTACATCATGATTAGCGCTGGCCTGCCTTGCTCGTTGGTTTCTATTGGTTAATAATTCCAGCATTTTAGTATTGCGCAATAAGAAATTGGGCGTTGGGTTGTCGAGTGGATGTATTGATTTAAACATGCTATGCGACTTTCCATGTTGAAACTAAAAAATTAAAATTAAAAAGCGTTTTCTGCAAGGGTCGCAGGACGACAACAACCTGAGTAGCAGGGTGACTGAATAATAAAACCATGCATTTAGTAAGCAAAAAACAGTGCCTGAAATCAGACGGTGCTTTTGGAACAGAGATATTGCGGCAAGCCTAAACATGTGTACCATCTTCAACTGCTTCAGCGAGGGATTGGGAATTCCTGCTCGGTTAACTATATCGGTGACAAAAGATAACCAGTACAAATATGCGCATAAATTGGCTTATGGCTATTTCCCGCCATCAGACGAGCAAGACTCCAAGTGACACAGAATTGAGGATGCAACTCAGTAGTCAATTCTTTTTCCCCCAATATTTTTTATATTCTGATGGTGTCAACGGCCCAGTTATGAGAGAAAATTGATCCATTGAGCGAGATATAAAACAAGTAAACAACTTCCAAGCAATTTTTCTGGGCATGCAGCCAAAAAAACTCTTGCTAATAGTGTGATCTTGCCCATACACATTGCTTTCCAAAATGTACTTTAAATTACAAAGAAGCAGAAATTTGCGCATAGCTTGATAATAATTTAATAAGAATAAAAGGGCGCCTTTTCTTTTATTTTCTTTACGTAAATTCTGCTAATCACTCCTGTTTATTATTTTTATAATTTCAAATGATGGAACCTGCAGAAAAGCCGCAAGATCCGCCTGTTTCTGTGACCAAAACAGGTCCGAGCGTCGACACATACCAACCGCAAACCATCACACTCGCCGAGTTCCGCTCACTCACGCGCAACCAACAGAAAAAGCATATGCGTCACGAGCTTTGGGCCTCCCAAGCTGAGGAGTACAAGAGCAAGCAGCGGCAAAGAAACAGGGAGTGCCGCAAAAGACGCAACCAACGTCTAGCCCAAGAAGCCGCCGAAACGGGAATCACTGCCCACCAGCGTAAGAAACAGAGACTTCAGGCGCAGGTGCGTTCGGGTCACTGCATTGTGTTGGATATGGATTTTGAGGATAAGATGGAAGAGAAGGAGATCAAGTCTGTGTGCTCGCAGGTTATGCGCTGCTACGGGGCTAATCGCATGGCGTCGAAGCGGGTTGATCTGCATGTGACCCAGTTGCATGGCAAGATCCGTGAGAGATTTGAGACGGCGATGGATCAGCACGTCGGGTGGTCTGAAGACCACATTGTTATGCGCGATGCTGAGTACATAGATATGTACGATAAAGATAAACTAGTGTACTTTACGGCGGACTCGCCCAATGTTATCGACGTGTTGGATCCCGAGAAGATATATATTATCGGCGGTATTGTGGACAAGAATAGGTATCCCAGGTTGACCCTGGACAAGGCCGAGGCTCAGGGAATTGGACATGCGCAGCTGCCTATTGGCAAGTATATCAAATTGAGCACGAGGAAGGTCATGACTGTTAATCAGATCTTTGAGATGATTGTCCGGTTCGTTGACCATGGGAGCTGGAAGACTGCATTCCAGGATGTCATTCCGCTGCGCAAGTTCAAGGAGGGCGACATTGAGGCCAATGATGACGAGAACGATGACGACGACGAAAATAACAACGAGGAGGAGGGTGATGATGATGATGCCGAGAAGGATCAAGTCGTCGAGCCAACCCAGGACATTGACGGAGCAGGATCCGACCACAAATAGATAAACTCAAAACCCTTTATTTACGAAAAAAAACATATTCATATTATTAAACAGAGACTATGTTGTCGACTTGGAATCAATGTCCCGTACATTGGGCTGATCCTTGATAAGCTCGGCATGCAGCGCCCGGGTCTCGTCGTACTCGCGGGCGTTCTTTTCGCGCTGGACCTTGCGTTCCTGATCCCTTATAACACCCTGGTACATGGATGCACGCTCGAGGCCCTGTGACTTATGAACGAACCAGATCGTACCCACTGCGAACACGCAGGAGCCCAGAAACGTCATTTTGGCTGCCTTTGACATTGTGACAAATAAAAATGGAGAGAAATTCAAAAGAAAAAATTCGTATCGGAGAAAAGAAACAAAGTGTGATCGAGAATTTGACATTTCCTCCCCTTCTTTTCTTCTTTCGATATTTTTCTCTAAACACAAAAAAATCATTTTTTTCGTTACCTTTTCAATTCTCATAAATTTATTTCCTTTTCCCCCCGTTATTTTTTATTTGTATTTCAAATGAGCGAGTTTTCAAAAAATGAGCCCGAGATTCCTGCACCCAAGCTGCACTACCACCATACCGAACGCACGCACCTCTGTACACCCCTACTTCCGCAGCTCTTTGACGAAAACAACCCACGCATTAAGCGCGACATCGTTCGAATAGTAGCGCAATACTTAGACACGCTCGGCTACACCTCGACAAAAGTGACTCTATACGACGAGGCCAACGTCAAACAGCACCAGGAAAACAATTACATCTCCGACGTTGTCCGCCTGCGCTCAGCCATCCTCGACGGAGAATGGACCGAGGTGGATAGAATTTGCCAGGCAGGATCACTCAAGGACAAGAAGCATATTTTGTACAAAGTGTATAAGCAGCAGTACTTGGAACTCATAGACGATAATGAGGTGCAAAAGGCGTTCACGACGCTGAATAAGCACTTGAAACCATTGGAGGCCCAGCAATCGTGCCAGGGCGAGTTCCGCGACCTGTGCTATCTCTTGACTGCAAAGTCTATCCAGGACGCACCGGCTTTTCACGACTGGGATGGTATTGCGTCGTCAAGGGAGAAGCTGGCGGAGTATTTACAGAGTATTCTCGAGTTTGAAATCATTGGACGCGAGAGCGAGCCCCAACACCTTCGGCCGAATAGGCTTATAACCATGCTGCGCCAGGCCGTGGCGTACCAGATTGAGTCGTGTCAGTACCATGCTGAGGCCATCCCCTCGGTGACCTCGCTGTTGAACGACTATGCGCCTGTGGTTGTGCCCAATTCGGAGCAGGCATCGTTTGTTGGTCACCTGGGCAATGTAAAGTGCACAGCGTATGTGGGTGCCAGCGGCAAGTATGTGGCATCGGGATCCAGCGACAACAGTATCCGCATTTGGGATTCATCCACGGCAGCCTGCCTTGCTGTGCTCCGCGGGCACACATCTAGGATTTGGGATATTTGCTCCGACCGGTCCGGCACCACCCTATTTAGCGCCTCGGGTGATGGCACCGTACGCATCTGGGATATCCGTGATCTGCATAAGCCGCAGTGTACCCAGATAGTCCAGCCCGATGGCGGCGGCGACATCTACAGCGTGAGCCTCAATCCGCTGGAATCTCACCTGGTGATTGCTGGATATGACCGCACAATAAGGCTGTATGACCGGGTTACTGGCCGTATGGTACAGACCTTCCAGGGCCACGAGCTTTCCGTCGCTCATGCCGTTACCAACCCCCTGGGCAATTTGGTTATCTCGGGGTCAAAGGATCAGACCATCCGGTTCTGGGACATGATGTCGGGATCATGCGTCAAGAGCTTGCGCAGCCACTTGGGCGAGGTCACATCCGTGGCCACGAGTGACTCGGGGATGCTCCTATTGTCGTCATCAAAGGACAACTCTAACAGACTGTGGGACTTGAGGTCTCTGAAGAGACTGTGTCGGTATAAGGGCCACCAAAACACGAGCAAGAACTTTATTCGCTCGAGCTTTATTGGCGACTCCCTGGTGGTCGGTGGTAGCGAGGACGGGATGGTTTATATTTGGGACCGCGAATCAACCAATATTGTGCAGAGGTTGTGCGGGCACCAGGGCATCGTGTATGATGCCAAGTGGAACCCCAAGCGCGGCATCCTTTGCAGCGCTAGCGACGACTGGACGCTGAAAAGCTGGTGGTTCGATCCATCGACAACATCAATGAAGGAGTGCTAATAAGCAAATAAATTCATTGTAGAAAAGAAAAAAGAACATTCAAAGTTATCAAAAAATATTTAGGACCGGTAGTCAGCATTGATTGAGACATAGTCGTGGCTGAGGTCGCACGTGTACATGCGCGCAGACTCGTCGCCCAGTCCCAGCTCGACGCGTACTAGGACGTCCTCCTGCTTGAGGATCTCGCTCGCGCGCTCCTCGTCAAGGGGAAGCTGCGGCTCGCCGCGCTGGACAAGCACCAAAGGAGCCGACCCGTCGCCTGGGTACATGGCCATGTTGACCTTTGTAGTCTCCAGAGGCACGCCGGAATACCCAACAGCGCACAAAATGCGGCCCCAGTTGGCATCCTGCCCGTAGAACGCAGTTTTGACCAGAGACGAGGTCGCAATGGTGCTGGCCACCTGCTTGGCATCTGCGAATGACTTGGCACCGGCGACCTCAACGGTGATAAACTTTGTCGCGCCCTCGCCGTCTCTCACAACAAGCCCGGCCAGCTCAGCCATGAATTCCGTCAGTGCTTCGCGGAACACAACATACTCGGGTCCCTCAGCCTCGATCCTCGCATTGGCCGCTGCGCCATTGGCAATCACAGCAATGGTGTCGTTGGTGCTCATGTCGCCGTCGATCGAAATGGCGTTGAAGGACCGCGCGACGGAGTGCGCCAGTGCCCGGTCGAGCATCTCCTGGGACACTGCCGTGTCCGTGCACACCGTGCCCAGCAGCGTGGCCATGTTGGGATGAATCATGCCGGCACCCTTAGTGATACCTGCCATTCTCACGCGTTGCCCGCCAGACAGCTCGAATTCACGCGAGAGCAGCTTGGGGAAGGTGTCGGTGGTCATATGGGCGATCGCCGCGCGCATCCACATGTCGTGCTCCTGGCCGATCTCCATAGTCTCAACGCCCTTTGCAATCTTGTCCACGGGCAGCGCCTGCCCAATGACACCCGTCGACATCACTAGCGTGTTGCCACCAACCGTCGATTTGCCATCGACCCTGGCCACTAGCGCATCTCCAGCAGCCGCCATGCTCTGGGCGTCCACTAGGCCCTGCTTTCCTGTGACCGCGTTGGCGCAGCCAGAGTTGACAACCACTGCACGCACAGCCTGTGTGCCGCTCTGTCGTGCGCCCTGGATTACTTGGCGGTCAAACTGCACGGGGGCTGCGCAGAACTGGTTGGTCGTGAAGACTGCTGTGGTCGTGGTTGGCCGGTCGGAGAAGAGAACGGCGAGATCGGGTTTACCGTTCTTTTTAATACCGCAGCAAGAGCCACCTGCAGAGAATCCCTTCGGGTACATGCCGGACCGAGGAATGAACTTTTGCTTTGCTTCGGGGAACTGCTTGGCGTCAGTGCTGAAGCGGGACACGAGCCCAAGCCCACGCATTGACTGTGTAGAGCGGCGTGCCAGACGAACGGAGGAAAGCATTTTTTCGAAGGAAATGTAAATGTGTGGATAAGAAAAGAAATTAATGAAAAAATGAGAGAACGAAAAGAAAATTATTGATGAGTCTCGATCAGCTTTAAAATGAATGATTCACCTTTTCCCAGCCCTTTTTTGTTGTCTGACCGATTTGCCGACCAAAAAAAGAGCGAGTCTCAAAATGCTTGGCTGGCGGCATTCGTCGAATACGCCGTGTGACTCACAAAACACGATACTCATCAGGTCTCTCTTGCTCGCTCACTAAGCTCAGTTCGATCGGATGAGAAAAGACTGCATTGTAATAAATCTCCAACCTGTGGGATAACCTTCGAAATTGTGTTTACGCGCTTATCCTTACACTTATTTAAAGGGTAGTGCGTTAACGCATTGTTAAAACCTTTCACCGGTGGTAGGAAAAAGGCAGCACATATGTGAACCATTCATAAGCATTTTTAGCAGCAGATTAGGCATGGCAAATAAAGTGTCATCAGGCAGACGGAAGTGGAATAATCGTGACATGGCCGTGGTGCTGAACTTGCGCATCATCTTCAACACCCTGCTTACAAGCGAGCGGCCTTCTCGTTTTTAGCGCAAAAAGACAGAGCTCGAGTCGGTTGAACCCGAGTCTACTACAGTGACGCCCGAGAATTTGTCCGAGAATTTGCCCAACCCAAAACCAAAGCTTCGCTTTGCAAGAAGCTGCGCAATAATTAATATCTTCAACCATAGTGGAGTATTTATTGCCTCTAGTTTCTAAGCACGTTCCGGGTTGCTATACAATCTGGATGTGAAGGAAAGATGTCGATTTGCAGGATACTTGAATTTTTTTAGATATTTGTAGTCTCATTCTCTTCATTGTAGAACACAACTTGATCAAGTACACAGGATAATTGAAAATTTTATTAGATCAAAAAACGCATTCATATTTACTTAACTCTCGGCGACGCGAGCGCTGAATTGCCCACAAACGCACCTGTCGAAGGTGAGCCCGGTGCCGTATTTGAGGCACTAACGCTGCCATGAGCTGTTGAGAACTCGACACTGGCATCCAGATGCCCAAGCACACTGCGCCGCCAGTCAGCTGCATTGGATGTCGGCGGCCCAACAAACATATCGAGGATCCCGCCGGCCGTTCCCAGTCCGCTGGTATAGCAGTAGTCAAAATCCATCATCACGTCCGTGCTGTAGTTTCCTGGTGTATTTTTTGTTTTGGATAAGCTGTCTTCACGCACACAGCCAAAGTAGTCTGTGGCGACGGGTACTGGCCCAGAATTGGTGCCTGAAGGCGACGGTCGCTCGAGCTTATTTGTGAGGAGGGGAGGTGGCATGCTATTTGTCGCCAGGGATACCAAAGGTGCTGCTGTGGCTCCTGATATGGATATAGACAGGCCGGGTGGCCGCCGCTGCGCCAGGCGCTGCTTTTGGCCCTGCTGTTGGGTTTTCTGTTGTTGTTGATTTTGGACTTCTTGTAGCTGATGGAACTGATGAGTTTGAAGCTGCTGCTGGTACTGCTGATATTGCTGTTGCTGCTGAGCCTTCAGAGGATCTGGTGACGAAAGGCCCATAGCAGGACTTTTGGTTACTGCCGGGTCGGATGATAATGACAATGTTGACGATGCTACTGCTGTTGCTACTTCCTTTAGCTGTGGCGGCTTCATGACTGGCTCAACTGCTGGACCAGCTGCTGGCTCAACTGTTGGCTCAGCAGCTGGCTCAATGGCTTGCTCGGCCATAGCCTCAAACATGGGTTTAGCTGTACGCTCGGCCATGGGCGCAGAAACAGGATCGGCTGCTGCCGACAACACCTCCTCCTCTTCAGCAATGGCAGCGGGTGTGTTCCGGATGCCTAGACGCGCGTCCGACGAGAACGCCGGTTTCATGACCGGCGGCGCCGCAAGATTCCACTGCTGCGTCGACTTCGTGCCAGCAGAGACAGTACCTCCGCCGTCGGAAACATCGGCAGGTGAAAACATCGCGCCAAAAATGCCACGCCGCGCCAACCCGACCGAGTTCGAACGCTTGACTAGCGGTGGAGCAACAATGCCCGCCGGCCGACTGCCTGCAGACATCGTCCCACTGGACACATCAATACTCGCGCGCCCCGATCCGCTGCCGCTGACCAATGCCGAGTTGTTGCTCTCAGATGAGCCGCCACCGCCGCCAGCCGAGGACGCGTCAGCGCTAAGCATGGCAGTCAGCATCTCCTGCCGCCCGCGCATCTGGTACGTCAGGTCCTTGCAGTCGGCCTCGGACAGCAAAGGGCAGTTGGCCCGGTTCCACTCGGCGACCAGCCGCCGGTCAATGACGCGCGAGAGAGGCCGCGGCCCCGCCCCCAGCGCCGCCCACGCCAGCGCCTCGTGGCAGAAAACAAACTGCTGGATAGTCTGCACCATCGACACGCGCAACTCGCGGAAGCGCGACACTACTATGAATACGACATCTTCGCGGAACTCACCCAGTGGCAGCTCGTTCCAGCGACTCAGCGAGCGGCTAGCGCGCGGGTTGAAGCTGCCTGATCCTGAGCTCGCCTCAGCAGCTATCTCCACCTCGACTGCCAGCGACGCGTTGGAGCTCTTTGAGCGCAGCGCCTGCGGCACCAGGCCAGTGTACATGCCGTGCGGGTCGTAGCTGGCACCGGGCGGGAGCATCTGCATGCCCGGCGGGGCGGATGCCACGGGTGGGGTGGCAACGAACTCCTTCGGGTCCATGGCCATGATAGTGTCAATCGCGCAGAATGCGCCTGTGCGGCCGCAACCGGCACTACAGTGGACGACCATTGGCACATTCTTGGCCAGCTCGTCGTCGCCCTGCGCAATGCATGCCAGCTCGCGCAGCCGGAGCACACCCAGTGGGGCGTCGGGCGCGCCGTGGTCGGGCCACGTCTCGTACTGGAGCTGCGTGACAATGATGGTGTCGTCAGGTAGGTCGATGCGCGACAGGCGCAGGCGCCGCGCAACAATGGCCGTGTCGTCCGGGTGGCGCGCCTCGGCCTGGTACTCAACACGCAGCGCACCGTGCACTACAGTCGTGCCCAACGCCTGCGGCCAGTAGCGGTGGCACTTGGCGCGCCCGTTGTCAAACTCACGCGTCAGCATAACAATGACGCGCACCCGGTGGTCCCACACCATCTGCCAAAAGTCTGCTGTAGTCGCCGGCAGCGGGCCCTGCGTTGCGATGTACAGCGGCCCACTGAAGTAAGATACAAAGCTGGCATTGATGTAGTCGCTAGCTCCGCTCAGCCGCACGCGATTGCTGTCGAACGGAAGGATGTTCGTGTAGCGGTTCTTGGCACCCAGCTCCAGCCCAGCGGCGATCGTAAACGCGTTGCGCGCTGTCACCATGCCGTTGCTCCCGATCATCGACGACATGCGGTGCGACTCGCTGCCATCGATGCTGGCAAACAGCCGGTGCATGTGCTGCGCCCCGGGCGCGCCCGATGCACGGCGCAGGTAGCCTGGGAGCTTGTCGACGCTGGCGTGGCTGGGCGGCAGCCGCATCGCAATAACGTCACCCGCATAGAGGGTTGGACCGCCGAGCGCCTCGCGCATGGAGCGCAGCATCGGGTGGTCGGCGGGGACAACCTGCGGCGCGACCGATGCCTGGGCAACCTCATTGTGGTACTGCTCGACGTTGCACAGCTGCTTCTCCTCGCGCACAAACTCGTCGTAGCCGCCGCGCAGCACGCAGATGCGGCACCCACGTGGCGCCTCATTCTCGAGCTTGCGTGCCAGCAGCACCAGCGGCGCGTCCTCGCCAGACAGGTCCTCGGGCGCGCCGCTGCCGTACAGCGTCACCCATGCAGACTGTTTCCACGCAGCGGCCATCTCCGCCGATGCGCCTGCCATCAGCAGCAGCCGCTCAACGCTGAACGTCTTGCGCCGCACAAGCGTCGTTGGCGCCGCCACATTGACTGCCGCCGCCACGCGTCCTGCCGCGTACTCGGCAGCACTGCGCATGTCGACGACCAACCCGCTGCTGCCGCTTGCAAGCAGCCGCGACAGATCGCCGGCGCTTATAAAGTCCAGCCCCTCGACGACGCTCACAGGCGTCTCCCGCACCTCATGCTTCCGGCTCAGCCCGCTGCCGTGCGCGAATGATCCGAGTCCGTCGGCTCCCTCCGACGGTGTTCCCGGTCCGCTGGCCAGCAACGAGGCCATGCCTGGGCCCCTCAATTCCATCGGCGGCCTGGGCGTCATGGGCGTCATGGGCGGAGCCATCTGGGCCATCGGCGTCATTGGGAGGGTGATGGCCATTCTTGACATCATCGGCGTCGCTGGTGTCATCTGTGGCGCATTCATCGTCCAAGTCCCGCCAGCCGTCGGTGGCGGTGGCGGCCCGTCACTCCCCCCAATGGTCATAGCTCCACTGCTAGTGTCCAACTGCAACCCCATGGGCTTCCTTTGCAGCCGCCTCTGTGCAATAGACGATGCCGTCGGCGCTGCGGCGGCCGGCTTTGCCTTGATAAACCACTGCTCAGCCGGCTTGTCATCATCTGTTGTTTCCACCGCTGGTGGTGCTGGTGGTGGTGGTAGTGGCGGTTGGTTTGGTTGCAGCCGCATTATGCTGCCTGTGTTGTGTGTGAATATGTGACGTGTGTTCGCAGTTACTTGTCCCGAGCTTATGCCCGTCTGACACGCGTCCTGGCTGTTGCTGTTGCTTTCGACTTTCCGTCTTTTTCGTGAGTGACTATCGTTTTCCTCCACACTGTCGTATCTCGCCAGCGCTTTGGAGGTGGTGTTTCGAGACGTCAAAGACACGATGAAAAAGGGGAAGTGAGGTTTTTTTTAAAGTGTACTCTTTTTTCTTCCGTCTTCTTCGAAATGGATTCTCTTCGCCCGCTGCAAATTGGAACAAAGTGCGTGAAGAGGGTGGTGTTGGGCCTGCCTAATTACTCGAAATTATAATAGAAATAAGATAAATGTGTTAATATGAGGACAATACAAAGGAAAAATAATAATAATAATGGATAAACGCCAGAAAGAAGAAGGAAAACGGAAAGCAAATAAGGTGGGGGAGGAGGGCACAGGTGATGATAGTCTCTACTGGTCTCACTGTACCACTTTCTGGGCGATAAAACCAGAAACAGAATCGAAAATAAAAATACTAATTGTACACCAATAAATCCCCAGCCTGCAGAGTAACCTTGGAAACTGTGTTTACGCACTTACCTTTATACTTTGATAAAATGTATGTGCGTTAACACCTTTCGCCAGAGGTAGGAAATAAAGTGCAAGCATTTGGCAGAGACTCAGCAGCAGCAGCCAGGCGCAAAGGCAGTGCTCAATGTTTGCATCGCTTTTAGGCATTTGACTGGGCACGGCACACGCTCTGCTCGCTTTACGCACCCACCTCCATCCACGCTGCAATATACCACTGCCCACGGCCAAGTCCAAGGCCGCATCCAAGCGCAAAACCAAGGAGGCACACCTTATACTGCTGTTACTTATCCCCACAGGCAGCGCATGGATTGATTTATCCATATACTATCCTGGTTATAACCGTCAATAGTTTAACACAGGACAGGACTTCGTCAAAGAAGCAAGTGGGTCTATGAATATATTTTCTCTGGGCGAAGTGTGGACGTTTTTGTCCAGCGCATCAATTTCTAGCTGCTTGCTCACTAGGCATCATTTTTTGTACTCGCATTTTTAAGGGGCTTACCAATTTGGTGCTGTTTAGTTGCGAACGCAGTAGCGCTTCTTTTTCTGTGTTGAAGTCAAAAAGAAAATTGCAATTTTTTTAGAATAGTGGATATTGGCGACAAAGCAAAATAGAAAGAGTAGGGGGAAACAAGTATTGGTAGAAAAACAGGTGTATGAGTAGGCAAAAAAAGTGAGAAATGTACAAAACCCCGTTTGGTTGATATATAACCTTTCCCTTTTCTTTTCTTTTTTCGACCTGTAACACAGATACAAGAATATTAGCTGGAAAGCTTAAAAAGAGCAAGCAAAATATTTGTAGTAAAGGAAATAAAAAATTAAAGGAAAATTTTTGGCCTATTAAGTTTTGCAATTTTTGTGTATAGAGAATTAAAGCAAAGTAGTGGAAAAGTAACGAACAAAAAAGATGAAAAGTTGAAAAAAGAGGCAAGCAGCATGAGTGTCATTTGCCGCTATTTAGTCACCGCCCAATTTGCTGGCTTACCCACCCACTCATGTCAGCCAACCGATCCCTTCTTTTTCTTTTCTTTTTTCTTCTTTTTGCTCGCATTTGATAAATGCTACTTCTCAGACATGACATGTAGTTGGTCTGAGCTAGTTTCGTCCTTTTTTAATACCTCGCTGTTATCAGAAAAAATGATTTTGTGCAGCTTTTACCAAATTGGAAGGCAGAAACAATTTGCACACTGAAGGCATCTGACATCTGACATCATATCGCGCCTGCACGCTGATCATCGTTACAAACCGCCCCCTTTTTTAACATTTGGCAGCATATAATGCATGCCTACACCAGCAATGCGTCACTTGGTTCAATTGTTTTTTACTATGCCGTATTGTATCAGCGGATTGAGCCAAGAAATTAAATGATACTCAATAATATAAAACACCAACACATTATAAATGTATTCATATGGCGCGCGCCAGACGAAGCTGGTCAGAAGCCCCAGCGGCCAAGATGTCAATGTCGTTGGCAACAGCAACCATTTGGAATCCCTGCTGCATGCGCATTCTAGCTTCACCATTGCTATCGACGCCCTCGACACCAAGAGGCACGCCGAACCGATGGCTGGACCGCACCACCCGCTCGACGGCACCCTCCCAGCCAACAACGCCCAATGCCCGGTGCTGGGAGCCCCCGGCAGAAAGAATACCCTGCGCACCACCGCCGAGAGCATGCGGATGGACAAGGGCGGCATCGACTCCGGGACAGACAGGATCCCGTCAATATCATCTACAGCTTCGGGCCGATCAATCTGAGGAATAATCAACAATTCTCTTCCGAACTGCATATTCTTCTGCTGCTGCTGGTAATGGTGACGACCAGACATTCGCTGATTCTGCTGAGAGCGCCCGGCAGAAGCTGTGCTCTTGCACAATGCCACGAGATGCCGCATCTGCTCTCTGTTCTGCACTCCGGTGACAATAATGCCCTGTGCTCCGGCCTCCACGGCCCATCGGATCCACTCGCTCGAATGCGCTGGCACGCGCACCAACGACGTACATGTCTCCGAATTGCCAATAGCAGCGACCATCTCCGCCATTGTGCTCGCCGAGTATGTCTGGCTTTCCACATCAATACAAGCCCAGTCAAATCCCAGGCGCGACGCAATATGAGCAGTGACAGCGCTTGGAATGCTTAGCACTATGCCAATGGCCGGACTGCCACTATCCAGCTTGCCGCGCAAGCCAGTGACTGGCGTGACGATGGCAGATGAGGGTATGGGAGAGTAGAATTCGCCTGCAGACTCGCCTTGTCTAGCACCAATTGTGGCCGACGACGGCAGCGATGTCGGCGAGCCCTTGCGCTGGCTCAGCACCATGGGCTCGGATCCACAGATGCTGATGCCGCCCCCGGCGGACAGCGGAGACGAGCGAGGGTTTGACTGGTTATGTGACACTGGTGACGTTTCATATGATGAATGCAAATGATGATGCTGTTGCTGTTGCTGTGCTGTGCTGATGGTGATGGTGATGGTGATGGTGACGCTGCTGCTGATGCTGATGTTGCTGATCTGGCGATGTGTGGAGTAGTGGCGGAGAAAGTACAGGCGTGCTGGGTGTATGAGGTCCGCACAGGCTCGCTGGATGATTATCGCGGTTGATATATGGGTGTGAGCGACGAGAAATGGGGGGTAACTCAATCGGTGTTGCAGAGCACTGGTGCTGCTGCTGCGCACGGTACTGTTGCTGTGGCAACTGCGGAGACCGAATTCTTGGCAACTGGTTCTCGCTGCCAGCAGACGGTCTGCTGAGGCTGTAAGGAGGACGCAACGCCATGGGTGCTGCCGGCTTGCGGGGTACAGCCATCGTTAGCTTGTTGCGCTCAACATCGCCCCCAGGCACGGTAATAATTGGTGGCAGCCGAAGCCCTGTGGTTCCTAAGGAGCTGCTGCTAGAATTGCTCCCAGCTGCGTGCGGATTGCCGTTGAGCGGCCCAGATTCGGAAATAATGCTACATAAATGCAAGAGAAAATTAAGAGGAATGTGAGTAAAAACGAGCAAATTTTTGGAAAACAAAATTAGACACGGGTAAGATTTGCATACGCGAAGTTGGGGAAAATGAACCCCGGCCATTAACAAAAGGATTGTATACATTCCAGGAATGGAAGGGAGGCATGCGAGCAATCGTGCTTGCTACTGAGTATATATAAATATAAACATGCAGATTTGTCACCAACACAAAGGCTGGATAAATAAATTGGGAAAGGCAGGCCAAGAAAGGGAGGGAGGGTGCACACACACGCGCATATCGATGCATGGGGACAAGGGCAATAAATAAAAATTAAAAATGGAACTCAGGGAAGACATACACATACAGCTAGCCCAACATTTTTTCCTTTTTCTTATTGTCACAAAAAAGTAAACTATAGCAATTGTTATAGTTTTGGTATTTGTGACTAGCCTACGCAAGCAATAGTGCTTTTGACCAAAGAAACAAAATGAAATGAGCCGCATCTGTAGACTCCAGAATCGTACATTTTTAGTGGTACCAAAACGCGTCGATCAAGACAACAACTGTGACTCAAATGTATACATATGCTGATCGGCCAATCGGTCATTTGCAGAACAAGTGGGCCAAATGTCCAGTTGGAATTAGTTAAGCAACATAGGCAGATATGAAATATTTCCGTCAATGTCGAAGACATTAAACAATATTCCTCACATCCCCAATGCGTCGCAATTCTGGGCAAGTGAAGCGAGTGCAACAAATTAAAACTTGCAAATTGTAAAAATAAATAAAAATAGATGAAGAAATAGTGTCCATTAAAAAACGCTCCGCAGCCCGTAACAAACTTGCATGGCATAAATGATCACCCACAGGACCTGCACACAAACACAAGCACAACCTGAAAACTGAAAACATTGTTAGTTAGTTTCTACTTACTTTGCGATTCTGGCCTTGCGCGCCTTGCTCTCGCCATTCGAAGACACAGAGCTCGACCTTGTTGAAGAGCCAAACTTGAGGCGGACCTCCTTACTAATATACTTGCAAGTCTGCAAATGCCTTTGCATGAGATCGCCACGTGCTGGCAGTCGGTCTCTCTTGAACAGCGGTCTCCCGCTCTTGATGCACTCAATACACCAGACAAACCGATGGCTGTGGTTGGCCATCTCGCCAGTATCCTGAAAATGAGCAGAGATATCGAGGCGTGGGCGACCTGGCTTGCGCACTGGTGGCTCGGTCTCCAGAGTCACCTTGATGGGAATCTCGGGCGTCGAAACTAGCATGTCGTCGCTATCGCTGTGTGATGGCATGTCAAAGAGATGCCTGGTCTGAACTAAAACTTTGATATCCACTTTAAAACAATGTGCCGTGCAATCGTGCGTCGGCTGGTATTATTAGCAGGAACGGAGCGTGTCAGAGTTATAATGGCGCCTCGCTTAGTGTTATCTTTTTTTACCAGGTTGGACTTGAATAAAAATAAATTGCAATGATAAACAACGTAGAATTGCAAATACGGCAATGTCAAGTGGAGGCGGATGATAAAAATAAGATAAAGTCAGCACTTTGTGTCAGGCGGAAAGACGGGTGAAAAAGAGTTGTATTTGGTATGCAGTACGGCTAGAAGGAATAAGCCACTTCACTAACCCAAAATATAACAAATCAAAAAGGTAAAAAAATGCGAGAAAACAAAATAAAACAGATATGCAGGTCGTGGCAAGTATGTATGTGAACAGAAAAATAAACGAGTGACGAGGATGGAAACTGGAGGTATTAAGTACAAGCAGAAAAAACCGCGGCAGCAAGAGTATGGCTAATGCAGGTTTACGAAAGGCGAATGCAGCGGAAGATGAAAACTGAAATGAAATGAATGAAGGCAAAACAAAAATATAAAGGCGACGGATGAGTAAAGTAAATGCTTGGAATCATGGAGAAAGACCAGAAAACAAACTACTGGATATACTCTACTCTTTATATACTTTCCGGTAACAACAGATTGGCCGATATACTGAATAAGGCACAGCCAAATAGAGCATAAGAAGCAGAGGGGGGTGGGTTCTTGACCCGGAATAGAGAAGGGGGTGCTTGTGGTTGCAGGCCTTTTTGGGCTGCTGCGGGAATATCACACACAAGTTGCCGATGATCGTGAAAAGGGTTTTTCTCAAGAAACTTGCTTGCCACCACCTTCTTCTCTCAGATATTACTTGTTAGATTGCTTATTCGGAGGAATAAAAATTCGCCACCACCCCCTGGTTAAAATTGCCCTCCCCCTTCATTATCAAGCGATGGTAGAAGAGAAAACGCAGAGAACAAGCAAACAACGCGGATGTTGTTTTTCTACAAACGCCAGCGACAAACAAAAGGATTTGAAAAATGGGGAGAGGCGATTGGTCGCAGTCAATTCCCACCATCGCCATTCTTCCATCTCATTTGGAAAAAGATGGCACTATTTCGTTTCTTTCACATATTAAAATTTTGTTAAATACCTTTTCGGAAAATACTCGCTCAAGAAAACCGACCAGAACACTCAAAAAAGGGGAGGGCAGAGATACTATGCATGTGATCTCAGAGCAGATGAACAGGCGTAGCTTCATCTGTACGCCAGCCTGACTCCAAGTATATTTTTTATGTAGTATTTACAGTTTGCCATTTTAAGGATGTGACCACTTTAGGCAAGACGAACAGCATAATGACAGGTGCTTGCCACTGTTTTATTTTTATTTATGGGTGATAGTATGTTTGCCATCCACCCTTTTCTTCTGCAGCATCCTTGGACAACATATGCAAGTATCAACTGCAATATTTGCTTCTTTGGGATTGGCCAACGCTCACATTGCATCCCCAGTCTTTTCCCGCATATCCTTACCCGTCACTCGTCTGCGCTTTTCTATTATTTTGATACAGTCGGCATCGTAGAGTGAGCGAAGGGGCAATGAATAAAAATAAAAATAACATGAGGAAAGAGGCTGCAGCTTGGCGCATGAGCAAAGCCGCGGTTCCCTCTTTTATTCTTCCTTCGTTCCCCAAAACAAACAATGATTTGGTTCCCCTCACATCCTCACATTCAGACTTGTAGTCACGAGATGATATCCGGATGCTGTGGGTTTTACAATGGTATTTTTGGCTTCCAAATGGGTTTATACGTTTTGACGGTAAATATAATATAAAACATTTGAGTATCTTTGTAGGCTATTGCATCTGGTTTCATTGCATCATCACATTACTCGATTGTCCGTCACGTTCATTGCGGCTGCTTATTTGCGTATATACCACCAATACGTAATGTTCGGCGCACATTAATTTTATTAGCAAATAAAAAACACCAGTGCCAGGTTCATTGTTTAGCTATTTAAATGACAAACTTGTACACCAACAAACGCCAAGTGAGCAGCAACGTGCATATGGACAAACCTATGTTTTTGTTTGTTAAGGAACCCGCTTAGCTGACATATGTCTACACGTAAATTTATTTATTTATTGTACATACATACACAGGCAATGTTAGTCATTTGTTTATGTATTTGTAAGACGGAGACCCAATGAGCATTAATTTGTAAATCCACATTGTATATTTTTCCTGTTTATGCAAAATTTTAAAAAAATATTTATCCTTTTTGGAAAATCATTTGGGCAAACGACACAAAACGCACCGCAGAAATCAAACATTTTAAAATTAAAAAACCCGAATAATAAATTGAATGTCAACTCCCAAGTAATAAAAAATGGTAGCACTCGGCTTCCTGTAAAAACCAATTATTAAGAAATGCAGCAATGGTTTGTTGTGGTTGTTGTGGTGGTGGTAGCAGTTGAGTTTAGCGGAAGGATTGCCATCCCTACTCGATATTTTGTAATTAATTAAATGATCTGCATTTAAAAACCAAATCTGCAAAATTAAAAATAAAACTTGCAAACCGACACAAACTTCAATTGGCAAATCGCACAAGCAAGTGTGGGGTAGGTGTGTGAGCAACACAACAAGCCCAACTATTTTCCAGTACATTTATTATATATGCAACTATACTTTGTTACCTTATCTGTTTTTAATTTACAATTTTGGTGGTCATTATTTTGTTGTCGAGCAGCCTATTAAGGATTGCCCAATCTGTAATAAAATTGATTCAAGAGTGAAGGTTTGTTTTGCTGCCATGGGAATAAATACAATTAATGTTGTGACATTTATGTACCCCACACACCTGGATATTTGAATTTTGTCAATCTTTTTAAGTGTGGGCCTTCATAAAAAAATCTTATTTTTATATGCATGTGTAGCAATTTTTGAGAACCAAGATAAAATAAAAAATATTTTATATGCAATTTTGGACTTTTTGGAGTACTACATCTACATATATCATTTGAAAAATATTTTAATCAGCGGCTGGTTTATATTTATATTATTATGTAGAATATAATTAACAATTTACTTTTTACAATGTTTGAGATACGGTCATATTTTGCAAGTTTTCTAAAATATTCGTGTATCTGTTAAGCTGCACTCTTGAGATTGTTGGTGTTTGTTTTATAGGTGATATTCTTTATTTGTTTTTGCAATTGTGCCAATAGACATTATGTTTTGCGCACACTGGTATGTGTGTCTGGGTGTGGTTTCTTGCTAATTTTTATTTTCAAAATTCCATAAATATGACCAATCGACTGCTTGCCTACATGTTTTCTAGCTTTCCAATAAATGTATTTTTCAAAAATATAATTTTTTATTATTCATTAAACAAACCAGTTTTCAGGTCTTGACAACTGGCTGGCTGGGTTGCCTGCATGCATGTGTTTTATTAAGTCCGAGCTATTTTAAGTGTATTAATAATAGATAGGTAAATGAACGGAAGCAAGCCTAGTAAATGTTGTTTGTATGCCTTGCACAGTAAAGAAAAACATGTTGGCATTGTCATTTTGCAGGTTCAAGAGCGTTGCCAATTTTTGGTTGCAAGCATGGAATTGTTTGATAATGTAAATGCAATACTCCAATTTGGCATTTTCACGCGCACAAACGACTGCAGCATAAAATTATTGGCTGCGGATGTGGGATTGCAGTTCAATTGGACACAAAAATTTGAAAAATGATATATACACATGCCAAGGCACCCCATCTCTGCTGTGTCCGCAGCCTATCTGCAATAGTTGCTATATTTAGATTATCACAACGGGCTGCATGAGTACATGCTTTTAAAGTTATATTGTATTTTTGTATTACAAATATTCTAAACAAATGGAAAATGTGGGCCTTGAAGGACCCATACATCATACGTCATTCCACAACAAGCCAATTCAAATGATTTTAAGTGCAGAATGGATGTGGGAATGTGATTAAAATACCTTAATCGGTTAAAAAGCACTAGCACTTGTTGTATCTGCTTGGAGGGCAGGTCCATCAGATAATTATACGACTTTCATGTGACTTAATATGGCAAAGTCCCACATGTGTTTTACTTTTACAAAATGAACTGTGCTACAATAAATTATCCGCAAAAGTAGTAATAGTGACAGAAAAGCTAACATTCTCTTTTATATTATTGATCATTATCGCTTGCAAGCTTTGCTAATTATTTTTATCTTTGTCGAAATTCTTATTAACTTGGTATATTTATTTTGTGGACACATAATTTTGCTTATCCAGTGATTAATTTGCAGTATTGCCCTTTGTCTATGTCATTTGTGTTACACTCAACACCATTATTGAACACATCAACAACAGCATTAGCAGCCGCAGCACGTAACCTCGGTGCGTCGATAAAACCAGCAGCATTAGTCGGGCGCTATCTTTTGCGGAACCAAATAGGCCATATATACCAGAGACACTTTTCATTTTCCCAACTGCAGTGTGCGCCAAAGAAACACAAGTCTTTAATGAGCAGACAAGGTAAGAAACTTGCGTTTTAACACACATTTTACTCATTTGATTGAATTATTTACATTTTTTTTACCCAAACCACCCCTTTTCGCCTCTTCCCACGTTCGACGCACTCATTTGATTGTGTGAACGCTCATGATTCGATAACACGTTTTCTGAATTGCCACCTTGGTAAAATGTGCCACCACTGTCATATCTCCCTATCTCTTCTTGCTTCTAGTGCACAGTGACATATTTTGACCATTTCTTGTTTGATTGTTCTGAATAATGCTTTTTTGCTTAATTTGTCATATTTTATTTTCTAAAATGATATTACAAATATCCATAAAACACCAATGACAACGACGGTGTGGATTGATCTCGACAATAAACAATTCTAGCGACACAATTGACTATTTATTTTAATAATATGCTCATAGCTTATTGATATGAGGATAACTAAAAAGCAGATAGCACGTATTGTAATCCTAAATAAAACCAACTCGCATTGCGATTACTAGTGCTTGTTCTGCACTATCGCAAGACGATTTATTTTAAGCTGCTTGTGGCGCCAGGTGCAACACAATCCTTTCCAACCCAGTGTATCATTCATTACATTTTCTTACGTATTCAATAATAGTTGCTACATTGTATGGTGTACCTTTATTTCATGTGGCAGCACTTTGAACCTCACAATGTTGCTTAGTTGTGTTTTATTTGTTATTGGACCTTTTGCCACACCACACTCCATTCACAAGCCCGGTGATAATTTTAAAGTATTTTCAATTTTCTTATTTTTGTTCACTTTGTCATAAAAAAGTATCTGCTGTGGCTGCGCATTGTAAATTCTTGTTCTTTTCGCTTTGTGTAAATAAGTGATCTCACGATAATCACTATGTAGTTCTTTGTTACTACTATATCCGCTGCTAAGCTTGGCATTGTTGTTGCCATATTTATTTTATTTTATATTTTCATTGTTGTTATTTATTTTTATTATATTTTTGAACTAGAACTAAAATATGTATGCTGTTTTTTATTTTAAAAACTAGCATATTATTTTGAAAATAACTGATAACCACTCAATTTATTCATGCCACAATACGATTGTTTTTTTGGCCGCTGAGATTTGCAGATTTGTCTACAGCATTCCAAGATACATTTTACATTGTGCGTTTTGACAAAGCGCTCACAAACATACATAATCATAACTAAAATCCACATGCACTCCTTGACACTATAGCAGCAGACAATCGGGATGAGCCCAAGAGTGCCAAGAATGTGCCGCACACCTTGCGCAAGCACTCTGCAAAATGGGCGTTGACCGAAGAGGCAAACAAGAATCGCGAAAAGTCGCATGTCGAAGCTATCAGGTGGAGGGACACATGGCCTACGACCGAATACGCGCTTAACGAGAAGTCGACCGAGCACAAGCAGCTGATCGTGCTTGATCTGAACGGCACTCTGCTTTATCGCGGCCCGCACCAGCGTGATCGTCCGAGGGTGGTGATGGCTCGACCCAAGCTGGACGAATTTTTGGAGTTTGCCACCAAGCATTTTGCTGTCATGGTGTGGAGCTCAGCGCAGCCCGAAAACATTATGAGTATGCTGAAGGAATCGTTTGGTGACCACGAGAAGAAACTTGTTCGTGTGTGGGACCGCCGCTTCTGCGATCTCTCTGGCCCCTATTTTTCCAAGGCCCAGTCGATCAAGGACCTGACCCGCATTACTGACGGATTCACCCTGGTCGACTCGTCTAATAGAAATGTGTATGGAACCTATGAAGGACACCTGGGTATCTGCCCCGAGAAGCAGGACCACTGGAAGGTGGAGAACATAATTTTAGTGGATGACTCCGAGTCCAAGGCCGCAATGCAAAAGGACAACCACATATTTGTGTCCACTTATACTGGCAGCTGGCGTGACAGCGAGCTGAGTGTGCTGACAACTTACCTGCATAACTATCTATGCCAAAAGGAAAAGTACCCCGATCTGCTTGGCTATCTCAAGGACAACTCTTGGGTCGAATTCCGCAACAATGCGGTTCGTCTGAACATTGACGAGATCAACATGGAAGTTAGCGACTGATGTTGTCTTTTAGGTTCTTGTTTTAGATATTATTAAACAGCTGTTGTTTGATGTTGATTAAATTAATGTATTGACACACCACTCGAAATTACAAGCGCATTGATTGGCTGCTGATCTGGCAAATTGTGAGCTGTATTCGTCCGCCACGCGTAAATGCAAACACACAAAGCATATATACACTTTTGAAGCACTTATATTTTGCTCTACTAATGCCAAGAAATGAGTTTTTCTGATTTTCAGTTTTTGCAAAAAAATTCTTGATTATCACGCCTAATATTATTTATCTTTATTTTCTTTACACTTTTACATTTCTCCCTCACATGAACCATCAATACAAAATTATTACAAATGAATGTGTGTTGTTTTGATTTTGTGTATCCGAATACACAGTTGGAAGCATGTAGCATCATGTTCTGTTAAAAATTCAGTCAGAAAAAGGCTTGGCGTCCATGAAGGGGGGCCACAAATAGTGAAGTAGTGAAATGATTCCAGCTATTGCATGCAACGTTTTTCCTTTTGCCGCAAATCCACATTTATAACTTGTTTTAACTGAATTGCACTTGTCAGCCGGATAAGAAATAAGCCAAATATAATGTCAATCAATTGATAGCTCACAAATACAGATGTGTATGGCTAGGCGGTAAATGTCTTAATTTATTTTAAACCAACCAAACCTTTGTAGAGCGGTCATTACAATTGGTCTGATATTCTCACTTTTGGAATGACCATAAAACATATATTGAAAATCATTTTGTTTTATAAAGACAAAGATAAATTGCATTCCAATTTTAGCACTAAACACGCAAAATCTGGAACGAACCCCACATATACGAAAAGTTGTAACATAAAATGGAAAATACAAAAGTACATGTCATGCGTGCGATACGCTGTTAATTTTGTGTTTCTGTAGTAATTGATGCAACCAAAATGTAGCCTGATATACATACCAATACGCCGACAATGTGTATGTGCGTGCATCAGGCAGACCGCGCGTAAAGGCACCCTTTTTTGAAATAATTGAAAAAACATGTGTTACAAAAAAATCACATATACAAGTAAATAAATAGTGCAAAAGATGGTTCAAAAAACAATGCAAGTACTGCAGGCATTTTATGCAAATCTAACATCTGAATTGCGCCGATGGACATGTACTGATCGACAAAAGTGTCAAAATAACTCAAAGGCCCCCAGCTTCATAAAGACAATACTTTGGGGGATAGATTTGAGGTAGCAAAATAATGTGCCCGTCGCGATGGATTTTGGCTGGACAGTTTTTGCCAACAAACACAATGTCTTTCCTTGGCATAGCGTTAACCGGATATTTCTAATAACCGACATTAGGTCAGGTGCTACCAGAACTAAATTGGCCACAAAAATCATATTTTATTTGTGTTGCAGCCAACTATGAAACACATTTTACAAAGTAAAGCACTCAATTCCTCCACCACTGCAACGCCCAATTGATTGCCACTGTTGCATAATGTTCCAAAAGTGTACAACCACGTGGAAGTGTTTTTTAGCAGAAAATCTATAAAAAACAATACATGTAGATTGCTTTTACACGCAATCGGGCCATTTGAAAACAATAACAAGGCAGTGACCAGGAAAAATAAAGGGATAACTGGCGATTGTCCAGGTCGTGTAGGAAAAACATCCCTCACAATAATTAATGACCGCATGATAAGCGTGGCTTTGGCCGCCAGTCAGATATGCTCATGTGTACTACACTTGGAACAGCTCCACCAAATGGGGCTCCAGACGCATCTAGATTTATTAATACAATAGTGGCAGCCAATATAGGTAAATGAGTGAGAACATTATAGAACAATAATATCGAATCAGTTGACATTTCCTAATTTGTTTTTACCTAACATTGGACACTATTAGCCATGCAGAAATGTAACAGAACCAGGATAAATAGCCAACAACATAAGCGCCTCAGTAATTGATGCGAGGCACGTAAACTATGTTGGAAAAGGGGGTGGTGATTGAGGGAGTTTTTAAGGCGAGTAGTTATGAAAAGTAGATTTTGTCAGGCTTTGCAACCATTGCTTTTATTTTTTTACACGTGTGCTTGTCGCTTTTTAAAACCTTTTATTGGCATTAAGACAGCGACACTGGTATTGTAGATACAAACGAGCTAGGTGGTTGTGTCGATCGGGGTTTGAAATTAATGTATCAAATAGCCAACCCCTTTTTCAATCCACAGTTCACAATCCTCAATCTTCCATTCAGCTGGTCGCGCCTGTCACTCGTTGTCTCTTTCACATCACTTTTTTCTTTTGCGTTTGCGCTTTTTTTACAAACCATAAACTATTGTTTACTTTTCATTTTTATCTTTACTCATTTCCAACCCATTCACACAATCGTAAAGAAGTTTCGCATCAAGAGCAGACAAGGGTGCCAAAACCGAAGGCTGCTTCTATTTTCAAAAACTGGATACAAATCTACAACGTAAGTTTTTATATTTTTAATTATGAGAAGAGGTTCAACAAGCCTTATGCCATCTAGATGACTGGCAGGCAGTCTAGTTTTGGCATCCAATTAGTACGACTGAGTGTAAGCATTATCAGTTTTACTTCATTTCAGTATGTTTTCCTCGCACGCTTTACTTTTACTTTTTTAGGCGGGCTTACTTCAGCTCGTTTTTGTAAATATATAACAAAATAAGGTGTGGGCCCATTTTCAAATAAAAGCATTGCACCCCTTATAGTCAACTTTGATGATAACTAATTATATTTATATTTATATATTTTTTGGAGATAATTACAATTGTTTTGAAAGCTGATGAATTTGTGAACAATCCCAATAAAGAAATTTTCATTGTCTTTGCTTTTTTATTTGCGCGATTGTTTTTTATTACAGACAGGTTTGTGGTTTTTTTGAAAGCGATGCAGCCAGAATATCAGCCTGTAGGACATAGATGTGGACAGTGTAATAAAACGTCTATCATTCGTAGACTTGAAATGGTTATCAACCTATTTTTACCCTTATTTTCTGATTTCTTTAGTTTTCAGCTTCTATCCCCAACTTTCCCTTCACATATGCCCATCACGTTGTCTATTTTGCTGCACTTTGCTATATCCATATAAATTATAAATTACCAGTCGTGCGCCAAAAAATAAAACCTGACCACACTTTCTGATACAAGTAATCCATTGGCTTTTCTTTTTTGACTTTATTTTCCATTGCCACCATTGTTGTTTTATTTTAAATGACCTTATTTGGTTCTAAGGCCTTTTTGTTTTATTTTTATACGCGTGCACTTTTACAAAAAAACCAATTAACAGTTTTCAGCCACCTCAGCCATATCGGCAGAAACAAACACAAATCCATCTTCCCACTTGTTTTTTCAAAGCCTTTCTATGTAATTATTCCACAACCTATTATTGATATATTGGTGTCAATAATTTCTATTTTCCAAGCGACAACATTGCCAAATTACTAAACTAACTTGTACAATTCAGCATTTAGACCATAAACAGCCAGCCCAGAGACACAATCCACAAAGCAACCGCAGCAACAGCAACAGCAACAGCAACAGCAACAGCGATAGGCCCCAGACAGAAGGTAACTTTTTTCATTGCTTCAATTTGACACTCAAATTATACGGCAAATGCTGTCTTTTCTAGACGGGTATACAAAATATTTGCGTACTTTGCAGGTTTGTCTTTTTTTGTCTTTCAATACCACATAATTTGGCAGCATTTTGTATGGTAGTGCCGTTATTACTATTTTTAGCCGGTGCAGCCTTCTCTTTGATATGCGCAATTTGCCTTTTTTGGTTTGTGTCGGAAAATAGCTGGCAAATTTGATTTTGGAATGAATGCGCATAGGTTCGATAAGCATCATTACAAAGCCCATCACTCCGCGCGTTTACTCCAAATGCAAAACTGGCCCTCACTGCGCGTATACTCATACTCCTTTGTAACTACCTCCCTCCCTACCTCTTTTCTATCCTTTATTTCCTACTTTTGCTTTATTTTGCATCATTAGCCTAATATCTTTAGTGCTGCAAATAAAATAATTTGATGGGCAGAACATGCGTGTCGTACAATTTGTTTTGCGCAACTTTATGCATACAGTCCATTGATTGCACATTGATTTTGTTGGGCGTGCAGCAGCAATTAGAACTGCAGCCTTATTACGTACTCTCGCGTATTTCCTGTTCTCAAATTTGTGCAGCATTGGAATAGCTGAAACAGCTATTTTTGTGTATTTGTGCCTTCATAAAACAGGATTGCTTTGCTCGACGGTGCCATTTGTTGCATTTTAATTGTTTTATTTTTGCTCGCTTGCTTTGTTACAGCCATCACCAGCCTTTTGCTCTGAGCGAGACACCCCCAAACTTTTTTATTTCCCAAATAATTCTGCGCACATGAGCAACTCATTGACACGCTCAAAGCATCACTCCTGCCTACCGTGTGGCCAGCTGGTTTGTCCACGAGTGGTAGTTGCAGCGTTACGAGATGATGTGTCGGAAAAGTTTTCCCGCACCTTTTTTAGTGCACATTACGCAAAAACACTTTTGTCCTTTGCGGCCGGCCCTGCACTTTGCGAGTAAATTGGCCGCTTGGCGCACTGTGATCCTTTCCTTGTCTAATTTTTCATATATGCACACGCGCTGGGCTTCATGTGCCGCGGGCAGTATCTTGCGACAAAACGCACATTGGGCCGCCTATTCTACAATAACCCGCCTGGCTCTATATCTTTATTACCACCACTATTCCCGCATGGATTTTTGAAATGCTTCATCTCGTTTTAGCAGTCGTAGACAATAAGTGCTTTTTTGCGATATGATCTTGTCGTTTGAGCGCCCAGTTACCATTGCAATCGGGGGAAGCAGGGGAGGGCAGGGCAGGGCAGGGCAGGGCAGACCGGGCCGATTAGATTTCCTGCGTCCCCCCTTTTCTAGTTATAAATGGCGCAAACACCCTTTTCGCTTGTTTTGGCAAACAATACGCAAGGGATAATTATTTCTCTGGTTATTGTTACGGGCAAGGCTTTTAAGTGTCAGAAAGCATCAAGCCGCCTGATCGCCAAATCTGCTCCCGCGCTCCCCACCCGAAACTTGCATATTTTAAGGCCTTCTTTCTCTCATCAGCCCCCACCCGTTTTTCCCTAGCCATCCCATCCAACTCAACTTTGCTTCGCTCAATCACATTCCTGCCGTGGTGCATATTGCTTTGTGCCTGCAACTACATGCGCAAAACGCACATGCACACAAAAAACGCACTGCGAAGCAAACGCATGCCTTTATCCTCATTTCGCATATGCCTACGCTCAGCATCTCTAACAAAAGTGTGTGCAAAGCGGCTGTCATAAGAGGCAGAGAGAAAGAGTGAGAGTGAAGGCGGTAAAGACGATGCCGAACTCTACCTTCTGAACTGTAAAGCCAATGAGCAAGAAGGATGATCATGGCGATGTCTACGTACCTCCTGGTCTTTGTCAATACATCTTTGTTCTTTCTTTGCATTTCGGCTTCTCTTGCTTTTTTCTCTCAACTTGCTTTTATTTCTATATTTATCTGTTTAATTATTTTGCACCTGTTAATGAAGCAGTCTGCCATTTCCAGATAAATTGTACTCTATCAAGAAATTGCTTCCAAATCCCTCCTTTTACCGCATCAACAAGCAAGAAGCAAACAAACAAAATACGTGCGTAACCTCGGATACAAACCGTTTCTCTATTCCCTTATTATTTTGAAAACTATTTTGCCCTCTCTGCTGGGCTTTTTTTTTGCGAGTGAACCAAGCAAGCAAGAAAAGAGCGTCTCTATTCTGCCTTTGCTAAGGTTTTTCTTTTGGTTGGTGCTTTTTTCTTACTGGTAAATCCCTTTAGATTTCCACTTTGGACATTCCTATTATTTGCAGTTTGCTCAGGTACGATTTGCATCTGTCCCTGTATCAGCATGACTTTTTTGTCTGTTCCACAGGATTCCCTCGTTAAAGCCTACTTTTATCTTCTCTTCGCCTTCAGCTTCCGTTTCACTCAACTGCACTCCACTCCACTGCACTCCACTTTACTATATTCCAAATCCATTTTCTATTATTTCCCTGTCACTTTGCAGGTGCGCGTTATTGTTGTTCTGTGCTGTTCATTGGCGCGCAGAACAGCCTTTTTCCTCACCTTAATTCCGATATTTTGGCTGCAGCAGGCCGTGCGCGTGTCACAGTCTGCACACGTATATTCCCCCTCAGGGCCCATTTGTAATTCTTTTGAGCATATTCTTTTTCGTTGACACGCATTTTTTGCCGCACAATTGCTGCGCTTACCGCTATACCGTTTCCTTTTCTTCTTCTTTCTTTTTAGCCATCAATAACTAACTGATTCTCGCTCTATTGTTTTTTGTATCTTTTGCTTTGGGATCGTAATCTCGACTATAATCGCGGCCGTTTACTCCACTCACCAACCATAGACTTTAATACACGCGTACTAGGTAACGTATCGATATCATTTTGCAAAGTTACGACACGCATAGGGTGTACACTTGGAAAAATGCACAAACACAAACACACGAATTTTCTTTTGCGTGTTACTCCCCCCACGGCCAGGTTACTAGAATCACGCTTCTGGTGCCTTTTTTGGAGGAAACTTGTTTCCGAAATGTTTGTTGTCATGTAATAACAGCTAAAAAAATAAGCCAAATTTTCTTGCGGAACCCGCACTCACTCCTCCCCTTTTCTGCTTTCCCTTCATGTGAGCTGTGTCCTGTTGGTCGTTTTTTGCCTTGTGCGGCATTCTGGGTTTTCTTTCTGATTTCCATTTGTTTTGGGCAAACATACCCACTTACGACATGACAATGATTTTTTTGTATTGGCTGCTATTGTCAATTACTGCGCCAACCGATCCCTAGATCTGCTTTCGGCAATGCGTTTATTTACTTTTTTTCTCATTCCCCCGTTCGACTGTCGATTTGCGATCTGGCTACATCCATTCTCTCTTCTCTTTTTTATTTTTTAATGCGGTGTGGGTTTCCGCCCATTGTTCGCTCGGTGCAGCCACCATGTCCGATGATCAATGGCTGTGTCGTGAGTGTGTGAAATTTTCTTTTTCGACTTGTGAAAAAAAGCAAGCCAAATAAGGGCAATTGCTCATAAAAATGGCAAAATAAGTCCATTTCGAGAGACTCGCTCGATTTGGTTGTTATTGCCGATCTCCCGCTGCTCTCCCGCACACCCAGCGGCTACGAATACCTGGCTAATGCGTAAGCGCAATGATCAAAATGCCCCCATTCTGTCTCCCCCTCTGCACCAAAATGGAAAAGTCCGTATATTACTCATGTCCTCTTATGGCTGTTGTTGATGTTGTTCTTGTACAACAAATACCTGCGCTTGGGCAAGGCTAATGTTAGTTCGTTTATCTGCTCTCCCCCATTCGTGCATTGTATGGTTGCTAGTCTATTTTTTATTTCTCTCACTCACAAAACATCCGATTCTACAGCCACTTTAGTCACCATATCCACTCACTGGCGCAATCTTTCAGCTGCAACTGCGAGCATTTTTGCTGCAACACAATCACTATTTACGATTGTTTTTCTTTTTAATATTTGGCCTGTCTTGTTTTGCTTTTATAACAGCCTTCCCCCCATACCTCCGCAATTTCCCAAAGGTCTTGCGCACTATTCATCCAGTCACTGCAGCGAAGTGATACATTTCTGTAACATTTTTGGCAGACAGAGGGGTGTCAACAATAACTTGTCTATTGTCCTTTTTAAACCTTTCCCCCCCGACCCTGCACACTCCTTTTACTCGTGCATCCGCTGGAATATCCCGCCTTATCGGCTACGTGAGTATCCTGGAATAAATTTGCATCGTGTCTTGCTCCGTCTAGCAGCACTTTTTGCTTTTGATTTCTCTTGTTGGGTATTTTTCTTTTTTATGTTCCAGTTATTTTCAGGTATTTTACTTTTCAAAAATGGGGTCTCCCTTTTCCGCCCATTTTCTTTTTTCTACCTGTGTTGTTAAACGTAACGAGCGAATAACCAAATCAGCGATAAAGTTATTCGTATAGATGTTATGCATACACGAACAACAATCATTTTCCACAGAGGAAAAGTGGTGGTTAGGCGAGAGAAAAGTATACTTTTGTCTGTTTTGAGCCCTCTCATGCGGTCAAAAGCCATCTTTTGGCCACCAGCCTTTTCTCATCAGTGTCAGTTCCTTGATTCCTTCTTTTTTAAATCAGTCAGAGCATGCCAACACAGACTTTTAATGTTTTTTGTGCGACCAAGCACTTTTCTCCCAACAATAACGACTTCCTGTGTGTTTATGCGTCCATCATCTCGTCATTGTTTTTTATCTGTGATAAATTCATAACTCTGCGCACGCACGCATGTGTGTGTGCGCGGTATCTTTGTGCTCTTTTATTTACTATTTACATTTTTACCTTATTGGCGGGTGATAGTCTGCAACAGCAAAAGGCTACGTACTAAATTTTTTGTTTTTCGCTTTATTTTTCTGAAACTTGCTTTTTTTCGTTGATCCGTGTAGTAAATGTCCGACGACAAGCCTGAAAGCCCAGCGACTCCAGAAACAATCGACAAAACTACCATCAGTACTGCAGACACCTCAGACATCATTTATACAACGCCAGATAGCTCTCCAACAGAACAAATGCGTACGACAACCACATCAGCCAATATGAGTGCCGAAGCCATTGCGGCCACACCGGCAGTCATAAACGGTAACTCTAATTCAGCTACTGCTCAAAAGGTGAGCAGCGCCAGCGGCACGTCGATGAGCCCCAGCCCGTCCCTAATAACAACGGCAGTAGAGACGACATCTGTTGAAGCATGTGCCGATTCTGTGCAGCCAAACAAAGCGGGCCACAGCCTGAGCCAGATCTCGGCCGGTAATGGCATGCAGGTCGATCACAATGCCCAGTACCCAGTTGGTACCATAGTCCGGCAGCCCAGCTCGCGCGGACCGGGCGGCGCCAGGACATCAACACGTACCGGGCCACTCAGGCAGTTACTGCCACAGGAATATCTCGACGATCAGCTTGCAGCGCACGAAAGAGGATCGCATGACCAGAGCTACAACTTGCAGGCTGTCAGCGAGATTGGTTCTAACTCGCCAGGCATGGACTCTGGGGTTGTCGGTGCAGATGTCCGGTCTGTCCATCACCATCACCAGAGGTCACTCTCGTCATCGAGCCTTGTGAATCATCAGCAGCAATTTGCCTTCAGCAGCCCGGCCCGGGCAGAAGACATGCTCCCGGTCAGTACGCGTCGCACAGAGCTTTCTGGCGTCCATCAGATCCACCATTTGGCGGATCCGCTGGATGAGCGTACGTCGAATCCCTTCGTCGACTCGCCCGAGTATCCGAATAGCCCCTCGTTTAGCCACCAGGCCGAGGAGGAAGACATCCGTATGTCCGAGACACCGCCACCCGGGGACAACGAAAGCTTGAAGGGCGACTCGGAATACTACCGCCATGGATCGTTCGACGAGTACCCGGGCGACTACTCGCGGGGCAGAGTGTTCAGGCAGGATATGCCGCCGCATGCCTACGATATTGACCAACACATTCATCATGGGTCGCGGTCGAGCACGTCGCCGGAGGGCACCGAGTCTGAGATGAACCGGAAGGAGGGCGTAACAATGCCTGCAAAGTCCGCAGTTCTCTATCATGCCGGGTATAACTCGGGGCGCGGCGCCGTTTGGCGGTTCTTTCGCGTTGTCGAGGCGCGTGTCTCTGGAAATACGGACCGCGCCGAGTGTTTGCTCTGCAAAAAGCGCATGCTGGGAAAGTCAGCGGACATGAAAAAACACATTGTCATTGGGTGCCCAAATCGCCGCGACATCTCGGACGACATGCGGCCGATCTTGAGATCGTCAAGGCTGAGCTGGACAACCCAAAGAAGCGTGCCAAGCGTAACTCAAATACTCCAATTGTTATGCGCCCTGACGGTACCTTTGGTCCTGAGATCTCAGCGTACAACTCTTCTTACTCTGATATCTCGCCTATTCCATCGACCATGCAGGTGGCGTCGAGCAGCCAGCAGCCGCACAACAGGATGCCGGCGTACGCCCGGCCTTACGAGTACCCTAGCGAACCACATAGATCAGCCAAGATGGCCAAGTACTCGAGGGGCCCGATGCGCGGTGCAAATGGCGGCCCGCACGTGGACAGCCCTGGTATGGGTCAGGGCGGTCCTGGTGCCGGGCCAGAGCGCGCCATGCACTATAGCCCGCTGATGCACAGTCACCAGCACTCGGCCATGCCCGTTCCGGCTCAGCAGGCTCAGCACCCTCGCTCGCAGTCGGGCAACCCCCCTATGCCTATGCGGATGAGGTCGCCGGAGCAGGCTGCAAGTTATGGGCCCCGCCACGCAGGGGCACCTAACACGCCGCACCTGCAGCTTCCGATGCCGTCCCATCAGGGGATACAACAGGGTGGGTTGGCACCGCACCAGTCCCAGTCCCAGTCCCAGTCCCAGTCCCAGCAGCCGCTGCCGCAGCCGCAGCCGGCGCGGCCTTCATCGCAGGTTCTGCATCAGCAGCAAATGCGCAGCCACGGCATGGGGCCGCCGCCAGCGCACCAGTCTCAGCAACCGCGCTTCTACTCGTCTGGGCAGCAGGGCGGGCAGGGGCCACCGCCAGCGTCGCAGCAGCAGTATCCTGCGGGTCACCACAGCAGCCAGATCCCTCGGCAGGGAAATTCCGGGCAGGCGTCAACAGGGCCATTGCAACCAAAGCAGGGACAGGCCCAGCAGCAGCCGTCTCAGCACTTGCAATCGTCGCCCAGAATAGTTCCAGGCGGCGTGCCATACAATCGACTCAAGGTCAAGCTGCAGCAGCGCATCCCAGTGTTTGGCGTGTGGTTGTCGATCCCCAGCCCGGTGACAGCGCGCATGTTGGCGCAGCAGGGCTTTGACTGGGCGTGTATCGACATGGAGCACACGCCGACTAACCCGGCGCTGATGTCCGAGATGATCGCGGCGGTGGCCAGCAGCGGTACCTGCACGCCGATTGTGCGCGTACCGTCGCACTCCCCTGAGTGGTTCAAGTGGGCGCTCGATGCAGGCGCACAGGGAATCATCGTCCCAATGGTCAACACAGCCGAGGAAATGCGCAACGCAGAGCAAATGTGCCGGTACCCGCCGCTTGGCAAACGATCGATGGGCGCATTCCTTGCCCCCGGAATGTTCAACCTGCGCGGACCGCGCGCGATGAACGAGTATATTGAGCGCGCGAGCAGGGATATTTTGGTGATTCCGCAGATTGAGTCTGCTGAGGGTGTCGCCAACCTGTCGGGTATTATCAAGGCTGGCGGCATGGACGCAATCTTTATTGGCCCTTACGATCTTAGTGCATCGATGAGAGCGGCCCAGCAGGATATTCCGTATCAGGATGCCCTGGCCCATGTTGAGAAGATTGCGCATGATAGCGACGTGCCTATTGGTATTTACGCTTCGTCCGGAATGACTGCGTGGAAAAAACTGAACGAAGGGTATACGATGCTGGTCGCCGCCAGCGACATTGACTGCCTTGCTTCATCGGCTGCTGAGAATTTAGACCGCGCGCGAGGTGATAATCGCCCGTATCGCTGAGCGAGAAAAATATATAAAGATGAGCCTCTGGGAGGCAAGGCAGGCTGCTCTTTTTATACTAATTTACCCACTTTTATATAATCTTTTTCATGCTTTTTCCTAATTTTTTTATGTTTTCAAAAACAGTTGTTTTTTATTATTATTATTAATTTCTTACATTAAATCTTTAAAGTCCCAGAAGCACAAGCCATTCAACAGTCTAGAGCTCTGCTTGGTCCTTGCCCACGCTTCCACTGCCTCATCTGTTCTAGTTTTCCGATTCGTCCTTGGCGACGCTTTCACTGCCACTATCCATCTGCTGCAAACTCTTCCTACGCACAGCACCTACAATGAACACCGTTCCGGCAAACAACGCCACCAGGGTCATTGCGTGGATCAGCGCAACATACTCAGCGTCACCAACGGGCATTCTCAACAGAGTATCCGTATCCTGCGCAATCTCCAATGCGCCAACCGGAGTCATCCCGAGTTCATCAAATAGCACCAGACGAACTCTTAGATTATCCAACATCCGGTTCCCACTCCTCCCCTCAGCGGTCTCCACAGCCGGACACACAATAGCGGCTATTGCCGGCAGCAGGGTAGTGTCCACATGGGTATTACCCGAGGGCTCACCATTGTACCCGACAGTGCGCACGCGGTGAACAGGAGGTAGGCGGTATCGCGCATGCACGGGTATAACAGCATTAAGGTCTGTGAGCCGCGGGTACTGTGAGACCACAAGTACGCTGCCCCAATTAGGCATGGACTCCGCGGGCTTCTCCAGCTCAACCGGCCCAAAATGAAGATATCCCATACCCAACTGCCCACGCACCTCTTGAAGCTGGTACGGGTCGAAAAAGTACGTTGGTGGGAGAAATACCAGAAGCTCAATGCGGCAGGTGCCGGAGCTCAAGTGTGCGCTGGTGAGGTCTGCGTGTGCGGAAATCCGCAGGCTTGGATGGAACGAGGCAAAATCCTGTGTGCGCTGTGTTACGAGGCCGGCCGGCTGCGTCGACGTGTCGTGTTGCGCGTAGAACAAGCCGGGTATATCCAATGGCGCGGGTTTCTTTTGGCCTGGGGCCATGGTGAAGGACGGCGACTCAGGGGTTGGTGCGATCCACGCCAGCTGCGAACTCGAGCCGCTCAGCGCGCTAATTGAAATGGCGGCCGACGGGTGTAGGAGGGAGATGGTCTGGATAGCCACTTTGATGAAGCCCTGGGGAGTGCGGCGCAGCCGTACTTCGATGCGGTGGTTGTCGAGCCAGCTCAGGCCCTTGTGTGAGACATGGGCAGTGGGGAGGGCACGGAGGATGTGGCCGGAGGAGCCGGTGACAAAGTGCATCAGGTCCAGGCGGCTGCCCTGGTGGCCGTCGAGGGAACGGCTGTCCGGGAATTCTTGGAAATAGTAGATACTGGACTGCGCCGCATCAATGAACGACTCTGGGCCGAGCCCACCGCCGACTGCGTTTCGCCGCCCACGCTATCACCCTCGTCAAATCACCTTCGTCAAAATCACCCTTGTTCTCCAGATCCGCCAGCATAGATGGCTGGGACCCGGCCTCCGCCCACTTGTCTTCGTTGCCTGCGCCATAGCCAGCCTTGGGCATCCATCCCATAAACACCGACATCCATTTGCGCATACGCTCACGCACCAATGCCCTCTCATCAGCATTCATCCCTGGAACGCCCGTCGCCATAACATGAATCCCACAGTACTCTAGTTTGCGCGGCGGCATAAACGGCGCCGGCGGCAAATATATTCTCTCCCGACACATCTCCGAACTCAAAACAAAGCGCACCTCATCCATGCCCTCTGCCCATAATGGCATGTCAAGCTGATCAACGATGGATTCGTAGTTCCACACGTGCCAGCTGCCGCCCACCGTCGTGACATTCCATCCCAAGGTGGAGTTTTCTGATGATTGGGTTGCGCGGACTTTGATGTTTTGCCCGTAGATGACGTGGTCTTCGGTTTCTGAAAGAAATGCTCCTAGGGATGAAGAGCTTTGGTCGGGCGATGGGTGGTACATGTTGGAGTGCGATAGCGAGGTGGCGAGTGGCGCACTGGTGCTGATAATGAGGAGACAGAGTGATAGTAGGCTGGAGGCCTGCAAGCAATGGCTTTTGCGCGCCATCGTTGATGCTTACTTGTTGCTGCTGCTGCTGTTTTTGTGCGTGGTTTTTTTAATGAAAACAATGGTCTACAAGGCATGGGGGATTGTCTCTCACACAGATTCAGAACGCTCAGCCCAGCAATCGAGCTGTGGCGATTGTTGGGCGCATACTGTAATATATGGGTTTATATCACGCACACAAAAAGCTATATGACCACATATTGCATTCTTTTTTTGCTTTTGTTTTTGTATTTCAAAGCCCAAAAATATAAATAAAAAATGTATTTTTGAAATACACATATGTTGCCCTGCCCTGCCCTGTCCAGCAACTAGTGATGTCGTCATAGTACGCCTGGACATATGCTTGGGCAGCTGGAGCAGCGTATTTTTTCATTTTCCAAGTGCAAATTACTCCTATCAATCGGACATTGTCTTGGATTTTGCCAATTTTCCCACCGTCTGACAAATGACGTTGTGAATAATACTCTCCCCCCAATAAAAATACATGTACAATTTTAAAAGAAAAATAAGAAAATAAAATAAAATAAAAGATGCGATGGCTGCCAAAACAAATAAAGCAAAGCATCATGTTTTTTTTGTAAATCAGTATTTTCGTTCTGAAAACGGCTAGTCTATAAAGGAAATCTAGTCGAGAAAATTGTTGTTTGGATTTACTTGTCCTAAGAAGGGGGGAAAGCAACGAGTGAAAAGAGGTTACAAGCACGATATCATTTGCCTTTTTTTGTATGTCAAAGTCAACTGTTAAAAAAATGTCAGGTCTCATGTTTATGTTTATGTTCATGTTCATGTTCATGTTATTGTAATTGTGTAATGCAATTAGAAGGAAAAAATAAGCATGACTTTGCCTACCGCGGATACAAAAAAATTAAGAATACAGAATACATTGGCGTAGCAGCAAGCAGCTAAACCCATTCAACCTCAACCTCGCGATTTCAGGTGATTGCAAGCACACGGCAATTTTAGACCAGTCATGAGGGAGGAATAAAGGAGAGAAAATTCAAGAAAATTTAACGACTACTTTCTTGATATACTCTATTTTTTTTTTGAACTGCACCCAACCCCATCCTGCTATATTTTCAATTTCCTACTCCCTCAGCGGTCCTTTTTTCTCTTCTGCTTTTTTCAGCTTTTTTTTTAAATTATTGTATAAATTGATTATACCTGCGCAAGTTACTCTGTCGTCTTTGGTCGGGCCACCGCAACCTCTACTTTTCCTGCCATTTATTTCTCATTTTCACCTTTTTCAGTGCCGCGTCTGTCGTGGAAGAAAACAGGAAGCGATACCATTGTTTATTTCTTTTTTACTCTCGTATATTCATTTTCTGCATATTCATTCTGTACATTTTATTCTTTTTCTGCTAGTCGGTACGCATCTGTATCAAGACAGTAATTTTTCAGTACAGTTGCTTAGCTTTCTAAAAGCGAGCAGGCTTGATTTTTAGGTAGCTCTCCTTTTTTTGATAAAGAGCCAACTTAAACACACGATACAAAAAAAAGGTATGTGGTTTGACAACAATCTTTGTCCAAAATTATTCATGTCCCTGCGTCTAGTTGTAACTAACACACACGTAAACACTAATATGCTTACACAAACAAATCCAAAACCAAACAAAATGGCATTCACTGTATCGGGTGATGAGATCATGTGCATGTCTGCCTCGATAAAAAGTTTACTGCTCATCCATTCCCAGCTGTGCTTCCAAGCTCGAACGGCAAATATCCTTTGCTCTAAATAAACCAAATCCCATGTTTGTGCTTTGGTGTATATGTATCTGCATCTATCGTTGCCACATCTTCTGACTGAGGACTTTAACCCTGTCGTTTTTTTGCTTTTAAGGGAAATTAAAAAAGAGCGCTCAAGTCCAAACTTCATTTTATCAAAAATTTCCCACATATCATCCGTGCACAAAAGAAAAATAGATACATGTCACAAGCACATGGACAAATAAAAAGCCGCTCTTTTTTTACCATTTCAATTGTGAATATGACAAAAAGAATGACGAAAAGAAGCTATCATCAAGGTTGCCGCAAATGAGGCTGCGCATGCCCCCTCTCCATTTCTTTCGCCTGGCCTGTGCTCAAATTCACATTTATTTATTTTCGCGCCAGTATTTTATTTGTTTTAATTGGCCGCCTGCCTGCACTCGTTTTTCTTCTTATTTTGAAAATTAAACTATGCCTGCCTGGTCTGCTTGCTGGAGCTAGAGCCAGAGCTAGATCCATTTCTGGGCCCTTCTCCCCTCCCTTTGATAAGGACCACCGACTCCCTTTCATTGCTGCCAATACTACATCCTCACTCTCAATCCATTGGCAAGCAAGTGGCTTGAAATAGCAGAAAAAAGATACACTGAAATCCAACCAACCAACCAACCAACAAGCATAAAAAAAGTCACATTTTTTTTGGGGGGGGAAGGAGCATCCTTTTATCGGTGCAATCGAATATTTGCAGTTTTTTCTCGCCGTTTTTCAATGGACCAAAGCAAAAGCAAAGGCGACTAAATAAAAATAATAAAAAACCTTTATTTTCTCCTGCTTTCTGAGGGTTTTTTATTTTGACACTTTGTTACTTTTCTTCGTTCTTTGTTTATTTCTAATTTCGTGTGCGCATTTATGAGTCTGTGTGTTCACTGACAAAACTTCCCCCCCACCCCCCCTTTTCTTTATTTTTATTATCAACCAACATAGCGTTAGTTGCCGGCGCGCAGAGTGATGAATATGAAGCACACTACTATGGACTTGGCAGGGTTTTTGGCCAATGCTCCGTTGCTGTTCAGCGAAGAGGCAACAACAGACGACGAGATTGAACCCGACATAACTCACGGATCGCACGGCGGAGCCATCCGGCGCTTTGGCTTTGAAAACGGCGACAAGCTCTCATGCATCCGCTGGGACTCGCGCTTCCACATCACATCGACCGACATTATCCGGGCGCTGGTGCACCGGTTCCAGGATATCCACCGCCCCGTGGTCAACATGAAGAAGTTCGAGGAAGGCGTCTTCAGCGACCTGCGCAGTCTCAAGCCAGGGGTTGCCGCGCGACTGGAGCCCCCGCGCTCGGAGTTCCTCGAGCTCCTTTATAAGCAACACTGTGTGCGCACGCAGAAGAAGCAGAAGGTGTTTTACTGGGAACTGGTGCCCCATGATATGCTGTTCCGTGAGGCCCTGGAGCGCGACCTTAAGCGTGAGGCGATGGGCGCGAGGCCAACTACGAAGACTGCTGAGGATGTGGATCCTAAGGCTATTGTGGTTATTGGTGGTGTTGAGCTGCCCTTGTCTGTTCCGCCGACGCTTGCTGTGCACCCACATACGGCTGCGGAGATGTCGGATGGATCTGTAGCAACGTCGCCTGCCTTGCGAGTGTCAAACGCGCAGGTGTCTTTGTCGGGACATGCTATCCCTGCCCTTGCTTCTGCTTCTTCTGCTTCCTCCCCGCCTTTGATAGTGCTGGCGTGGCTGCTGCAGCGATTCCTGCCTCTGGTGGGCTTGCGGATAATAATATTGCGTCTTCAGTGCTGTCTTTAGTCTCGATGGTATCATCGGCACATGGCGATGATGTCGATGGGCATGCTGTTGGATATCCCGAAAGCAGCAGCAGCAGTGGTGGCGCTGGATTGACGGACTCTTCGGATATATTGCAGTTTGTAAGCCACCGACAGTCGCAGCAGCAAGCCGCAGCCCCTGTGTCGGCCCCAGCAGTCATGTTGCGCACAGACGACTTTGACAGCCAGCAGATGCACCAGTACATCAACCAGAATCAGTCAGCTGTCGGGATATCCAGTCAGGGATTCTCGGGTCTTGAGTTTTACGGCAACACCGGTGCCAGTCAGCCTTCACTGAGCGAGTATATTTCGGGCAAGGCAGCTTCAGTTGCCAGCGGCACCGAGAGCCAGTGCGGACAAGACCCTATGGCAACAACAGCAGCAGCAGCCGGCGATAACCAGGCGATTTTGATCAACTCATGCATGTCCGCCCCGATGAACGACAGCTGGACAGGGATGGATTTTCAGACATTGCGCAAGAAGGCTTCAGAGCTGCGGGCCAATTATAACGAGTACCAACCGACGCCAACGCCGCATCACTCCCCGAGAGTCGGAGCTGCTAATGGGCAGGGGCTTCTGGAGCTGCTGAGCTCTGATCCGAACGCGCTTGTCACAGTTGATAACATTGGCGGGTTTAACTGTTTGCTTGAGCAGATTTTGGCGGATGCTGGATGTATTCCAGAGGGCAGCTCGGCGCCAAGCTCGGCTGGTGTGGATGTTGTGGCAGGCAGTGGCGCTGTCGGCGCCAAGTTTTGGCTTGATAGTTTCCCGTTCACATCATTGACTCAGTCTCATGCTCAGGCTCAGGCTCAGGCTCAGGCTCAGGCTCAGGTCCAAGCACAGGCGCAACAGCAACATCAGCAGCAGCAGCAGCAGCAACAAATGCAACAGTCTCTGCCAAACCAGCTGACTCTTTGGGAGCAGCAGCAACAGCAGAACCAGCTCATGATTTGGAGACAACAGCAGCAGCAGTATCAGCAGCAACAGCAACAGCAACAGCAGCCGCTGTCCTCCGCCATTGTTAATGGTGGCCGCAGCGCTAGTGGCATGGGCGTGGGCTTGGGCATGGGTATGAATGTGAACATGGACGTCGACATGGGCAGCATAGCAAACAGCAACGGACAGGCGTCGTCGCCCTCAATGGCGTCGCTGATGAACTCACAGCATATCTCACCCGACCAGACGCCCAGGTCAGCCACTCTTATGCAGTTTGGCGGCGGCAGTGGCAGCTCGGCCCAAGGCCAGAACAGCATTTTTGGTGCTGGACAACAGATGATGATCGACAGCTTCAATGGCCTTCTTGCATCCGATAACGGCCTGGGGCCCCAATCCACCAACAATATACATGGTTCGGGCAACGCGGTTTCGGGGCTCTTTGCGCAGAGCTTCTTTCAACTTCAGCAACAGCAGCAGCAGCAGCAGCACCAACAACAACAACGGCAGCATGAGCAGTCGACAAACCCCATATTCATGTCAATGTTCAACTTTTCAAATTCGCCGGCGCCTATGGACGCTTCCGCTGGCAACCCTGGCACAGGCACGGGCTACGCCAATATACCTGACGCGTCAGCACCGTCGCCCTTTGCGATATCGTTGGCAGAAACACGCGCAAACGCCGACGACACGAGGTCGAGCGAGGCCATCAGGCAACTCTGGATGACAAACCAGCCCAGTAACGCGTCAACACCCCGCTCCACACGCCTGTCGCGCTTCCACCCGTACCTCAAGACCATGGTCCGCATTGCTCATCGTAACTCGCCAACACTGATGAACCGTGACCCCAACACGACCAACCCTACCATAGCTGCAGCGGCGGTCAATGTCCTGGCCGCCAAGCTCAATCGAGACCAAACAACTGCATTCACAGCTGCCATCAACGCCTCTGGCTCTGGATCTGGATCTGGATCTGACCCCGCTGGTGATGCTATGGCGAAACAGAATTTTGGCCATGATAGCCAGTTCGCCAATAGTAAGGGCGCATCAAACGGCGCGTCTGGTGCGCCCGTTGCGTTCCCGGCCGTTGCTCAGAAGAAGTTTGGCGGCAAACCTCTGGCGCCGGCAGTCTCCTCTCAGCGCGGCGTTGATTCTGCTGCAGGTCGCTCGGAGGTTCTCAGCAAGCAGTTTGCTAGCAACAGCGACAACACAGACGATGACCCTGACCAGCCACGGCGCTATGTCTGCGAGTATGTTGGATGCAGCAAGCAGTTCAAGCGGCAGGAGCATTTGAAGCGTCATTTTCGTGTCCACACTGGCGAGCGGCCATACAAGTGCCCGTCGGCTGGGTGCGACAAGGGTTTTGCGCGGATGGACAATCTCAACCAACACATTCGCACGCATGTTAATCGGAAGGCTGGCAACAGGCGGCCGAGCGCCAGTATGGTCGAAAGTATAGGCCAGCAGCAGAATCAAAACCAGAGTACCGCGGCTTCGTCGGAAATAATGGACGGCAGTTCTGAAATTTCCCAGATGATGTCAGCTGTTTCTTTGCCTTTGTCTTCGGGAATGGCGCCGGCGTCGTTGGCGGAGCACGGTTATTTGGTGTCCGGGCCTGACAACGGACTGTCTTTGTTTCAACAAGGCGTAGCGCGCGCCGTTGAAAGCGCTGCGAAAAAAACAGAGCTGGGCAGCCTGCAAGATCAGTCTACATCTGCTGGTGCCTTGGCCACGAACACCAACACCGCGACCATCCTCGCCAGCCGCAATTCACTCATGGCAGGTGATTCTGAGGGCAACATGCCTATAGCGCGCATGTCCATGGCTGACGAGCTTCCAGGAAACAACGGAGTTGACCAGCAGCAGCAGCAGCAGAATCGGCAATTGCTATCGCCGTCGATAGGAAACAACAGCGTGACAATGCTGCGCAAGCTATCCAAGGAGAACCGCCTTCGCAACATGGCATGGATACCAGCGGGAGTCAGTGGTGAGGCGACGGGTGCCAATGGCAAAGGCGTGCAGTCATCGCTGTTCAGGCCAGATACAACATCATCTTTTGGCGCGGGCGCGCTGGCATCTGCTGCCAATATTGGGTTTGGTGGAGTTGGTAGCAATGCCTTTGTTTTTTCGCCGGATTTGCGGCCAATGCATGGAGCAGAGCAGACGGATAGCACGGAGCCCAGCATGTCTGGAATTAACAACATTTGGCTGGCATCCTTCTTGTCTCATCAACAGCAGCAGCAGCAGCAACAGGCCCAGGAGGAGAGTGCGACAAGTGATAGTGTTAACACCTTGGCGCAGCCTGTTGGCTTCACGATGCCAGCGGACAGCTTTGGATACAATAGAAAACACATTGCTGTCTCTGCCTCTGCCCTGCCCCTGCCGCCAGTATTGGCAGCAGCAGCGGAAGCATAATTGGCAGTAATCACGGCGGCAGCTGCTCGCGGTCGCTTAAACGCCACTTGGGTGATGAGTATGATGGCGATGATGTTTCAATGTCTGGTAATGCTGCGCGTCGTTCAATGAGCGCTTCTGGAGATGAAATGGCTGACGGGCATGCGAGCAAATTTGTCCGGTCGAGTATTGCTTCTAGATCACACTTGGCGCCAGTATAATAACAAAAATAAACCCACTGACTCTTACCAACATAATTCAACCTCGTACAATTGTTTTTTTCTTTCCTTTATTTCTTCACATTTTCACATTTCACATTTTTATTATTTTGATTTTTCTTTATTGATATTTTTTATTCGGGCATTTATAGTGACATGATTCAACATGTGTAACTATTGGTGTTGAAGAAAGAAAAAAGGGTGGGAGGATGATAGTTACGCTAAATGCACTTGTTTTTAATGAGAAGACACAGCAATGCGATTACCAGTATATGTGCCGACATCAGTCCATATGTAGATCCGGCGGCATCGTTTATATAGATGACTCTGTCGTCGCATGGTGGGGGCTGACGGTGATGGTAATAACCGTCGTTATTGTCTCTGTTATAGTCGTAATCGTCACGGTCGTTCCAGCGCGTCTGGACAGTGGTGAGCAACGAGAGAAGCATAATGCAAAACGTACGAGTGACTGACATGGGGAATAATTATTGAATTAAGAGGAAATAATAAATACATGTATCTTGTGTTAATGGAATTTGGAGGGAGGGGATAACGGCATGTATTTATTTGTGTATAAATAATGTATTATTGTATAAATGTTTATTGAAATTGTATTTTTTATTTTAAAAATGCGGTTGTAGTGGGGGGGTATGTCAATATGCATTGTGATTTAGTTTGGTTTGGATCTTTTGAAATACTTTTTTCTATTTGTTTGGTTGAGTGATAAGGTGTGACATATCTTTTCGTGTGAAAGACTCCTGCGAGAGCAAGTGCATGAGACAAAAGATAAAGTGGGGGGAGATACATTAATATAAATTGCTGTTTTTTTATTTTTGTTTATATTTAATCATTTTTGTTCAGAGAAAAGTAATATATATAACGAAAATGAAATCAGTCCATGGTATCCTCCTGGTTGCCTGCAATTGCAGGGCGGGACGATGTCTGTGGGGCAAACATCGAGTTAACAATATCAAAGAGCGACTGTTGGCGCTGGACAACCACGCCAAAGAACTTCTCAGCCACAGCATCCATCAAATCATGCACAACACCGGCATTAACACCAAATGAATTCTCATACTCCCTACGCAAAAGCCCCAGAATCCTAGCAGAATCTGACCTCGGCGACCCATCGGACCTCTCGACAGTCAAGAGCACCAATTGGACAAAATTAACCTGCTCATGCGCACCACTGACATAGTAAACGGGTCCGATCTTGGATACCAGCGAGGGCTTGGACTTGTCCACAAGAATTTCTGGGAATGCCGCGGACATGCGTGAAATAAATGCGCGCCAGCAGAAACACGCGGCATCGTACCACCCAAGCGCCAAATACTTGAGAACACCACGGGCAATAAAAAGCCCATAATCCCTTGCGTCCGTCTCCTGCGCCCACCCAAACAACATACTCCCAAGCGCCGCGGGACTCTCCACGGTGCCAACCAAATAATGCCCCTCCGCCTCCTTATACAAGCCCCTGAGGCGCAAAACACCGGCAACAAAGTGATGCATCTGCTCGTCACCCCTCCCGCCATCCACCTTAACAGTCCATTGAATGGCGGATTCAAAAAGACGAGTGTAATTTTCCTTTGCGTGAGCGAGTTTTTCGAAAATATCATACACCCTGTCCTTGTTCTCCTGCGTCACCGGGAGTTTGTTTTCCGCGTAGATGCTTATTAGAAGAGTGGTGAGGTCGGAGACGCTGTTCCACTGGCTGTATTGGCAGAGCTCGAGGGCTCCGAGGTAGAGGAATTCGAGTGCGCGTTGGTGGTTTTTTTGCTTGAGGAGGCGCATGCTGAGCGCACGAAGCTCCTGGTGGCTCTCGTAGTAGTTGCCCGAGGTTAGGTTCTCGCGGAGGCTATTCAGGAAGCGGTCGGTGCGCGCATTTGCTGCAGACATTTTGCTGGCTGGCTATTGGGGATTAGAATGTAGATGAGGTTGTGGAAATAAAAGGGAAAAAAAGAAGTTTTACAGAAACAAGAGAAAGAGGAAAAGCGAGTATTTTATTTTTTGGGATCACCTCATCCCAGCAAAAATAAAATTAAAAGGCAGTCCGGCCCATAGGCCTTGTTGTTCACTTCCGCCTGGCGCGCAAGTCGTTGATAATAGCGGCAGTTGCGCTGGTGCCAATTCGAGTGGCACCGGCCTGCAGGCACGCAGCCAGATCCTCCAGCGACCGTATCCCGCCAGACGCCTTAACCCCCGTCCTCGCCACACTCGTACAGCCGCGCATCGCCTTCAGATCCTCAATTCTCGCGCCCCCAGTCGAGAACCCAGTTGACGTCTTGACAAAATCCGCGCCCGCCTCCTCACAGACCCAGCAGGCCTTCCGAATTTCCCCCTCGGCCAGCAAGCAGCATTCAAAAATAACCTTCACACAGCACCCTGCATACCTCCCCTTTGCCGCCACCACCACGGCGCGAATGTCCTCTTGCACCTTGCTCCACTGGCCGGACTTTGCATAGCCAATGTTCAACACCATGTCAAGCTCCGTGGCGCCGTCCGCGAGTGCCTGCAGGGACTCGGCTACCTTGGCTGCGGTCGAGGTTGTGCCGTGCGGGAATCCGATCACGGTGCCGATGGCAACGCCGGTGTTTTGAAGGTGGCTGGCGGCGAGAGAGACGTCGCAGGGGCGCACGCAGACGCTGGCTACTTGGTAGTCGGCGCTGAGCTTGCAGCCGTCGATTACTTGCTGCGTGGTGAGGTCTGGCCGGAGCAGCGCATGGTCGATGGTTTTGGCCACTACTTCGGGAGTCAGGTTTTCGATAGTCGGGTTGGCTGGAAGCATTTGCATTTATTTATTGTGGGTAAGTACACTTGGTATGTTTATAACAATGGGGGTTTATCTTGCAAAAGACAAAAACAAATTTTGACAAGCGCAGAGCAACTATTGCTTTGCTTTATTTCTCTATTTCTCTATATCTATATTTCTATATCTTTATTTTTCAACATTTACATATAAGAGCAAATACTGCTCCCCTTGTCCGGGAGCAATTCAAACACGTGTACATTGCATTATTGTATTATTATATTGTTATCACACATAGGCAAGTCTCGAGTGGTGGTTGATCGGAGCGCAACCATGCATAGCAAAAAAGAAAGAAAAAATTTTCTTTCTTTTTTTTTCCGATGATCTCTCCTTTCATCTCCTTTCGCAGCTTTTAGTCTGATAATGACTTCTTTTTATATTTTTGGACTTTAATTTTTTTTTTATGTTTGGTATTCGTGCGGCAGCTAATCGAATTTCCACAAGTACACCAGCGCTCCGCTCCTTTTTACTAGCACACAGCCTATCCACCCAGACATCAGCCATGCCCGACACGCCGGCCAGCGACAGTGTTTCCTCGCAGACCGAGCAGCAGCCCATTAGCGCAACAGAGCAGCAGCCCATTAGTGCAACAGAGCAGCCCCTTGGCGCAGCAGGCCAGCCCCTCACTGCTTCGGAGCAGCCTGCCAGCGCGACAGAGCAGCCCGATAAAAAACGCAGCAACCGCGGACAGACGTGCAAAGACCGGCGCGAGTTTGCCAAGAAAAAGCGCCTGATCCGCAACCTCGAGCCCAAACAAGAGCAGCGCCAGCCGCGCGCCGAGGGCAGCGAGCCGCGGCAACCCAAGCGCAAAGTAGCGCTTCTAATCGGATTCTGCGGCACCGGATACCAGGGCATGCAGGTGAACCCGAATGCGAAAACCATCGAGGGCGAATTATTCAAAGCCCTGGGCGCCGCAGGCGCTGTCTCTGCGGACAACGCCGATGACCAAGGCAAGGTGCAGTTCCAGCGCGCCGCGCGTACGGATAAGGGTGTGCATGCGGCCGGCCAAGTGGTCTCTTTGAAGATGATCATTGAGGATCCCGGCATTGTGGCCAAGCTCAATGCGAATTTGCCTGAGCAGATTCGCGCCTGGGGCTTTGTGCGCACCATTAGATCGTTCAACTGCAAAACCATGTGTGACTCGCGCACCTACGAGTACCTGCTCCCGACGTATGTCCTTGAGGGCGCGGACCCGGGGCTTGCCGAAATCGCGCGCAAGGTGGAGTTTGGTTTGCGCAGGGTGCCAGAGACTTCGGAAGAGGAGATGGCGCGCAAGCGGGCGTTCAGGGTGACGGAGGACAGGCTGCGGTTTGTGCGCGAGGCCTTTGAAAAGTACGTCGGCACGCACGAATTCCGCAACTTTACCGTCACCAAGGGATGCACGGACAACAACTCTAAGCGGTTCATACATGCGTTCACGGTTTCTGATCCGATGGTGATCCAGGGTGCCGAGTGGCTGAGCCTCAAGGTCAAGGGCCAGTCGTTTATGCTGCACCAGATCCGCAAAATGGTCGGCCTCATTATCCTCATGGCCCGCGCGAACGCCCCCCTGTCTCTCATCAATGCCCTGTTCGCCGGCCCGCGCGTTAACGTGCCCAAGGCCCCCGGCCTCGGCCTTCTTCTCGAGAGCCCCTGCTTCGACGCGTATAACCGCCGCACGGCCGCCCAGAAGGACAGCGCCAGCGACCCCGTCACCTTTGAGCCCTACGAGGCAGAGATCGTTGCGTTCAAGCAAAAATTCATCTACGATGCGATTATTAAGACCGAGATGGACGACCGCGTGTTTGATAGCTGGGTGAAGAGCGCAGAGGTGTTCCCGGAGCAGTACACGTATGTCAACCCCGAGGGCGTTATCCCTGAGGATGCTATTGTGACGCCGGAGACGGAGCGCATTTGGCAGATGAAGCGCAAGGAGCAGATTGCTGCGAGGGCTGCTGCGGAGGACGGCAAGGATATTGAGTCTTCGGAGGACGAGCAAGACTCGAAGGACGATTGAAGACTGAAGAGCAAAGACTGGGTGGTGGGGGTGGTAATTATATGCTGTATCTTTTTTAAAATTAAATAAATCCATGCAGGATCAGCCACAGCACAAATGAGCGCCCCCTCCTCTCCTTCCAGCCAGCGTGTATATTTTTTCTACTTGCATGATAAACATGTTTTGCATTATTCATTCATTGGATTGGAGGTAAAAATGCTGTTGCTAACCTGGTGGCCTGATGACCGAATCACGAAATGCACTCATGCATAAAACATCATCCTCCTCCCACAGACCTGTGATCAGCCTTGCCTAGCCCAGCCTTGCCTTGCCTGACTCTAAACCCAGTGTTTTCCTTTCCTTTCCTTTCTTTTTTATTTTCGGTGCTATTTGAATTCAAAACAATTTCTCTTTTGTTGCATTTCTTTATTCCTTTTACACTTTCTTTATAAAAATACAAATACAATAACAACAAACACTTACTCTTCATTTTAAAAAAGATGAAGCCAAGGTTTATGTACGTTGCATCTCCCTCCCCCCTCCTTTTTGTATAACATATAAAGGGACTATGACCCCCTTCCTACTTGTCTTCTCGCACTTGCCAACCATAGAACGCAAACACTTTCTTTTTCTCCATACCTACCTTTCCATACACACACATACATTTATATACACTTACACTGGCGAATATCCACATCTTATTAACATATAATTACCATGTCTGGCTTTTTAACTTCTAGCATGGAGGACACGCTCCTGGCGCCGTACGAGTATCTGGCGAAAATCCCAGGCAAAGAAATCCGCACAGTGATGATCAGTGCCTTCAACAACTGGCTGCACCTCGACCCCGCGCTTCTATCCTCCATATCGAGCATAATCCGCAAACTGCATACGTCCAGCCTGATGATCGACGACGTCGAGGATAACTCTGACCTGCGGCGGGGTATCCCAGTAACACATAAAATTTACGGCATCCCAATGACCATCAACACGGCCAACTACGTTTACTTTATCGCGCTCCAGGATGTATTGCAGATGCAGAGGCCCAAGTTGGTCGACATTTTTGCCGAGGAGCTTTTGAATCTCCACCGCGGCCAGGGCATGGAACTTTATTGGAGAGATACGTTGACGTGTCCGATGGAGAAGGAATACTTGGAGATGGTCTCGCATAAAACCGGAGGGTTGTTCAGGTTGGCTGTGAGAATGTTGCAGGAGTGTAGCGAAGAGAAGGTGGATTTTACCGGGTTGGTCGATATGATGGGGGCGTTTTTCCAGATCAGGGACGATTATATGAATCTGCAGTCGGCGGAGTACTCGAATAATAAGGGGTTCTGCGAGGATCTTACCGAGGGCAAATTCTCCTTTGTCATCGCCCACGCTATTACCAAGGGTGAGGATGGCGGCCAGTTGATGAGTATTTTGAGACAGAGGACGGCGGATGAGAATGTCAAAAGGTATGCAGTTTCGCTGATGGATAAGGCTGGGGCATTTGAATATACAAGGGAGTACTTGGCTGTTTTGGAGGACGATATTGCAGAGAAAATCAAGGAACATGGCGGTAATGAAGTCCTTGAACAAATGATGGCTAAACTTAGTGTCAGGAACATTTAGAAGAAGAAAAAAGTCTGATAGTTACTTTTCTATTTATTTTCTTCTCGATTTTATTTTTTTGCATTTCATTTTTCTAAATTTTTTATTATCCTGTCATAATTTTTTGAGAGAGAGAGAGAGAGCTGATCTTTTCCCATATAAAATATTATAAAGCCACGAGTAAGCTTTCCTTACAATCTTTTTTTTTCCGAGCACGGAAAAAAAAAGATTGGTTAAGTTTAGAAAGACAAGCAACTTTTTTATATACACATTTTTTATCATACATAGCGCATGACGACAACGATAATGGAGACAACTGCAGCAGCAGCAGTAGTTGCACCAGAGGTGTCCGATCAGCAGCCAACCAATGGCAATGCCAGCACCATTCTGACCGAGCCGCCCAAAAGACCCAAGCGTCGAGCCAAAGGAAAGCCCCAGCCCAATCCACTCCCGCTCTCGCTCCACCCAGCCATTCTCCCACGCATCGGCGTGCTCCTGACCACATCCAACACCAACTGCAAACCCGACTCCACCGGCATCTCCCAACCGCCTCTCTTATTCTCAGAACCACCGCTAATCTAATCTGGACACTTGCCACCTGGCCACTAACCCGGCTCCTGCGGCTCCTCACCCCGGCAAACCTCCTATGGCCCACCCTGGTAAAGACTAAGCTCCAGGCTTCCGTGTGTGTGATTAGAGACCGGATGAGAATCCAGTGGATTGCCTTGTGTGGGTTATGTTTGATGGCTTGCTTTTGTGGGTTGGTGGCGCGTTTGGGAAGGGCATTTTGTCTAGGTCCGATCCTACTTGGCTCAGGCGCTATTTGAGGGAAACTGGCGTGAGCAGTAAGGGGAAGCAAGTGTTCCTTGAGGATATTACGAAACAAAGGCGTCTGGAAAGGCAGATGAACAAGGGTGCGGCGGCAGCTGAGGCTGTGGCTGGACGGCTAGAGGAGTTGAGGGTGAAGAGAAGGGGGCCGAGACTGAAGAGAAGGAGGCGAGCAGATCGTTAGAGGAAGTAGTGGAGGAAGATGACCAAATAGATACGTTGGTTGGTCCCGAGGAAGCCTCAGAAATGGAACCCACGCAGCTATCACCCTACGAGTGCCTGTTTCTGTGCGACGCCGGATGTCTCGTCCCCAGGGACTCCGCCACCAACGCTATACTCTGCGCGAATGATCTCTGGAAACTCTTTGACTCGCTCGAAGCTGATTTCGAAATCAAATATGCTGCCTACTACTACTACCGGTCAAAGGGGTGGGTTGTCCGGAGTGGAATAAAGTTTGGGTCGGATTTTTTGCTGTACAACAATGGACCAGCACACTCACACGCGCAGTATTCTGTGGTTGTGCGCCACAGAAAGTGTTTGTCAGACAAGGAAATTGATACTCAGGAAAATGAAGAGGATGGATATGGGGGTGAGAGCCGGCGGTTGGTGGACACTTGGCAGTACATGTTTGCTTTGACCAGAGTCACAGCCCAAGTGCAGAAGACCTTGGTTGTGTGCTATGTTGATTCGCCGGAGAGCCAATGCTTGGCCGACAGGATGGATCTCTGCCAGTACGCTATCGAGGAGCAGGTCATTTCGCGATTCAATCCCAATAGAAAATAAATAATAAAATTGATTCCACACAAAATTGATATTTAAATTGTTTCGTTCATTTGGTGCCTTGTTTGCTATAAGCGTCCCCCTCTAAGCGAGACTAAAAAAAACAAAAAAAGACCCATATATGGAACGGGAGATGGCTTAGTGGAAGGCCTTGTGTTCCAAAAGCATCTCGTTGTTGGCAGGCAGACCAACGAAGGCACGCATGATGTTCTCCATGGCCATGCGCTGCTTGGCAAGGGCGTTGACCACAGGGGTGTTGGGAGGCACAACGGGGGCCTTGAGCATGTACGACAGGATGGACAAAACCGAGTGGAAGGGCACCCACTCGGGCTCAACCGCATCAGAATCATCCCTGACGCGGTACGCAACACGGGTCATCAGCTCCGTCATCATGAACAGATCGATAATCAGCGGGCTGGCAAGCAGCGAGTCCTCGCACGTGTTGTAGATCGAAATAGTGTTCAGACCACCCATGAAGATCTCACTAACGTACTCGTCCATGGCGCGCTTCGAGTCACCAACCGAGGGCACGTACTTGATAACGATTGTGTGATCGGGGTGCTCACCCTTCTTGTACAAAAGGTGGTTGGAACCGACCATATCATCGACGACGCTGCTCTTCGAGATTTCCTTGGAGCGGAACTGCGCGGGCGCAGACAGGTTGCGCCCGTCGTTGTTACCCAGGTGGTTGTACGACGTGATCGCCAGGGGCTTGATACCGGCATTGACCAGGAACTCGGCCAGCACGGACTTGATCTTGGTCTGGCCCGACTTGAAGTCATCACCGCCGATGAAGCAGCTCTTGCGCTCGGCCAGCTCAATGACACCGGGAACCAGGGTGTTCTGGGGCGAACCATTGACAAAGGGTGCGCCCTCGAGAATCGACGCAATGGCAAACAGGGTTGACGGCGACACCTCGGCGTGCCCATCCTCGACAGCCTTGAGCAGGTTATCTGCGGTGTCGTTGATACCGGCGAGAATATCCGCGTAGCGCTCCGTGTTGGCAGTCCACATAACAATCACGCGCTCGAGATCGTTGGCCTGCTTGAAGTCGCGGATGTCCTTGCGCAAGTGGTCCAGCTGCTCCTGCTTGGTGCCGCCGATAATGTTGTCGGCCCGGTCCTCCTGGTTGGCTGCGATAAAGTCCGGGTAGTAGACCGAGGGCAGGGGCTTAAGCTCCTTGAGCTCATCGTACACCCTCCGCTGCAGATCAACCGGCAGAACCTGCGCGCGGCGCATGGCGTCACCGATGCTCAGCGAGTTAATGTCCCAGCCACCAATGACAATATCATTGGGGTGAGCCATTGGCACGACCTCGTTGAAGGGCACGTAGACGTCGTTCAGCTTGGCATCCACACCCAGCTTGACCGTCGACGCCATCATGATGGATCCAAAGTAGTTGGGCTCCTGCATGCCTTTACGCGTCTCCCACGAGATGTTCTTCTTGTTGGCGAGAATCGAGGCGGTCACCGTGGTGCCGTTGTTGCCAGCCCAGCCGACGAGCATAAGGCCGACGCGGCCGACCTTGGTCTTGGTCTGGAATTGGTAGTGTACCTTGGTGGGCTTGGCCCTAAGCTGCCCGGTCTCGGCGTCGCGGCTGACAATGGTCGTGTCGTACATGTAGTCCGACTCGACCTTGCCCTCGCTGTAGTGCACGTAGGGCGAATCGACCTTGAACGCGGTAGTGCCCGAAGCGGAGGCAGTGGCGGCAGCAATGGCGCTGTTGGCGGTGGTGTTATCGATGGTGTTGATGGGAGACATGGTTGATTGGTTTGTTTGTTTTTAAAAGGCTTTTTTAGAGTTTGTTGTTTTTTGTAAGGGATTTTTTTTTGAAGAGTATTAGTTTGGTTGATGTTGATGTTGGAGGTTGAAATCACGAATCAGCACACGGAGAGAAAGACTATGTTAGTGCTTTTTAGGCTTGGGCTGGGTTCTCTTTCTTCCTCTGTGTGGATTGTGCACTGAAGCAAGCTGGTTGGAAAACGTTGTAAAAAGCGATAGCTAGTAGGTTCCCGGAGTCAAACAGATGAGACGGGGAAATCCTGCAAAAGAAAAGTTGACTATAACGCGCTTGTAAAAAGTGTTAAAGGCCTAAGGTGTGGAAAAAAGGATATCTGTGGATTAATGGTAAGAAAAAAAAGAGAAAAGAGAAAAGTATGACCGCGTTCTGGGCCTTGCGGTCTGCAATTTATATCAAAACGGTTCTCGTTTCCTCCGCACACAAAATCCAATCAACAACGTCCAAGTAAATTATTGGCCTTTGGCTTTCAAGGCCAATTAGGGACAATGGCAACAATGGCCAGGTTGTATTCTATTTTTCCACTATTTATTAGTTTTGCTTTGCGCAATTATCCCGGTGTTTTTTTCAATACAGGCGGAGCCACTATGTGCCCACTTTGCGGCGCGCAGAGTAAGACAGATCAATCACTCCCACGGCATTAACAAGGGCGATCGGCTGTCAAAGCTGAAATTGCACGTGTGCCAATCACCATTAATTATCTGCAACAAAAAAACTGACTTTTTCCCTTTGAGAGGAACAAGTCTGAAGGATCTTCGAAGCATATGCACCTCCCAAATGCGGAAAAAAAGGTGGCAAGATAAGCCATGAAAAGACCCAAAAGCGACCATGTGTAAGTTGTACATGGCTCCACGTTCTGCAATGATCTGCTCCATTCTGCTGCACCTAGGTGCATGTTTGTTACATTGTAAAAGAAGCGCGCTCGAGCAATAGTGCAAAAGTAGTGTCACTTTCACATGCAAGTGCAGCGAAGCGGAAAAATCATGTCTGTGATTAGGCTGATTGACAAGGCTTCACTGCATCAGTCACGCTCATAATTACAATTCTGGAATCAGATTTATTTATATTTTACTCATATTAAATCTGCCAAAAGCGGATCAGGTTGGGCAATGCCTCTGCGCATATCAGAATCACAACCCTGAAACCGACTTTCGATAAGGTCATGAACGCACTTCTAGCTTTGATTATTTGCATAAATAATATGAAACATGTTGCTGCTGCCACTGGCTCGTTTTTTATTTGGGCCATGCGCATACACAGTGACGTAAAACCTCCATCTGTGTGATTGGACAGCTCTTGCTTGATGCAGGGACAGGGGCTGTTCAAACAATAAAGGTATATTGCTGCCGCTCAAACTAAAGGTTGTAACATAGGTCTAGGGCCAAAAATCAGAGTATTTTTGCGTAAAAGGTTGCAAGAAAACTGACGCATTTTTGAGGTATAAAAGAGCGACATTTGCCGGCACATTCATCTCGACAAACCCATCACCCATTCAACATTCTTGAATACTAGCAATCTTCACAGCACCGTCTTTTAACAACCACAACCAACCAACTACTTTATAAACTTTATCATCATGTCCAACCTTTTCAACCAGGCTGCCGGCGCTACCAAGGAGGCCGTCGGGAACATTCTCGGCAACAAGGATCTCGCTGACAAGGGCCGTGGCCAGTGGGCCGAAGGCAAGGGCGAGCAGAAGATGCAGGAGAGCCAGGCTCGTAGCGAGGAGGAGAACCCCAATATGCACCGCGCTGGCGACTCTGTCAAGAACACCGGCGGTGCCGCCAAGGAGAAGTTTGGCCAGGCCATTGGCAACGAGCGCATGGAGGCTGAGGGCCGCAGCCAGCGCGCCCAGGCCAAGGGCAACGCCGAGCACCACGAGAACCTTGCCAAGGACAACGCCAGGTCCGGTTTTTGATCACGAATCGCTACTGTAATTTAAAAACATGATCCAATTGTTGGATTTTGTTTGTATTTCAAATGTTTATATAAATAAATCCTTATTAAAGGAAACACACTTGCACTAAAGTGACGACAATTGTGATATTATTATTAGCAACGTGGATTTATATTATTGTGCTAATAAAGTAAATACATTCAATTGTATTTGAATATCGACAATTTGTTATGTATTCGCGCTGTTAAAAGATGCATATGGTCTCATCTTTATAAATGAAGATAATGTTAAATATGGAGTTGAAGGGCCATTTGGTTGATTGGTGGTTTGTTAGCTCTACTTTTTGCTTTTGGTCACGTTCATATACCCTCCAAATAGATGTCCCTGAGTCAATATTTGTTATTGATAGCTATACATTTGTTATGTGCCACATGTTTGCATTAGAATAAAATAAATAGGGCGGTGGGGCTTTTGTCACAAAAACAATAGCAACAAATAAAAATGCAGCAAGTATAGTCAGGGGCGAGGAATGCCCTATTTATATTTTTCTTGTAACACTGTAATAACAAAAATAAGAAACGAAAAAAGACATTTTGTTAACATGGCCAAGTGTAAAAAATAAATTAGAAATTGTTCAAAAGCCAAAACAAATTGCACATATAGCAACTGGCCAATTTCAATTGATGACCAAAGTAATTGAAAGTTAAAGTCATAGTAATTTTAAATAGAATTTTGTAAATGTAGTTTTTTATCTAATACCCGTAGAAAATAAAAATATTTCAGCGAGCAAGCGAGAACAAGTATAAAAAACCAATATCAAAGTTTTATATTTCCACGATTGCTGTCAGAATTAATTAACAATTCATGTTGCTTGTCACCAAAGCCCCCAAACTCTCATGTGTGTGTGTCGGTCCTGACAAATGGTCACAAGGTATAATACGCAACAACAAATAGCATGGCATGCATCGACTATAAAGATCTCGACCTTTGCAGCCAACCGGATTGTTCTTATTCTCCTGTTGTTTTTGTTATTACTTGCCGAGAGGTCGCAGAAGAGAGATTAGAAAATAGGTCGAAATCATAAAGCTGACACATCGACCCCTCACAACCTTGGATTGCTGTTTCTTTTCCATTGCTAAGACAGAAATTGGAAGCTCTCAGTTCAGCCCAACAGTTTGCAAACCACAATATAAAATTTCGCATATTGTGAATGGTCTCGCAATTACACAAAACCAACAAGCACACCACATACAGAACATATGCCATGTTGCCCCACACTAGTCCATACAATACCTGTGACGCACTTGTTAATTCCTACTCAATGCCCAGCATACTATCAACTGAGCCACAGCAGCCTACCAGCCAACAGAGCACTTGCAGCATAGTCTGGTGCTTTCTTCACTTAACCCCCTTTTAACAAAAGGGCTTGGTTCCGGATGAAAACCATGCTGCAAAGCTGTACAAGCTGCCCAAGCGACTTTCATTCCTGCTGGACAACAGGCAATGCAACCATAAGGTCAAAAACTGCACGACAGCAGCCAAAGAAAGTACAAACACAAAATAAGAGAATAAATAAGATTGGGACAAGGATTGCTGAACCGTCTGTTATCAACCGGGGATATACGATCCATTGTCAGATATATCATCCTTCACAATATCTATGCCGCGGATTTCAATACCAGGACAATTAAGTGGGCGCCAAAGGTTGTGTAAAAAGTGTGCAACTTCCACGCGGTTGTTGCGATTTACCTCGAGCACAAGTGTAAGAACTAAAACAGCATAAAATAAAAGAGCAAGTGGGGCAGCCTGAGTGAAGAAAAAAGAAGAGAAAAAAGAAAAGCTGAGCTAGAATATGTCTTCCTTTTTGAATAACTATTTCTCAGCTCTGCCATTTGGGGACAGAAAAAATATTTTATTTTCCGCGTGGTTTGTTCTAAAAATCCTGGTTGGACATTTCTTGTTATTTGTATTGCTGTATTAGAATGTGTCATAAATGCTGGATAGTGCAATTTATTTGGCATGATTTTTTGACCATCAAATAATTTTCGACATCAAATATTTGCCCGCTCAAAAGCAATAAAAGCCACCAAGTTCAAAAATTAAAATTCAAGTTGGCGCTTTAAAGTATGACCAGCTTAAAGCAAAAAAGATTCACTGTCAGAGAAATTAACTGTTTACCGAAACTCAACCAAGTTTAACAAATAGCTTGGTAGAAAATGTTGTGGGCGTTGCATGCACTTATTATCGCCCATTTATGTTTTTCAGTTTGCACAAATAAACAAAAAATGTCGCCGAGCCAGAAAAATGTTCTCACACACGTAATGACTGTCATTTATGCCATTGTTTTCAAAAATTATATTCAAATAATAAAATCAGTTTATTCTTGCAAACGAAGGAGCAATTTTAAAATAAAATAAATAGGCAATGTTATCATTAAACAGCTCTGCAAAGAAAACTCCAGAAAAATAAACGTTTCCAAGTTTTAGCAAGTGCAATCCTTGTTAATAGCAAATACTGCGCTGTGAATGTCCAATGTTGTCGCGAGTTAATGTTCTTTATACTAAGTGACTTTCACAATTGATCGTGAACACCGATCGTGGTGATTCTCGCCATATAAGCTCAGCTCAGCTGAGCTGAGAACTCGCGAGCTAAGCCAATGGCGAGCAGACATTAATGTAGCAGCGGTCAGGATATCACTTAAGCATTATAGCTGCCTATAAAATGGCAGTAGGGAAAACTCAATAGGTTTCTTTAGTTTTAGTTTTAATACAGATTTATTGGACATCTATTCTGACATTTATTACACTGATCACAAATATGGAAACCTCGTGTTTGTAGTCTTTGATATCCATCCTGTCGTCATCGGCCACTAGTCCCGTGGTGCAACAAGCCGGTTATTTATTTTTATATCTTGTCATGCGATGACTAAATACATAGTTCTCAGTGTGGAATTCAAATAAAATAGTACATAATATTACCCACTGTTGCGCCTAATTAAAAATCCAACACATTCTCATAAAAAACAGAACTAAAATAAATAAATGACAATCCATTTCATCGCAGACAATTATTAAACGATAATTGGTCGATACGCATAAATAATGACGTTATTATTTATCAAACCAGGATGACCGAAAATGATGTAGTTTATCAACGACTATTTTATTTTAATATTACTTCATATTTTCATCAAATGATAACATGTGTATGATGTAATAGTTTCTGTATTCATCGGACTTTAATATTTGTGCAAGTCAAAATGATTTAGGTTGATTTGGTCTATGTTATATCAACTTTTTACGGAAAAAGACATTGGTCAGACTTGAAAAAACCGACGCATCTTTGAGGTATAAAAGAGCGACATTTGTCGGTACATTTATCTCGACAAACCCATCACCCATTCAACAGTCTTGAATACTAGCAATCTTCACAGCACCGTCTTTTAACAACCACAACCAACCAACTACTTTATAAACTTTATCATCATGTCCAACCTTTTCAACCAGGCTGCCGGCGCTACCAAGGAGGCCGTCGGAACATTCTCGGCAACAGGGATCTCGCTGACAAGGGCCGCGAGCAGTGGGCCGAAGGCAAGGGCGAGCAGAAGATGCAGGAGAGCCAGGCTCGTAGCGAGGAGGAGAACCCCAATATGCACCGCGCTGGCGACTCTGTCAAGAACACCGGCGGTGCCGCCAAGGAGAAGTTTGGCCAGGCCATTGGCAACGAGCACATGGAGGCTGAGGGCCGCAGCCAGCGCGCCCAGGCCAAGGGCAACGTCGAGCACCACGAAAAGCTCGCTAAGGAAGACGCCAGGCCTGACATTTAAGCTTTGAATTTTAGGCATACGTTTTTGTATATGTTTTATATTAAATATACGTGTTCTTTTGTAAATTTCTTTTTGGAAAGATGCAGCGTGGCGCAGTGCAAATGTAAGTGTAAATTAACTAATATTGTGTAAACACCAACTTATTTATTTGCTTGTGCTAAAAATCTAGTTAACTCCTTCCTGTGCTTTGAATGCATCCCAACCCTCGTTGAGAGCTGTGAACACGCTCGATGAGATCATCTTTGTCCGCACGTCCACGTCCTTGCTCAACTTGTCCGGATGCAACCTGGAAATAGCCCGCATATAGGCGCGCTTAACCTTATTTGGCTCCAAGATCTCGTGCATTCCGATGGGCTTAAAGTCGGGCAAAAGTGTGTGCAGGCTGGACAGCAGCGCACGGAGGTTCTGCTGCTTGCCGTCGCGCCAGCGCTTAATTTCGGCATCAACATGATCAATAATAGCCATTCTCTGGTCGTCCTCCACGCGCTTAGCCTCGTCATTTCTGCGCATCTCAGCAACCGCCGCAGAATTCTCCCTATCCTGGTTCAAAATCGTCGTTCCCTTGCTCTTGACAGTGTCAATTGAAATCGAGGCAAACAGCGTGGCAATGTCTTCGGGCCGCTGCTTAACCACGGGCGCCTTTGGCTTAACAGGCTGGTTGATTCCCAGCGCCTTTTCGCAGCGCTGGATGCCGCGCATGGACTGTTGGCGAGAGCCCGAGTCACGGGCAACCTCCTTCAGCTTCTTCCAGTCATCCAGTGCCTCGGTGTACTTTTCATCAGCCTCGCATGCCTCGCCACGCCGCTGCAACGCCTTTGCACGCTGATCGACTATGTCCACCCGACCGGAATCAGCTCCCAGCTCGACTATGCCGTTGCCCTGGTACAGGTCACAGAGCTCCAGTGACAGGCTGCAGTCACCAAGTGCATTTTTGGACTCGCCGTTGCGCATGTACGCCAGGGCACGGTTATTGTAAAGCAGGATGAGGATGGGGTGCGCGCTGGAATGGCAAACAACGCTGCTGACTGCGTCGGTGTACCCGATAATGGCATCGCCAAACTGGCCTAGCTTAAATTGGTCGTTGGCTCTTGTTTTGGCCGCATTGGATCCTTGCAAGATATGACCAGGCAGCGCTGGGACCTGTGCTGCAGCGGGTATGGCAGCAGCTGGCGGCCGCGGGCTTTGGCTCGCTGATTTTGCCTCCAGCCTACTGGCGTACATACTCGGGGAGGACATATAGCGCTGCTGCTGCTGTGACCCCGATCCAAGTGAAGGCGATGAAGCTGCTCCAAATCCGGTATTCATGTCGATAAATGTCTCTGTCTGCGCAGCGGGTCTTGAGGCACTGCGTCCACCAAAGCTCTCCTTTTTTCTGCCAAAGTTATCCGGCTGCCTTTCAGGCTGGCGGCCACGGCGGTTCGCAGACACGTAGACATCGGCATCATCGTCCGAGGATGAGTCGCGGTACGGCTGAGCTGATGGCAAATAATCTTCGTCCCGCCACGATCTCCCCGACCCGCTGCCGACCTTGCGCTGCTCCAAGACGGTCTCCTGAATCTCGATTATTTTCTTCTTACCCATAGCAAACCACGAGTTGGCCTGCTTCCACACGTTGGTGCCAATCTCGTTTGCTTGCGCGAGCAGCACATCGGTATTGACCTTGTTGCCAAAGACGGACTTTTGGCCGGATGAAGATGCACCTTGGTCACCCCGACCTCTGCCGTTGGTTCTGGCGCGAGGGTCGCCATAGTCGTACCTGTTGGTACCTTGGTCATCGTCAGATGAGCTGTCTCTGTACTTGGTGGGCCTTTCGTGATACGCGGTGCTTTGAGCAGGGCGGCCTGCTGGCAGCTGCTGTTTCTGCTGCATCTGCTGGCCCGAAATCTGGCGCGCAGTTGACTGTTGCTCGCGCAAAAGCTGGATTGCCGCCCGCGTGCTGCTGGTGATTTCCAGCGCGGCCTTGGCCTGATCCGCCGTGAACCCGTAGTCGACAATTTGAGCGATCTCAAAGTCATTGTCAGCAAATGCGTCGGCTGATTGACCTGCAGCTGGGTATACCGCAGCTCGCTCTATGGGCACTTCCGGCAGGTTAAAATCCATGGGGATTGGCTCGTCGTCGTCAAGCAAGTGTCCGCTGCCAAAGCTTTTCGAAGGAACTTTGCCGCTTCCACCGAAACTGCCGCCATTCCTGATGCTGTCGTTATTACTGGTCCTTATCTGCTGTGTACTCGAGAACACTGAAAACGGGTCAAAGTCCATCGCGCTGCTATTGCTGCTGCCTGTCGCAAACCCTGTTGGCTTTTGCTGCATCACCGGCATGACAACACTCGGCCGAGACGTGCCCACCTGCTCTAGAACATCAAAATCCCACACATCCTTCTGCTGCTGTTGTTGCTGCTGGTGTGGCCTTGATTGCGATTGTGTGGCAAAGGGCGAGCCCGAGCGGGACTTTGTCTGCTCCTCCAGTATTTGCTGTCGCTCGCGAAGAGTCATCTTTGCCTGGTTGGGCTGCGACGAAGTGAACGATACCAGCTCGCCAAACGGGTCGTCTTTGGGATCTTTCTGAAGCGGCTTTTCGGCAGAGCTGCCCGAGCGGCTTTGTTGGGATGACGAAAAGTTCAGCCCTGGTGAAGACATGCTGGGCGAGTAATTGGGACCACTTGCGGTGCTGCGCATTGCAGATGGCTTGCCAGCGCCTGGCGAATTGCTCGCACTCTTCTGCTGCTGGCTGTTGTTGTTGTTGCTGCTAGGCCAATTGAGTCCCGAAAAATCGTCCATCTGGCGGTTAGATTGTTAAAACAGAATAAAGATAAAAAGATAAATAAAACAAATAAAAATTAGAAAGAGAAATCTGCTCCAACAGCCATGCTGAATAGAATGCGTTGACGCAGCAAGTTGCAAGCAGTCTTGCCAAAGTTTAATAATTGCGCAGAGAAAAACTAGTTACTTAATTTAATCGACGTATGCCAATGTTTTTACTGGATGTATTTGCTCATGAACTTGCGATGAAAGTCAGAGCGCAGCATATCGTTGACAAAGCGTTTCTGGGACTTTCCGTCGTCGCCCTTGGCCTGGTTGCGGAAGACAACATCGTCGTCCCACCGACGCTTGACCGAAAACTCCTGCCCGCCTTTAAGCAAAGGGTTGGCCCCCATCACTGAGCCGGCATTCATCAGCTTGCGCTCCTCTGCCTCCCTCTCCTCACGTGCCTTTTCATCCGCGCGCTCTCTCTTTATTTTCTCCAACTCGCGCATCAACAACGCTGTCTCGTCCTCGTCGCTCTCCTCATCACTACCTTCAGAGCCGCTCTCCACGCTCTCCTCGCCATCTGACTCTTCTCCATTTTCGCTCTCTTCGTCTGAGGCTGCGTCCAGCATTTGTGCCATTTCGATGTATTTGGCTCGGTTAACTGCCAAAGCAGACTGTGACTCTTCTGTCGAGGATTCTGTCGTAGCTGTGTCGTGTGTCAGCTGCTTGGCCTCGTAGTGTTTGCGCTCGGCCTCTTTGAGCTCTTGCCTGAGCTCTTCCACTGTGTATCCTTTTCGCCACCCTGGCCAGGTTTGCGCGTCTTCAGCCGTGTGTGGCTGGGCAGGTCCTTTGCCGAGGTCAAATGTGAGAACTGAGCTTCGGCTTTTCCCTTAGCCGGGTCAAACGTAGGGCGTGCTGCTGTGGTCATTTGTTTTATTTGTGTAATAAAAAAGATGCGAGTGAGTGTAATTCAAATATCGTAAAGCGTTGTCTTATTTTTTATTTTTCCTGAATAAAAGAAACAGGATCTTGCATTTAATTTAAATACCCTAATTTCTGCACATGTTGTACTATGGCGTGGATCGAGGGATACACGTGTACAGATATTTTGCTTTCATTTAAACCCTTTTGGGCTGCTTTAGACACTCTTGCAAACAAATGATAGCTGCATGGCCACACAGCCGATAAAAAAACGTTGCGCTGCCGTGACTCGCGTATATGGCGGATTTATTGCGTATTGGTAAAAGATAAAAAAAGGTCTACTGAACAAAAAAAGGACAGCATAAACACACTTAGTGGTTCTCAGCGTGCTTGTGGTGCTGGAGGTGCATGTAGTAGTGGATGGAGTAACCGCCAACGATCAGAGCACCGATAACATGGATAATGGGGGCACCCGAAGCGTTGTCACCACCAATGTAGCGCGCGTAGTAGCGGCTCAGGGGGCCACCGCGAGCGACCTTAGCCTGGGCATTACCCTTGGGCAGGTTACGGTAGAGCGACACAACCTTGCTAACGTCCTGGGCCGACAGAGTGACGGCGGAAGAGGCTTCCGAGGAGACAGACTCGCCAGCGCGTGCGGCAAAACCAATGTTGGGAGGAATGATCTCACGAAGGCTCGAGTAGTTGCGGAGTGCGCTGGTGCGCTTCAGGAGAGTCCGGCCGAGAGCTGCGTTCATTTTAAAGTGTTGTTTATCGATTGATTTGAAAGGGCTTTTTTGTGATTGAGGAGCTGTAATTCGAATAAACAAATAAAATGCGAATTGAAAGAGAAATATATGGCGCGGATTGCAGGTGTTTTTTTTGGTTTCTTACAGTTGGGTTTTGTCCAAGCCAAAAAAATTCACTCAAGCTTGGTGTTCATTGTTGCCTGAGATAAAGGAGCCCGGTTTTCTTACGCTTGAGAGAATAAATGAAGGCAGCTAAAAAGGCACGATTGGCCGATAGTGGCTGATCAAGCTGATTAGATTTCGCTAATTCTAATCACGTGAATATTTTTTTTGAGAACTGCTTTTTTTCAATGACCTATGCAAGCTAGGAGAAAAAAGCAGTTCTCCGAGATGAATTATACAAGTGTTTGTCGCCAATAATGCTGCCGCTTTTTACTCGGTGACACCTAAGACAATGAGCTATTCACAATACTGGTCGAGTTGCTCAAATAATATTCATATATAAATATCACCCCATGTGCCCCAGTAAAAATAATAATCTTTGTGTAAGAGCAGTAACATTTTATATTTAGATACGTTGTCTTTTGCAACGAAATTTATTTTTGAATTTTACTAGGAATTCTGTGATGCAAACACGAGCTGTTGCCATAAAAATGCATTTAATGATAACGCCAATGATTATCTTACTAAAAACCACAGACCCCCATTTTCAAACGCAGTTGCATTCAAACGGCATCTAAAGATACTTATGAACTACATATTCAACCAAGAAACAGCCAAAAAATGACCAGACATCTCATTATGCAATCTTGTGTGCTCTTTTATTTAGTGTGCGCATTGTCCTTTTTTCCATGCACCGTATTACAGTTACAAAATATGCCTGGATGGAAAAAATACTGGCAGTGTCAAGTGGCGCCTTGTTGGTGGGAATCTCATTCTATAGTAAAAGTGTCATAATTGGCAAGGGGCACGTACTGTGCGCTTTTTTAAGCACAAGATAGCGCACCGATTTAATATACAGCCTAATAAAAATAGATACACTAAAGACATTGTTCCATCATAACAATGGACCACTCTCCCGAAATAAATATCCTACAAATGTAAACAACTAATAACATGTCCGCTTTAGCGCATTAAATTAAAAATTAAAAATGATAACATTACCACTGCCTATGATGATTTTTTAGCACTGCCTATAGTGCGCACTAAAAAATATGTCAAATGACGATTACACACAAAAACTGATAATAAGGCGGTGTGAAGCGTGCAGATAATCGCAGACACTGTGGTCTATAAAGAATATAGGGTCTCCGAGCGTGGCTAAGAAAAAAATTGAAAATCCAAATCCAATTTCAGGTCAATTCGGGTTTATGTTGACAGCGCAGGAGGATCGAATGTACGAGCGACTGAGAAAGGCGAATCCTCGCACAAGCAAAAGCTGCATGGAAAAGCATGCGATTGGGGGCCGATCCCTCGAGGCAAAATAGATAAATAGCATGGCAACATGTAATGTTTGGCTGCATAATGGATGCTGCGCCAGAAAGAGAGAAACACAAAACAAAGGGCAGGGGCGGCATTTTCGCAGCGAATGAAAAGTCGCAGAGCTAAGTCACCCTTGCGCAAAAATGAATCGATGAAGACTGGAGTCATTGGGCTGAACTATTTGCTTTTCAGAGCCAGATCGCAGACCATCCGGCTTGTGGATACTGACAGCAAATGTACCTAGCTGCTGCTTGGTTGCGGCTGCATCACGATCTTTCATGCTTTGGCTGCGTCGCTTTGCGGGCTAAGCATCAAATGCGGCTTTTCGTCTGCTCTTGGGACCCGTAGCTTTTTGGTGGTGGGGTACTAAATAGACTGATCGGAAAAGTCAATCATTAAAGTGATAATGGAGAGGGAAAAGACAGGATTGCAGCTGACTTCTGGATTGACCAGTGGCTATCGACGAGAAGAATGCAAACAGCAGAATTCAAACAGAGCAAACAGAGCAAAGAAGACCAAAAAACAAAAAATGGTCCAAAAAGGCAGTATATTTGGTGCGACCGATACGCTGTTTTGAACTTTTCGAACTTTTTTTGAGGGATCGATTGTGCTTTATTTTGCTTTATTATTTTTCCAAGTGCGTGTATCCAAACAGGATAAAAGTTTCCATTTTCAGCCTCAGTGTAAACCTCGCGTGTCAGAGAAAGACACTGCAAAGCAAGCCCTCTGCCGAAAACCACAAATTAAAAATACATTACGCACCGCCACCCACCCCCAACCAACATTTGCAGCAGGCAAAGGCACGATGAGCAAGTATAATTTTTTTGAAATAGAAAAGCGAATCTCGCAGCTAGCGAATTGCGTCAAAGTGATGCAGGAGAGCTCAATCAAGAAAACAATTATTTTAGAGTGGGGGGATTTTTTTGTTATTGTGCAATTATTTTGCTGATTTGTTTCTGATTGAGTCGTTGCTGTGCCAGATGTGTGCGATATGCTTTCTCTTGCTTGCAAAACTGAATATAAAGAGCTGGTAGCCCGCCGCGTCTCGTCTAATCCTCATTTTTCGAGTTACTTTTTATACTTATTTTTTATTTCCAGCCAAAAAAGGGAAATTAAATATCTTTCAGCAACATCATTTTTTTACATAGCATTTTTGTACCATTTTTTGTTTATATATACATACACCGCTGCTATCTTTTGCACTTTTGGATACTTGAACATAGACAGGCTCACACACACGCTTACACAAACTCTCCGCCATAATTTTACTCCGGATTTTCTTGCTTATAGCTTGCTGCACTAGTTTCATAATTTTTATAGCACAACAATTGCATTAATCACTCTGGAAGCCCAAACTTTTAAAAAATAACAAGGGGGCGAGGTTCAAGTGCCATATAATTTACCTTTTCTCTTTTTTCTCTCCTTATTTTCGACTGTCCTCATCCTATTGGATTACTGCGCAGCCTCAAAGCCAAGCCTGTAAAATTTTGGGCATTTTTTGATCTCATTTTTAAACTTTTTTTCTCAGCCGCTCCCCACATTCTTGTGAACGTACCAAAAATAGGGCGCATTTTAGCTACTTTGCGGGGGCACGTCATTATTTATCGTTGTTCTTGTATTCCATTTCCACAAACCTAGCATACAACGCTTTGCTTTGTTTTTGTTCGGCCCGGCATATCCTCTCACTCATTTATTCATTTTCTGTTGCTCATACATTCAGTGCACTGCCATTTTACTTGCCGCTAAGCTTCTACATACTCTGACTGCGCATTCTTTTTTGCAAAATTTTGCTCTATCATTTTATTTCCTCGTATCAGTTACACATTTGTTTTCCATTTGTGTTATTCATCACCCTCTTTTGTTATTAGCATATTAGCATCTGCCCCCCCCATTAAACCACATTTATTCCTCTCTTTCTCTGATTCTCTGTCAGAGACTGACGACGGGCCAGGATGAACTTTTTCCGTCGAATGACTAGGAGAGGCCCTGTCTCCACCGATGTCCCAAACACAGCACACTCCAGCATCGCAGAGACGGATGATTTCTCGCTGGAATTGGTCAAACAGCGTAATATCTTCGAGTCAGTGACAGCAGCCAGCGATGAATCCAAGCGCAAAAGCTACTTTGGCCTGGGTTCGACAACGCCGTCGTTTTTCCACCGTCGCAACACGGCCACCGCCATTGCCCAACCAGACATTCCCGCAGCGGCCCACATCATAGCCTTGGCCACTGAGGATAACATTGGATGCATAAGTCTCCGGAACAACGTCTCTACGCCCGAGTTGGGGCCGGGAACACCAAAGTAGAGCGCCAGCGCAATATCCTGGGCATCTCGTACCTTATTAGCAAGCGCAACCTGCGGAAGGATGTGGATGCTTGTGCAACCGAGCTGGTTGCAGTTCCTGAGCTGGCGGCTGTGGCGCCAAGTTCCGGCAAGTCCATACAGGGCGCTCGGCGAGAGCGCTACTTAAGCCTGTATATGCGCAGGCCCAGCGCTTGCAGCAGCAGCGGCGAGAGCAGTGATGGTGACTCTGACGTCACTCTGGTCACCAAGGACGCGGCTGACGTAGACGTCATTGCGGCTGATATCAGCGTGGCTCAGCCGGCATCCACAGATGCAATTCCGGAGGGTGAGAACGCAGGCAATCACAGTTGCAACAAAATGGGCTTTTATATCGGCAGTACAGCACAAGAGGCGCCAAATGCACAGCTTCTCGTGCCGCCCTCTAATGCGGCCTGGATGCTGCTGCCGTCGCCCAGACGACTGCATGCGTGCCTTCCTCTGCGCAACTGACTACCATCCAGAGCGGCTCTGCTTCGGGCGTTATGTCTTTGGCGACTATGTGCGGCGGGATGCCTATGTCGCGCCCACTGTTGTTGTCTTCGCCATCCCTTGCTGGTGCTGAAGAGGAGCAAGTGCTACTGCGGTCCGGTTCGGTGACAACGCTTACTGCAGATACTGATGTTTCCAACTCAGGGGCCACTGCACGCTCACCAAGCCAGCCCCAGCGCAGACTGCTGAACGTGGGTCGCAAGCGGATTGCTGAGGGAAGTCCTGAGCAAGAGCAGAAGATGATGCATCCTGCAGCCAACCGGCTGTCATTCTTGAGCCTGGGAATTGGGCACCGGCACCCCATGAACAAAGGTGACCACAGAAACAGTTCGAGCAGCAGTTGCAAGGGCAGCTTGTCTCTAGGGCGGGTTGCATTGGCTCCGTCGCAGATGAAGGAGATTGAGCAGCGCAAGATGGATGCATGGGCGGCCGACGGTGATGAGTTTTCGGCATACGAGTATGACCTGTCGGGCGCATACTTTGAGCTCCCCACAATGCACATCACAGCGGCTTCCGTCTCGACCCAATCAAAGTTGTCGGTCGCGGCCACCGCCAGGCGCAGCGGCACCGAATGTGGCATTCCGGGGTCACGGCTGTCGTCGACATCGACGTTTGTTGATGAGAGCGTGCTCAGCCTCGAGCAGTGCAAGCGAGTGTATGTCTCCAGCATGCGCAAGCTGCGGTGGCAGGGCAGCGGCGGCAGGCGGCAGGGAATCCGGGGGATGCTGCACATCAAGAACACGATGGCCAAGGCCAACGAGCAGTACGTGATGGTCTCAAATGGACAGTGCCTGGACGCGTACCAGGTGACGCGGGACATGCTTTCCGAGTTCTACATACTGGGAAGCAGCAGCCGGGACACGTATGTCCACTGCAGCAGCCGGGGTCGTTGCCTCTCTCTTTGGACAGAGCCGCTGCGCAGAGCACCAATGATGGCAGCAGCTCTGGGTACCCAGCACGCGCTCGCAGCATGGCCAGCATGCGGCAGCACCAGCACCTGATGCGCAAATTGCGTCCGGCTATCTCGGTTGAGGTGTTGGGCGGCCCAGCGGGCGCAGATGGTTTTGGCTCGAGCCGCATAGTTACAGCACCGATGTCGTCGCCTCCGGACCTGACCGACGGAGCTGCTGGCATTGCCGACAAGGCGGTTTTCCAGGCGTTTGGCGGTGCGCACATTTCGGACTCGGAGCTTCTTGGGTTTGGTGCTGGCGATTTGGTGTCGCTGGCGCCTGCGGTCAATGCTGAACTATACATTGGCCAACAAACCTACTACCCCCACAGGCGCAGAAGAGCTGGGCGCCGGTCTGCGAGCGCACACTTTGGTGATTTGTGCCCTGAAGTGGCGCCAATGGCTATTTCTGCATTGTAATGAGCGAGCGCGTTAGTCGCGCCATATAAACGGGCATTGTTTTCTTTTTTTTGCTGATCATCAATTCATTTCAATTCCATATATATTTTTTAATTGATATTTGGCTGTATGTCAAGTTATTAGTGTTGATTTAATTTCTGGCAGCCACAAAACAGCAGCAATTCCTGTAATTTAATTTCCTGCATCTTCAGCCAAAAATAAACATAACAAAACAAAACAAAACAAGGAGTGAAAGACGCCATAGCACACAACCGACATATGCCCGACAAACAAGTCCGAGTAACAAATTTTATATTTGTATTGTCAAACAAAGAAGAAAAACATAAATAACGAATTGGTTTGCAGATTGTCGCCTTCCTAAAGCCAAAGTAGCGAGTCCAGAAAGAAAAAAGTTGGAACAGGAACAATTTTGAACCCAAAATCGAAGGTGGTACTTCCAAATTACTGATTTTGTAACCAAAAATACATTTTAGTCGACGGGTGGCAGAATCAATGTTGTTGAGGCGATTCTCACCATATAAGCTTGGCTGAACTGAGAGCTCGCGAGCTAAGTCAATGCCGAGCGCGCATTGATGCAGTGGTGGCTGAGATAGCATTCAGCCATTATGGCTGCCTATAAAATGGCAGAATGTGAATGCTCAACAGAAGGGTTTCCCTAGTTTTTGTTTTAATAAAGATTTATTGGACTCATTAATTCTGTAACCACAGTTGCAATGCAAAGTGTTTTGTTGGTTTTATTCTGTTTTCGTATGCTTTGTATTGATTAAACACTGTGTATGGCCAGAACCAAGAGATAAATGCGTATTTTCACGTTTTTGAAATTGTTTACCGCATGGTAAACGGGGCCATTCGGTCAATTGACGTCGAGGAAGGAGAGGGCGGATGATTTCATTAGTGAGGCGGAAAAAAGGGAGGGGGCCACATTGGGCCAGGCCATGGGGTGGCCATAACATGAGCAAGGTTACTTTAATTATTTTGTTCTGCCGCGTGCTGCCAGCCGGATCGATAATTGTGTGGGGATATGAAGTAGGCTAATAGCCGTTTGGCAAGCAGCAAGAGAGAAAAAAGTCACTTATTTCCGTTTTTATGAGAAAGTGTCCTTTTTACTGTGTTTTTAAGGGCTCTGGATTCAAACCTTTTTCTTCTTTTTTCTATAAAATTTTTAATTCATTGTTTTCTCCTTTACACTTTTTTCGCACCGCATTTTTTCTCAGCACTTTCCAAGCAAAATAATATTTTACTTGTGTAACCCATCCATCTTTTTCATTTCCATTCACTTGAAACTCAATCATAGAATCATAGGGGCAAAACCAAGCAAAACAACAACGCCTCCCTTCCCTCTTCGTATCGAGATCGCACTCCATTGTCTTTCATTGTCCACATCTTTTTTATCTTTTTGTCTTCAGGGCACGAATTTATACGATCGCGATTGTACCACCAAAGATAGTTTTGGCACAGAAGCGCACTCTTGTACTACACACACAAATACACATCTGCATCCGCATCAACCATAGGCAGCAGCAGTTGCCATAGCTGTTGGCCGTTAGCCAATTCAATTAGCGTATTTAATTTTGCACATCCTTTTTTTCGTTTCTTTCCAGACGAGGCCAGCTGATACTTTTTTTTCGTTTTGCGTCGTGTTTTCCAAACCAAACCTTTTTTAGTTGCCTCCTACCCACCCCCTCTTCCGTCTGACCAACCGGAAAAAAGCAAGTCCAAAAAACGGAAGAGCAAGTGAGTGAGCCCAACAAAAAATAAGAAACTGCTTACGCTCTTCTTTCGCGTACTTGTGCATCCAAATAAATTACCCAAGATATCCCGCTTGTTTTTGTTAACTTTCTTCCTTCCTAAGCATTGCTTTTGTGTGTTTTTTCTTCTACTCTTTCTTTTATAATTTTTGTCACTACGTTACGTTGTTCTTTTTCTTCAATATTTTCCTCTTTATTTTAGCACCTTGCACTCATTGCATCCCTTTATCCTTCCAAAGCCAAAGTTAGTCCTTTACAACGTTCTTTTTTATAGCATCTAGTTTGAAGGGCGCAATAAGGGTTCTTTTATAGCCTAGATTTTATACGCTTTTTTTTCTTAACGCAAACACTTCTTCCCACACCACAAGTTTTTTCTCTGCTTATAACTCGCATTTATAATTCGACATTTTTATTAAACCTCTGCACTTTTCTACACACAAAAAACACTTTTCTCTTCATCTTAACCGCCTAACCATTTTGACCCACGACACGAGGGAAACAATGAGCGAAGAAGTCTGCACCATTTTTGTTGTTGGGTTTCCCGATGACATGAAGGAGAGGGAGTTCCAAAACATGTTTACATTCTCCTCCGGCTTTGTGGCTGCCAGACTGACAATTCCCTCCGCCGACGATATCGCCGAGAAGGACCAGAAGAAGACCGCCGACAAGGACCAGAAGAAGCAAACTGTAAGTACCATCAAAATACAAAAACAAACATTACTTAGCTTTGCTCATGCTTATTTTTCTATCGGTTATCCTCTTTGCACACTCTTTATCGCCCAATACACAACCCCAAGCCCCTTTGTTATCTGAGCGTGCCCCATGCGTTGTTTTTGGGTTGTGCTCGTAAGAAATTTGTCTGAGATGACGCGTGCTTCTTTTTATTTTTTGCGGCCATGCCTCCTCCCCCCTATTGCCAATGCTGTTATTTTTCCAGGTGGGCTGCTTTCTCGTGCCCAATTTTTATACTCGTCTTCTCGTCATCCCTGAAATTATTAGCCGCGGGTCCATTGTTCCATCTCCTATCTCCTCATTTGCGTCCTTTATTGTTATTTCCAGAGCCACAAGGGTAAACTACTGCCGCATTTTTAGCTGCAACAAAACGGCTGTTTGCCGTGTTGGCGTCAGATGGCCTGGGGGAGGGTACAGCGTGGACACAAAATTTGTTGGTCTGGGATTGGCCCAATCAACCAAGCCAACCACTGTCACTCTGCTACATTCTATCTCTTCTTCTAGGACCAGTGGCAGGGGCAACTGACACCCCCCCTCCTCCCTCCCCCTTCCAACCCACCCCCAAAAAAACTTAACTGGGTTTTTTAGTTCCCACATGCCTTTGCTTGCCTGAACAGTTTTCCGCTGTCTTTTCTCGTTCCGGCGCTAAATGGGACATTGCCAAACTACACAGGCAAAAAGATACCAAAAGAGCATCGAAAGTGCATTGAATCTTTTTTTGCCTATCAGTTTCTTTATGTACGCTTGCTCATTTCTTTGTCCCCCCATTTCATCCCCCTCCTTGGAGCCAGAGCGGCACAAAAATGCTTTTTTTGCACTTTTCTTCTTTGAGTGTCAATCATTTTTTGGTTTCTTTTGTAAGAAAAAGGAATTGTGCTGCAACTTAATTACCAAAATTGGTAGCCGTAACAGATACGCAATGCAGTTCCTTTTATTTTATTGAGAAGTGCCTTTGCTAGCCAACCAAGCCAAGCTATGAAAGTCAATTCCTTTTTCCGACTCGCTATCAGCCATTCAGGCGGCGTCTTTTATTTATGGAAAGCACCCAGCTTTTTTCTCAGGCTGTATACGCATTTCTGTCTAAATCACAATACGGGGGACTACTGCCTTTAAGCAAAATTATGCACTATATATATTTTTACTGACAACAAAATGCCTATTTTGTATATTTCTTCATCTGGTAGATTGGATTTGCAAAGTTCCGTACGCGAGCCGACGCCATAAAGGCCAGGGATGTTCTGACAAATCGCAGGGTGGATGCCGATGGCGTGCAGGTTCTCAAGGCAGAGCTGGCTAAAAAGGATCTGTACACTTGGCGCACACCTTTTTCGCTTGGCCTTGGTACCTCGAAGGGCGCGACCTTTGGCCTGGACACTCCCAACACGGCTCTGGGCTTCCAACACAAACAACAGCAGCCACAGACGGCAACTACCCAGCCTCAGCAATCATTGCAGTCATTGCAGCCGTCCCAGCAGCAGGCACAGGCACAGGCACAGAAGCCCAAGCTGCAGCTGCAGTCATCACAGCAGCAGCAGCAGCAAGGTATACTGTCCCAGAGCGGTCCTCGTACGGCCGGCATCAGCGGATCCATGATGTCGTCGGCCAACCGCCCCGAGCATCTGCGTATTTCGGCCTCCCGCGCATTCAACCCATTCAACGATGCTCCTCTGGCATCCGCTCCGATTCTGGGCTCCAACTCGCACCGCAGCTTCAGCGCCAGCCAATTTTCCTCCGCCTTTTCCAACAGCAGCAGCATTGAATCTTCCAGCTCCGCGTCTGTTTCGCAAATATCCGGGGCCGGTGGTGCCATGGGTGGGTTTATGTTCAACGATCAGATTTCAAACAACCTGCAAGCCGCTGGGTCGCATTCTTCTAGCGGCATGATGCTTCACCGCCGTGGATCTGTCCATGGCACTACGCCTGTTTCTTCATCCATGGGCGTGTCTGCGGGAAGTGGCTCCGTTAACAACATGTATCAGCAGCAGCCGTCGATGTCAGAGCAAGGCAGCTCGGATAGCGAGATGCTCCAGATGACCGGGCAGTCGCACCAATTGCAGCTGTCGCCTCCGCTTCAGGCGCAGACATCGGCCCAGCAGCAACAGTCGCAGTTGCCGCAGCAGTCACAGAAACAGATGCCGCAGCAGCCTCCCAAGGGCTACGGCAGCCAGCGCCCAGCCCTTCTCGATATTGCCGCTTTGCAGCCGCGCATTAACCAACTGAGCCTGGGCCAAATGTCCGCTTCCACGCTGATCTCGCCCATGGGCATGCCGTACACGCCATCGGCAAAAACACCCATGGGCATGGTCCTGCCTATGGCCACCACGCGCAGCGTCAACACTAATGACCAGAACCCGCCCTGCAACACGCTGTATGTCGGCAACCTGCCTGCGGGCGCAATGGAGGAGGAGTTGAGGCTGATTTTCCAGCAGGCCCTGGGATTCAAACGCATGTCCTACAGGGCCAAGCCCTGCTCGGGCCCCATGTGCTTTGTCGAGTTTGATAATATTGACTTTGCCACCCTGGCTATGAACGAATTGGACGGCCGTATGCTCTCCAACTCGGTCGGTAGCGGTATCCGCTTGTCGTACTCGAAGAACCCTCTAGGTGTCAGGTCGAACCAGCCCGGTGGCGCACCCCCGGCTACGCCTGTACTCAATAGCGCTGCGGCAGCCGCCGTTGTGGCCGCGATGTCCGGAGGATACCACCATATCAATGGCTCGCCTTACGGATACTCGATGGCTGCGCTCCAGCAGCAGCAGCATCTCCAACATCAACAGCAGCATCTTCAACGACACAATGCCACGCCGTCACCGCCGGGCTCAGCCATGATGGCACGCAACACCAGCGCGATGACGCTTCCGCAGCACCAGGCGGTTGGCGGACATAGACACTCTATGTCGTCGTCGTCGGCTGCATCACCGTTGCCCAGCCCTGGAACTGCCATGAGCAGTGGGGACCAGACCGCTGTGCCCAAGGACGCATTGTCGTTCCTCCATCAGCCTATCCACCAGCTGCACAAACAGGCGTCCAATGACCATACTATTAGCTCTAATGGCTCGCCTACTCCGCCGCAAACCTCTGCTAACTCTGTTAACCATATTGCATTGGAGCAGTAGGCGAAAATGGCTTGGTTATTGGCCCGAGGGGGGTTGGAAGGCCCACGACAAATCCCCCACATTTATTTACGAAAAAAACCGCATGCTATACATTTGTGCACAGGCATTATCCATCTTTCTTCATATTCCAGTGACGTTTCTCTATCTATTTTTCTCTCTTTTTGCCAAAAGCTCTACATTTTTTATTTTTTATTTTTTACCCATCTTACGTTCATTTTTCTTTTTAATGACCGCCCACCGCCCGCTTTTTTAAACCTTCCTGTTTTCTGTCTTACCACACCAATTATTTTTTAGACTTTTTTAGCTTGAACGCTTCGCAATGTTCACTCAGTGTGGATCTTTTTTGCCTCTGTTCGACTTGATTTCCACCATTCTTTTTCTTTTAATATTTTTTAACTCAACATTCTCTTTTCCATATATATTTTTAGTTATATACACAATCGTTACCATTCTCCCCCTTTTTATAAATGCATGCGTGTAATGTCTTGTTCCACCCTAAATATAAAAGTAACGATGGTAATGATAAAATTTCAAGATTAATTATTGTTTTTTATATATCTGATGCCTGGGCTAGGACAATGACTGGAGACCATGTAAGGCTATAATACCACTTCAGTTCAGTCCAGTCCTGGTCAAGATAGGCTTGAAAAGTATACAAGCCAGAAATAAGCTTGATTTGCTTTCATCTATTATTTTTTATTTTCCTTCCTATTCAAGGCTGAAAGGACCAAACGAGATAGGCTTTTGCTTGCAGGCAAAGTTGCCTTTTTCTCTTTGTATGTATGTAGATCTTTATTTGGAACCCGAAAAAGGGGCAGAGAGACAGCTCGCGGTATTCAACAGAATGGCAAATCCCCCACCACTGAGTCCGCTAATTTTATCGGGTCAAAGTTGGTTGGGGAGGGAGAACAGGTAGGAATGGCCAAAAAGGCCCACTAACAAAAGGCAGCCAAAAGCGGCCATAACATTTTTTGATCTGCTAAGCAATTAGCGTATTCAGAAATATCAAAAAAAAATTACCAGAGTAACAGCAATTTTTTTCTCCCTCTTTGGTTTTTCTCTTTCTTTTTCTTTCTGCTAGCCCCAATCCAGGGAATTTGTCTCAGTTTTATGTTTGGTTGGGGACGAGAGTCATGATAACAAAACTCATATTGGCTGAAGAAATCTGCGGCCTGGAATGGTATAAAAAGAACACTTTTTTCCAACAAGGAAATTGATAGAGGGGGCATCGATTCTTTCTTCGTTTGCCCCCTACCTCCTTTTTTACACTCATTGTTTTTTTGGTGGACAGAGTAAGTTTTACATTTTACTTTGAACGATCTTTAAAGCGGAGTTCTGACTGAGGTTTTTTTTAAACGGGTGCCTGTTGTTGTCGTCATCATGTCCAGAAAAAAAACCTTCAGCTCACCACAAACCCGTGGACCCTGAAAAAAACATATTGCCGAATGGATAAAGAACATCAAAAAAACTAATTTTGCCCGTTTATATCCATTTTTCTTTTACTTTTTTTGCACTGCCCAAATAGAAATTATCATTTCTCCCGAGCTTCAATTTCTCACATACACACATAAAGATGACTCTGGACGCCAAGCTTGCAGTGCAGGAGCTCGCCAAGATGGGCAAGGACGGTCTGGCGGCAGCCGACCTGATTGATCTCAAGGGCACAGGTGGCCTGACCTACAACGATTTCCTGATTCTCCCTGGCTTCATCAACTTCCCTGCCGACGGAGTCAGCCTGGAGACCAACATCACCCGCAACATCTCACTCAAGACCCCCCTGATGTCCTCCCCCATGGACACAGTCACGGAGGTCGAGATGGCCATCACTATGGCGCTGCTCGGCGGCATCGGTATCCTGCACAACAACTGCACGCCCGAAGAGCAGGCGGCTATGGTGAAGAAGGTCAAGACCTTCGAGAACGGCTTCATCACTGACCCTATTGTTCTGAGCGCCCAGCACAAGATCCACGATGTGCTGGATATCAAGAACAAGCTGGGCTTTGCCGGTATCCCCATCACGGACAACGGCAAGCTCGGCGGCAAGCTCATTGGCATCGTCACCAACCGCGACATTGGTTTCCGTGAGGATGTCGAGACCGAGCTGGGCTCCGTTATGACCACCGATGTCGTCACTGCCAGGTACGGTGTCACCCTCGGTGAGGCTAACCAGATTCTGCGTGAGTCCAAGAAGGGCAAGCTGCCCATTGTCGACGAGAACAACAATCTTGTTTCCCTCGTGGCTCGCTCGGATCTGCTCAAGAACCGCGATTACCCGTGGGCGAGCAAGCACCCCCAGACTAAGCAGCTCCTTGTCGGTGCCGCCATTGGCACCCGTCCGGGAGACCGCGTGCGCCTGGCTAAGCTTGTCGAGGCCGGTCTAGACCTCGTTGTTATTGACTCATCCCAGGGTAACTCTGTGTTCCAGATTGAGATGATCAAGCACATCAAGGAGTCCTATGGCAATAAGGTCGATGTTCTCGCTGGAAACGTTGTCACCCGCGATCAGGCTGCCAACCTTATTGCCGCCGGCGCCGATGGTCTGCGCATTGGTATGGGCTCGGGTTCCATCTGCATCACCCAGGAAGTCATGGCTGTTGGCCGGCCCCAGGGGACCGGTGTCTTCCAGGTCTCCCAGTTTGCGCGCAAGTTCGGTGTCCCCACGGTCGCCGACGGCGGCATCAGCAATGTCGGCCATATCGCCAAGGCTCTCTCCCTCGGCGCATCCTGCGTCATGATGGGCAGTCTGCTTGCGGGCACTACGGAGGCTCCCGGAGAGTACTTCTTCCTCGACGGCAAGCGTCTGAAGAAGTACCGTGGTATGGGATCTTTGGATGCCATGGAGAAGAACGACAGTGATAATTCGGGCTCCCAGGCTAGGTACTTCTCTGAGTCGGACAAGGTCAAGGTCGCTCAGGGCGTCACTGGAGCTGTTGTCGATAAGGGATCGATTAAGCAGTTTATCCCGTATTTGATCACTGGATTGCAGCATTCGTTGCAGGATATGGGCGTGCCCCACTTGTCTGAGCTCTGGAATATGGTTGATTCCGGAGAAGTTCGCTTTGAGCACCGTTCGGCTGCTGCTCAGATCGAGGGTGGTGTCCATGGTCTTTTCTCGTTCGAGAAGAGACTGTACAAGTAGAAAACACATTTTTAAATACAAGAGTTTCAATTTCATATATATATACTTTTTTTTGGGACTTTCTATGATTGATTTTTTGATTTAGAGAAATTGTATTTGTGATTAGGCCCAGCTTTTTTTTTACGTAGAAAAAAAACCAAGGGGACAGAAACCACAAAAGTGCTTGAAAATAATCATTGTCATTGGTACGCATTTCGTTTTCGTGCTCTTCAGCTCTCTTTTTCGTTTTTTTTCTATATAAAATACACGAGCTCTTCTTTTTTTCTCTCTTCCTTTTCAACTTTTTCTACACACACACTCATACACAATGGTGCGTATCCCGCTTAACAGGCGGAAACGAAACGTTTCTAATAAAGGCCGCAGCGCTTGCCAAAATACACACTGATGAATACAAAAGGCAGAATGCTAAACAACAACAAAAAATATACTTTATTAAACTGTCTAATGTAACCTTGTAGCCCAACAACAAACGCAAGAGAGTCAGTAAGATCAAGGGCAAGGAGAAGGCGCATCCGTATTCGCGCAAGGCCCGACAGATCAACCGCGCAATGAACAAGGAGACCTTGATTGCCAAAGCCAAGGGCGACCGCATCAACATGGCAATGTCCCGGGGTCAAAAACTCGTGTGGTTCCGTGACAACATGGACACAGAGGACATTGACTACGGCAGCGACAACCAGCTGGATAAGGAGGGCAATAAGAAGCTCTGGACCATAAGGGAAGCCGGTCTCCTGATTGACCTCTACCTGCAGAGACACGAGGAGGATGTGGAGGAAATTGAGTGCAAGAGAAAGGCCGGCCGTCTGTTGACCCCCAAGGAGGCGCATTTTATTGAGAATGTCCAGGTTGAGGCTAGGGATGCTAGGCTTGCAGGCTTGGAGATCCCTGATTTGACTAACCACCAGTTGGTCAAGATCTTGCGTGCCTGGGATGGTGACCTTAACTCTGTGGCCACTATCAAGCAGATCACTTGCAAGCCTGCCAGTGCGCAGGATAAGGAGGCCGAGGAAAACGAGAGCAAGTTGCGGCGAGAGACTGCTGGTGTGGTGACTGCCGAGCAGGTCATCGCCGAGACCACCGGCATGACCGTTGGATAAATATATATTTATATTCCTTATGGATTATTAATGGCAATACGATAAAAATGAAACAAAAAGTACAGTGGGTTTTTTTTTCATTATTGCTGTTGCAAGGTATCATATTGATGCTGAATTTCCCACGGCTTGGGTGGGGCTTTGGTGGTGGACTGGCTGGGTATCTGGTGGTTCAGTTTGTCGGCAATCTGGCAGATTCCGGGAATCTCCTCGCCGCGCGTAATCATACCCACGACTTCTGCAAAAGGGATTGATGGCGGGTGCTTGCTGGTGCTGTTAGATTCGTCGTCGTTGTCGTCGTTGTCATCGTTGTCATCGACTGATGCAGCATTGTCTGTGGATTTGGCCTTCCACGCGAAATACCTCTTGTGGTCCAGCGCGCTGACTGCGCGGGAGTAGTAGAATATTTTGGCCTTTTCGATGACCAAAGAATTGCTGCTGTTTGGAATTGTCGCCAGACCGCTTTGGAACTGCGAATCGCCGTTAAAGTCGTATGCGTCGAATTGTTTGAACGCTGTCTGTTCGTCTTGCGTGAAATACATGGCTAAACCCTTTCTATCTTTGACTTTTTGTCGACAAATAATTGAAAATTGCTAATGACGAATGAGTTTTGTTTTGTTTAGTTTTTTGTTTGTTGTTTTCTATGACTGCAGGACAATAAAAAATGAGGAAATCCAAAGTTGTATTTTAGTGGCACGTGCTGTGATGGTTATAGGTCTTTAATTTGTCGTGTTTGGGACTGGCATGGGCGGATATTAACTTTATCTCCTCAAAAATCGCAAAGCAATGCAGATGGCACACGTCCCCACAACCAGCGCTTGGACATTTGTCTGTCTGATATTCCTCTTCGTCTTTTTTCTTGCGCCTTGCCATAGGGCAATTTGCTCAAAAAAAAATTAAATTATCTTCCAACTGCCACACACTTTCTGCAATACTTATTTTGACATTGATGGACTCGGAGGCAACAATATCAAGCGTCATATTGTTCCGCGACGGCAACAGCAGTAATGCGTACACTGAGCTACTCGAGCAAGACCACGCATCCGTCGAAAATGTCGTTGTTCTCGAGCACCAAGACTTGATAACGACCGAAACAATCAGCGATCTTGTAGGCCCCGACCAGCAGTTTGCAGCAATACTGTTCACCAGCCAGAACGCAGTCAAGGCGCTGAGCCGGGCGGCCAACACGTGGCTAGCAATGTGCGATATCGACGGCGCAGCATGCAATCGCAAACAAGCATGGGCGCGCTTCCTAAATAGACCGGTTTTTGTCGTCGGCCGCGCGACCGGCTCAACATGTCGGGATCTACTGTATGGCTCGGCTCAATTAGGTGATGATCATTCCGTCACTGCTGACATCAGAGGACAGGATGCAGGGAGGGCTACAGTGATGCTACCTGAGATCATCGATTTTTGCGCGCATCATTATGAACAAACTGGCACGAAACCGCGGCTCGTGTTTTTTTGTGGCGACCAGAGGCGCGACACGCTCCCCGACGGCATACGACAGAGCGGACAAGCATCCGAGCTGATCGAGGTGGTGTCATACACGACGGTTGGCCGGCCTTACGATCAGACAAGACAGGATCTGAGTGATGCCTTGGGCAGGATCAGTGCGCTGCGCAAAACAGCATATGTCGACGGGAATAATGCTGCCAATTTGGTGTGGATGGTGCTGTTTAGTCCCTCAGGCGTGCGGGTGGTCAGCCCTGTGTTGAATGCCATGATGAGCGAGGCAGTGTTACAGCTACCAGCCATGGGGTGCAGAAAGAAGCGCGAGACGCATTATCGCCTGGTCGCGATTGGAGAGACAACGATGTCAGAGCTCGTCATGCAAGGGATAAGCGAGAAAAATATTGTGATGGCGAAGGAACCGAGTGCTCAAGGGATACGCAATGCTATTTGTGGGGTTTTTGCTGCATTAGGAACAAAGCAAAAATAAATGTATCATATCATCGTCATCAGTCTTTTATTTGTATGTTGTGTCGATGACGTAATGACGTATGTTAGCAAAAATCATAACTCAAAAATAATATATTGTGCAGCCTTTTTTTGCGCAATTATCGCTTGCACTACAAAGTGTGTTGTATCATCACTAAGTCGCACGCACGGGCTTTTTTTGTATAAAACAAAGGCCTTTTGGCAGCGTCAATAAACAAATATTATTATTGATCATTCACCAACAACAAACCCTTACTATCATCTAAACACTCAACAGCAAATTATCACTATCATTAGCAACATCAAAATGGTTTCATCTATTTCATCCGCTTCGTCCTCTTCTCTCGAGTCTCTGGCCAAGAAGGAGCGCAAGAACAACAGCACGCAGTCCAAGCCCAAGCAGGTAGTTGACAACATCGTTCACAAGGTGAAGCACGCCTTTGGCAAGGAGGAAGCCACCGAAGAAAACCGCCAAACTCCCGGCGCGTGGAACACCGCAGGTAACAATGTCCCGTACACTGGCGCCAATGTCGCGCACCACAACAAGGGCCCAGGCACTGGTGTCGCTGGAGTTGCCGGAGCCGCTGCTGGTGGGTACAAGGCTGCCGCTGATCCTCGCAACCCGGGCGCGCACACTGCCCACCAGGGCGATTACAAGGCGGCACACAATGTCTGTGGCAATGACATTACCGGCCAGCACGACGGTGTAATGCCCAACATCGCCAGGGCTACTGGCACCAATGACCACCATATTGGCGGCGCACACAACACTGGTGCATTTGGCACCAATGACCACAACCGTGCTCAACCTGCCGCAGACACTGCTGGGGGAGCTTTTGGCACCAACGACTACACACGCGCCAATGTTCCCCCAAACGTCACTGGGCCCGTCGGTGCCAGCGACCACCATAATAGAGACTACAGCCCAGCTGGCCACAACTTGTATGACACTGGCATTGCCGCTCACAGCTCGAATGACCGCCACGGTGGTGCTGTAGCCAACGCGGCCGGCAATGTCGCCGCCAAGGTCGGTGAGGCCAAGCACGCAGTTAACAAAGCAATGGGCCACGACCAGTCGCATGATTTGCAGCAGCCCCAATACGAGTTTGGAACCGTCCAAAATCGGACTGGTGTTCAGCAGCAGCCCTCGCTGGTGTTCAGCAGCAGCAGCAGATGGGATTGGGCAAGCAAGACCCAGCTTTTGGGAACACCACGCTGAACAATGAGCATAGCATTGGAAACACCAGACGCACTGATGCCTACGGCGAGTCAAGCTTTTAATTTGTAATTTTTAGCGCTTGATTTTATTTTCTCTTTTATTATTTTTCTTCAATCAATTGTTTAAATTAGTCTGTAAATGAAATAAAGCCATTTAAAGCATAACGTTGTCATCAAAGTAGTGATTTGGCTTGATCTGTTGATTGAGTTACATATACTTTACTATTTCTTACGATTGCTCTTTATTATTCCTTTCTCTTATTTTTTAATAAGGTTCATCTATTTACTCTATACTCCAACATTAAGCTGTTGCGCAGCCCAAGTACATGGCTGTAGAGGTTGAGGTTGAGAATCGTGAAATAAGTTTCCATCCGCATGCAGATTGATAGGACACAGACTGGACCATGTGGGAGTAAATAAGGGGACTATTAATGTCATCCAGATACACTTCCTGATTTATAACACACACGCACGAGCGCGCATACAAAAAGACCACAGCATTAAAATGCCAAGATACCGGGCTGCTCGCAGAGGAACTAGTCCTCGCCAACAGAGTGCACAAGTGGCGGAGTGCACAGCAAAGGCAGCGAGACACATATATAAGACGAGGCCGGCGCTGGTAGCACTTTGGAAACATTGGTATTAGAAACCATTTATAAAATCACCCCCTCCTTTTTAACAATATTAGAGTAGTGCTCCTCACCACCCTTCTCATAACAAGTGTACTTATCTATGTTGCTTACAAAACCAACTTTGTTGTTGGGCGCTGCGTGTCCACTTTTTATATTTGTGAATAGACGAGAAATATAAAATTAATTTTATTCTTTGCTTAATCATTAAATTTATATTGCTGTATTTTGACACAAGTCAAATTTGGTAAAGCAGATGAGGTTTGTACGCATTACGGAAAATTTATAAAAACATATTTTCTGTTTAGCTACTTGTTCTAAAAAATAGCTCAACGTGTGGCTCTGGTTAAAGAAATTAAACCTACCATTTATTTTTCTTCATTTGTTCATATTTGCAAATGCAGTCATATATATTTAAATAATTTAAATAACCATAAACTGCAGAATGCGTGAATAAACACTGACATAAAGTTTAACTTATTCTGGATTATGTATTGCTCAAAACAAATGTTAGCAAAGCAAAAACTACATTTATATTTTCCAACAATTTCTATGACAAAACATGACGTTTTTGGGTTCAAACAATCCATTATGATATGTCCAGCAAACTCATTAGTGACCGTTTTTTAAGAATCTTAAAACAATTATGTAATAAATTATATTGTTGAGCAGCCTGATAATGTGGAAGTGGATGTTGAGGTTAAGAATCGTGAAACGAGTCTTCATCAACACCCACTTCCACATCATCAGGCTGCCCAATACTGGAAATTATAATTGACGGAGCAAACATATTAAAATATGTTCGTCAAACTGGGTTAAAAATATTTGAATTATTATATTTCAATATTGTAAGTATTAATAAAGCTATACTTGAAGTTGTATTTATAAAATATACTTACAAAGGTGCTAATTGCAAAGCACTTGACTCTTGACAGTACTCACTTGTTTATTTTTTTTTGCTCTTCCTTAAATTCCAACTATTAATTCCGATAGATTTACTAATTCCAACTCGGTCACTGAATTTGTTCAGGATGAGGGTGAACAAAATATGCATGTGTATAAAGCATGACAAAAATACCAGGTAATTTCCATAGAACAAACCTGAAAAAGAAGAGAAATTAAGCCTTTCTATTTATAACTTGAAAAGAAAAAAGCATCATATTTCCACAACTGTAAACCTTTAAATTTCTCATTTCTCTATTTTATTCTATCCACATCAACGCTCATCTCTTTCATTGATTTTTTTTACACACAGTATTATTGTTTTAATCTTACATGGGTTCTTCAAGGTCATCTAGCCGCGACTCGCGCGGTCCTCGCAGGGAGACACACAAGGGACGGTCCAACTCGCGATCATCTTCCTCCGATTCGGGCTCCGACTCGTCATCATCTCGCTCATTATCGCGTTCGGGCGGCGGAAAACACAAGAAGGAGAAAAAGGAGAAAAAGGACAAGAAAGAAAAGAAGGACAAGAAGGACAAACATAAGAAGGACAAGGAAGGATACGAAGTTGTGCCTAGCCAGCACATAAGTGCACAGCAGGTATTGGTCGGCCATGCCATTCCGGGTCAGACCCATGTTCAGGAAATTCAGCAGCAGCAGCAGCAGCAGCCTCTTCAGGGACACCCTCAGCAGCAGCCTCTTCAGGGACACCCTCAGCAGCAGCAGCAGCAACAACAACATACCCAGGGTAGTCCTCAACAGCAGCTTCCATTCCATCCGGCTCCTACTGTCCCAGGTTATCCTCCGCATCAGGGGTATATCCAGCAGCAGGCTCAAGTATATACTCAGGCACAGGGCCATGGTCAACAGCAGCACCAAGGATATCCTCAGCAGCACCAAGGATATCCTCAGCAGCAACATCAAGGATACCCTCAGCAGCAGCAGGGCTACCATCAACAGGCTTATACTCAGCAGCAGCAGGGTTATCCCCAACAGCAGCAGCAGCAGCATGGTCAGCAGTACGGAGGACCTCAGCCTTCTTTATATAAGGGACCTTCTCAGGGTGGAAATTAGCAGTTTAGTTTATATTTTTATTTGGCCAATTGGAAATATTGCCGCGAGATATCAGTCTTGCCCTTCCCCTTTCCTATCCATACGCATCAGTTACATGCCCGTGTGTTTTCTCATTCTACTAGATTCAATTACAGGGAAGCGGCACCATTTTCCTTGCCCCTTCTGTTCCCTCCTTACTGCCTGATCATGCACGCAAAGCAATGTCTATTAACGCTGCCCCCCCTCTTTTGGATGGCCAACTCCCAGTTGCAAGCATTGCTACTCCCCCCCCATTATTGATGACACAGCACAAGTTTCAACTGATGTCTTCTGTGGATGATGCAGCTTCCTCAGCTAAATAAACAGCGCCTGAAATTAGACGGCGCTTTTGGAACAGAGACATTGCGGCAAGCTTAAGCTATACGCAGCACCTTGAACTGCTCCAGCGAGGGGTTGGAGATTTCCTTCCTAATTCATGCAATCAGTGACAGAAGACGATTGGGATAAATATGTGCAGAACCAGGGTAGCCAATTCATTTTTTTCCTACATATTTTTTCTCACTTATTCTCAACAAGTTCGAGCCCATTCTCAATTAGCAGTCTGAGTAATCAGCGAGCAAAGCGGGTGATGATGACATGTTTATTTTATTTAAATAATTGGAAATATGCGCGCATGCATTTTATTTCCGCCTTTAAACATGATTTCTTTTACTTTTCTTATTGATGAGAATGTATTGCGATTGTGCGGATTGGCAAAAAGACGGGGAAAAAAAGTGCGGAGAATTTATAAAGTATAATTGTCTGACCCGTCTCTGTAATTTCCGTCAATGTGGTGGGTTTTTTTTCTATTGCAAAGATATTGGATCGCGCGATAAGAATCTATTTATTGAAATAAGAAAAATCGCGCACTGACAGCTAAACAATAAAAACAAATAAATTTATTCCAGGGAATTGAGTCTAGCCAAAAATAAATAATAAATAATAAATAGTTTGATATAAAACCAAAGTCTTAAGACCAAAAGACCAGAATAAAGTTTAACACACAAAAAAGGCTTTTTTTACTTTAAGCATTACATATAGACAATACTTTTTTATTTTTACTCTTTCTCTAAAATGGAAACATCAATTGTAAAGTCGCAGGCATACGGCAAAGACCGAGTTCGGGTTGTTCGCGTAATCCGGCACAGCTCCGGGCTCCAAGAGATAGTGGACTACTCCGTCCTCTGTCTTCTCTCCGGCAGCGCTTTTGCTCCATCATACACCAAGGGCGACAACAGGCTGGTGATAGCGACCGACTCCCAAAAGAACACAGTCTACTATCTAGCCAAAACACTCCCCGCAGCCACCCTCCTTGTTCCAGAGCTCTTTGCCATGGAGGTGGCAACCTTTATGGTCCAAAAGTACAAGCATGTGACGGAGTGCCGCGTCAAAGTCACCACACGGCCTTGGGAGCGGATGCAGTTTGAGGGGGCTGCGCATAGGCATTCGTTTGTGAGGGAGGGAAAGGAGGTTAGGTGGGCAGAGGCTGTGAATAATGAAAGCAATGGGTGCCGGGTAGTTGGCGGGTTCCTTGACTTGGAGGTTCTGAAGACAACGAACTCGTCGTTTACGGGGTTCTGGCGCGACGAACTGACGACACTGCCGGAGATGGCGGACCGGATGCTTTCGACCAAAGTTCAGTGCCAATGGCAGTTCACATTGCGCGACACCGCCCAACTCCGGCGCCTCCCTTATGACTCGATCTACCAGGGCGCGAAGCACCATACCCTGGATGTGTTTGCTAATGATGAGCGGTCCTGGGTGCATGCGTCGGTGCAGAGCACCTTGTATGTTATGGCGGACCGTATCTTGAGGCAGTTTGGCGTTGTGGATGATGTGTATTATGCGCTGCCGAATATACACTATTTCCCGGTGGATTTGGGCAAATTGGGGCTTCGTAATTTGGCTGAGGACGCCGAGGTGTATATGCCGCTGGCTGATCCCTCGGGGCTGATTACCGCGACAGTGTCGAGACCACCGGTGGAACGGAAGGCCAGGCTGTGAAGCAAAATGGAGAGGTGTCGTCACCACCCCCATTCGAGATAAAAATAATCCTAATTGAAATCATCCCAACGGGCCCTTGTCCCTTTTTTTATTTCGTTTTTTTTATTTGCTCGATGGTGATTTTGATTCCGAGAAGGGGGGGGGGAGGGTGGTGGGTGTGTCGGTCAATTGTTTGCTTCTTCGGTTCGTGGTTTCTTATTTCCATTTCTATATTATTTCTTAATTCATTACAAGCTCTACCTTTATTTTGCTGAAATTCGAGATGGCCACGAGCAATGGCCAGGGCCGGGCAGCCAGCAGTAGCGACGCCACAGACACAAGCACACACACAAGCACAGGCGCAGGGACACGCACAGGCACAGACACAGAGACAGACACAGACACAAACATACACACGCAAGCACACATACACACACACACACACACACACACACACACAAACACACCCTTGGCACTAGCCGACCAGGCTTCGTCATACCGCGTCAGCAGCCCGACAAAAGAGGCGTGGATCTCGCACTCGCTGAGAAAGCGGCGGGGCGAGTTCGTCTCGCAGCAGCAGCTGCGGATGTTCGTCGGCACATGGAACGTCAACGGCCGCGGGCCGGCCACGGCGGCAGAGATGCGCGCATGGCTGGGGTTCTCCAGCGCAGACGCGGACGCGCCAGACCTGGTGGTCGCCGGGTTCCAGGAGCTGGACGCGCGCGCCGAGGCGTTCGTCTACAACGACGCGGCCAAGGAGCAGCAGTGGACGGAGGCGCTCGTGCAGGCGCTCCCCGGGGGGTACCGCAAGGTGGCGGCGCGGCAGCTGATCGGCATGTTCATCGTGGTGTTTGTCGCAGAGCGGTGCTACGACAGCGTCAGCGGCGTGCAGACGGCGTCGGTCGGGTGCGGGATCATGGGCGTGGTGGGCAATAAGGGCGCGGTCGGCGTAAGGCTGGTTTATGGGGACACGCCCGTGTGCTTCGTGTGCGCGCACCTGGCGCACGACGCGGCGCAGGTGGAGCGGCGCAATGCGCAGTTCCACGAGGTGTGCCGCCGCCTGGTGTTTGCGCCGGACGATGCCGGGTGGCCGGACCCGCTGGTGCCGCGCAGGGAGCCGGTGGGGGCCGTGGGTGTCTTTGACCATGCGTACGTCGTGTGGCTCGGCGACCTCAACTACCGCGTGGGGCAGCCGGAGCCGTCGGAGCCGGGCGGGCCGGGGCGCCCAGACCCAGCCCCCAGCACATACGCCGAGCTGCTTGCTCGCGACCAGCTGCGCGCGGCGATGGGCGACCGCCAGGCGTTTGCTGGGTTCGAGGAGGCGGCTGTGCGGTTCGCGCCGACGTACAAGTTCGTGCCGGGCACGGCGCGCTACGACGAGCGGCGGCGGCCGGCGTGGTGCGACCGCGTGCTGTGGTGGGCGCCCTCCGGCGGCATCGGCTGCGACGAGTACGCGGCGGCAGCATCCGTGCTGATGTCGGACCACCGGCCGGTGCGCGCGCGGCTGGTGGCCGACGTGTGGCGCGTCGGCCGCGCGCGGCGCCAGGCCGTGTACCTGGACGTTCTGCGCGAGCTGGACCGCTACGAGAACGAGTGCATCCCGACGGCCAGCCTGGACGCCGACCGCGTGGACTTTGGGCGGGTCGTGTTCGGCTCGCGCGTGGCCAGGCGGCTGCGGCTGGCGAACACCGGCCAGGTGCCGCTGGAGTATGGGTTCGTGGCGACGCCGGCGTATGCCCGGGGCATGCCGGCGTGGCTGCGCATTGCGCCGGGGTCTGGCATGCTGCTGCCGGGCGAGGCCGCCCGCCTGGAGCTCAGTGTGCTGGTGGACGAGCGCAGCTCGGCCGCACTGACTACTCTGAGCGAGGACCTGGCGGCCATCCTTGTGCTGCACTTGACGCGCGGCCGCGACTACTTTTTGCAGGTGGCCGGCCGCTACGAGCCGTCGGTGTTTGGGTGCCCGCTGGAGATCCTGGTGCACCTGCGCGGGCCAATCCGCGCGATGCACAGGGCGGACTTTGCCGCGTGCCTGGCGTCCGGCCAGTTCAGCGTGCCGCGGTGCGTGTGGGCGCTGACCGACTTTATTGCGCGCTACGGCGTTGAGCGCGGGTGCTCGTGCTTTGAGCGGCCGCCGGACCGCGCCCTGATGCGGGTTGTGCGCGAGTGGCTGGACGAGGACCAGGAGCTGGATCCCGCCGTGCTGCTGCAGTGGCGCGCGGAGGCGGGCGCGGGCGCGGATGCAGACAGCCATGTGGCACGGACGGTGGTCGAGGGCCGGTCGCCGCAGCGGCGGCTGGAGCCGGCGGTGCGCCGCTTTTCGGAGCGCACGGCGGTGGGGTCGGCGATCCCGATGCTGGCCGACGGCGGCGCGGCGTCCGAGGCGCTTGAGCGCATGACGCTGGACACGGCATCCTACGGGTCCGGGTCCGAGTCCGAGTCCGAGTCCGAGTCCGAGCCGGATGCCGAGCCGCCGACGGCCTCAGTCGCTGGTGCCGCTGCCGCCGCCATTCCCGACGGCGGCAGCAGCAGCAGCACCAGCAGCAGCAGCACTGTTGCTGTCTCTGCGCTCCCGCACGACATTGGCGTTGACACAGCGTGCGGCTGCCTAGTGGACCTGTTCCGCTCACTGCCTGAGCCCCTGGTGCCATTCGACATGTACGCGGCGTGCGTCGAGGCCGGCGGCGTCTCGCGGGCGGCGGCGCTGGAGGCGCTGGAGATCTTGGCGCCCGGAAGGCTCAATGTTCTGGTGTATTTGCTGGCCTTTTTGAGAGAGTGCGTGGAGAGAGGCGCTGTAACTAGGCGCAGGGTGGCGAGGGTCTTTGCTCAGGTTATTTTGCGTCCGAGGGACGTGGAGGATGCCGTGGTGGGCGAGGGCGCGGAGAGATTTGTCGAGTTCTTGCTGATCGCACAGGGCCAGATTTGAACCCAGTGAAAAAAAAAAAAAAAAAAAAAATAGCTCATATGCAGAAGACAAATAATGAAAAGCAAAGCTTAGTCTTTTCGTTGCTTTGCTGAATAAAAAGGTCAACATGGCATTTATATGCATGAGAAAAGGCAATTAATGCAATTATCACATACACGCACGCAACACGCTTTTCCTTTCCTTTATTTTTTTCTCTCCCTTATTTGTACATTCTATTTCATTTCCCCCTCTTATTTTTCCATATTTATTTATTATTATTATTTCAAAATGGACCACCACCAATTGCGACGCTACTTCAACTCACTCACATCACTCGCCAAACACAACAGCAGCAGCAGCAGCAGCAACAAACCCACACAGAAGACCCCGCCACAGTACAGCTGCTCACTCTCTCTCTCCTCGCCACCCACCATATGCTCCACCATGTGGACTCCTCCCAGTACCGCCGTACATTAGTTCTGAGCATAACCGGGATTCTGCTTTCGCTGACGCTCAGCTCGGATAATCCACGATGCCGCCTGCTAGCGCTGCTCTCAACCTTGGCACTGCTTTCCACAGTTCAAGTTGGCAGCCGGGAAAGAGTCCCGGCTACGGGCGCCGAAAGTGCATTGCGTGGGCTAAGGGCGGAGCGCGCCCGGTTTAGTCGTCTGGTGCGTGCGCATATGCGGCTGGCGGTGGCCAGCAATGGCGTGCTGCGGAGGCAAGAGGTGTTGGTGGACGACAACATAAACGGCGGTAGCAGCGGTATCGAGGACGTGGTTGTTTCGGCATCGAGTATTCACAGCACAATGTTTCTTCTCGACCATGTCGAGCGGTGCATGCGCGGGGACGCAAGCCAGCCCGAGGCATCAGGGGCGGAGTCCAATCCGGCGGTGGTTGGGTTGTTGGATTGTGTGCAGACTGTGGCCGACGTTCTGGCTGCCAGGGCGGAGGAAGTCAGTGTGAGGCTGGCTGTGGCACTGCCGGCGGCGCCATTCTGGGAACACCGCGTGGTCGGGTGCCTGTTTCCGCCCGCAAACGCTGATTCACCCCAGGAGACGCCGTATGCGTATGGGTCCTGGGAGGTTGAGCCTCGGACGGTGCAGCCGCTGCGCCATGTCCTGCTGGAGTGCGCATGTGTGTTGCTGGAACGCTGCTTGGGACCCAACGATCACATGTGCTTTGTGCCACAATGGGCGGCACGCTCTTCTGCTTCTTCTTCTTCTCCTTTGGTTGGCGCTGAGGGGAAAGGCGAGGGGGAGGGCGTGGCGGTGTACGTGGTTTGCCGGCGCGATGCAGGGGATTTTGCTGGTGCTTCGGTATCTGCAGGAAGGTGTGTTCCGTGGCAGAGTGTGCGTGCAGAGGAGATCCGCGCGCTGTGCGGGACGTATCGGGACAGGGTGGCGATGGAAAGCCGCTGGGTGGTGCGTGATTCAGAGACGGGCGAGGCCTCATGCGGCGGCTTTAATCTGGACAAATCCGTCGTCAGCAAGGCCTCATGCGGCGGGTTTAGTCTGGGGAGCAGCGAGGCGTCGGTGCTGGCCGGCTATGACTGGATGGTGGTGCGCTTTGTTTTCCCATGGGCGCTACGGCCCTGGAGCCCAGCCCCCCCAATGGGCGTCGGGTGTCGGCAGCGGCGGGTTCTCTGGCGGATTGGTCCATGGATGCGGTGCCGGGGCTGGAGGAGTTCCGTTCGATGCTATGCGGCGCCCGCGTGGTCGTCCGCTTGCCGGCGTCTGGCCTGTCCAGGCAAGATTCTGTGGAGGCTGCAAGGCTGGTCGAGGCAATTGAGGGTTACCTGTGCTCTGTCGGCTGCTCCGTCGACAGATTGCCGGCTTTTGCACTGACCAATGGCTTGGTCGGGGGTGCTGTGGCTGCGACAGCCGGGTGCGAGACTTCTATGCAGATGCTTTCGCGCAGACCACCGGCTTATATTATAATTAATGGTGATATGGATGCGTTGCGCGCGGAGTTTCAGGTGCTGCGTGGGATTTTGACTTTTTCATCGGCTTCGGCTGCTGCTGCTTCTGGTAGTAGGCTGGGGGGATCAAGTCCAATGGCTGCGGCGGCCGAGACGCAGCGGCGACGTACCGCTACCACTAGCTATGTCAGTGCCGCTGCCGCCGCTAGTATCTCTGCGGCTGGTTCTGCGGGTGGTGGCTTTTCGGCTACTTTGGGTATTATTGTTTTGTGTTCCATTGCTGCTGTGGCGGAGTATCGCGAGTGCGTGAGGATTTTATCTTTGCAGCCGCACTCTCTGCCCCCGCCTGTGGTGAGGATCGTTCCGATGCCGTTGAGTGAGTTTAGGTTGCTCTCTGGTCTTCATTCGGCATGGGCATCGAGGCGCCAGCAGCAGTATTATCAATACCACCAGGAGCAGCAGCAGCAGCAGCAGCAGGTGGGCGGGTGTCGGCATCATCAGGCTGCTAGTTTTTACCATGGGACGCGGACATTCCCCACCCAACAGCAGATGCAGCAGCAGATGCAGGTGCAGGGTGCTGGCGGGTACGGGGTTGATTCGGCGGTGGTTGGGGGACTAGGCAGGGACGTTTCGACGCCAACAAGCTCAAATAGTGACGGGCTGTATGCGAATGTATGGACTGTCGATGATGCACCAAGGGTTGTTTCCGCAGATACCAGCTTTACTACCACTGTCTCAGCCAGATCAGCGGGTGATACTCTAGCTGCTGCTGCTGCTACTGCTGCGGCGGCGACGGATGGCAAGAAGCGGAGGAAAAATCGGCCTGGTGTTTTGAATATTACGTCGCTGGGGGGACTGCCGCCTCGCATGGAGATTGTTGAGGATTCACAAACGGGGCCTGCAGAGATGGAAGTAGCGGTTGAGGGGTTGCCTGGGTCTCCGCCGAGCCCGCTGATCCATGTTAATCGCGAGCTGGCAAAGTCCCTGGGCTGCGCATCGTCGCCGCGCGAGCCATTGGTAACGGCGCCACCGCTGCCACCGCCGCTTCATACATATCATATTGTTGATGCGGGGTTGAGAAGGCACATGGTGGGCTTGAGCGTAGTGCTGAGGCTGAGTCCGTAGTGGATGATCTTCGGCGCTGTCGACGACTAGCGCGGACAGCCAAATTCCACTATCACCACCACCACAACCACAGCAGGAGCAGCACCTATTACCGCCATTTTCGCTGCAGTCACCGCAGCAGCCACCCCAGACACAATACACACCTCAGACACCACACACACCGCCGACACCACAGCCACAGCCGTCGCGCACTAGTATGGATGTCAGCGGACTGGCCAAGACGCGGTCACTGCTGCGCGACAAAATGTCTCTGTTCAATCGCGCGAAGCAAAAGGCGCGCAACAAGCTGCGCGGGTTCCACGAGCCCCACGACGACTCATCGGTCGAGTCCTCGCCCACAGCAACGACACCCGCTTCAATTGCCGCTGCCGACCCGTGGTAGCCACAGCCACAACCACAGCTACGGCCGCCCCTGCCCCTGCCCCTGCCCCTGGCCCTGCCCCTGCCCTGCCCCTGGCCCTGCCCCTGGCCCTGCCCCTGGCCCTGCCCCTGCCCCTACCCCTGCCACCAATGGTGCTGCTGCTGTGGCTCCTAGTCGCGGGGATCCAGCAGATACAATGAGGGAGGAGGTGCGGCCAAAGACACCGGATTTGCCGGCGAATCTGCCCTTGGTGGGGCAGCCTACGGTCTCTGATCTGGATAAGCCGCTGCCGGCCCTGCCTGTGGTGCCGTTTTCGGAGGATACGGAGGGGAGCCGCGAGTCCATTCTTTCGCAGGACACGACCAATGGTGGAATAGTTGCCAGCGCTTCCTCTGCATCGGCTGCTTTGTTGGCAAAGCCCCCGGCGGGAGTGCGTGATCGCAAGGCACAATTGCGCGCCAAACTCAAGACTGCCAGTAAACGGCTTGCGGAATCCCAGAAACAGCAGCAGCAAGATGGTCGTCCAGAATCATTCAATGGTGTTGTTGGTGGGGATAAGCGCGGGTCATCGGAGATCTCTGTCAAGAGGTCTTCCGTCAAGCGGCGTACTTCGGGGTTGCAGCAGGCGCTGGATCTGCTTTCGTCAGAAGTTGTTCCGAAAAACTCACCGCCGATCCGCGTGCTTGTTGTCGAGGACAATTTGATCAATCGCACGGTCATGGAGCGGTTCCTGCAGCTGATGCATGTGCATTATGATGTGGCGTCTAACGGGGAGGAGGCTGTAGCAATGTGGTCGTTGGCTGCTGCTGCCGTGTCGCCGCCGTCGGCTGGGCAAGGCGGGGGGCTGGGCCGCAGTGGGCCGTATCATATTGTGTTTATGGATATACAAATGCCCATTATGGACGGGATTGCGGCGACCAAGCTTATTCGCGGTTTGGAGCGGGAGCGGCGGATTGGAGTGTGGGCGGACCATGGGTCTGTCGCGTGGATGGCGGCGTCTGCTGCAGCAGCAGCTGCGACTGCAGAACCCGACGCCATCGGTACTGGTCCCGGAGCTGGACCCATGTCCGGACCTGCCAAGTTCTTGGGTTGGCGCTCCACAAAGGCGTCTGTGCGCTGGCAGCCCAATGGACCCCGGGCGTCTGCCGATGTCTCAGCGGTAAGGCAGAATCTACCATTGGTGAAGAGTCCGGTTATTATCGTTGCCCTGACGGCTTCCTCGTTGAAGAGCGATCGGCATCAGGCGCTGGCTGCCGGATGTAATGACTTTTTGACCAAGCCTGTGTCTCTGGAGTGGCTGAGTAAGAAGATCATGGAGTGGGGGTGTATTCAGTCTTTGGTCGACCATGAAGGATGGCAGAGGTGGCGATCGATGCGCGAGAAAAAGGGCGTGGGTGTTGCTACTGAGTTGAGTTGAGTTGTTGAGTTGAGTTGATTTGATTTGATTTGATTCGGGTTGGGTTGTAATTTAATACAAGAAAATAAGCAATTTTCATTTTCATTTTTTTTACTTTTTGGTTGGGGAGGAGTAGATGGGAAAAAGAAAGGCTAGCAGGCACGCATGAAAAAAAACATTTCTTTCTATTTTTCTTTCATCTGATTGAATCCCAAAAAATTCTTTAATTATTTTTTATTTTAAAGCTTTAAAGCTCAATCAACTAAATTTTATTCTTTTAAAATCATGAGCGAGCTTCCCGGATTCACTCTCCCCACTGTCTTCGACAACCCCAAGGGTTGGGGCCTTCGAACTCGCAGCCCACGGGCATCTTCCGCGACATCCCTTACATTCCCTTCTCCAAGGGCGACAAGGTGGCGCGTGTAGCCAACTGGATTAACCCGACTGAAGCACGCGACACTCGCGACACTCGTGGCGGCCGCCGGCAGCGTGACCAGAACCAGCAGGCGTACGGCAGCAACTCCGCCGCGGCCTTTGCGTACGCGGCGGATGAGGACGAGGAGTCCTTCTCGCTTGTGGATAACCGCGGAACAGCTATGCGCAAAATCGCTGTGCGTGCGGTTCAGGGCGGAGGCCCGCGCGGTGGTGCGCGCGGTGGAGGCGCAATGCAGAGGCTTGGCAGGGGCGGCCGGTTTGCTGGCAGTGGCCGTGGGTTTGCCGGCGGATTCCGGCGTAGGTTTGGGTACCGCGATGGCGCTGCGATGCAGAGGAGCGCGAGTGTGGCTGCTGAGGATGATTGGCAGGAGGTGCAGGAGATTCAGTTTAACCGGATGAAGGACCTGAGATTTGATGCTGGAGAGCCCGTGGAGGCTGGCAAGTTTGGTACCACAGGTGTGTGGGATCCGGCGCTGGACCGCCTGAGTGTGCGCTTGGAGAAGCCCCTGACGGCGGCACCTGCGGCGCGGTTCAATGTATCGGCGAGCGATGACCCTGTGTTGGCTAAGATTGCTGAGGAGAACGAGCAGGTTAAGGTGTTGGCTACGGATACGGTGGTTGCAGCGTTGATGGCGGCGACGGTGGCGAACACCGCCTGGGATGTAGTTGTCAACCGTGTTGGTGACCGTGTTTACCTGGATAAGCGCGATGGTGGGCCAATGGACTTTGCCTCGGTTAATGAGGGCGCATCGCCTCCTCCCCCGTCGGAGCCCAAGGATGCTGCGTCGATCAATGGCGCTTCTTTGTTGGCACAGGAGGCTCGGGATGTTACGCGCAGCTTGATTTCCCAGGTGACTGCATCGAAGAAGGTGGAGTTCGGCGAAGCCAACCCGTTTTCTTCGGCCGAAGGCGCAGATGCCAATGCTTACCGTTACCGGACATTCAACCTCGGCACTCAGGATGCCGCGCCTTGCCTCATGGCCGTGCGCACGGAGGTTGATGGACTTACGGCTGGCGCCGTGCCCAAGCAGCTGTTTGTGCGCGCATTGACCCAGCACGATGTCTCAGCAGTCGGGGCCGGTAACGCCCTTGACTGGCGCCTGCGTCTTGATGCTCAGCGTGGTGCCATCATTGCCACAGAGATGATGAACAACTCATCCAAGCTCGCTCGCTGGGCGTTCCAGGCTATGCTTGCTGGAGCTGACCAAATGAAGATTGGTTTTGTCGCTCGTGTCTCCCCTAGGGACCGCACCAAGCATGGTGTTCTTGGTGTGCAGACTTATCGCCCGGAGGATTTCTTGGGTCAGCTTGGGTTGAACGAGTATAATGCTTGGGGTATCGTTAAGGCATTGGTGGATTTGTGCTTGCAGTTGGAGGAGGGCAAGTATGTTATTATGCGTGACCCGAATAACCCCCTTATCCGTATCTATGCTGTACCCGAGGGTACCTTTGAGGAGGGTATTGAGGAGGCTAAGGACGAGGACGAGAACGAGTAAACAAAAAAACAATAATAATTATATGGATTCAGTGAGGGATTTTTTATTTTTAGTGTTGTTGAATATTCATATTACTTTAATATTTGAAAGTAGTGGTTTTTTTTTAATATTGTGTAACTTTTTTTATTTAAAAATAAAAAAGCAGACGACTCGCTTCAGTTTGAAAATGCCGCGCAGATGAAACAGGGTGCTCGCTGGAACAGTTCTTCATAATACGCTATACCATCAGCCAAGGCAATTGTTAATAGTGATGGAGAACAGGTGTACGCATAGGCAGTGCGAGCTTGACAATTGTATGCGCCAGCAACTTCATTGCATGCTCACTATTCGCTGCTGCTCTTATATGTATTTCCAGTACATCAAAAGTCGAGCTTTACAAGTGGAAGAAGCACCCTGGTGTACCTCTTCTTCTGTTGGAAGCGAATCAACTTATTAAGCTAGTAAAATGTTCTGTAATTATTGGTATCAGGCAATTTGAGATCCATGAGATTGGGGACAATCCATCTACAGTAGTGGACCAAGTTCAGTTAAAATAATCCAAAATGCATGTAGATAAAATGTATTACTCAAGGTGTATCTTGCCAAACACAAAGTTTAAGCTCCTGTAGAAAGAGAAGAGTCGTCGTGCAGCCCGAGGATATGGAAGTGGATGTCGAGGTTGGGAATCGCGAAACAGATTTCCACCTGCGTGCCGATTGATAGGGTACTAATTGGATTATGCAGGTGTAAATTAGGGAAGCATAATAGTGATACCCAGATATGCTCCCTATTTTTGCAACGCACACGCACGAGCGCACATATGCAAAAACCACACCATTGACTTGCCAAGATACCGGTTTTTCGCAGAAGAACCAGTTCTCGCCAACGGAGTGCACAACCGGCGAAGTGCACAACAAAGGCAACGAGATACATATATAAGACGAGGCTGGCCCTAGTTCTACTTTTGACTCCCTTGATAATAAAAACTATAACAAACCCCAAACATACTTTTAACACTAGGTGACTAGTGCTCCCCTCAAATCAAAACAAATAGAAATATAATATGCTTCCTTGGGTTTTGGGCCATATATTACGCTGGACGGTGGTAGATGATCATTCGCAAATTTTATATTGTTTATTTACCTGAATTGTGTTTTATAAGCAAAATAAATAATTTAAAATGTGTGTTTGGGTAAGTGGGTGAAGGGAAATAATATTTTTCAGCAAGCGAATAACTAACATTTTATATAAAATAAAAGTATTTTATATCCACCACATAGCCTGCAGCTTGCAACTGTTTGCAAAAATCCATTCATTCATTTTTGTTTTATTTTTATTTTATTCATTCCTTTTGCTATAACATTAAAAAAGAGAGCAGTTCTTTTAATAATGTGGAAAAATGCTTGGTGTAAGTGCTTGAAATAGTAAAAATGTTTGAATTCTATTAGCAAATTTTGACATATTCATTGCGGACAACATGGAAAAACATGCGGTTGTGCGGGGGAAAAAATCGTTGATTGCCACAGTCATCTGTTGAATAAGCAAATTATTAGTTCCACATGAACAAAGACAATGTTATAAGACAATAAATTATTTTTTTGACCAATCAAACACAATTTAATTTAAATAATATTTAAATACATATATATATCCATTGTAGAATGGCACATTTATGACCAAAGGCGCCGACGCGCACAATTAAAAAATATTTGAATGGATATTTTTTTTTGCAGGGAGCAAAATGAATTTCACATTTTAAAAATCAACGTCTTGTTTTGTTCTACTTGTTTTGGTACGCTGAAAGTTAAAATGTACACTCTTAACATATAACATAGCCCACGCGAGTGCACACAATTCTGAACAGGATATCTTGCAAACAATACATATTGTTTGCCTTTTTAACTAGCAATTGTTTTGTAAATATGTACGTTCGATGACTGTAGGGCAATTTGCCCCTGTCTTGTCGACGAGAGCGTCAGCGTTAGGTCGCATACATTGCTCATAACTATTCCCATAGTCACTCTATTACAAAACAGCCTGTGAAATCGTTTTAACGCACAATCATCTTTATAAAATAATTTAGAAGAGCCCACCCAATTTACTCGTTTTTTCACATATTTATATTTAGACATGTCCTTTCAAGCATCTTTATCACCAGCACAACCGTCGCCATCAGCCAATGACCTGTCTCCGAGCGCGGCATCAATGCTCCGCGTACTGCTTCCGTCGCTTACAAAAATTGACAACATGCTGGAGTCAGTGTGGTCTAAACAAGACGACCTCAACCAAGTTCTCGATCGGCTGACCACAGAGCTCGAGCAGTTCGACGAGCTTGTTTTGCCTGCATCTGCGGAAACAGACACATCTTTGCCCACCAACAGCATTAGCAGCAGCAAAGGTGTGGAAGCGTCGCAAAAGCTTAAGGACTCGCGAACGCGTATTGCCAATGTCAACGCCACGCTCAAGAGAGTGAGAGCACGGCTGGACAACGTAGCAATGCTAGCACAGGCAAAGGTTTTACAGAACCAGAATCAGAATCAACACCAGCAGCAACAACAGCGAGATAGTTTAAACTGACAACTTTTATTCTTCAATATATGGATGTCCAAATAACTAAAAAAAATTACTCTATTCAATCCGCTGTTTTGACTGCTTTGGACTCGGGCTCCTTGTCCTGCTCCTCTTCCTGCTGCTTGCGCTTGCAGCCGGTTTCCGCCTCCACAGTTCCGTATGCCACGCACTCTGGGAGCCTGACAGAGAGACAGTACATATCCTTGTTGGGGGCCACGCGGCGCACATAGAACACGTCAGCCTCCAGGTCCTTGTAGTTATCCTCAGGGTACGCCAGGGCGCGGCAGGCGCGCTGCAGAATGTCCTTCTCCGGCTCGTCGGACTTTGTAAAGCAGTGGGCGTGAATCAGAGGCATGTTGGGCTTTCCATCAAAGCCAGCAAACAGGCCGCGGAAGGCATCGAGGAACTCGATAGCAATAGCCGGCAGGTTCATCACGACATGGTCAAAAGACCGCGAAGGGATGGGGATAGGCGGCTGGAGCGCCAGAGGCTTAGACCTGCTGGCGTTGGTCCTGGGCGGCGGCGCAAGGGTGAGTGGCCCGGCCTTGGTCTTTGCGTAAAAGTCGACAAAAGCCTGGCGGATAAAATCGCGACCGTCCATGTTGAAGGCCTGTACACGGTCCTGCACCTTGTTGAGCGCAATGTTCTCCTGCATTGCCGCATACGATGCTGGATTTAGATCGTTGGCCCAAACGAGGCACCCGCGCTTGGCTGCCGGAACAGCGAACGGCCCAACTCCGGCCATGACATCGCAGATACTGCTTCCAGGCCCAAACTTTTTGATCAGCCGCTCGTGCTCCGAGTGCAGGCGCGAGTTCCAGTATACCTTGGAGTAATCGAATTTGAACACACAGTCGTTCTCGCGGACCTGCGCAACAAAGTCTTCCTTGCCGGCAAGAACCTCCATCTTAAAGTTGCGGAACGTGTTGTCGATGGTGTCCAGCTTGTTCACCACCATGGTCACCGTGGGTGACTTGTCCAGGATCACCTGCCCAATCAGTGTCTTGTACTCGAGGTACTGATCGCGCAAGTTCATGTGCGCAATATGTCCAATCTGCTCGTAGGATGTCGGCGCCTCGCTGGAGTCGGGGAGAACGGCCTTGAGGATCTCGTCCGCGCTCCAGTGCTCGTAGTTCAGCGTGACGTTGTGTGTGAGTGCCTGCCACCCGTTTTCCTTCATCAAACCGTGGAGCTCGGCGCTACCTCCATTCAGGCTCGTGTCGTTGATCTCGGGCTTTAGAAGAACAAGCTTGTGATCCTTGTTTGACTCGTCATTGACCACGTTGCGCATCTTGTTCACCTTGAACACGTCGCTAATTGAATAAAAGCACAAGATGTTTTGATTTAGCTGCAAATAGATGGATTTCGCATTAAACCGGGAAAATTGATTTAATAAATTTTGTCCCTTACTTTGCTAGCTCAGCCTTGATCTGCCCGACTGTCTTTGTTGGGACACGGATCGCCACCACTGGGACCGTCAGGCTGAACGCCGCGCGGTCAAGCTCCTTCATGCCGCGATGGACTGGTGGTTTGAACATGCTATTAATATTAACAAAGAAAAATTGAGCACTTTAAAAATATATATAACGAAATATTGGATTGTAGATGGACCAGCAAGGCAAGGCCCCCTTTCTTCCGTGATCGCCGTGTTCGCCATCCCTCTCAACATGCCGCGACAGTAATGGGAGCAGCCAAAAATTAAAAAAGGGTGGAAATCACAAGCTAATTAACTTTAATCTCTACAAATCTTATCCAGTTAAATAAAATAAAAGCAATTTTATGAAGTATGTGATTTGCAAAGAATATTCAGCAAACATGTAAAAATAGAAGGATTTTGATATGTTAGAACAATATTAAAAAGCGCAAATTAACATGTTTTTAAATGTTACTGCTTTTTGATATATAGTAAATACAATATTTTGTTTAGTTGGACACGAGTAATTATATGTTACATTGCAAAATAAATATATATTTTTTACTCCCATGAAAACATAGGTAACGGGTGTGCCTCCGTATTAAACACATACTCTGTAAGCGGCACCTTATCGGCACTGCCAAACAACAAGTAAAAGTACTTTAATGTCTCGGCCACAAAAAACGTCTCCATCTTGTCCTCCCTTTTTGGTGGCACTTCTGTGACATCTCTCAGTCCAGTAAACCCACCACCATTATCCATCTTTGCCCATTTCTCAAAGTTTTCAAAAATCACCCACCCGTACTCCCTCCACTTGTCCTCTCCCGTGATGCGCCACAGCAAAAGCAATGACTCGATCGTTTCTGGACGCAGAATATTGTGACGATCCGCCTGGTGAACCAAAATATCGCCTTGATTGGGGTCATCGGGGGAGGCGGGGGATTGGCGGAAATGTGCGATTTCGGGCGACAGCCCCAGGGGCATGTCGAGATACATGCGGACGCAGGTCTCAGTGAGTTCGCGAGCAAGTATAAGGTCCTCGCGGTCTCGCGCCGAAATATCCAAAGGGGTACTTGGGAAAGCGACTTTCCTTTGGTTGCGCCCAGGGCAAGATTACCGCCCAAAAAGCACACCAGGTGATCCATTTTGGGCTTAAAGACCGGCGTGCCCGACAGAAGCCCAGTGAGTTCGCCGATGTAGGTCAGGTTCTGCATCGGTGTGACCTCCACCAAAAACTTCTTGACACCGTCCATGGCGCGATCGTATTCCTCGCGGTACCGCGGTTCAGTTTGGCCAGTCTGCATCCACTGTTTCAGCAGGTACTCATAGTAGCTATCCCCGCGTGATCCGAGCCGAATATCGTCACCAGCAAACTGCCCTGTCTGAGCATTAACATATATGGGCACCAGCCCGTCGTACTTGGGTGCCTGCAGGAGAACGTCCATTATGCGATCAACGGCAGTGCGAAACTCTGTGTGGTGGGTGAGTTTCGAGAGGTACCGGAACTCTAGCTGGAGTGTGGCTACCTCGGCTGTGCTGCTGAGGGAGGCATATGGCATTCCGTCGGAGCGCAGGATGGCGGTTTCGGGCGGAATCCCCGTCGATGTGTTCATGGACTTGGCCAGGCGCAGGCCGAGATCTGTCGCCAGGTCCAGCAGCCCGTGGTCGGACTCTCCAGACCAGTGGAAAGCCGCCAACAGGCCGCCCAACACCCTGATAGTGGTCTCAAACAGAGACACAACGCCCGGCTGGTCATACGACACATGGTGGACCAGGAAATTCCTCCCCTCGTTGTACTCTTTCACCAGACCCATGAGCAGCAAAGTGTCCAAAACATCGGCCACAAAGTAGCCAACCCCCTGCCGGGTGTTGTTCGTGCCCGTGCGCGATATCGGGTGGTACTCGTCGCAACCGAATGCGTTGCGTCGATACGCGTCCCACGCATACTTTGTGGCGCCAACAACGCGATCCTGCCGCGCTTGCCATGTTTCTTGCGTTGCCTCGGGGTGCTGCAGCGCGTTGCGGATTATGCGGTTGAGGGATCGCTGTTGGGCTTCAGTAGCCTGCCAGTTTGGCGTGGTGAGTGAGGTCCAGGGCGAGGGCCGTGAGGCGCGGACGGTTAGGAGGGCGTCGTATTCTTCGGTAGGTAGATGGTCGGCGAATTTCAGCCAAGGGTTGGGGGGAGGAGCAGCAGTTTCGTTTTCGAGGGTTTCGCTGTTGTTGCGGCTGTGACTGTGATATATGAATGCTAATAACACGAGGAGCAAGAGAAAAAGTAGAATGCGTTTATTGCGTGTGCCAAGCAGCCGTCGGAGCGACAAGCTAAACATTATGCGGATGGAATTGAAGTAAATGCATACGAAGGAAGGGAAAAGGAATATAATTTAAAGCCAATGATTTCCACTTGTAACAAAGCCCCAACCTGCGGGTTTTTGATTAGATTTTGATCTGGGATTTTCTTTTTAACAATGAATGGTATGCAACTTGGTTGCTATTTCTCCTCTCTGCTCTTTTGCTTGTTGATTTTTTATCGTTATTTAATTTTTCTATACATAGCAAGTGAGAAAGCGTTCATTTGACAATTTCGCCGGAATCAATAATAATGAGCGAGTAAGCGACCCACTAATAACGAAATAAATATACAAACATGGTGTCTCACTTTAGTACCTCACACGCATCAACTGAATCCCTTTCTTTCCCTGTTTTTCTTCCTCTTTCAAATTCACTCGAATTCCACTAGGAGCAAACCCGAGGCGTATGACCTGATAATGCGGCTGCCATACGATCTGTCGATACTCGTTGCGCGGCTGCTGACGACGCACGAGCTGCACGTGTGCTCCCAGGTGAGCCGATCATGGCATGCGCTATTCACGGACGAAAACCTGCTTCTTCCGCGCATTCAGCAGCTGTCGCATTTTGACCAAGAGCCCATAATGTACTATTCTCTGCCAACAGGCCACGAGAGTGGCGAGGGGGACGAGGGGGACCACAAGCATAACAATGTTGAAGAGCCGCAGGGCGAAGAGGCGACCTCGGAGCGCATGCTGGAGGAGAGGGCCAACTCACAATGGCTGAAGAGCCGGCGCGTATTGAGTAGGATGCTACAGAAGCTGCTGAACCGCAATCGCAGGTGGGGGCGGGGTCAACCCATTATGCGCGTGTACTTGCCGCCCGTTGGACTGGATGGCACGCAGGGCGATATTCAGGAAGAGTGGGAGGGCGGCGTCAAGTCACTCAAGATGAAGGGTGGCATTGTGCGGCCATATACGAAAAGGGATTGAGTGTGCGCATGTGGCGGTTGGACTCATCTTACGACGAGGTCAAACGCATCACTGATCGTTACTTGAAGGATAACCGGGAGGCACTATTGGCACAGACCAAATACGGTGGTCCCAGCTTGCCGCCTTTTCGGAGAGCGATATTGACGCGATGCTGCGTGGGTCACGCTCGGATGAGCCCAAGCATGCGCTGCTGGTGGTCATGAGGCTACGGCAGGCTGCGCGTTTGTTCGACTACTTTATCACTTCTAAGACGCTTGCTGTAGTTGCAGGTGACTACGAGGTCGATGTGTATGATTACGGTACAAAGAGTATCGCCACACGCTGCGGGTGTCCGGCGAGGAGCCCATTGGATCATTGCACGTGTGGCTAGACTACGTTGTTGTCGGGCACGGGACGTGCATCACGCTGTGGAACCACCGCACTGGTGCCGTGCTGGAGGATGCTCTGGCCACAGCGCACAATGCGCCGATCAACGGTGTATTTGTCCTGGACGATGAACGCCACTTGATGAGCATCGATTCCAAGGGCATTATGGTCGTGACTAATCGCGAGGCACCGTGCCGTTGGTTGACACATTACTCGATGTGCCGCTTTACCCGATGATTCTGGCAGGTGAAATGGGCGCGCCCTACGCGATGCGGCTACTACATGCGTCGCACTTGTGCGTGTGGGGCAAGTATGCATTCGGGCACTACGAGGTGTACGAGCCTGGGCTGGCCAGCCTCCCGCCGCTCAGCAGCCTCATGCTGGCCCCGCCATTGCCTGACGAAGCAGAACCTGAGGAGCCCGAGGGCGAGAAGTTTGCCAGCAACGACCCGCGCGCCACATTGGTGCAGCTGGAGGCCACACACCGCGAGATGGAGCTGATGTACCGCGACATGGCCAGCGACCGCGACAGCATATTCCCTGAGGGCCGGCGGATAGAAAGACAGCGGAGGAACCGCGTGCCGGCGGATGAGCGGTACCACTTGATCAACATTGATATGCCATTTGAGGAGAGCCCGAATGGCCAGGTGCTGTGCGCTGATTTCCGCCGTGCACTGTTTGTGTTTGGCACGTTTATTGATATCTACGATGTTGAGAAGCGGCAGGAGGGGAAGCCGAAGGGTGCGCCATTTGGAATTTTCCCTGTTGATCCGCTGCCTGGCACCGAGCTGCCGCCTGGCCCGCCGTCGCTGTCGCTACCTGTAGCAGGGGCCGACGAGGAGCAAAGGATGGAGGAGCAGGAGATGGAGGATTCCGAGTGGGTGACCGATCCAAGCGATGACGGGGTCAGCGACAACGATGATCACAGCGTTGACGAGGTCGATGAGGTCGGCGAGATCAACGAGACCGGCGAAGCCGACGATGGCAGGTTCAACGTGCGGCACATTTTGCAGCACCTTGGGTTCGGCATCCACAACGGCGACCCGCTGCAGTCACCACCGCCCATAGTACCACCCTCCTCGCTCAACGCGTCTTCATCAATCCTCACAATTGAGACTGCTGTTCTTCAGAGTGTCTTTTGCCTGCGCATATCTTCCGACGCACCGCATGATCCACCCAACGAATCGAGTCCCTTCAGTGCCAAGAACCTCGCAGAGTCCCGTGAATTTTTGGGCAAGTATATGCCGGAGCTTCTGGCTGCTTGTCTTGCGCGGGCGCCTGTAGATAGCCTGATATCCGCGGCGCCATATTATATTCAGCGGTTGTATGAGTCTCGATTTAGCAATGAGCCGGTGGCTACCGTGGACCATAGAGGCGAGAGGACTACGGGGCAGAAGGTTGCCAGCGATATGGAGAGGATTATGAGGGCCGTGGGGGTGCAGCCGCTGTGGTCGGTCCCAGGCATTGTATCGCCTGCTGCTGTAATGATGGACTTTGTGTCGTCGGCTATGGACGACTCGAAGGTCGCCGTCGGGTGCAACAATGGATACGTCGTGATAACGTGCTTTGACTAGATGCTTAGAGTATTAGTAATACAGGTCTTTTTTGATTGGTTGGTCAGACAGTCAGTTAGAATGCAGATTTCTTTTTCAGTCATACCGTACCATACAGCCTAAACTTTGGATTTTCATTATTATGTGCGTAAATCTGCGTGCTTATTTACGGTCACGCTGGCAGGTGTGCGGCAATGGAAAAGCTGATCTTGTATTCTGTCGCTTTATATATATTACTTTCACTTTGCCCAGCCTCTATTCCTCTCTTCCTTCCTTTCGCCTGCTTACTTTATACAAAAATATTATATTAATTATATTTGAAGAATTTTTTTTGCTTAAACTTTTTTTTTGAATTTACCTTTAAACATATTTTTTAAACCCTCGATAAAAAACCATGGGCCAGGCATACTCGAATTGGAGCTCGACAACCCAATTGCCCGACAGCAATTCGCAGCAGCGACGGGCTCGTACATCCACACCGCGTCCTGGACGGACGCAGTTATCCACAGTACGCAACAGCAATAGCGCAACGCCAGGGCCGTCTTCTTCCTCGCGTTACTCGCCTTACACGACCGCAGGTCCTCGTCTACGTCGGCAGGCCCCGCGCACACCCTCAAGCGCATCCTCAGAGGCACCATCGGCTGTGCCCTCGGTGGCACCCTCGGCCACCATCAATGAGGATGTCCTGGCCGCAGCGGCCCAAGCAGCCAACCAAGAGGAGGACGTGGAAATGGCAGAAACATCCGAGCGCACCAATGTGTCCGAAAATTGGACGCGCGCTCGTGTACGTGTGCGTGCGGGTAACCAGTTGCTTTCTCGTATAGTTGGTCGCTCGGTTATTGAATCCATAGCGCGAGAACTAGAACGCAGAAATAATGAGGAAGGGGAGCGCAGTGGCGGAGCAGGGGGGGAAGGGTTTCAGTTGGATGTGGCTGGAAGGGTGGAGCTTTGTTTGAGCGTTTCGTGTTTATTTGGTCTATGCTGGAGGGTCTCGCGGATATGGATAGCGGGAGGGTGCCCGGTGTGCCTGTTGGCGTCAATGAGCGGATACCTGCGCCTGGAGCGGGTGCGGCGGCTGATTCGGGAGCTGCAGCTGATTCGGGAGCGGATGCGGGTGCTGCGCCTGGTGCGGGTGCTGGAGTGGAAGCAAATGTTAGCTCCGATGCTGGTTCTGGAACTAGCGGTGTCACTGGTACTACCGGGCGAAGCTTGATTCCCACAGAAATGCAGTTCCGCATGTTTCTGCTTCCTGGCGCCATCGACAGGGCGCTTGAAAACTTTGAACGGACACGCAATGCTGCCTCTGCCACTGCTGCAGATCCAGCTGCTGGGGCTGTAGAAGGGGAGGAGGAGGGTGTCACCACTGCTTTTTCTGCCGCCGATATGCAGACAGAGTCGCGTTCTGGTGATGATGACAGCGAAATGGCCGACGAAAATGCTGAAAGCTCGTGGTCGCCGCTGCCATCATCGTCATCATCCGAAACCATTGCCTCGTCCACCACAGCCCCTGTTGTGGATTCGGCTGCTGACGCTGCCGATTATGCCGAGTATCTTGAACAAATAGGGCTCCAACAGACAAACGTGCCAGCAGCAGATGCAGCGACATCAGCAACAGTGGAATCAGTAGCGGCAGTGCGTCAGTCGCGAGCAGATAGGCTGCATCGTTTACGTCAGTTGGCTGAGGCTATGCGCGACGAGCGTCGTGAGATCGTGATTCCCGTGGTTGTGCTTGGGTTGAGGCTTAGCAACGAGCTTCAGCGCACCATTTTTTTGGCCGTTCAGGAAGCCGCCAGTGACGCTGAGTCTAACGATGCTGATACTGTGGCTGGTCCCGCAGATGTTCCTTTGGCGGATGAGCAGAGACGCGGAGGATTCCAGGGCGCGCTTAGGAGTCTTGGCAGGCGCCTGGGCGGTGTTATTCCGAGTGCCTTTGGAAACCTTGTGTCGTCGCGGAACGCTACTTCCAACTCTAACGCTGACATTATTGCTGATGTCCCTGATACTTCAGATGCTTCCACTCCTCCCAGCGTTCCGAATATCGTGGATGCCGCGACTTTGCCACCAGCAGCTGCGGAAATGGACGCAGCGACGGCCATGCAGCCTGGGCTTTCGGTGTTTATCACTATCCACCATATGCAACTGGGTAACCCGCTTTTGCTTCCAATGCTGACATACTCTTTGTTCCCCGAACTCGCACGAGACGACCCATCTTCTGGTTCTAATTTGTCAAACGTGGATGGGGGCCATTCGTCAAACAATTACGACCTGTTGTCCGAGTTGTCCAGTATTCTCGGACAAGTGCGTTCGCACACTGTTAGTCAGGATATGGTCGACAAAGTTTTGAAAAGGTATACGTACAAGGGGTTAACTGAGGGAGGAGTCCCTTTGGCCTATCCTGCTGGCGAAGAAGAGGATAAGGCTGCGGTGGTTGAGTTGGTTTCGGCTGAGCGGTGTCCTGTATGCATGGATGCGTATGCTGTGGGCGACTTACTGAGAGTATTGGATTGCCGTCATGCCCTGCATACGTCGTGTGGCGATTCGTGGTTTACTTTGGGTGCCAATAAGTGCCCTATATGTCGCGCTGAAGCTGTGCATATAAAGGAGTTGGCATCGCCATCGTCGTCGGCGGCGGCGCCACCAGTGGTATAAAATTAATATAATTGTATTAAATTTGTATGCATTCCATATATATAAATTGAAAATTTAATGTTTAATATTTAATAAGCTTATACATTTTTTATTATTTACTGTCCATGTGTATGTCCAGACTGTACCACGGATGTACATTTCGTAGGTGCATTAACTGGTCGATGTGCGTGTCTGAGTTTTTGCTACAAAACGGACAAACGTAAGAGTCTTGGCTGAATCTCGTCAAATCACCCATCATGGTTTCCCTGGCAGAATTGTTGGATGGAGATGGAGACGCGGATGAGGATTGTTTTATGCGACTACCTTTTATTCCTTTGGTTTCCATTAAACTACCACTACTGCTACTGTTGTCGCTGCTTTTGCTGAGCAGAGTGTCTGTTTTTGAGTACCGGTTGTATCTAGCGTGCTTGTGGTTCGGAATGGGTATTGGTGCAGTTAATTTGGTCATTCTCGTCTATGTCGTTATTGTAATCGATGCTGTTGTCGTCGTTGTTGAGGGATATACAGATATACGAATGTGTGGTTGGTAGCAAATTATGAAGATGGTTAATTATTAAACAAAACGAAATTAATTTTGTGAGTGAGAAAAATGGAAGAGGAAAACATCGGAGATTTTTATATAAATGTAAATATATATACGAATTGGGGTTTCAATCTTTACAAGTCAAATGCCTACTACCCATTGTCTAAAATTCCAACAGACAATTGAAGGAAGGTACACCTCATTCAGTACTATTCCTACCATGAGGACAATAAATATATGCACAAAGTTTCTCTGCATATACTCAAACACACAGGAGGTGAGGGTTGGTCACCATTTTTTTGTGTTCTCAAAATAAAAAGTGGGAAAAGAGAAAGCGAATGAGCAAGAAAGCCCCATGACGAGGGGTTTATCGCTTTCATGTTCGCTTTTAATTTTTATTGACTTTTTTGTTTATATATTTTTATTTTTATTTTATTTTTTCTATACTCTTTATAGAACATCATAAAAAAAACATGAAAAAACCTGTGCAAAAAAAAACTGTGGACAATTCAGATATGACAAGTCTCGTGCACTTGCTTTTTTATTTTATTTATTTCTCTCATGCAAAACATATACGCATGCGAATGTACAAGTACGAGGCATGTTGTGATCAACTGGAAAACAAATGATGTCTCACATATACAATTTCATTCTTTTTTTAAAACACTTGATTGTTTGAAATAAAAAAATTTTACATTGCAGAAAATGAAAATGACCATATAAACATTGTTCACACGCAACAAATATACACTACAAATGTTTTTTCACTTCCTACTACATTTAATAACAGGGAAGCGACACCATTTCTTTTTTCCCGCTTACCCCTTCTGCCCCCTCCTTACTGCCTGATCACGCACGCAAACCAACGTCTATTAACGCTCCCCTCTTTTGGATGATACGGCTTCCTCACCTAAATAAACAGCGCCTGGAATTAGACAGCACTTTTGGAACAGAGAAATTGCGGCAAGCCTAAACATACGCAGCACTTTCAACTGCTCCAGCGAGGGATTGGGGTCTTCCTGCTTGGTTCACGCAATCGGTGACAGAAGACGATTGAGACAAATATGTGTAGAGCCGGTGTAGCCAATTCTTTTTTTCCATACATTTTTTCTCTTATTCTCAATAAGTTCGAACCCATTCTCAATTAGCAGTCTGAGTAATCAGCGAGCGAAGCTAAGTAATGGGTCATCATGATGACTTGTATTCTAAGGATTTTTGCGCTCATTAAAAGGTGTTTTATTTCATCTCATGATAAATACTCCAAAAGCCGCTCCACCACCTGTGTCATCGGAGGCCTATCCACAGGATTCTGGGCCCACATCTGCTGAATAAGGTCCAACAAAGCCTTTGGGTACTTTTGCAGTCTTGTCAGTGGAGGCCTATACCCATGATCCCTCACCTGCGAGTACAGCTGGTGCTCCGTCATATCGTGGTACGGATACGGCTCCTCTCCCCACTGCAGAATCTCCCAAAATATGAGCGCGCACGCATACACGTCGACTTTCTCGGTATACGACGGCCGCGACGCCCAAAACTCGGGGGCCTGCCAATTCGGTGTGCCACAGGCCGTATGCACCATGGTATTCATCCTGGGGCGAATCCTGGCCAGACCAAAGTCATTGATTTTGGCACGGTTATCCGATGAAATCAGCACATTCATGGATTTGAGGTCTCGGTGGATAACGCTCGGCCTGCGCGTATGCAAGTAGGACACGCCCAGCGCTATATCATGCATGAACATCATCAGCTGGCCGAACGGCGGCTTGGGAACCTTCCTCATGAAATCGAAAAGGTCTCCGTTTTCACACAGCTCCGTCACAATACATAGCCGACGGCGGTTGGAGCAGACGCCGATGAATTTGACAATGTTTTCGTGCCGCAGCTGCTTGAGCACGCTGATTTCGTGGCGGATCTCCTCAAAGTCGCTTGATGAAAAGTCTGCTATGCGGATTTCGCCAATGGCCACGGCGTTTCCTTGGTACTCGCCCCGGTAGCAGTCCTTGAACCCGCCTGACCCGATTTTGCTGCCAAACTCGAGCTTTTCAATCGGTATTTCGTCCGAAAAGTCTGTCGATTCTCCGCTTTTGCCTCCTGCACTGTACAGAAGTATGGCCTCGCGCATGCTTAGCTGCTCCAGGTGCGGGCTTGACGGCACCGGCACCGGCTTCGTGTTGATTTTCCAGTCCATCAGTGCTTGAATAAGCTGTGACTTTGACCCCTCTGCTGAAAGGCCTAAGGTTTGTACAAGTTTAAAATAAAAAAAATAAAAAAATGTGTGCTTTATTTTTTTAGCTATATGTAAAGTCGTGTTTATTTCTCTCTTTCTCTCTTTTTTAATAAATTTCGTGCATTACCTCGCTCTTGGCACAGCACAATGAGGTCGGCCTTGATTCGCTTGTTCAATGTAAACCAGTTTTCGGCCTCGAGTGTCTCGTCGATATGTCGTGTAATAAGCTGGAACGTCATGTCTATAAGTGCTGTTATTATTTGTAGAAAAAAGGTTATAAAGTACAAAAATATATATAAAAAGTAAAATTACGCAACCAAATTCAAGTACAAAGAGGGGTAGAAGAGGAAGAATATAAAATAAAACACCGAGATGAAGCGCATACTTTTTTTACCTGCTTCTGTGAACTGCATATGTGTCTGAATACGAAAAGCACACATGGCACACACGTAAATCCTTCCTTTTTTTGTTACTTGTTTTGCAAAAATACACGTGACTTTTGGTGAACCGTCAGCAGTGCTTTTTTTAATTCCGCAAGCCTCTGCTCGTCAAGCCTTCCTCCGCACGCCCTTTCTTATCTTCCCCTCCCCTTTTGTTATTATTCTACCTTCTCTATCACGATTCGAAATCCAACAAAAAAAAGTATTTTTTACAATGTTTGTTGTGCACATTGTTGTACCACTGCTCCTCGTCTCGGTGCTCTTATACATATTTGTCTGCTGGCGGCCCAGCACTGTGGACCGCGACATGTTCCCCAAGGAGAAGCAAAACAAGCAGCAAAAGCACGTTCTCTTCGTAACAGCGCACCCAGACGACGAGTGCATGTTTTTCGCGCCCACTCTGGCGTCTCTCAGCCGCCGTCGCGACGTAACCGTCAGTCTTCTCTGCCTTTCCAAGGGTGATTTCGACGGCCACGGTGATGTGCGCAAGAAGGAGCTGATTAAGGCCGGAGTGCGCTTCGGGTTAACCCCCGACAGTGTTATTATAGTCGATGACCCGCATTTGCCCGATGACCCGAAGCAGTCATGGAACGTGGCGCTGGTGGCTAAGACTGTCGAGGCTGTGGCGGCAACCGGCGACGTCGATGCTATTTTCACCTTTGATTATCGCGGGATCAGTGGACACCAGAATCATATTGCCGCGTATATGGGAGTTAAACATATGGCGTTGACGTCGCAAAAGTTCAAGTTTAGACCGTTGAATGTGTATGCTTTGGAGTCGGTTGGGTTTGTGAGAAAGTATTGTTCTATTTGGACACTATTTTTGGTCTGGGATTCTTTTGGGCGTCGAGGGATAGCCAGTTGTTTGTTGCTGATTTGCAGGCGTACTCGATGGGCGTGCAGGCTATGATTATGCATGAGAGCCAGCTTGTATGGTTCCGTAAGCTGTACTTAGCCTTTTCGCGCTACATGTTTATCAACACTTACTCAAAAATCAACTAGCTGTTCCTCTCTAAATTTTTATTTGTTTGAATATACTAGTTTAAATTAGTGTATGTATTGTTGAAGTGCGCGTTTTCTCTGGCCTAACCGGCTTTGGCTGTCTTGAGCTCGACAAAGCATGCTGGGTATATGGTCACTTGCCCATACTGTGTCACTTTTGGATATTCACACTGTACTCTCCTCAACTGCGCGCTGCTTTTTGTTACTCTGTTACACGCACTGCAATAGCGTTTATTTCTTTTTTTGCTTCAATTCTTTATTTGTCAATACGATGCTCGTCTTGCAGCTCAGGCGTTTAGCCATACCGATCTGCAAGATTCTCCAAGCAACGCCACTGCTTTCTCGAACAATCAATGGAACCAACCAGGTCACTTCTGAGCACCTTGCATTCAAAACATTGCGTCGATTATACACCACCCCGGCGAACCCAGCAGACTTGACAGGTCCAGCAGAGCCAACTGACTCGGCAAATCCACCAGATACGAAGAAACCACATATATCCTCGCCTAAGCACCCCACAAACCAACGCCCAACGCCAATCATCCTTATCGACAACGAAATCGATGAAAAACACGTGCGAGGCTGGGGCAACGGCGGTCAAAAACTCAACAAGACTAGCAGCTGTGTACAGCTTTTGCATAAGCCCACCGGAACAATAGTCATTTGCCAGGACACCCGGTATCTCCAGCAGAATCGCAAGATTGCGCGCAAAAGACTTAAGGAAAAACTAGATTTAATTACTAATGGTGAGAGCTCAAAGACAGGAAGAAGATATTGAAGTTACAGGCGAGAAAGCATAAGCAAAAACAGAGGTCGAAGAAAAAGTATTCGAAGGATTCTAATGATGATACTAGTGAGGCGGATAGGCACTCTGGTTTGGAACCGACAGTTTCTGATGAAGGCAAATGACAAGTGTAATTTTCTTTGAGCTTCGTATTTTTTGTGTTCATTCAGGCTAATAAAGAAAATATTGATTTGAAGGCTGTATATAAGTTGATAGAAAATTTGGTGTTTCATTTCTCCATGAGGAGAGCATGGGACGAAATCTTCCATTTTGGTCCTTTCATATGTTCTCACATGGTTAAAAAACAAACATTAATTTCTTTGCTGCCAATACTTAAAACAACCCAAGGTTTGGCAAAGTCAATATAACCTAGTAAAACCCTGGATGGAAAATATACTACCTATACTGGCTGTATTGCTTGGCGCCGTTAGCTCTTAGCTAGTTTTATTCTCTTATAAACACTTTTCGCCAGCTTCACAATTATAATAACCGAAAGAATAGACCAAAATATCGCTCCGATAATTAAAACCGCAAGTGAGCTTATTTCCTTTTTGTGCTGTAAATGGTAACTGTCCGCAGCGTCGTGATTGAATTGCCTAAATTTAGCCTGAAGAACACCACTTCATCCTCAATCACAACCTCTGCGTTTCCTGAAACCACCACACCATGGGCAATATCAAGAACAATCTTACTACAATCACCATCTGCGACTTGTAGCTCTGAGCTTGAAGACTGTCCACACGGGGAAATACTCAAAACTCCAATGTTGCTATCAGTAAACACAATGTTCTTCCCGTTATTAAAAATATCCTGGTCACCAAATAACGGAACATTGGTGCTGTTGACAACAGTCATATTGCGCAGCTGTGTAATATATTTGCCTCTTCTTGTATACTCTGTTCTCAAAAACATCGAGCCATAGTGTATTCCAGATCCATATGCCCAATGCGGGTATGGATACATGAGGTAGTATCCGTAGCCCCAAGCACCCGAGTACTCGCTGCGAGTATTGGATGCGTAGTAAATTGCAGGCGAATGAGACGCAAACTTGTACGGTTTGATTTTCTGACCATATTTGACAGTTTTATATTTGGCGTTGGCATAGTACATTGGGTTGGGAGTATATTGTCGGGAGGAGTCGCCTTTGCCGGATGTGCTGCCCTTTGCGTTAAAGCCGCTGCGGTCCGGGAATAGTTCAGGTGTTAATGGTGGGTTGTCGCCAAGATCTCCGGAGCCTATTTGTTCCATGCCGCCACCGCCCTTGATTCCGGTATTCTTGCCATCAGACGCTGCCAAAACAGCCACTACTGTGTAAAGCAGCGCAAACGTAAAACTAAATGGCAGTAGATGCATACTAACTTATACAAAATTGTAATTTGTAAAAACAATGATGCATAAAAATATAGAAGAGAGAGGAAGCGAAGTAATTTCCTCTTTATAATGCTTGGGTGAGAAAAAGGAAAAGAAACATTTATTGCTTTATTAAAAGGGTTGAAAAGTAAGTATCCCTCTTTTTTTATGGCAGGGCGCTTATTTTTAGCACTGCAGATTTTATTTTTTATTTTGTGGGCTTTGTCGGGCGTTGCTGTACATTGAGCATGCCAACCAATAGAACAAATTGGGCTTCCATTTTTACAACCAATTATTTATTTTTATTCTGCGCAGAAAACTTGGCTTGTTAATTTTATCTTAGTGAACATTGAATTATTTTTTAAGCCAACTAAAAGCTTGTTTAGTTAGTCAATAATTCTAAGCATTCTATCAAAAATTATTATTTAATACGCGGTATGAAAATAATCAAGTGTCAGTATAATGAAAACCTATGAAGCAGAGCAATCATGCTAGGCTAATTTTAGCTGCTAAGACTGCAAACGCAATTCAGACTGGTTAATTTGTATATTTAAATTATTTAACTGTTCTTATGTTATTTGTACTGTTTCCCATGTAAAAATTGGCATTTGTCTTTTACTATATTTACTGGCCACAAAGCAAGTTGATGCAAGTTTTCTTTCATTTAACTTACTTTTTGTTTTTAAAGCCCTTTCCTATACTTACTTGCTGCCTTGTGACTTTTCTATTTTTGTTTAGCATGGCATGAAATATGATGAGACGGGATGGTAATTTATATCAGCTATTGTTATAGTAAGAGGGGGGTGTGAGGAGCACTAGTTGTCTAGTGTTAAAAGTTAGGGGTGATTTTATAAAAGGTTTTATTACTGATGTTTCTAAAGTACTACTAGGGGCCGGCTTCATCTTATATATGTGCCTTGTCGCCTTTGTTGTGCACATTGTCCATTGTGCGCTCCGTTGGTGAGAACTGGATCTTCTGCGAGTAGACCGGTATCTTGGCAAGTCAATGTTGTGGTTTTCGTGCGTGTACGCTTATGCGTGTGCATTACAGAATGGGGAGCATGTTTGGGCACCAATGTAATGCCTCCCTGATTTACGCCTGCGTTATCCAATTAGCGTCCTATCGATCAGCGCGCAGGTGGAAACCTGTTTCGCGATTCTCGACCTAACATCCACTTCCATATCTTCAGTCTGCGCAACACTATAATAGTTGTGTGTCTGCTTCAGCTTTTCCAGTATAAATAAACGGCATTTGTCTCCCATTTTCTAAAAATTATTTTATCATCTTCACTAGTCTCACGTTTTATCAATCCACATTGTTTACCACTAATACTAGTTATACGAGCACCAAGCACCAATTAGCCCAACCATGACTGACAAAGCAAATGAGTTTGGCCCAGTCGATAAAGGTACATATGGAAAAGAAATTAATGTTTTCATGGGCAAGTGGAACCATTTAACTCCCATGCTTATTAGTTACATGTGGATGTATAAAGATGTAAACAAAACACCAATGGATATAGTGGATATGAAATGCAGATATGTAACTATTTCGGATGAGTATATAGTCAAGTTTTTATATACAAAAAAAACGATGTAGACATTGAAAAAAAAACGGACGGAAGTAAAATAACTAGAACTCAAACGTCAGCAGATTCTGTCACAAAAATTAACAGTAGACATGTCAAAAATTTAGATGATACCAAATATCATACAACGTGGAAGGAATGCAAGGAAAGTATTATTGAAAACTTGATGAAAAAATATGGCTGCTTTACCACTGTCTGGATTGGTCCTCAAATAACTAAATTGGGAGATGACTGTGTCGAACCTAAGAAAAATAGACCAATTTCCCAAAGAAATTTAAGCAGCCAAAGTATTAAAACCAATTTGAGTGGCCTAAGCAATAAAAGCAGCCAAAAAAGTTTGGATAACCAAAGTTTACACAGCGTTCAAAGCAACCAGACCAACATAGACAACCAAAGCATCCAAAGCAGCAAATTAGATAAAAAAAGCCAAAAAAGTAAATTATTTTAAAGCTATCAAAAATAGATTACAAAAGTAATAAAATGCATAATAAAAACAAATATAAAATACAAATATTACTGTTGCACAGACTGAAGATATGGAAGTGGATGTTGAGATTGAGAATCGCGAAACAGGTTTCCACCTGCATGCTGATTGATAGGGTACTAATTGGCTTATGCAGGCGTAAATTAGGGAGGCATCACATTGATGCCCAAACATGCTCCCAATTTTGCAATGTACACGCGTGAAGGTATACACACAAAAACCACAACATTGACTTGCCAAGATACCGGTCTGCTTGCAGAAGATCCAGTTCTCACCAACGGAGCGCACAATTGGCAATGAGCACAACAAAGGCAACGAGGCACATATATAAGATGAAACTAGCGCTAGTAGTACTTTAGAAACATTAGGAATAAAACCTTTTATAAATTCAACCCCATCCTCTAACACTAGACAACTAGTGCTCCTTACACCCCCTCTTACTATAACATTACTATAACATTGCTTATGCTTTTGTGACTAATATTTTGTTTTGGTTAATTGCACTGGTTATCAATGCATAATAGTTTACACATTTATTAATCAGTTGTCATCATCCAAAGGATTGGATTTGGTCAATTTTTCAATATACTACCAGTTAGCACAATGTCCACGTTGTGTAGCGTTTTAAAATGACAATTGCATCGATAAGTTTGTTGTCAGTTTTTAATGGAGATCTAACAACATTATGTTTGGCGTTTGTAATGCGACAGACTGTCGACCAATTGTTTTCATAGGGCTGGCTGATTTAAATTTGTCTTCATCATTGCTGCTACTGGTATTGTTGGCCCTCTTTTCCTTGTGGCCAACTTTGTCTCCTTTGTAGATTGGCAACTAGCCGAAACACAAAGGCCACAGAAACACAACAAAATGTGGTTCCTGCTTATTTTTTTTCTTAGTTTTAGTTGGAATAGATATTTTTCATTACTTTAATTACTAGTTTAACAATATCTCATGGCTTTGTTTACCAACTCCAATTGTACATATGCAATGTTCCAATTATTCTGACAGCCGACAGCTTTTCGTCCAGCCTTAGAGTTTTGGATATCAAGTCAGAATATTGTCGTGCTCTATAAAAATGTGGGTCTAAATCGACATATTCAAGTCTTAAAAAGTCCTTACTTAACTGAAAAGGGGGCAGCGCTGTAAACATCATGGTGTTCCTTGATGTCAGCTAGCAATAACAGAAATGTGTATAATGGCCATGAGGGCGATCTTGATTCTTGAAAAGGGAAGATAGTGGCTTGAAATGTGTGTTGGGCACCACAAATATAACCTGGGTCACCCTTTACCCAAAGCAAATGCATCAAGCCTTGAATCTCTAAATATAAGTGGAAACTTAAACACGTTTATTTGGAACAACTTTGCAGACAAAGATTATGCAGATTATATCATATTTAAAAAACTAACTAGCTTTAGGGTAAAATATACCAGTAGCAGCAATGATGAAGACAAATTTAAATCAGCCAGCCCTATGAAAACAATTGGTCGACAGTCTGTCGCATTACAAATGCCAAACATAATGTTGTTAGATCTCCATTAAAAACTGACAACAAACTTATCGATGCAATTGTCATTTTAAAACGCTACACAACGTGGACATTGTGCTAACTGGTAGTATATTGAAAAATTGACCAAATCCAATCCTTTGGATGATGACAACTGATTAATAAATGTGTAAAATATTATGCATTGATAACCAGTGCAATTAGTCAAAACAAAATACTAGGGTTGTGTGTGGCCAAAGGGAAGACCAATAAGTAAAAACTGGACAGTTACAGGGGATACTGCTAAATGGGGGATTAAATATTTATTATAAAACTAAGGTGTTCTCATCCTCATGGCGGGAACACCTTAGTATTTATCGGAAATATAATATGATAAGTGAGCGATATCTCCTGTGCTGCACACATGTATACAAACATCTAAACAAGCGTTAATAGCAAAGCAAATGCTATTTTAATACACCTCGAAATTACATCAATTTCTGTTATCATTCTCTGGCAAAAACAGGTTCAATCATGACCACCATGTGCCTTCACAATCAATGTGATTAGATCAGGACATCAGGTGACGTCCCACATCTGTTCAATGCATCTGTGTGCGCTTGCGGGTCTCAGCCCGGGTCACTGGCCTGGGTTGCGCCCCCCTAAAGGATTCTTAGCAATATGGCTCCTTACAAAGCATACCCTTTCTAAACAAATTTGCGGCTGGGCGTCTGAAGTAGAAAATTGAATTTATTTATTTTTTTGCGCGAGCAAATAATTAAAAAAAATAGTTGCCAAGTTTTAAAAAAAATGAAATCAAGCACCCCTGTTGATTTTCTTTATTTCTGGCTTTCGTAGGAATGTGCAAAAGGTCAGACAGAAAGTGGCCATTAGAAAGGCGCATATGTCACCCCGCACACCAGCCAGTTAAAATTTGAATGGCAGAACGTAAGTGCTCAAATTGCTTTAGCATACCTTGCTGTTTTTACTATCACGTTATAGACCCCAAAGACATATTCTACATCCAGCATCGAGCGAGTAAACTGCAACAGTCATTTGGCAGTCAAGGTTTGTGTTGGAAGGATTATTTAGCCACAGATAATAAGTATTTACGCACGTCACAAATAGATGTAAAACAAATGTAGCCCTGCCTTGGTTCAGTTCGCAAATCCTACAAGTTGTTTAATATATTATTGTATTCCGAATTGATATTTGCTTGTATGAATATTGTCTTTCCTATAGTGTACTACGGACACGCTTGCCCTGTAGCTTAGAACAACTGCGTTGGATGCAGGGAGGGCTCAAGCAATGGAAAGTGGTACATATGCCCATAGCGACAAGCACCCCTGTTGTTGCGCGCACCTATCACTGCCATGCTGGGTTATTCTGCCATATTCAGCTAACAATTATTATCTATCCAAAATTTGTGTATATTAACTTTACAAGCTTCTAATCACTGGTTCCGCACATAGAACAGCATATACGCGGCCGACGAAGCCACTTTATCCTCAGGAACCGGCGCCACGCGGGTGTCGTCAAAGTAGTTCCACTGGCCACGCAGCCCGTTAAACACGCTCGCAGTGTAGTGGCCAGAGGACAGTGTGCCGTAATGGTTGGCCACCGCATACAAGTTGTACGATGTCGTCGACTGCTGGCGCGCATCAGGCATCATATAGGTATCCATCTGCAACTGCCGCGTGGGGAACACAGCGTTGGTCTCGAGCTTCTCGCGGAAATGCCCAATGGTCGAGAACCTTTTGAGGTGCACAATGAGAACGAGTGGCAGGCGCGAGATCAGCATCCGCTTACTTGCCTTGCGCCTGGACTTGCACCGCGGGCAGTGCCACTTGTTGTCGCCGTCAAGGATCTCGCTCCCCGAGAACGCATCTAGGCACTGGTAGATGGACACGGGGGTGCTGCTCTTGCTCGACGACTTGCGCGACAAAACTGCGGCACTGCTGGGCTTGGCTTCGGGCGTCGGAATGGGCACAGAAAGTTCAGTGAACGTAAAGTACGTGGTCGATGTGTGTTTGCACAAAAGGCATGTCAAGCGCGACTGCACTTGGCCTTGGAAGATGCTGGTCATGATCGACCAGTTGCGGCGGATATACCGCTCCCACTGTATGTTCGCCTGCTGAAAGTCCGGCAGGTGCTCAAACTGGATCTCCTCGTCGGGCGTCATGTCGCTGTCTGGCGGCGGACGTGGGTGTACGCGGTTCAGGGACTCGTGCAGGGTGTCGAGCACAAACAGGGCAAACTCCTGCGCGTCCTCCTGGTCGTTGCCCTTGAATTGGGCCGAGCAGTTGCCGACTGCCGAGCGGAAGCCAATCGGCGACAGCGACCCGTACTGCCCGCACCACATGTTTTCGATAAGGCGCGAGAACTCAACAACTACATCGGAGTAGCTGCTCTTGGAACCGCGAACCAAGTCCTTCTTCCAGCCTCCCTGCAAAAAGTACCGCGCAAATGGGACTGTGCCGACTAGACATTGGATGACGCAGTTCATGAAACATGTGTTGCCAAAGTTCTTCAGCCCTGTCATGCCGATAGCCGAAGAGTACAGCGCTGCTGGAGGCTGCACCTGCGCTTGTGCAGGCACTCTGGAATCAATGCGCGGCGCTGAATTGTAATTGGGTTCAGCAGAAAGAGCAATGGCAAATTGCCCGGACTGATTGCACGCAAACGAGTTGCGAATGTTGCCGCCAGTGTGCATGCGCCCGTTGAGCGATGGGTCGGATCCTGCAGCGACTGGGTAGTTGTAAAAGCCGCGGCTGTTTGCAGCGGCAGACTGCACCTGGGCGTATTGCTGCTGCTGGTTGTGCTGCTGCTGCTGTTGGTACTGTTGGTATTGATACTGCTGATATTGGTACTGCTGGTTGGCAGGAGGCGAGTTGGCGTATTCGAGCGACTTGAGGGGTAGCGGCGCATTGGGGACGTGGCTCACCAATTGGGGATTCTGGTGAGTCTGGGTTTGCAAAGTGGCCTGCTGAACACAAGCTTCTGGTTTGGGCGGCAGTCGCAAAGTGGGGATAGGCGGCGGCTGCCTGCGTTTTTTTGCTGGCTCTGCAATCATTTGTTGTTGCTGCTGCTCCTTGTTTTCTGCATGGTTCGCCTTCGCCGTCGCAAAGTGTGTGTCGGTTGGCACAGATACCGCAGTGTACTCATTAACATTTGTCCTGCCGCTGTACGCTGGCCCGGTGAATCCGTACGTGGGGTTATCAAACACTGTGCTGCGCTGGTTCAAGTCGGTTGTATTGTCAGGTACCTCGGGCAACAGGGCAGGTGGCTCGTCCGGAATCTGGCTGTTGTCGGCAGCAAGGTCAACAGGAGCAGCGCTGAGTCTATCCGAGGTTGCGTTAAATGTTGGCAGATTGCCGCTGAGCTCGTCCCTGTCATTCAATGCGGGCGCCGGTGCTGTTTCAACGTGGGTGGACATAGCGTTGTATCCCTGAGTAGACAGCGTATAAGCGGCCTGTCGCCGGCAATCCATCTGCTGCTGCAATTGCTGCTGCTGCCATTGCGGGTTATAGTTGTTTCTCTGCTGGAAAAAGTCAAACACTGAGCCTGAAACTGGCGTCGACACCGTGGCGTCGTCCATACTACTAGCCACCACCAGCGCAGCTGCCGAAGTTGCCGACACCAATGCGGGTATCTGCAAAATTGGGGGCACGGGTGAACTGACCGCGACGGCTTGATGCAATGTCTGGCATGACAAAATAGTATTGCCCGATGGCGACTCAGTTGGTGCATGGAACGCCAAAGTCGACAATCGCTCTGTTCGGGGAGATGTGTTGCTGATCCTATCCGCACTGACTGACAAGGTCACGGGTTCGGAAGACGCTGACCACGTCTGCACACTCTCAGGAAACGGCGACCTGGCCATTGACCTGCGCGCCTCGTCAGACCACAAGCACTGGTGCTTCCCCATTTTCTGCACCCACGAATCAAACCCGCCAATTAGGAATAAAGGCTGGTGCTTGGGCGGCTTCAGGAACTCGCAATGGTAGATGGCCGAGTTGAGAGCCTCCATTGCCGCGATCTCCATGCTGCCCCTATCGCTGAACAAGTGCGCTGACTGACTCGTGTAAACGACAATGTCAAAATCGCCGCGCTGGTGGAACCATGCTTGCTGATCGTCTGAGACCAACACCAAGCTCGACTCGATATCCGCCGATGTACATCCCTTGTGAAGCGCTGCTGGCTCAATATTGACCGTGTACTTGTGGTCGATTTGGCCCCAGATAAAGTCCTGATGCGGGCGCACATCCAAAATCAGCACCGTCGGGTGGCCGTCGGCTGCAGTGCGGGACTTGTCAAGCAGGTTCCAGAGCTCCAGCGGCATGCATGTAGAGGCGGTGGCGTCGATAAATTCGGAGCTAACGCTCTTGTCGGTCGTTTCAAAATTCGGGCTAATTTCCATTGCCGGCAGGATGGGCGGTGTGCCATGGCTGATGACTGCTATTCCCGGAATTGTGTTGCTGCGAGATCTGGGAGATCTGGAAGTAATCCTCCGAGCTTCGGCATCGATAATCCGGGCCTGGGCATCTATCTCCTCGAATTTACTCTGCTGTGTCGCCATCCATTGGCTTTCTAAAGTCAAAGTCTGTGATGTGCCGACCGTACTATCCTCCGTGTCCGCCACGAGCTGGGACCGCTGATGCATGGGCGGGCTGGAAGCTGTGTTGCTTTCCGAGTGGGACAGCTGGTGGTCTGGGTACATCTGAGCAAACCCGCTCTCCATCATGTCGAGCTGCTCAACAGCATCCACACGCGTATCAGGGACGCTGTCTCCGTGGGGATCCACATACTGATGCGTCTTGAGTTCCTCGGTCAGCCGCTTAAGATCATCCAGCATAAGCGTGTCAGATTCACTCCGCACCCCGTCGTATGTTGCGCCCTCGCTGATTGTTTTAAATCCGTGCAGCTTGGGCAACTGCGCTATGATGTTTGACGACAGCTGGTACTTTAAGTGAGCGTTTTCCAGGTCGCCGGACTCTTGGTGCAGACGCGCCTCGTCCATGTATGGCTCGGCCGATTTGAGACATGCTATGGACGACGCACTAACTGGTGGGTCAATACTGACCTGCTGGTTCAGCGCTGTGACTAGGGATTTTCGTCTAGGTTTGGGCTCACCTGTAGCCACCAGCTCTTGCACCGGACTAGCACTGTTGCTTCTGTTGCTGTTACTGATGTCGTGGTCGGCTAATGGCAAGTTGCTCGGTGCCATTTGTACCACGGTGCACTCCAACGACTGTGCGTTCGATTGAGGCTCGTCAGATCTGTGTACGGCTACTGTCTGTGGTGTGATGGCTTCCCGCAAAGCCGTGTCTTGGTTTGTGTTTGACACCAATGGCGGCATTGTTTTTAGCTCTGGAAATAAAGGTAACTCTGAAGGAACAGGTAACGTGTCTGGCTCAATAGATGGTGTCGCTGAGTCATGGAACATGTCGGCTTGCTGCTGCTGTTGTTGTTGCTGAATTCCATCCGCATTGACCAAAAACTGCTTTGTCAATAAAGGTGGTTTGGCCGGTTTGACCGGCTTGCATGGAGTCTGTGTAATGTCGCTCTCGCCATTGTTTTTGGCCTGTGCCAAGCTCTCGAACCGTCGAATGAGGTCAGAGGTCCGGCCACCGCTAGGCCTCGACATTTTGCAGCTGTCAATTTTGTGCGTGAATGCGTTAAATTTGAAAATATATAAAAAATAAAAAAGTTACAATAAAGAAACCAAAAAAATAATAAAAATGCGACTATACTAAACGGGCGCGTGTATTAAGGAAAGATCATATGAGATAAAAAAGAGAGATAGTGCAGGGACGCTGTAGGCATTGTGTGTGGATTATTTTTTTGTGCTGTGAGGACTGCGAGTGCCACACAAAGAACGGAAAATTAGCAGCTAAGAACTAAAAAGAAAATATTAAACGCGGAAAAGGAAGAGGGGAATATAAAGGGAGCTCGAGTCAGGTGTGCTCTACTCACTCAAAAAATTGTTTAACATTGGAGCACACGAGCGCGAAGCGGTGGTGACGTTTGGAGGCCATATTGGCGACAAGGGTCTGATTGGCAAATCAGATCAACATTTAGCAGACGATTGGCGTGGGCATATACACGAGGGTTGCAACAGACAGGCATGATGCCTGAATTGCTGGTTTTATTAAAACCCCGACAAAGAATGCCTTTTTATATGCGGTCTTTTATGCTCTTCTCAATGTGGCTGTATAGTCTGACAAACTCTGATGGTCTTTTTACTCTTCAAGTTCCCAATGCATTGTTTTGGCATAGCTCTGTGGCTGGGTCGGCATATCCAAGTTGAGGTCCCCTGAAAAAGCCCTATAGAGAAATAATGCTTTTGCTCAGCTTTCATTGTTCACGATTTTCCGACCAGGTAATTTTCATTCTCTCAGACCAGCAAAAGGGATGGTTTTGGCTTTTGTTGTCATTTTTTGAGAGCAGTAAACACGGCGACGAAATTTTAGCGTCCATTTCGAAAACGCGAAAAATAATGGTTTATTTGAATTCTCGTTTTATTTCTATTTCTTTTACACTTTTTCTCGCAACATTTTACAAGAACCATTTATGTTTTAGTTTATCAGTTCTTCCAAAAAAATATTCCGCCACAGCCACAGCTACGATCACGCCGAAAGCATACTTTTGCTTCGCAGAAAAACTATCATATCCGTATTGAGCGATGCCAAACATATTCAACAGGTTCAGAAGCGGTCCTTCAGCAACACATCTCTCGCTGTATTCGTCCACAGAGCCGGTAGCCGAGTTTGAAATACAAAACGACACAACGCAAACATCTCAGCAACATCAGTCACTGTCAAAACACTGGGGCCTGCACGCAGTTGCATGCGCCAGCCAAGTCGCGCGACATTCGCTTGAACAACAAAGTTGCGACAACGAAGCAGGTATTTTGCACAAAGAGAAAAGGACAAAGCCTGCCAGTCTCAAACAGCCGCTTTTGGTGCTCCGCCGCTCGCTTCTGAACAGTTGGATCAATGTTTTGCTCGTGCTCGTCCCACTCGGCATCGCGTCGCGCTCGGCAATGCTGCCGGACGTGGCCATTTTCCTGATTAACTTTTTTGCTATTATCCCGCTGGCCAAGTTGCTTGGCTACGCCACAGAACAATTGGCCCTGCATCTGGGCGACACATTGGGCGGGCTGCTTAACGCAACGTTTGGAAACGCCATCGAGCTTATTTTGGGCATCCTGGCGCTGGTAAAGGGCAAGATTGAGATTGTGCAGACGTCACTGGTGGGCTCTATTTTAAGCAACCTGCTGCTGGTCGGTGGTTGCTGCTTGTTTCTGGGCGGAATCAAGAACAACGAGCAGGTGTTCAACATACACGCCGCGCAGTCGTATGGGACGCTGCTGGCCATGGCCATCTTAGCGACACTGCTGCCAGCCGCCTATAATTTGCTTGATGCCAAGGGCTCCGAACTCAAGAGAGGCACTCTGATATTGTCACATGTTACTGCTGTCCTTTTGCTGATCATTTATGTTGCCTATTTGGTGTTTCAGCTCAAAACACACTCCAGTCTGTTTGCTGCTGTGCCCATCCAGGAGCGCGTTGAGGCTGCGCAAAGGCCTCCAAGAACTAACAGGGTGACAGCCTCGATCAGCAACCAGGTATCTGAGGGAGCAGCAACCGCCGCCGATTTGGCCATGTTCCACACACCCAGCACGGAGCCCAGGGCCGACAACACCGTTAACATCAAGGTTGCAAGCCTTGTCGACGTCGACTCCAACGCCGAAATCGAGGCCAAGCTGATTGAGGCCAAGCTCGTAGAAGAAAACGAGGAGGAGGAGGAGGAGATTGAGCTGACAATATGGGCCTCAGTGTTTTTGTTGGCTGTTTCCACGGCTCTTACAGGCATGTGCGCTGAGTTCCTGGTCTCATCGATTGACGGGCTGACTACCAAGTGGAATATGTCGCCGTCCTTTGTTGGTATGATTTTGTTACCCATTGTTGGCAATGCCGCCGAACACGCCACCGCTGTGACTGTTGCCATCCGCAACAAGATGGACTTGGCGCTTGGCGTTGCTGTCGGATCGAGCATCCAAATCGCGCTGTTTGTAATGCCCTTTTTGTGCATCTTAGGCTGGATCATCAAGGAGCCAATGACTATATACTTCAACCCGTTCACAACCATTGTGATGTTCGTCAGCGTGTTGTTGGTAAACTATGTAATTGGCGATGGTCGAACAAACTGGCTCGAGGGGCTCATCCTGCTCATTGCCTATTTTATCATCGGTGTGGCGTACTTCCTGTACCCAAAGGAGTTGAATAGTTAGAAATTTTAACTATCTTTGCAATAGTTGCGTATTGTATAATTCTATCGCTGCTATCACAGCGTGACCAACATTGAGCACCCGTTGTATGGGATATTATCTCGTATAGTCGATAAAAATAAGCTGGCCAAAAAACACAATGTTTGTCGTTGCCAACTGCGCGTGACATGACATTTATTATTATGACCGTGACCATGGCTATGGCAACACTGCGCTATCTTCAATTGTGATCAGGTGGCACCATTTGCATTTGAACTTTTAGTGAGCAGTTATCAACATTTCTGTGCTATGTATGGAATAGCAAGTATATGTTGTAAAATATCTACAATGGAATTAACAGCCACTGCAAACAGACACTTTTTTGACAATTTTTTAACTGGCTCTACAGCAGCTCCATTGTTTTATTTTTTTGTCATGTTGAAGGCCGGATTTCTTTTTTCATGTGGTTGCTTACTTCCAGAGACCGGAATGACAACGTCGGCGCAATCAAACGTTACATTAAGTATTATTTTCGGAAGCTTTGTATTTGGATTCTGAATAACCAAATGCATCTGAGCTTCTTTTTCATGCTGAAAAATACGAGGGATCCGCAAAACAGCCATAGACATGATGTGTGTGTGTGCTGACAAGCAGCCACATTCCCCCTTTTAAGGACAGCTGTATATCTCTCTTGTTTTTCCATACACTTTTTGCCTCTTCAAAAATCACATTCATTCTTCACTTTATATACGCTATTCTTCATCTACTTTGCTGCTTATCAGGTTTTATTTTCTTACCCATTTTCGACCTATTAACTTTGCGTATTTATCCATTCATTTTTTCAAATAAACATTTATTGTGTATTATAAACATCATGGCTGACAGCCAGCCTGCTAGTCCGCAGCATAAGAATGAGCAAGAGTTTTTGCGTACGATCGACTCATATTACCAGCCGGGAAGCGACCCTGGCGGCGATGAGGAAAGACGCATCAGCGACAAGACCAACCTCGTTGCTGAAGCCAAAGAAGACAAGGAGGAAAATGAGGACTCGCCCTTCGAGGTGGTTCGGACAGCTGTGTCCAACAAGGATGATCCCACCCTGCCATGCCTGACGTTTCGCTCATGGATATTGGGATTGTTCTTCTGCATGAGCCTGGCCTTTGTCAATCAGTTTTACTGGTTTCGCGAAAACTCTCTCTCCCTGAACGGCTATGTCGTCCAGCTGCTGTCGTTTCCGCTGGGATACCTCATGGCGCTGCTTCTTCCGGACAAAAAGTTCTGCACATTTGGCTGGGAGTGGACGCTGAATCCAGGGCCGTTCAACATCAAGGAGCACGTCATTATTTCGATTTTTGCCGGCACAAGCGTCGGCACGGCCTACGGCATTGACGTGGTGACCATCAAGCGCGTGTGGTACAAGAGCGATTTGGGGTTTGGCCCGTCGGTCCTTTTTCTTTTGACGTCGCAGATCATGGGCTACAGCTTTGCCGGGCTCTCGCGCAAGGTCCTGGTGTATCCGGCGGCGATGATCTGGCCTGCCAATCTGATCAGCGTCACGCTGTTCCGCACTTTCCACGAGACCCGGAATTTTGGTGGTCGATTCTCGCGCACGCAGATATTCTGGATCTGCTTTGGCGCCAGTTTCTTCTGGTACTTTGTGCCCGGCGTTATTTTCCCGGCGCTGGGATTTCTGTCGCTGCTTTGCTTTGTCGCCCCCACCAACGTCATTGCCAACCAGCTAGGCGATGCGTTCAATGGCGTCGGCATTCTGAATTTCAGCCTGGACTGGTCGTACATTTCGTCGGCGTACACGCAGTCCCCAATTGCCGTGCCATGGATATACGCGTGCAATATCTTTGTGGGCTTTGTCATCATCATGTGGATTGCCACGCCCATCGGCTACTACAGCAACACGTGGAACACGGGCATCATGCCGATCTACACGGCCTCGCTGTACCAGACCAACGGCTCCAGATTCGACATCCACAGGGTGATGACTGACCAGAACCTGCTTGATCCGGTCAAGTACGCCAGCTACGGCCCGCTGCGTATGACATACACGTTTGCCATGACATATGGGCTTGGCTTTGCTGGGCTTATCAACCTCATTGTCTATGCCATGCTTTACTACGGCAAGGACATGGTCCAGCGCGTCCGCCAGGTCCGCACCATGGACGAGGACATCCATATGAAGCTGATGCGCAGCTACAAGGAGGTCCCGCACTGGTGGTACGCGGTCACGTTTGCCATTACGTTTGTCGTGTCCATTGTCACTTGCCAGGTATTTAACCTCATGCCCTGGTACTGGGTCATTGTGGCAACGGTCCTGCCGCTGATTTTCATTTTTCCTGTGGGCATTATCCAGGCCATCTCAAACCAGCAGCCCGGACTTAATATCATCACCGAGTTTATCATTGGCTACGCGATGCCCGGCAACCCGATCGCCAACGTGACGTTCAAGGTGTACGGGTACATTACCATGGTGCAAGCGTTGGCGCTGGTCAACGACCAGAAGCTCGGCCACTACATGAAAATTCCGCCGCGCCACCTGTTTATCGCGCAACTCGTGGGCACCATTATCTGCGCTTTTGTGCAGCTCGGCGTGTCGTATTGGCTTTTAGAGACAGTCGAGAATATGTGCACAGAGGAAGGGTATCCGTTTACATGCATTCAGGCCAATACGTTTTTCTCGGCATCCGTCATCTGGGGTCTGGTCGGTCCCGAGCGCATGTTTGGGTCGTCCAGCCCGTACCACCCGATGCTGTACCTGTTTTTGTTTGGCCTTTTACTGCCGCTGCCTGTCTGGATGTGGCAGAAGAGGTATCCTGATAGCTGGGCCAAGCATGTCCACACGCCGCTGCTGTTCATTGCCAGCGGATACATGCCGCCTGCTCCGTCCCACGTGTACACCAACTGGTTTATTGGGTGCTTTTTCTTTAATTATCTGTGGCACAAGTACCGCAATGACCAGTGGAACCGGTATGCGTTCTCGCTGTCAGCGGGTCTCGACTGCGGGCTGGCCATCTCTGGCATCGTCACATATTTTGCCTTTATGAATGTAACCATCCCAGACTGGTGGGGGTTGAAAACTCACCACTGCCCGCTGGCAGTCCACGGCTACTTGTCCCAGCCTCAATAAAAAAGGAACGCGGTTGTATTTCGCTTAATTCATTAGTTGGTTGATGATCGTAAATGGCGTGAAATGCGTGGCTTTAATTTTTATTATTAAATTTTTGTCAGTCTTTGGCAAGTCGGGAGGGTTGTAGTCACATTATTTTACTTTCAATACAATCTGATGTGGCCAATTAAATGGGCATTAAAACTCAAATTGAGGGAATAAAGCGGCGTCAATAGTGAAGTGGATTCAGCTTTTTAAACAATGTCATTTTATATTTTAAGCTAAAGTGTGAGAACCATTTCTACTGTCTTGATGATATTTTTTACTTTTTACATTTACATTTTTCTCTTTTACTTATGAGAATAATGATACAGGAATATTTTCTACATGTTTCGCTTCCTGTTTATTTGGCTTTTATTTTTCACATTACTTTTAGTTGCAAACATGCAATATATTCAAACCATCACCATTGGCCTATTTGCACTCAGCATAGCAGCCGCACGCCCAGCAGCACTCCAGGCAATGAACAATACCGGCGAAAACTCGCTACGTATAATCCACACAAATGACATCCACGCACACTACTCTCCATTCAACAGGGTTGGAAGAGACTGCAGCGAGCATGATGTGAAAAGCGGAAACTGCTTTGGCGGCGCTGCTCGCCTAGTGACAACCGTTAACCAGCTGCGCAATGGGCACCCAAACAGCCTGCTCTTCGATGCGGGTGACCAGGCGCAAGGGACGCTGTTTTATACAATTGGAAAATTTAACACCACAATTAAAGTCATGAACCAGCTCAAGTATGACGCCATGTGCATTGGCAACCACGAGTTTGATGACGGACCGGATCTTTTGGCCGAGTTTTTCTCCAAAATCAACTTTCCTGCTATCTGCGCCAATATTGACATGACCAAGAATCCTAGACTTAAAAGTGTGGTCAAACCATATATTGTGTTTGAAAAGTATAAGCTTGGCGTCATTGGCTATATCACTAACACTACGGGCAATATCTCCCAGGCAGGTCCGACAGTCTCATTTTCCAATGCTGCTGTTGCAGTGAACAGGTACGTCGAGGAGCTGCGCGCGAAGGGGATTAAGCGCATTATTGCCGTTAGCCACAACGGCTACCACGAGGACATTGACGTGGCCACAAACACCCGTGGCCTTGACCTGATTGTCGGCGGCCACTCGCACACTTACTTGTCGCTCAATGCTTCCGAACCAGGTGCTGGTGGTTTATACCCAACAGCAGTAAAAAACTTAGACGGCCAGACAACGTACGTTGTGCAGGCCAAGGCTTGGGGCGAATACGTCGGGTATGTAGACTTGGTTTTTAACTCGGACGGCTCGGTAGCTTCAATATCCGGAGAGCCCATTCACATGACGCAAAGCATTTCTGAAGACGCAATCATGGCTGCAAATGTCAGCGAGTGGCGCCGTCCATTTGAAGCTTACGGCAAAACCGTGGTTGGGAACATCACAACAGAAACAGGCATTGAAAACTGCCCTCAGATGGAGTGTGCAATGGGTGACCTGACCACCGACGCTATGTTGTGGTCGCTCAATCGAATCCAGCAGACTGACATGGCTCTTCTCACGAGCGGGACTATCCGTGCTGGATTATCTGCTGGACCAGTCACATCCAAAGACCTGCTGCTCATATATCCGTTTGGCGACGATATCGTAAGGATAACTATTTCTGGCAAGCGGCTCAGGAGTATTATTACTGGGGGATTTAAGATGGTCAATTTGTTTAATGGTCGGCCAGTCATCAAGTTTATACAAATCTCGGGTGTCCGCGTAAAATATCACATGGATCCTTCTAATTCCATCAGATATTCCAAAATTATCGATTCCATCGAAATATCCAAAAATGGCGTTTTGGAAGTGCTGGATGACACACGAACTTACAGCTTGGCCACTATTTGGCATATTGCTCGTGGCATGGACAATGTCATCGACCCGCCAATTGATGGGGTGCCTCTGCAGCGACTGGAAAAAGCGGTAAAAGAGTACTTGCAGACATTTTCTCCAGTCACCCCTGCAACTGACGGCCGCATGTTTGAGATGTTGACGGAGGTCTAAAATCTATGAGATACGCAGATGGCAAAAATAGGGATTATCTGGTGCTCTACTAACATTGACCTTTTTGTATACTGTGAATAAATATATTGGTATGGTAATAAAAAATAAAATTCACTAAAGAAATTCAGACTTTTTTGTCATGTAAAATTGCAATAAAATTATTTCAAAGTTCACATTGTTGAGCAGACTGCTGATATAGAAGTGGATGTCAAGGTTGGAAGTTGTGAAACGAGTTTTCATCAACATGCCGATTAACAAGGCATAGATGGCACCATACGGGATCAAATCAGGGGACATAATATTGACACCCTGATATGCCCACATTTGATAATGTATATACATGGATGCGCACATGCGAAGATTACAACATTGACATTCCAAGATACCGGTCTGCTTGCAGAAGAACCAGTTTTTGCCAACGGAGTGCACAACTAGTGAAGTGCACAACAAAGTCAACAAGATATATATAAGACGAGGATGGCCCTAGTTCTACTTTTGATTTCCTTGATAATAAAAACTATAACAAACCCCAAACATACTTTTAACACTAGGTGACTAGTGCTCCCCTCAAATCACAATAGTATTGAGTTATCTAGGTATAAGTAAAGTAATTTTGAGGTTTTGCTTTTCTCAAGCATAAAAGCCACTTGTTGGTTACCATTATTTAAAAACCTCTATTTTCATACGTTTAAGCTTATTTGTTATATATGTAGGTCTAGGGTTGCCTATACCATGAGTGTCTTTAGTTTTAATAAACGCACATCCGCCCTTTTTTGTGTCTTTGCTCTTACCGTTACAATTTTCACATATACCATTATGTATAAACGCAGAAGCTTCGTCCTCATTGTTGCATTTGCTCCATCTGTAGCCACTAAATTTTAAGTATACCAGTAGCATACCAAAAGTGGGGTAACTTTTTACATATAACCCATTACCCTTTATACGAAAGGGCCTGGCGGTATTCGTTACTGTTGCTACGACTCTGTTCATTTTTATTTTGCAAAAACTTGGTTATGTGAAGGCGCCTGCTTGTCAAAATAATGTATATAAACGCCCCCAAAAAAGTATATAAAAGTAGTGATATGAGTTGTAAAGTATAAATGACAGTGAACAACAGTAAAATAAATTAAAGCTGTTCATTTGGTTAAAAAAGTTGATAGGAGAAAAAAAACAGAAAACAGAAACATTATATACCGAACTGTTATTTTCAAACCATTAAGCCAGTGGGTTTTTTAAAGCGCACTCACATTTATGCCGAGTACTCCGTTTTTTCTTTTTTCATATCCAAAACTTTGGTCTTTTTAAATTTTCTTTATATAAAGCAAATAAAAAAGGAATTGCTCTATTTTTTCTTTAGTCTACTGTTGTGATTTGGGGGAGCACTAGCTGTCTAGTGTTAAAGTTATGCTTGGGGTTTGTTATAGTTTTTATTATCAAGGAAATCAAAAGTAGAACTAGGGCCATCCTCGTCTTATATATATCTTGTTGACTTTGTTGTGCACTTCACTAGTTGTGCACTCCGTTGGCAAAAACTGGTTCTTCTGCAGGCAGACTAATGTCTTGGCGTGTCAAGGCTATAATTTTTGCATATGCGCGTTCAAGCATATACGTTATTAAACGGGGGTATATCAGGGTGTCATTATTATGTCCCTTGATTTGATCCCGTATGGTGCCATCTATGCCTTGTTAATCGGCATGTTAAGGTTAAGAATCGTGAAACGAGTTTTTATTAACATCAACTTCCATATCATCAAGCTGCTCAACACTACGGAGTAGCAGATTCAAGGAAGTATTTCAAGCAAAATTGGATTTTAAATTTTTTAACAATTATAAAAGCTTTCTGTAAAGTTTAAAAAGTACTCTGATGTCTCTTATGGCTTTTGGAGTAACATTGGAAAGCAGTGATTTTTTGTGCCAGTTTATTTTTTATAAAGACTAGTTAAATGCAAAATAAAAAAGCTTTTTATTTTTGTTTTATATTCATTTTATTTTTGTTTTATATTCATTTTATTTTTAAATTTCATTTAAATAGCTCTTTTGGTGTATTTTGTATTTTGTACAAAGTGCGCTAAACGGATACCAAAAAATAAGCGTCAATCTGCTAGCTACCTTTATTGCTTTAAGGTTTGAATTAAGAATACTCAATATTAATTTAATATTAACTCGCATAATTCATTAACAATGAATTATGCTAAATAAAACACGTTTTTGGTTTTAACGTCATAATTTTGACGTATCATGTAAACCAATAGTAATAAAGACCAGCGTGTTTTACAATATGCAAGATATATTATATATTAATGTAAACTACAATTATACTGCACTAAGAAAAAGAAAAGGTTGCCTATTAAAGTTGCGGTTAAATTTTGATTTACAATTACATCAGACCTTTTTATGTCTTGCATTAAATCTATAAACAGTATGTCATAAAAAATTAAAAATAAATGTATCATTGTTTTTATTTGCAAAGATTTGCAAAGCTACTCAAGTGCCATATTCACCTTGCGGATCACTCCATCAATATAACTAACATACAAAACACCGTCATATTTATTGAAGCTTTTAAATATACTCCTATCCTTGTGTCCAAATGAAATGGGCACTTTTTTATTATCAATAGATAATTCCGCAATCATTGTTGACGTTTGATTATGCCTGCATGTAATTGCCTCCAAGGCTTTAATGATTTCTGTGGCTGTCCATTTCCTGTCAATATAAAATCTTTTCAATGGACGTGGCAGGATTATGTTATCGAAAGTATTCATTTTTAATAAAGTAGAATTATGCTTTGCACTTTGCTGAATAAATGTATATAGTAACCCCTGTGGTGATGATGATGTGAACGAGTTTTGTAATATGTTGTAAATTAAATTGTTTGTGGTAAATGTATTTTGGTTTTGGAGGGGGAAAAAAGTGCGGTTTTTATATAATTTTTTGTTGGAGGTTGAATATATTCATCTGACCCATGAATGCAAGCTATGGCCACTATAATCCCAACACTTTTATTTTGTATATACCTTTCTTTGACATCAAAAGTTAATTAATGAATTAAAATGTAAAGTTTTCTGTCATTTTTAATTAGCACTATAATTAGAATGCACTTTGACAGTTAATTTTGTCTAGCTTTATGCTTTTAAATACATCAAAAATACTCCCTCCCAACTACTCCTCACATCACTTGCCAACTCTGGGCCTCAGCGAAGCAACAGTGCCGTCAAAAGTATTAATAGCAATATTCAATTTCTCTATGCTCTGGTACCAAGCGAACAACCCAGGGGCCTCTTCCTCCACCAGGTTCTGCTCTGGTACTGAGCAGAGATCGGCGAAAATAGGATACAGGAACAAATCAGCCCATGAGATACTATCTCCCACAATGAACCCCTTGCCCTCCCAGCCGCCGTTTGTGCGACTGAACACGGATTGTAGTCGGCGCAAAGTCAGCCGCGCAGTTTCGGCTGGTTTTTCGAGCTCCAATTTGATTTTTTCTTCGTCCGTATTTTCACCCTCCAGGGCAGCGCGCTTTTTGCACAGTGACAGGATAAGATCTTTAAAGGCGTAGTCGCTGGCAATTGATACCCACATGGCCACATTCATGGCTGACTTGAAATCATCAATCGGTGTGAGCGGATGCTGGCTGTTGCTTGTGTTTTGGGCAAACGTGTGGTCAATGTACATGCGAATAGCAGGCGTCTCGTTGATCACTAGTTCGTTGTGGACCAGGGTTGGTACTTTGCCAAAGGGATTGTATTTAAGCGCCGTGGGGCTATGTGGCGGCGCGTTCATCTGCTCGTAGGGCACTTGTAGGTATTCCAGCGCCATGCGGATGGTGCGCGTAAAGGTCGACATTCTGACGCCGACCAGCTTGACTTTTGCTTGGGCGTCCATTTCAAATAAATTGAAATTCAAATAAAGCGCGAATTCAAACAAAAAAATTAATAAACGAACTTTTAAAGAACTTTTTTCTTTGGGCAGAAGCTTGACTTTGATCACGCCTTTTTCTTCTTTCAAATTTACTATGGCATACGCGCGGTATGCTTGGTGACGTTTTTGCGTATTATAAGAAGGATAAAAATAGACCCTCGATTTTTTTTGCATTAGCATCATCACACATGTCAAATGCATAGTGTGCCACGTGCAGAAAAATCTAATCCGAATTTTTGTTTTTTTGCACAATAATGCTCTACAGGGTCACGTTTTATTTTACTTTCCCCCTCCCCCTCCGTGTTTGTTGAGGAGACATGCTCTTATTTTTCATATCCGCTGGCCAGTTTTTTTGCCAAGACCGCCCGGAAACCGAAAGCAGCCGTGCTGCAGCATATGTCCGGCATGTCTTTAAAATTAGCCAGAAATGCGGATTTCGCGTTTTTAGTGAAGTCCGCAAACCTCCAAGAGACAGAGAGATGTAGAAAAGGATAGAGAGAGGAAGTGCAAACCCGCTTATAAATATTTGGGGGGGGGGGGGTGAGAGGTTGAATAGAACCAATTACATTGTTTCCTTTTTCGAACATTTTGGGTATGACAAATTAAATTTTCTTTAATGTTCGCTCCGTTTTTGGTGTAACAGAATTTTTTTAAAGCGCAGAATAAAAAAGATAAAAAAAAGTTGTACCACTGGATCTTATTGGGCGCACACGATATGAATAAATAGATCAATATTTCTTCTGAAAATCACAAATCATTTTTTACTTTTGCACTTATTCGCTTTTTTTCTTTTCAAACTAGCCTTTTAAAATTACATCAAACTTTATTATAAAACCAATACTCTTTATTCGTCTACTTTTTTAGCCTATTATATTTTGCACACTTTAATTTTTTTACCGAATTTCTACAACAAATAATAAATCTATGATTCACGCGGGCGATCAATACTCTTACGCGCTCAACGCCGCGCAACAAACCGCGCCACAATCAGCCACCAATGGTAATGTACCCGATGGATCGCCTCTAATCTACAGCCAGGGACCCGCCGCATACCACCAGCAGCCACACCTAATACAACAACAAGCAGATCCTCGTTTGTACAATCCAATGGCAATCTCCAGCAACACATCGGGTCCACCACCGGGACAAATGATGTTTTCCAACATGAGCGGATACACGGATACATCGGCGGCAGCGGCAGCGGCAGCAGCAATGGTGGCTGCCCAGCAGCAACAGCAGCAGCAGCAGCAGCAGGAGTCTAGACAGTATCAGCAATTGCAGCATATGCAGCAGTCACCACAGATGATGACGCAGTCGGATATTCCACTCCAACAGCAGCTCCAGCAAGAACAGCAGAGGATGATGATAGCCGAGCAGCATCAACAGCAACAAATTGGCAGTCCCGCCCGAGGAGCACCGCCCGACATGATGGCAGCAGCTGCAGCGGCGGCGGCAGCTGCTGGATACACAGGCTATTCCACTGCAGAAATATCACCACCACTGCAAACCCAATATAACCAACAGCAGCTCCCACAAGCACCAACCTCGGCCCCTGTTATCGTGCAATACAGCGTCAGCAGCATGCCTGGAGGCAACAACACTGACGACCCCATATTTGTCAATGCCAAGCAATACCACCGGATTATGAAGCGCAGGGAGGCGCGGGCACGGATGGCTGCGGAGCATAAATTGATTGCTAGGCGCAAACCGTATTTGCACGAGTCCCGCCATCGACATGCGATGAGGCGTCCGAGAGGACCTGGGGGCAGGTTTTTGACATCGGCAGAGATTGCTGAGCTGGAGAAGAACGGCGAGCTCCCCCCATGCAACGGTGGTGGTACTGGACATGGTCAGAAACCGTATGATCGTCCTGCTGCGATGAACGACAATGGCAGCGGTAAAGGAGGTGGTGGTGGTTCTCGAAGAATAGGAAATAATAAGACTGGAATTGCGGTTAGGAATATTAGCAGTGCGTCGGATTCTAACCTGTCATCGACAGAAGAGTAAATACTGTGCTATTTTATTTTTGTTGTGGCTGCTTATTAGATTTTTCTTCATTTTATTCATTTGTATCTGTTTTTTCTTTCATATTTATTAAATTGTAATTTTGTATTTTACTTTTATATTTGTATATTTGTATATTTGTATCTTTGTATATTTGTATATTTGTATATTTGTATATTTGTATATTTGTATCTTTGTATCTTTGTATCTTTGTATCTTTGTATCTTTGTATCTTTGTATCTTTGTATCTTTGTATCTTTGTGTTGCGCAGCCCGAGGATATGGAAGTGGATGTTGAGGTTGAGAATCGTGATACAACTTTCCATCTGCATGCCGATTGACAGGGTACTAATTGGATTATGCAGGCGTGAATTAGGAAGGCATTATAATGATGCCCAGATACGCTCCCCCATTTTGCAATCCACACGCGCGAGCGCATACACAAAACCCAAGCACAACTTTAATACTAGACAACTAGTGCTCCCAGAAGATCACGATATTTGTATATTTGTATATTTATAGCTTTTTCTTTTATATTTATTAAATTGTATTTTTGTATTTTACTTTTATCTTTCTGTTTCATTATTGCAGTTATTCAAAATTGAAAGGAAAATTGATATTTTTCATATATCACCATCAATAAAAAAACCTTGTTTGATCACAATAGCAAGCATCGCTCGACATTCCCCACTTGATTGCCCCACCAATTGACAAACGACAAAGGCATTCCTTTGCTCAAAAGGAACTGGCCAATAACAAACAACACAGCCACCGACATTCTCGTGCCGGTATCCATAGCGGCACTGTACAGCGACCTATCGGCCAGGGTCTTTCTCTGATACCGGCACCAATACTGGCCGATGACAGCGACCAAAAGGCCCGAAATCATAAAATTCGCCGGAATAGTTGGCACCGCCACCATGCCCATCAGCACCAAGGGCACCTGGACCTCCTTGGCGACGCCCGCGCCCTGCACAGCCACACGGTACAGCCACGGCCGGCTCCCCACCCGACCACTGCATTCCATCTGCGCAGCGCAATACAGCAGCACCCGGTGGATGGCGTAGAGCATGGGCGGGAGCAGGGAGCCGATCAAGGACCCATAGACGAATATCAGGCGATAGGGACTGTCAAATGCAAAGAGTGATTGTGGGCCGACAATTCCCCAAACGACAAGCTCGGAGCTCAATGCCGCAGGGAGTCTCCCAAACTCCCCCTCCTCATGCCACCCCAGAAGCCTGCCGCTGTCGGCAGTAGCAGCCGTGACGATGTTCTCGGTCTCGTCTGCGTACAGCCCCTGGGGCTGCTGTTCGATGGCCATTTCTATCGGTAGCGTGCGCGCTTGACCGCGGCTGCTGCTGTGCGCGATGTACGATAGGTGGTTGACGCAGGCGCCCCAGATTATGCCAATAAGCAGGCCGCGCTTCATCCACGGCAGCTGGTTCCGCTGTTGCTGCCGTTGCTGCTGTTGCCGGGCCCTTGCCGCCGGCTTGCCCTCTGGCGACTCATTTCGCGGCAGGCCGCTGACAGGCTCAGCTGCAGGCGGTTGTATGCAGCAGTGGTGGACGAGCTGGTAGCTGCGGACACCAGACCAGCCCAGGGCCACCTGCACGGGAACAGTGGCCCAGAGATGAAAGTAGCTGGTTTCGATGGGCTTTCCGGGTGCCTGCATCCACCCGGCGAGTATGTGCGGGAGCAAGTCAATTGGCAGTGTGAACCCAGTGACAGCCTCGACGAAGCCCGTCGGAAGACAGGCAAAGATTGCCCAGACCACGGCGACAAAGATCTGCCACCCAGGCAGCTTTGATATCCCCATTTGAGCCGAGAACATGGCGGTGCCCAAGGACAGGGTGAGTATCAGGAGGCGGCCGATACGCCCGGAAATATACAGAAGGTCCCAGGATCCCTGGACGTCCGAGCTGCTTTGGCTCTCCTGCATGCTGAGCACCGGCAGTGTGGCGGCGCTGTTGTGGCTGATGGGGTTCAGGCTCCCCCCTAGACTGGCTACCTGCGCAGACCACCGGCTGGTGCGCCCCCGGCGACTCCCGCCAGTGTTGGCGTTGAGGTTTTGCGTGTGGAACAGAAGCCGCGGGTCCCAGAGCCGCAGAATCGCATGGATGATGTCTGAAACCGCCTGGCGCAGCCACTGAGGATGCCAAATGGCCAAATGCATGGCGGCAGCGGTTATCGCAGCAACAGAGAAAATATACCCAAGGGCGCCATTCACCGATAGCCTCACGGGCGAATATGCATTGAATGCCAGAGGGAGCGCTTTTGTCGACAGAATATTCTGACTCACTGTCCCCATTACCACCATCTGGGCCAGCTCCTCCCCCAAGGGGTCGTAGTCAAAGATGCTGCTGCTGCTGGCTTGCTGAATGAGCGAAATGTTGTAAACGTTTCCACCAACATCAAAGACGTTTGTGGACACAATTGGGAAATTGCGGGCGTCCCACCAGTTCATTGTCCAGGCGAGTGGTGTCAGAATGTACATCATGAGGAGCGCACCCAGGTAGTAGTGGAGCTGCGCCCAGAGCGGGGACACCAGTGGCTGGAGTGTGCCCATGGCGGTCCAGTCGAAGGTCAGCGAGAGTATCCCGGCGCCATCCCACCCGGATCCCAGAAGGCTCATCAGCTTGCTGCGCGGCGCCCAGACACACAGCAGGCAGAGCGATTTGAATACCGGCGCTATGTAGCTAATTGTAAACTGGTACACGAAGGTTGCCACTGTGAGGAGAGCAAGGTGCCGTTTGCGCGACATCGTGGTGCTCCCGTCTGCGGATGATGGCGATGGGCTTGTGGTCGGTGCTGCGGATATATTTTTTGCTGCTGCTGCTGGCATGTTCTCTACTTCGTATATTTCGACTTTGTCGCTCCTGCCGCCACAGCCATTCTTTGCCACACCAGTGTCCTCGACAAACTCACCAGTGATGGTGACGCTCGAGTCCGACAAGTGGATTTCGCCTCCATTATCTGCCTCCGCCTTACCACCCGCTACCACTGCAGTCTTCCGCGTATGCGCCCTTGGGAATAGTGTCTGTATGAGGAACGATAGCGGCAGATTATCCGGCCAGATCATTCCGTTTCCGCGGCCGACAAACACATGCCTGAGCATCTGGCCCAAGGACCAGCCAAAAAGCTGACTGCACAAGACCACGACAAACTTTTGCCAATGGTTCAGTGGCTCCCCGTAGTCCGTATCTATGGTGGCTATCCATTGGTATGCGGGCGCAAAACTACCGCCTGCAGCAATCATCGAGGTAATCCAGACCATCTCCTCGCGGCTAAATGTCCCAATGTGGAATTTGCGGTAGCGGTGGCGGTGGACCCAGGATGGGAATGCACGGATTCTAGAGAGCCAGCTCTGTGCGCCCCGATTCTGTGTGGATTTGTGTGCAATATCAGGGGCAATACTGGTTGCCCGCGGGCCACGGATCTTAGCTGCAAGTTTTGCTAGCCGAGAACTCAATTCCTCTTGCTTTTCGTCAACCCCCGGTGCCTCCGCATCCTCCATATTCTCGCTGCTGCTGCTGCCGCTGGCAGTTGGGGGATTTTCATGTGGGCGTTTGCATAGCGGGTATACCAGAACGGGAAAGAACAGGGGGGACCACGGCATACTGTATGCACGGAAGAGAAACAGAGGCGCGATAATGGCGCTGAGCGTTGTAAACAGGAGGGCACATATCCAGGCTTTAGTGCTTGGCGCAAAGTTCTGAAAATACACTGCTGTGCTGGCGGTGTCTGTCGAGTACGCAGTGCTTGCGGCGGAGGAGGAGGTGGTTGAATGTGCGGAACCACATGTCTGCTGCTGGAACCGGGCAGTCGCGGCTGTGGTTGGGGATTTGTTGCTCCTGGGTTCTGTTAAGCTGGTTGTGTGGGATTCTTTCGAGAGGGCTGGCGGTACATCGTTATGCATTATTATTAAAATGAAAATAAAAGAGAGAATAAAAGAATGGAAGAGAAAATTAAATGATAGTTAGAAAATGATAATAAACATTGAAAGCAAAATAAAAATTGGTGTTTGTAATAATTTTTAAAATAAAAATGATTATAAAAACAACGAAAAAGAATAGTATACAAAATAACAACAATAATTATATTTGGTTTTCCTTTTTTTGAGAATCCGATATCTTCATGAACAAAAAGAAAAAAGAATGACGACAAAGAAAATGCTATGGAATATTCCATGACAGTAACGAAAATCTTGACATATTTTTATATACCTTGTTCTCGGAGATTTTATCGGGATTGTTTTATAATGGATTGACGTAATAGTGTACTGCTTTTTTATTATCTATTCAACACACAGTTTGGTGCGTGGCATAAGAATAAATTTTTTTTTATAAATTTGTGATTGCGACAATACAAACTATATATCCTCTCTTCCTCCTAAAGAAAATAACAAAAAATATAAGCGGATATTACTATTATCTTTTGAGATGGGTTTATGTAAAAGCGCATCAGATATATTTGCATAAAATGCCAATGGTTACTGTAATTGATCAGCAACTTTTCCGTAACCGAATATATAATATAATTTGTGCAGGTGTTTTTTATTATGAAAGGCTATATGGCCTAGATAGAATAATAAGAAAAAACAGTATTGATGCACAAAAAAACCTCCCAACCAATTCACCATGCATATTTGGGGGGGAATTATAAGAGTATTATTTTCTAAGCCAAAAATACCGCCATTTAGGAGATATCTAGGCTTCAGGAATGGAGTATATGTTGGCTTTTTTTACGCCACTCCATGACAAAAAGTGAATAAATAATAATAATGTATTTTGTTTGTGCCCACCACCCCCTTGCATTCATAGACACATATTTGTCTATACTGTAAGGGGCGTCCTCCATCTGATTGGTAATGTTTTTTTATTAATATCTATATTTCTAAATACCAAATTAAAAACAATTATTCCACCAATACCCCAAAAAAATTTAAACCCCCATATAAACCGTATTCTCGATATCTTCACTCCGCACATATACCAAATAATAAGGATTATCCGACCTCACCCCAGCAACCACGCCTAAAACCTCCTCCTCCTCAACCACACCCACCTGGGCATCATTAAACTTTAGCCACCTCACCATACCCCGTTGAGAATCCCTCAAATAGACCCAATAATGACCAAACTCCGGCGTCTCCCCGCTATGTATAAACACAGCATGCAGTGTATAGGCCATTTGGTCATCCGGCACATAATCGTAGATTTCCTCAAGCGCCCTTTGGCTCGCCAGAAGGTCCGCTGTCCACAAGCTTTGGGCGTGCAGGAGTGTTGTGGAGATGGTGTCGAGTTGCTGGCGGATAGTAAGCGCGCTCTGCACAATGTCTTCGGCGGGTAGAGGTAGATCAGCCAACAAACCACCTATGGCATCCTGCTGCTGCTGTTTTTGCTGTGTGGTAGCCCAGGTACTAACACCCTCAGCCATCCGGCGCATCGCCTCAACAGACTCCACCACTGACCGTGCCCCAGGCTCCTCCCCCACCACATTTAATCCGCCAAGCCTAGCCTCCATCACCCTCACGCGTTCCCTAAGCTCCCACCGTTTGGAAACCACCCCGCCACCCTCCTCCCGCCCAAAGCTCGCAAACGGTGTCAATGATAATCTAGGGCGCAGCCGTAAAGGTGTGTTATCCTTAAATGCCCGCATAGTCTCCATATCAAACTGCACCCTCTGTACCTGCATACAAAGCACCGGTGGTGCATCAGCAATGCGAGACACCCGGGTGATTTCCTCGTTGGATTGTGGATCAGGGATAGTGGTGGGTGCGAAAAGCGCTGCGAGGCAGTCGTTGATGTCTGCTGCGGGCGTTTGGGAAAGGGTTTTGGGTGGGATGTTGAGGTTGAGGGTGAGGAAAGTTTCACAAGTGGTTTCTGAGGGCTTGTCCTGCGTGGGCGCGCGCCTGGTGGTGGTGGTTTCGAGGTGGCCTGCCAGAAGCCTGTGGATCCACGAGGTCTCGGCATTGTTCTCATCCGCCTTATCGCCCCCGCCCCCGCCCTCGCCTTCAGCCTCGGCCTTGGTGTCCACTGGAGGCAGCGCATGGACAAGGAGCCCAACGCACTGCGCCATGCACTCATCAACGTCCTGCTGTTGCTGCTGACCAGCCACGCGACGTCCATCAGGCTCCGACTGTTGCTGCTGCATCAACAGCATATCGGCAAGCTCTCGAGCAGGCTTCACAGCCACGGACACCATCGCCAGCGGATGTCCACCCGCCACCTGACGCCCACTAACCGAATCTTCCCAAGCATCCACACGCCTCTGCTGCAGCTTCTCAAACAGCTCCTTTAGCATCTCAACAAGCCTGACGGCACGCCTAATTTCCTCCAACTTGAGCACACGACCGCCATCACGGCGGCCCACCAAAAGCTGTTCATTCCAGGTGGTTTTGTCTCCAAACCGCAGCACAGCGCTGCGAATCGGCGCCAGCGAGTAAAGGCACTGCAACATGCAGTTGAGATAACACGTGTTGCCAATATTGCTGAGGCCAACGGGCAGCTGCGCCCAAGTATCAATGGCCAATGGAGCCGGTGGACCAGATGGCAGCTCCATGACGGATTCCCGCGCAGCCACCGCGAAAGCGCGCAACTCGGCGTCACGCTTAGCGCTGGCAATAGCCATCAAGTGGTCAGCCAATATGCAGCGCGCCTCCATGGATACAGCCTCCGCCATGCGCACAGTAAATACGGAGCGCAAATCCGCCGCCGCAACGCGCTCCAAACAGGCATCCTTGTCGCCAAGTACCGCGCGACAAGCATCGCGAACCTGTTCCGGCGTGACCATCCCACGAGCACTCTCAGCGTTAACCAGGGTTTGGAGTTCCACCGGATATCGGCGCGCCAATGCAATGGCCGCCAGCGCGTCAAAGCGCCGCTGCGCCTGCGGTCCATCTAGCGGCTCCGCCGATGTGTCCTCCTCTGCCAGCCGCGCGTACGCCCAGACGAGCAACGCGTCAGAAGCATCGGCAGGCACCCCCAGGCAGGCAAACGCCCACTCTGGATTATCCCGCTCAGCCAAAGCCGGGGTCCCACCGCCTGCCTGCTGCCGATCATAGGTTGCAGCGCCGAGTGCTGCGGCAAGCGAGTCTGCGGCTGGCGTTAATGCGTACGTGGGGGAGCGCTCAGAGTCCGGAAGTCGCCGCTGGGTGCGGCCAGCCCAAATGCTGAGCTCATCGCAGGCGCGCTGCAGCCAAGCAGAATTATCGCTGTTGGCCACTGATGGTGGGCGGTACTCACCATCAACAAGGTCGAAGCCCAGAGCCGCCAGAATCAAGGTACATGGCGGGTCGAACCGCAGCGCCGCGCTGAGTTTCGCATTGGCAATCCTTATGGGTCTTGTTTCGCCGCGCACGGTGTTGCGCAGCAGCCGGTGCAGCATTGTCACGGTGTCGTTGAGATCCCGCGCGCCCTGCATAGGGTGGTGCCGGTGCGCGGCAGTCCGCGCCATTTCCAGATCCGCCACCATTCCTGGGCTCACCACCGGAAGTACCAGTCGCGCCTCGACGGTGAATGCGCACCTGCAGCATTTGGCCTCGGAAATCTCAACTGCTGCGCCTAGCGCGCTGTGCATGTGGTGGCCAATGTTGTCCAGGCAGCCGTTCTGCGGCGTGCATGCGGGCGATGTGGTGCGGAGCTGCAGCTGGCTGAGGCAGTCGCGGCAGTGCGCGTGCCAGAGCTGGCTCTGGCTCTGGTTCTGGGGCTGGGACTGGGTTTGGTGCATCCATATGTGCCGGTGGCCTGGGGCAAGTTGCCGCTGCAGGCTGGTCGGCACCCAGCTGCTGAGCTGTGTCTTGGCAAAGTACCCACCGAGCACCCCGTCGTTGTGGTTGTGGTTCATTAGTAAAAATGAAAGAGATTGAGTAGGATTGGATTGGATTGAGAATTGAAAGCGGAATGCGAAAAATGAAAGTGAAAAGTGAAAACCTGATATCGTATTTTGAGCACATTGGGGACACTCGCCTCGGTCAAAACGCAAAGAGCTAAAAAATGATACTGCGAATAGCATTAAACTCGTCATCAAAAATCCCTCTTTTTCTCCTCTTAATTTTTAATTTTTAATTTTTTTGTTCTTGTTTTTGTTTATATTCCAAATTCACATACTACTTTTACATCATGTCCTCCTCAGCCATCACCTCGGCAGCATCGACAGCCTCGGCCAAAAAGCAATTGCGCACACACTTGCGCTCCACTCTCTCACTAATCCCTCTGCACTCTCTCCAAGCGCAATCGCATCTCGTCACCCGCCACCTCCTCCAGCACCCCCTTTACCAGCGCTCCCAGCACATCAGCATCTACATCAGCACAGCCTCCAGCGAACTGCAGACCACTGAGCTCTTCCGCCATGCGCTTTCCACGGGAAAATCTGTCTACGTACCGCGATGCCACGGCCCGAAGCAAATGGACATGTGTCGGGTGCAGGATCTCGACGACCTGGCTGGATTGCAAGTGAACCGGTGGGGGATTCCAGAGCCTGGCATGGAAAGAGAGCCTGTGGACCCAAGCCTGTTGGATTTTGTCGTGGTGCCTGGCTTGGCGTTTGATCGCAGTGGCCGGAGGTGTGGCCATGGGAGAGGATACTACGACAGGTATTTGGAGAACCTGGACGCTGTGACGTGTGCTGTGGCACTGAGCGAGCAGATCGTAGACCAAGTGCCGGTGGACGCCTTTGACCGCACGCCCGACCTGATTATCGCACCCGAGGGCGTGATATACTCCTCTGGGAACAGAGTGGGAAGCAAAGGGTAAATTGAAAATAAACGATAAAATTGAAAATAAATAAACAAACGATAAATAGATAAAAATAAAAATTAATTAATTAATAAAACATAAATATATCATCTCTTCTCTGCTCACAGGCTACTCTGGGCTACTCCAGCTTTACTTCAGCCTCAGGCTTTGGTCTAAGACACCCAGCTGGCGGATATCCTCAGACTGCTTCAAGCTGACCGACCGCATACTCGGTCCGCCCACACTGCCAGGTCTCCACGGCGTTGTTCTCAAATACGGGTGGTGGGAGATTGTACTCCGATGCGTCGACGACGCATGCCGCACCTGGGCGCGACCGGCCGCCGACGCCAAAATCGACAGCGAATCAGCATGCGACCTCAGACCAGGCCTCTGCCCAGTAGCAGCAGAGGCAGCAGAGGGGGGTGATGGAGTAAAAGCCCTGTCAGCATCAAATCCCTGGTGCATAGCCTGCGTCGGCGTCGGCATCGGGCTCGGCAACAATGAGCTGTTCCGCGCGCCGCCATTGGATGATCCCATTCCAGCGTTGAATATGCCGAGGCCACCGCCCATGCACCGCGCCTCAACTGGCGACGAGTCCCGCCGGTGCATACTGGCTGAGATCGATGGCAGTCTGCGTGGGCCCTCGCGCATATCCCGCCGAATCCCCGCTAGGTTAATCGACTGACTGCTGCTGCCGCCCGCATACCCGCCGGCACTCAACGGACCCCCCACTACTGCCAGTCCCAGTGACGGGTTGACTGGCGACAGGAGCAGCGGCAGCTTCGGCCGCGAGCCAGCAGTGCTGTTGACCATAACCGCAGCCGAGGTCACGGAGCGCACATTGGCTGTCCGCCGAGCAGACAGCCCAGAAAGGCCCAGCGGCCCGCCCAACCCAAGATACTTTGCGCCTCCACGCCCGCTGCCGCTGCCACTCGCTGCGGGCATGGCTGTGCTGGGCATGGCTATGCTGGGCATGGGTGGCAGCGAGGGCGTCTCGTTGATGCTGCTGTGGTCGGCCATCCTGTGACTCCCGCTACTGACACTGCTACTGCGAGTACCCACAACTGTCTGCCCAAGCTCTCCCGCAGTATGCGGCTGCTGCAGTTGCTGCTGCTGATGGTGCTGATAATGGTGCTGCTGCTGCTGGTAGTGGACATCCATGCTGTTGCTGGATTTCTGCGCATGCGGGCCAATGGCCAGAAACGACAGGTTCGCTGTGGCCGCCGACCGCGTGCCTGAAGATGCTGGCGCCGACGACGAGGATGCCGACAGTCCAAGCGATGCCGCCTCATACATTGACATCTTCTGGCCATGCGGCTGATTATGCATCTGGGCGTGGTACGCGCGGCCATGGTACCCATGGGACACGATGCTCTGGCCGCTAAAGCTATTGCTGCTAGGCCGAGTGCCCACACTCCCGCCAGAGCTCGACGGCGCGCTCATCGGATGCGCCGGCAGAGTGCGACTCGCGTTTGTCTCCGGTGCCGGTCTTGACGCCCGATTCTGATTCCCATGGTGCTGCCGATAATGATTTATCTGCTGCTCTCCCCCAGCTGCTGTTGCTGCTGCTGCGTTGCTAAATAGGCTAGGCGGCACATCCGTGTCCATAACTAGAGACTGCACCCGTGCCCGGTGCAGCCCAACCGACAACGCATCCATTGCGGCTGCTGCTGCTGCTGCTTTGGCTGCGCTCTCGGCAGATTTCGCCGCAAAATGCGATATCCGCGCAGATGGGGAAGGCGAAGACAACCGGCGGCTGTAGTACTGCTGTTGGGTGTAATTATGAGTGGCCGAGGCTGAAATCGCCGAAGACGAGGAGACCGGTGGCGACTGCATACCGACTCGATGCTGCTGCTGTTGCACGTCATTATCGATATCCATACTGTCGTTGGCCTTCAGCTGCCGGGCAGCGCCGCGGGACTTCCGGTCCGCCACGCTGCTGCTCCCACTGCCGCTATCGTCGCTGCGATTGCCACTCATCATCGCGTCCTCGTACGCATGCATGCCGCCGGAATCCGCCGTCTGGGCTACAGTCGCCGGGCCCGGGTAATCGGGCTCATTGGAGCCGCCGGCGTTCATCGAATGGCTGGCACCGTACATGGACTCGGGCGACATGTCCGGGTAGAGATTCGGGGGCACAACAAGCCTGGGGAAATTCGGATCCGACGTCGGCGTCATCAGTCTTCGATGCGCATGGTCCTCCTTGGAGTAATACGCAATAATATGCAGTTTCTTCCCATCCGTCGTCCGGATAGACAACGCCTTTTTCAGCATGCCGTTTTCCTTCGGAAACCCATACTGCACCTGGGTGGACCCGGCCTTGGTCGGCCCGCCAATGAAATGCCCGTAGCGCGCAATACCCATTGGCATAGGCTGCCCGACCATCCCCTGTATGTTCAGCGGCATGTTGAACCCGTGCATGTGGTGATAGGACGGGTGCCGCTGGGCGCGTCGCCGACCCTCCCACTCATGGTATGTTAGGAAACACCCCTGGACGCGCGACGGTGACCAGCTGCGCCCGTCCGTCCACCGCTTCATCCCGCTCTCGGTCTCTTCCCAAACAAACACCGACCCGGATCGGATTGCTGCGCGTTCGTCATCGCTGAGTCGCCGTGGTACCCGCTGCTTGTATCCCAGTCGACACGCCTCGAATAGCGCCAATGCATCCTCTGACGTACTGACGAACCCATAGTATGTCTCCATTCGTGTGTTCCCCATCGTGTACATGGAGACCCCCTGTTGTGTTTTTTTTGGTTTGCTGGACTTGTTGCGCTAAAAAGACGGAAAATTAAAAATATAGAGGCCGCGGATGAATACTATCCCCCTGAATAAATACACAAAATCCCGGTGTCTATAGTAGTAATCGAATAAAAAGTAAAAGTAAACAAATACAAGAGATAAAAGAGAAAAGGATATTAGAAGAAAAACAATACAGCGGAACAAGAAAAATAAAAAGCAACAAATAAATAAATAAAAAAGTGAGGCTGAAATAACAAATAAAAAGGGAAAGAGGGAAGAAAGGAAAAAAAGAACAGAACAGAACAGAGCCCCAAGACGTGCTCGGCCACAATGCGTTTTTAAAAAATAAAAAAGGATTGCCAATGTTGGACGCACTATAGTCGTGGTGTCAATGATGCATGCAAATATGGGCAAAATGTATATAGATATAGAGAAATTATAGTGCACTACTATAACAACAAAAGAGAGACGTCAAAAGAGTGGGAGAGTGAAAAAATGAAAAGCGTGCACACAAAAATAAAATTATGAAAAACAATTTATATTTATATTTATATATAATGAGACAACGAGGATGATGAGGAAGAAGAAGCAAGGTGAGGAAAACAGATACTATCAATAAATAAAAGAGTGGAACAGAAAGAAAGAGAAAGGCAGAAGCGCATTTATTGAAGTAGGGACGTGCGCATGTGCCTTTTTGTACGAATTACGTTGGTTTTGTCTGCACAAATAAAAATAAAGGCATATGTTTTTCTTTAACAAATCTTGTAAGCAACAAAAAAATTACATTCACAGGTAGTAGCAGACACGGAGAGGGACAAAACAAAGAGGGATTGTGTTGCGCTTAGGGAGAGGGGAGGGGAGGGATAGAGAGACTCGGAGAGGGGAAATATAAAAAAATCAAAGCAAAATATTTTATCGATTTTGAAAAGCTAATCGAAACTGCTGTCTCTTTTCTTTCTCTCTCTGTCTATCCCTCTATCCCTCTATTGTCCACAAAGCACATTGAATATGTAAATATAAATACAAATTTAGGGAGATGTGCATGTAGGCAGCCAGTCAATTAACCAAACAAATAACATTTGTTGTGTTGATATCGTGACACGCACGCGCAAAAAAGCGAATAAATTAATGATGCGTGGAAAATTTCGGGGAATAAATTTTTAAAGAAAAAGGCTGCGGAATTTGTTTTTTTGCATGTAGAAAATTAAAACAGGTTGGCAATTTTTCGGAAGGAATAAATAGATTGTTGATTAAATGTCAAAGCTAACGTTAATGTCAAAGTTGTTCACAGCAGATATTGAGAGACACAGACTTGATAAAAAATTTTGCAGCTTCTTTTTGAGTCAGGAATATTAAAGAAGGGAGGGGCTGGAGGACAACAAAAAAAGACAATTGATTGTTTATTGACGTACTGCCTGTTCAACCAACCAAATAAATTATATTAAAATATACATGTAAACAATGAGTTGGCAAGGATATAGTTGCGCGCATAATATAATATTATTTTTTGACATTCAGAGATGTGTTTTTTTGGAAAAGTGACTTTAGTGCTCACTGCTTAAACAAAACAAAAAAGCAAATTCGGAAACGATGTATTTTGAGCAGTAATAAATGACTGCAGTAACAGTACTTAACGGAAAAAAGAGGGAAAGATAATAATGCGCAAATATCGACATGGACAACTAACTATAAAGCGTGTGGTCGGCAACAAATTCGTGTACAATTAACGACTGTTCATTTGGGAAAGAAAATAGGGATGGGGGAGGAGGGGAGGAGAAAATGAGGAGAAGGCTGGTTAAACAGAATTTGTGGCTTTTATGTTTGAAACAAGATAAGTGCAGTAGATGTTATTAAATACTGCGTAGCAGCAAATTAAATTCAAACAAACAAAAAATACGAGATACAAAAATTCTTGAACAAGGAAAACAAACAAAAGAGCCTCAGGAAAGTTTAAACCTTCAAGGATATAGATTTAAAATCGCACGCTATCATAAGCGCACGAGTAAGGAAAACAAGTAGGAAAAAGGCAATTACAGTATCAACCAGTGCAAAGTAAACAAGAAAACTTTAGGAAGATGCCTGACTAAATTGGCAGATTAAACAAATACTTGCCTTTTTGAGTCTGAGTCTGAATCAGGAAAATAAAGCGAATAGATAGTAGTTTGTGAAGCGTGTATTGTTGTGGTTCTCGATATATAAAACCGTCCGTTAAACGCAGTCGTAGTCGTTGTCGTAGTCGCCGTTTCTGTTGTTGTATCGTGTGCTGCTGCCGCTGTGCTATCGGTGCTTTGGTTTGTACGATACCAGATTTCCCAACAATTGTTCCCTTGCAGGATATAAGAAATAAAGTGAAAGAGGGAAGAAACAAAAAATAGAATAATAAAAATAAAAATGACGAGCTATGGCTTGTGTGTAGAAAAATAAAAAAGAAGTGTTGTTTTGTTGTTCTTTTTCAGCTATTTCGAAAAGTGAACAATGTGTAAGATAACAAAAATGATAGAACAAGGAAAATGGTAAAATGGGTTATTGTTGTGCTAAAGTATAATGCCAACGTCAATGCGCGCGTTATTGCTGATGTTGGCTGTCGTATTTTTGTAAAATAAGTACCGCTGTGCAAATAAATAAATAAATAAAGAGATGGGAAATATAAGAATAAGCTTAAAATAATAAACTAAAAAATATTAAAGTATAAGAATAAAGAAAAATATGAACAATTAAAATAAAAGTCAATTGTACCTAATAAAAAACTCGGACGCAAGAATGAAAATAGTTGGAAGGTGGGTAGGCACAAGCATGGGATATCCGCCATGTGCGCCAGCAAATAAAGAAATGTGACAACGAAAAAGAAAGAAAAACGCTCCCTCTTTTAAAATTCAACAGCTTATGCTCTGCCTTTTATCTAGCAATAAATGACGGATGGTTGTCCCCGTGCTCTGGTGTTTTTTTTTGGTAAAACAAACCAAAACTCAAGTGACAGTGAAAAGAAGAAAATAATAGAAAAATATGGAAGAATCAAAAGGATAAAATGAGCACGGAACTAATAGTGGTAGCCTTTTTGGATTTGTGTTTAGTATTTCACTCTGTAAAGCGTTTGCTCCGAAATAGCAGAGTTATTGGCGTGTAACTGCAAGTATGCTTGCTATGAATGAGGGTGGTTATAGATAGACGAATAGGAAAAATGGGAAGGGCAGCGAGAGAGAAAAAAGAGGAATTGGGTGTAGCGTGACCAAAAATGCCGTATGGATGGTATAATAAATGTCAGAAGAGGAAAACTATTGTAAAGTGGCAAAAGAATAACTATTTGGCGTGAATGTGTATCAATAGACTCTAAGCAGCAAAATAAATAAATAAGTAGAGGTTATTATCAATGGCTGCATAAACCAATGTGACTAAATTAATAGAATGGATTTATAAAGGACGCGCAGTCGAGTTGTGATGGTGGTGGTGTTAAAGTGTATCAATAAAGATAAATGGGAAGTGCAAGAAATGCGAGAGAGAGAGAAAACAGTGTATAAAACCTGTCAGTTGCACAATGGGGTGTGAGTGTGGTCAAGTGACGATGTAAATATAATAAAAATTGAATGAACTAAGCAGAGTAAATAAGTATTAGTGTATTACGTTGGTGAAATTTATGTTCAGCCACTATAAAGTGAATAAAGGAAAAGAAAACGATAACTTCAATTCGTGAAATTAGTAGAATAATAAAGCAGAAAATGGGTTTTCTTAAAAAGAAAGGGGAAAGACCAAAAAGATAAATAAAAAATTATATGAAGCTGGAAGCACACAAAAAAGAGGACCCTGGTAGAGCACATAAAGGACGAATAGGCAAGGGGAAAATAAACAACCGGTGCTGATGAGACTTACTTTTGAAGGCCGAAATATAAAGGAAAGTGCAGAAGATTTGCAAGCAAAAAGATCCAAAGAATTCTGGACAAATAAAGTATAGAGGGCTACTATTGCGTGTGCTCTGCACACTTTATTCCTAGTAGGAAAACTATTTTTTTTGCGTATTGCCTTGTTTGAGAAGCAAGTTTTTTCTTAAAGGGGAGACGAGCGGCGGAATGAAATCGACCAAAAAAGGAGGCGATGCGAGAAAGAGAGTGAGAAAGAGGGGGTTGTGCTCATGCTCAAGAAAAAGAGACTAATTTTAGGCAGAGATTACCGTTTCAAATAAGAAGAAAATTTCCCAACAAAGCTGTCCTGTTCCCTCTATCTCTCATTCTCATTCTCATTCTCAATTTATTTTGTTTTTAGATTTGTTATTTGTCCACATGGATTTTTCATTAAACGCGTAAAAATTAATAACAGCCAAATTAAAATCAATGTTTTGCTTTATTTTGCTTTATTTTGCTTTATTTTTGTTTTGGCAACGGGTAATTTAACGAAAAAACAACCCAAGCTTTTCTATTTTTATTTTTATTTTCCACTAACTGCTTCGTCAAGTATAAGAACCACGTCTTTTTGCTTTGCAAAATCATCAAGCAGGAAAAGGCACCAGGGCAATCCTTTTATTTCCCCGCTCTTATGTCTCTTTTGGATTGCCGTTGTGTTTTTTTTGCATGTTTGGGCAAGCTTTCCTGGCATTCAGCCCGTTCCTGTTACCCGAGATACCACCCCTCCTTATGTTACCACATTTTCTTGATACATTTTTAATTTTGATTATTTATTTATTCACTTATTCACCTATTCACCTATTCACCTATTCGCCTATTCGCCTATTCGCCTATTCACCCATTCACCTATTCGCTTATTTACTTGTTCATTTATTTTGCTTGTCTAATGTGCTGCGCTGCTGTAAAGATCGTGCCAGAACTTTATAATGTAATTAATTGTACTTGGTAATCTGCATTTGTAATTAACGTGTATTGATGCTGTCAAGGACTAAAAAAGTGATGTAAATAGTATTTTCGCTTGTTTGCTTGCTGTGGATGTGAGCGCGAGCACGAGAAATGAACCTTCCGATTTTGGGTTTCTTTGTGTGGCGACAAGCTGCAACATGCGAATTGGGCAAAAAAGGGATATTTTTTATCTTGCTTGCATCTGTAAAATCTTGTTTACATTTGGTGTAGTTGCTATTGCATGCATGATATTCACATATATTTTTTTGCAAACCTTTTGAAATGTGGGCTGATTTTTGCTTCTCCGAACTGTGCTATTTCAACTCCTCGTTTATTTTTGTGTTTGCAGTGATTTTTTCTTCGAAATAATATTTTTAGGAGACCACCGATGAGATTATTGTGTGTGCTGTGTTTCATGTTTCATGTTTCATGTGGCTTTTTTGGCAACTGAATCGATCAGTTTTTGGGTCATGTCTGCGTTGCAGAAATAGGCTGCCCAATTGACTATATTCGGGTGAATCTTGTTTCGGGTATTGTGCTCGGGAAATGCTTGCAAAGCGAGCGGAGAGTGCAATGATCTGTGTTTCTGGGTTTAATTTTAGAATTTCTCGAGTCACACTCGTGTTGAATAAAAAAAACCCCAGTCCTTCTTGGAAACGCAAAATGAGGGAACCGAGCTGCTCATAGCAACAGCAACAAAATAAAACTTGTTTATGAAAAAGGGCCAAACACTCATCATTTATTAATTGGATTTGAATTAATTTATTTTAAATATTAATTGGATTTAATAGATGCATACGTTAAAGCTTGGCAACCAGTCGCAGTTTCTGGTCTGCGCCGGCAGCAGATTTGCCGCGCGGTGCATATCTGACCCAACGGCTAGCCGGCTGGTACACATACGACTCGTCGATCTCCTCAATACACGTGGTGCCGGCCAACGTCATTGTGAGCTCAAGCTCCTTCTGCAAAAGCTCCAGCGCGTAGTGCACGCCCTTTTCTCCCTGGTATGCCAGCCCCCACAGGACCGGTCTAGCAACAAATACTGCGCGGGCGCCCAGCGCCAGGGCCTTGAAAATGTCCGATCCACGGCGGATTCCGCCATCCATATACACCTCGATGGCGTCTCCTGCTGCATCGACGACCTGTGGCAGAGCATCAATTGTGGATAGTGCGCCGTCGAGCTGGCGTCCGCCGTGGTTAGAGACAATGACGGCTGCGCAGCCGTGCGCGATGGCCAGCTTGGTGTCCTCGGCGGTCAAGATTCCCTTGACAATGATGGGCAGCTTGGTGATGGACTTGAGCCAGGAAATACCGTTCTCCCACGACAGCGACTGGTCGCCGTTGGCGCCAAACGTGGCGCCAAACGTTTCGGACGCGCTTTTGGCATGATCGGCCACATACCCGTTGGCGCCGTTGACCACTTCGGGATCCATAAAGTTTTCCAGATGGAGGTGTGGCGGCGGCTTGAACTTATTTCGCGCATCGACCAGCCGCAGGCCCAACACGGGCGCGTCGACAGTGAGAACAATGGCGGAGAATCCAGCCTTTTCCGCCCTTTTAACGATCTTCTCAGAAACCGAGCGGTCCTGGTAAACATACAGCTGCATCCAGTACTGCGTGTCCCCACTACCCTCTGCAATGACCTTTTCCAGAGAGGTCGTCGAGTACGTCGATAGGATCATTATGCTACCATGCCGCGAGGCTGCGCGAGATGTCGCTGCCTCGCCTTCGGGGTGCGCAAGCTTGTGCATGGCGCAGGGGGCGATGCCCAGGGGTGTGCGCACAGTCCTGCCCAGTACTGTTGTCGCGGTGTTGATCTGGGAGACGTCGCGGAGCATGCGCGGGTGCAGACGATAGTTGTCGAATGCGTTCATGTTGTCGAATTTGGTCTGCTCGTCGTGGGCGCCAGAGTCGTAATAGCCCCAGGCACCGCTGGGCATGGCGCTCTTGGCAATAGGTTCCAGGTCCTTGATGCATACGGGGTTGTTGGTGTGGCCCATGGTTCTTGAATTAATAAGTGGTAATGATAAAATTGTACTGCTGATGAGGGATGAATCGATGTTGTTTATGATACTAGAAGGAAGATAATATAAGAGAAGAGAAATTTGGGCTTTTACACTCGATTTTATACCAAGAGGACGGCTAGCAAAAAAAAAGAACAATTATAAGGCCAACCCGTGTGAATGTTTAAAGCCCTTCCTTTCTTGGACACGAGCGCGTGGACTATTCATTATCTTGGCTGCTCATTGAAAGTATCACAAGCCTTACGGTTTATCATGTAATCAGCCAACGAATGAAAAGAGGAAGAAAATCCTCGGGAAAAAGTTTACGCCAGAAATCGCCTGACTGCAGAATCTTCATAAGATTTACAAATCGTACCCGCGCTACAGCCAAAATAAAAGTCAGCGAAAAAAAACAATGAAAATGTAAATTGACCACTAAGCAACGTGACCACAAGGATTGGGTGATTTTGTTTCTAGCAAATAAAAAAGTGCCGTTATTTTTAATGCATTGCATTATGCTTGAACTCTGCTTTTTATTAGCCCAGGGGCAAACAACACTAAACAAACAAATAAAGGAGTGGGAATGCTGTAATAATAATAGCTTTGGAAAACAGAGTTCAAGTCCAAAATGAGCAAATCAACCAAATGGCTTTTAAAAATGACTAAACAATGAGCAAACATAACCCGTTCCCCCTTGCATTAGAAAAAGTGGCGTGCCCCATTAATTAATTATTTGCATTGTATTTTTAAAAAAGTTATTGGTATTCATAGTTTTAAAAATAACCAAATTTGCAAATTAATGATGTACTGCCTTATATTTTTCTACTCATACAATGTCCGAATGCAATAATTGCGCATGCAGCACCATAGTAACCCAAATATATATATATTTGAGTAACTGGATAATACGCCAGTGCTAAAATAAACCCTTTATTTCATCTCTTTTTTTTGCAGGGGGGGGCACAACTAAGAACAGTTACTCCGCATAAGACACACAGCCCGAACAGTATACATGACAAACACGCAATACTCAATTTATTAAAATAGAAACATATATATTCTTTGATAAACGTACTACCGCGTTTTAACAAACATCCACAAACCCAATTTTTATATTTTTGTCCTTTTTACATTTTTTTACCATTATTTATTTCTACAATTACCTGTTAAAGAAAGCCGATTAACTGCTCAGCTAATGAAATCCCTGCTTTTCACTCTCGCCATTCCCATGACCATGGGAGCGTTCACCTCGGTTGCACCCGCCGCCTCCAGCGCCGAAATCTACAACCTAGGCATTCTCGATGCCCTTGACCGTATCGCTGCCCCCCAAGCATCCGCCAGTGTGCAGTGCCAGGGCGATTGCCAAAACGAAAACCTTGGCACCCCAAATGCCAGCCACGACCTGACCCGAGGACTTGTCCGTGCCATCTACAATGAGTTCATGGAGCCCCTGACTGCAGAGACCCCTGCGTCGGATAACCACCTTGTCATTAAAAACACACCGGTCCTTGATAATCTTTTTAATTTCATTAATGACAAGGCAGGGTCGGAGGTAAAGCGCGTGGATAGATGGGCTTCCAAATTGCAGGCTGCTACTAGTGTTGTGGCGGCGGATTCCGACGCTTCGGCTACACCAGGGTTTGACTTTAATTCGTGGGCTGATAGAGTGGATAATGCCGCGCATAGACTGGTTAACAATGTGAATGGCGTGGTTATGGGGTTCCTGGATGAGAACGAGGCTGATGCTGTTGTTGCCACGGCTAACCCGGATAACGCAGCACCGACAGCATCCCCTGCTCGTTTCCTCTGGTTCTAAATTATAAACAATTTATTTCTTTACAATATACTTTTTATTTTTTTTATGAAATTACATTATGATACACAAAAAAGCAAATACAAATACAAAACCATTTTTTTAGCTAATCGAATAACTTTCAAGACTATATGCGCTGGAGGCATTGCTCGACGTCGCTCCATGGATTCCCCCTATACTTCATCTTGGTCTTTTCCGCCACGCTCACGCCTGAATCCAAAGACATAGTATGGCTTCTGCAGCGGACACATCGACGCCACTCAGGAGCTCTGAAATTGGCGGCAGCTTGACATTCCCTCATCAATGCTCTCTCGGACTGCACTTTGAAATTTCTATCCATATTGACCACCGTGTTGCGTCTCGAAGATGGTATTGATTGACCCATATTGGGCACAGGTTGCTGTTATCCAGGGCGTAGGGCAAACTGAGGCGGCGGAAACTCTGTGGGGGCGCGGGGGCGGCAGTGGTAGCTGGTGTGGCTGCAATCGGGATGAAGGCATATGGGATGATGGTGTTGATTGGCTCAGGTTGTGGAGTCGCTGTGACCGGAGCTTGTCCCGGCAGTCGGATGTGGTCAGACATTGGAAACATAGGGCGAGTGCGGTGATGATGCTGGGTGGGGCGGCATTGGTCGAACAGAAGTACTCATGGGGTGGCAACAGCGGCGGCAGCAGGTGGGTGCGCTATGGCTGGGTGTATCGTGTTCTGCAGCTCATAATATCTGACTGGCATTGGATGGACGGCTGAGATCTGGTAGTTTGCCATTTGCGCCTGCTGGCTCTCAATGTAGGTGGACTGGAATGTCTGCTGTAAACTAGGGCACTCGTGGATAGACGCCGAATCGTTGAAATCATCGATACTATGGACGCTCGCCGCGTGCTGACGGTCTGCGTGCGCGGACGGGTGCATGGACCATTTCGGGCGGAATGTCCGGGTACCGATCGTGGGCGACGGTTATGCCAGAAAAATGGGGTTATTCGAGGGAGACAGCAGCTTGCCATTGTCCACGTCTGTGTCGCGATAGTAGCTCACCAGATGCAATTTGGTATTGCTGCTCGTAAAGATGGAGAGCGATTTTTTGGTCAGTCCGTTTTCAAGTGGCACATCGGGCGTTGGGCTTGATTTGGGCTGGAGCTCGGTATAAATCAAAAACACCCGTTGACGCGGGATGGTGACCATCTCTTGCCGTCCGTCCAGCGCTTGATGTGGGATTCAGTCTCGTCCCAGATGAATATCCAGCCGGATCTGATGTGCTTGCGCTCGCTCTCGGCCAGACGCCTATTTCGACACTTGAGAATGCCCAGGCGACAGGCCTCGAATATAAGCAGGGCGTCTTCAGAAGTGTCAACAAAGCCCGTATAAGTGGGACAAGCATTGTGGAGGATTCTAATGTGAACAATACTGCAATTGAAAAACTTGTGGATAAATAAATAATAATAATTAATAACTGTGAATCTTTGGGTGGAAAAAATAAGGGTTGTTCAGGTATTTTTAAAGGGAATTTTCCATTTTGGCTTTGGGATTTTTTATGGAATTCTGGATGGGCCAAGCTGTTTTATATTTGGAGCAGCACGCAGCGGCTAAACTCCAACAAAAAACACAAACACGGTGAAAACAGCGTTCATTCATCCCTTGTTTGTTTTGTTTTGTTTTTTGTTTTGTTTTGTTTGCAAGTGGGCGCTTTCTGTGTATGAGAGAGGGCATGTGTGTGACTGTTGAAGAGCCAGCAGCATCAGAACACTCAAGACCAATTTTATTCATTTTCGATATCGAAGGAAATAAATTAGGATGCGGTGCTAATGAAATTGTGTAGATCCCGCAAACCGTAAGAACAAACCCGGCCATTGGATATCTTTCGAGAGTCATAGTAATAAACATCGAGACAAGGCATTATTAGATGCTTACCTGGGGGCTTGCAAGTCCTGTTTTAAAAAATCGACAGGGGATAATTAAAAAAACAACAGTCAAGGGCAAATAAACGGTAAATTTAAAAAATTTGGGTCTTTTTTAGGAAATAATCAAATGAATATTAGCCGCCAAAAAGAAGAATACAAAGTTTAAGAATAATAATATCGCTGCAAAAAGGCAAAGAAGGAAATACAATGCGAACCCAATTTGTATCAGGCTTATAACGAGTGAAGATCAATTAAAGGGGTGAAATAAGAGGGAGAAAATGAAACCTTTTATACTTTTACACCCTGTATGCAAATAGAGATGTAATATTACCGGTCACATGGTAGTACCAACTTGAAATAATTCCGCGTTTAATTTTTTTGGTCAAACATCAATTCCCACTGGCACTGAACAAAAAAGAGGAGCTAAATTTGAGAATTTGAGAAACTAATGGCTTGCAAGCTGTACCGCAAACAGCACTTTTTTAAATTTGTTTGATTGTTCAATCCAATTGATAGCTTGGCACAGCAACATATGTGGCACCTAAAAGTAGAAAAAAGGACAACTTAGCTTAGCTTCATTTGGCCGCGGACAAAAAGATTTAACACTTACTTTTGCTGAGAAATGTCACTGTAAAGAGTTCGATCTTTGTTTGTGTTACGACCCCGCTTATACTTTGGCGAATTAGGTTGGGGAAGGATGAGAAAGAACATTTTTGCCCCAAACATTTATTTTAACTTTCGGCCAAATAATGATTTTTTTTGAGTGTAGGTGTGAGAATCCACGGCCAAAGCCGAGAATAAGATTGATAAAGGACAAGTAACTGAGCCAAAAAATTTCCAAGTTGCTCCAGATGTTTGGATAGATAAACGGTATGATCCAGGTATTTGGTCGTGTTCAATATATCAGAGCTTTTTTAAAAGGCCAAACGGATCCCATCAAGATGCATGCTTTACCCCATAAACAAACTCATGTACAAAGTGGCTAAATCAAGGGGAGGAACCATCCGGATTTATCTTTCTTGAGTGCAAATAAAAAACCCACCACTCATCACACTCAGCACCTATTTGTACTAACATTTTAAATCCAATCTTTAAAGGATGTCTCCCGAAGCCAGCAGCGTTGGGCACCAGAACCAGCACAGCCATATAGACCTGGACGAGACGATCAACCGTCTGAGTTCTAAAAAGGGCGTAGAATCCGTTACGATCCTCACCAAAGAAGGAGGCATCATCCGCACAACGGCGACAGCCGAACAAGGAGAGCTACATAGCAAATTGCTAAGCAAGCTGGCGAGGGATGCAGGCGATATTGTGGAGCAACTGGACGGCCAAGATGAACTGTCATTTGTGCGCATAAGGACGAAAAGACACGAGGTCATGGTCGCCCTGGATCAAGATTACCTTTTGGTCGTCATCCAGACTCCACAGAAAGATTAATATATTTTAAAGCTTGCTTTCTTGAAGAGAGGGTTTTTTTTTGCTTTTTTATCTTTCATTTTTTTGGAATTCAAACGGTATTCTGTAATTATCTTTTTCATGTTTGTCGTGCGAAACTCTAAAGTGTTGGGCACTTGTGCGCGTAGGCTGTGCCTGAATTCGACGCGGAATGCACCACGGTACGCAGTGGCCAATGGCAGTGGCACAAGCACACTTGGAATTCGGCGGCAATTCAGCACAACGCCCTTCGCACTACAGCGAGGCGCAAAGCCCGACACACCAACCACAGACACGCCAACCACAGACACACCAACCACAGAGCTTCCAGATATGCCCAGCGGCGATCAAATAATTAAACTGGGCGGCAGCGAAGACTCGTCGCCGTTTCTCTTTCAGCTAGTTCAAGCGTTACTCGAAAAGCTGCACGGCGGCGCGCTCTACACCTCGGACCCATTGGCTGCGGCCGCTGCTCTATCAGCAGCCTCCCAGGCAACCACCCACGAGCTAGCACTCTCTGCTCTTAGCAGCGGGTCCACTCCCTGGTGGCTGGTCATTGGTGGCACAGCAGTTGCCCTGAGGCTGCTGTTGACCCTGCCTTTGTATGTGCGGCAGCAGCGAGCAGTGGGGGCGGCACAGAGGGTTGGCGTGGTGGCGGCGTCTTGGCGGCACGCTTTGGGCGCATCAGTGAGACTTGAGATGGCTGGAGCCGGAGACGAGGAGGAGGAGGTCCGGAAGAGGGTGGATCGGAGGGTGAGGGCGAAGTACCATGAACTGATGTTACGCGAGGGCTGTCATCCGGCCGAAGCACTGCTGCTGCCGGTGATGCAGCTGCCGCTGTGGGTGACAATGACCTGTGCGGTGAGGCATTTGGCCGGCCGGCCGGTCTGGCTGGTAGACGCGCCGGCAGCGCAGCCGGCGTGGGGAATGTCCTGGGAGGGACTGTGGTGGTTTGGCGACTTGACCGCTCCCGATGCATATATGGTCTTGCCTGTGGTCGCTGGGCTGCTGCAGTTGGCCAATGTTGTGTTGGCCCGGAGAGCGGTTAAGAGCGTGGCTGCTAGCAGCAGCGGTGGCGGTGGCAGTGGCCAGGAGGGTGTTTATAAGAAGCTTGTGCGTGTGGCGGTTGGGTTTTCGTACATTACGCCGCTGGCGGTTGTTGGGCTGGGCATATATCAGCCGGCAGCTATTGTTTATTATTGGACTGTGTCGGCTGGGTTCAGCTTGGCACAGACCGTGGTGTTTAGAAGCGACCGCGTGCGCAAGGTGTTTGGCATGCCGCCATTGCCACCTCTCGCACAGCAGTCGGCCATAGCACCGAGTCCCAGCAGCAGCTCAAAGGGTCTATAGATTGTGTATCTTGAAAAATAAAATTCCATAAACTATTTTAAAGCAAGCAGAAACATTGACATCTAAAAAACATCTCGGCTCCCCCTCCACTTGTGTTTTATTATTATCTCAGAAGCGCTCCTTCATCCGCGACGAGAGGGTCCGCAGGTTCGAGTAGACCTTTCCTGGTGGGCTACCGAGAATAAGGTTACCGACAGCGTCCCTGGCAATCTTGATATTCTGGAACGTGCCCAAGATATGCACCTTGGAGTCAGCCAGTACAATCCTCGTCTTGGTTGAGTTCTCAATCGTATACTTGGTCTTTCCGTCCTTTCCGGCAATACGACCAATAGCACGAGACAGATGGTCACCATTCAAAGTCTTGACATCCTTAATCTCAAAGGTCTCCAGGTACAAGTCATCCATACGCAGCAGCGCTATGGCATCCTCGACGGCAAAACCCATGCAGTAGGCGCGCACAAAGTCAGCGGCCTTCTGGATCGCCCCCGTGTCCTCGGTCTCCTCGCACGACCGGATCTCAATCATGCGCGATTTCGGGTTCATCCGTACTTGCAGCTTGAGGTACTCGACAATGGGGGAGTAGATTTTAAGCCAGTCGGTTTTTAGGGGTGAAAACCGGTGTGGTGGGACGCGGATGCGCCGGGATTCCCAGCGATCCGTGCGCAAGTCTTTGGCCGACAGCGGCGCAAACTGGGGCTTGTCAGAGGCCGCTGCCGATGACGGAGTCGCTGCGGCGGCCGTGGATGTGGCAACGTATGCCAGCTGGTCGGCTGTGATAATGATTTCGTCGTCCTCCTCCATGGCAGACGAGTGCGTGGTGTGTTTGGCCTGCTGCTGCATCTTGTCCAGTGCTGACATTGTAAATTATGGTGGTATTTTTTTTGCTGAAATAATAATAATAAATGGAGTAGAATTAAATATCGTAATTGAGGAGCAAAAAAAATTAAAAAAGAAATTTTTACGACTGATTTCTTTTTAGTCTCTCTTGCGATCGCTTTTTTTATTTGCACTTGACCAGCAACCAAAAAAGAAAAAGAAAAAATTGGGCATGGCAGCGAGAAAAAAAAATAGACTACATAATATTATAATCAACAGATCAGCAAATCAATGCGTGGAATTTGTACACAGTGTGGATTGGTCAATATAATTTATCACGTGTACCGAGTTGACAGGTTGTGAGGTACATATTTGCTTGCAAATTTGATTGGCTGGATAAGCGCAGCTGACGGATGACTAAGGAGGAAAATGAAAAAAGAGATCAGATGAGAGAAGAAAGCGTTTTATTCTCAATCTCCGAGCCATGCTTTATTTTTCCTCTCTTTCTTGACTCAATTTTCAGTTACTTTTATTTCTTACTATTCTTTTTTCCGAACCTTTTTCTAATCTACACTCCGTTTTTTTACTTTAACAGCACTATCATTATATTATCACCATGTCTTCCCGCGTAATGGTTCGCATGGCGCCGGCGCTCAAGGGCCGCAAGAAGCCCCTGACACTGACACAGGCGGCAGTCTGTCGGCTAAAGGAGCTCAAAACAAAGAGCCAACCAGATGAGCAAAACAAGACGCTAAAGATTGGTATCCAGGGCAAAGGATGCTCGGGCAACGCTTATACATTATCATGGGTAGACGCGCCGAAAAAATTTGACGAGAAAGTGACCCAAGACGGTAAGCCATTTAAACCCAAAAATGCTTTTAGACGCAATGGGAGAAATATCGGACATTCCGTATGTAAATTTTTATTTTACGCTTTTTGCTGACAGTAATTCTTTTATTGTTCTAATGTTGTTGTAGGCGTTACCGTGCTGATCGATTCAAAGGCGCTTTTGACTCTGATTGGAACAGAGATGGACTGGTTCGAGGGGAAATTGGCTTCGCAGTTCATATTTAATAACCCGAACGTCAAGGGCGCTTGTGGATGCGGCGAGAGCTTTTTGGTTTGATGAGAGAAAGCACATGTTTTTTTACGCATTTCAACAACCAAACCTTGTCTTCCTATATTTTTTTGTACTTATAATAAACATTAACGAATAAACAACTTTTTTAAATAACAAAGTACATTATTGGCAGTGAATCCCTTTGGTCATTTAATCGGCAAAAAGAGACCACAAATGAATGCGCGGGCCGCTTGATTAATGGATTTTTTCTTCCCAAACCCCTTGACTTTTTTTACAAAGGAAAATTTTCTTCTAAACGCGTTCACGAAACATTTCGCGTTATTGTTTTTTATTTACTCTGCCACTTTTGCCTTCAATTTTCCCTCGTACATGCTTTCTTTCTTTCTCTTTCTCTCTTTTTTGTCATTTCCAATTACGCATTCTCAAATTCAAAATGTTTAAGCAAAATTCAAAAAAGCAAACGGTCCTGAGTTTTGGCCAAAAGCCCAAAGCCACGTCCGCAAAACCCACTCGCACAGAAACATCCGCCAGCGTCAAACCACTGCGCGCAGCCCCATACACTCTCCCAAGCCAGCAACGCCCCACGACCTCTGCATCAGCACTAGCAATACCAGGGCCAACCCAAAGCCAATACTTCCGGCCACTTCCTGTGCACCAATACGACGCTAAACAGCGGCAATTTGAAGCCCAAAAGCAAAAGACAAAGCGCAGCAATGACTCGTTCGGGTCACAAATCAGCTCAATGGCTTATAACAAACCGCCCATAGTAGAAGGCCATAGTGTGCAGCCATACAATCGCGTTTCGCTGTCAGCCAGGCAGCGTGAGGCCTTTGATATAGCAGTGAACCGGCGCGAAAGCCTTTTCATCACGGGGTCGGCCGGAACAGGCAAATCCGTGCTTTTGCGCGAGATCATCCGTGCATTCACAGAGTCGCTCGGATTATCGCACAATGAAGTGCAGACAACGGCGTCAACGGGAATTGCAGCGTTCCATATTCGCGGCAAAACCATCCATAGCTTCTCGGGCGTCGGCCTGGCCAAAGGCTCAAAGGAGGATATCCTGGGGTTTGTCAACAAGAGCCATTTTGCGAAGACCCGGTGGACTGCAGTGAAGGTGCTGATTATTGACGAGATCTCGATGTTGGATGCGTCGTTGTTTGATGCGCTGGAGTTTGTCGCGCGGAAGGTGCGCCGGTCGGAGCAGTTCTTTGGCGGCATCCAGGTGATCCTCACTGGCGACTTTTACCAGCTGCCGCCGGTCGAGAAATCCGGCGTGGCCAAGTTTGCCTTTGAGGCCGAGGTGTGGAAGAAGGTCGAGAGCACCGTTGTGTTGACCCATGTGTTTAGGCAAAAAGACATGCGGTTTGTAGATATCCTGAATGAGATGCGGCTGGGCCGGCTCTCGGAAGCCGGCGTGGATATATTCAAGGGCCTGTCGCGCGTTCCAAAGTACCCAGACGACGGCATTATGGCCACAGAGCTGTATGCGCTGCGAAACCAAGTGGATGGCGCCAACCGCAAGCGGCTGCAGTCCCTGCCAGGCACCATGCAGGTGTTCAGTGCGCACGACGGCATGGACCCTAAGCAGAAGGACCAGCGGCCAGTCCCCGAAGAAGTGCGCGTGAGGATCGACGGATGGTCGATGGCGCCGCGCAAGCTGGAGCTGAAGCAGTTCGCGCAGGTCATGCTGATCAAAAACATGCCCGACAGCAACCTAGTTAACGGATCGCGCGGCGTAGTCACCAAGTTTTTGGCGATTGGAAATAAGGAGTATCCGGTTGTGCGGTTCACCAATGGCGCCGAGCTGACGCTGACGCCGGAGTCATCGGAGGTGGACCTGGGCAGGGAGAAGTATGTGCGCACGCAGCTGCCTATTATTTTGGCCTGGGCCTTGTCGATACATAAGAGCCAGGGGCAGACTATTGACCGCGTCTTGGTCGATTTGGGCAAGGTTTTTGAGAAGGGGCAGGCGTATGTGGCGCTAAGCCGTGCTGTTAGTCTGGATGCATTGCAGGTGCTTAACTTTAATCCGCAGTGCGTCATGGCGCATCCCAAGGTTATCGAGTACTACGCCGAGCTCTCGCGGAAGCAATAGCCCTTTTATAATTAGAATAAAGGTATGATATAAATAATGGCGTGTGAAAGGAAAAGAGGCGAGGCGGGTAAGAAAAACAGCAGAAAAGGGCGAAAGGGAATGGGGGGAGGGGAGAGGTTGATTTGGCAGGTGGGTTTGATCTTTTAAAAAACAATTCAGATTAGCTTGTCCATCTTTCGCAGCACGCAGATGACTGCAGCCACGACCTCCTCGACCATCAGGTCGCCGGCCTCGCCGGCGCCAATGTCAGCGGTGTACAGCGGCGACTCCTTCTTGAACGGCCACCTGCCGTAGACATCCATCAGCTCCTCAGCCCTGGCCACGGCCCGGTCCCGCGTCTCCATATCCATATGCACCAGCGGGTTCTCAATGACACTTCCGGCACAGGCGGCGGCCACCAGGCACACTCTGCGGAACAGAGCAAACTTGTGGTTCTCCTCGTTCTTGTAGAACCTCGAGTTGGCCACCGGCTGCAGCTTCAGGCGACTGCTGTTGCTGCTGCCGCTGCCGCTGCCATTGCTGCCATTGCTGCCATTTGCGAGCCCCTGGGCTGTCCCATAGTGGGCCAGGGCGGACTGCGATGGCGACCCGCGCTGGGAGCGTGTGGGGATGGCGGCGGAGCGGGGCAAACTGAGGGTATCCAGCACCCTCACAATGACCTCGTCCTTTGCCCGGGGGTCCTGTACCGGGTGCGTAGCCATGTCGAAGAACAGAAAGTTTCTCTTCTCCGTCCGCAAAACGCCCTTGTCAACCAGGCCCTTGGCCAGCCTCTCCCTGACCTGCTTCAGCTGGTACCCGGCCTTTGCAATATTCCACGTCTCGCCGCTCAGCAAATCCATCCAGGCATTGACGGCCCTCGGTGTATCACTGCCCTTTATAACCCGCAGCGCTTCGTCCAGGAGTACTTCGCCCGTGGGGTTGGTTGAGATTACCTCAAGGTGGCGGTCGCCCAAGGAGGTCATTCCGGTGAATGCATCTTTGCTTATGCGGATGCGCCGCCGGAATGCCAGCTCCATCAGCATACAGCCGCGCAGCACGTACGAGAGACTGTCGTTCCAGAAGGACAGGTAACCCTCCTGGTCCTTGAGCCCTAGAAGCAGTGTTTCTTCCATTAGTGTGAGCAAAGGCGCCTTTTCAATTTTGGACGGCTCGGGTGTGTGCGGGGTGCGCGAGGGTGTTGGTGCATTGCCGGTGTCCGCGAAGTCATCTGCTTCGGAACGGGGGGTGCCGATGCGGCGTCGCGAGAGGCCCTCTGACATTATTCAAGTTTAAAAAATAAGCAAGCAAAAATGGTAGCAAAAAAGGGGGAGTTGCTTAAAATATAATTAAAAATGAGTTGACGCGCTTTTAAAAGAAAATAAAGACCGATTAGCAGGGGGAAAGTTGTGAAATTTCAGATGGTCAGGCATTTGTCCTAAATTTCGCCCAGTGAGGTTATACATATTTCTATAAATTTGAAAAAGGGAAGAAATCACGGACACGAACGATGCGGATGCGGATGCGGATGCTGATGCTGTGATTCTCTTGTTGATTCTGATCCGCGATTTGATCAACTTTTTATTTTTATTTATTGAGGCGGGAGGGGTGCGCGCAGCCAGGCGCATACATCTGAGAAGACCAAAACTGACCAGCCAAAACCGACCGACCGACCAAACCGATCGACTGGCCCACATACCATTTTTTAATTTGAACTAGCGTTTTGGATTTTTTTAAAAATATATATTATTTTATCACCAGTTGTTTTTTGAAATACTTTTTATAGTTAACGCGCGTTTTTGGCAGTCGCGTACAAAAATAGAAAACATACAACAAAAGGGCGGCGGTGTATGTGAATAATGGATGCAATTGGTTTCTTGTGATGATTTAACGCGTATCATGTCTTTTCTTTTTTCGTTGCTTTGCTTTGCTTTTTTATTTTGTTCTCGCTAGCGGCATCAGAAGCAAAAGCAGAAGCTGGCGCGATCGCTTTTCGGGAATTGAGAATAATAAATTTTTCTTTTGGCTACATCCCCTCCCCTCTCCCTTTTCTTTTCTTTTTCTTTTCCATCTCTCTCCCAATCAATATATTCTTTTTTCTTTCTATCTATTAGTTATTTGTTTTATCCCTGCCAATTCGATTGAACCCATTTTTCAAATTCCATTTTTTAATTACAATTATCATTTATTTTTAAAATGCCGCTTTACGACGGTCGTCCGCTCCAGCTTCTCCCAGGTCCTCTAGTCATCGATGACCCACACGGGCACCACCCACAAGGCTGGCAACTCCGCCTAACCGGCGAAGCCTTCACCGACTACGAAGCCTACCTTGATCGCCTAACCTTCTACCGCAAGCCGCATTTCACCTGCAGTCTCACAGGCCAACCAAACCTAAACTACGAACAAGCCCTGCTAAGCGAACGAGCAGCGCATCATCGATCATCCGGGATTGGATTTTCAGACATGCTCGTCTGTGAAATGCTCACTTTCCTGAGCCAATCCACCTTGTCCATCTCATTGGCTGTCGACGCGCTGTACTATCGGTTTCAGTACGATTTTTTTATAGGCGAACATATAGATGTCAAGTACCCAGGGACCCAGGGGGCTATGTACGAGTGCTTTGTGGTGGGGATTGGGTCGATGCCGCCGGTGTTGGTAGAGAATGAAACTGTGATGGATGCGGCCGTAGAGAGGCTTGGGTATGGGGCTCGTCGCGTAGTTGCGTATGAGGAACGGAAACAGCGCATGTACTCGGTGCGGCTATATGACATTGAGGGTGTGCCAATTGCCGATAGTGACATTAGTGTGCCGGCGACAGAGCTTGGCAGGTCGCGCAATGTTTTCACAAAGGTCGCGCTGAGGCAGTTCCTCGACGATAACATGGACAGGGCCGCTAGACCCGGCAGTCCGTGGATTGTCAAGCCCGAGTGGCGAGAGCGCTTCCGTATCCCATATATGTATGGCGGTGAAGCGCGGTTGCTGCGTAGTGTTGGAAATGCTGGTGGTAACAAGGCATCTAGGGCAACAGCAGAGCAACACTCTGGCAATGCCCCTGCTGCTGCTTCTCCGGGCTCTGCATCTGCTACTGCTGTCTCGACTGGTTCAAAGCAGAAGACTGCCAATGTGGTTGTTGATCCGTATGCGGCTGAGAGAGAATTCCCTGTGCGTGGCGTGCGCAAGTTCCCTATTGACGACTTGGAATTCCAACAATACCAGCATGTCAAGCTGAATGAGGGCGTAGTTTGGGCGGCGAGACGCAAACTCCACGGCGAGAAAAAGCCCGTAGCGCAGATCACCGATTTTTTTCCGATCAACAAGGCCAAGGACCAGGATCGGGATCAGGACCAGGAGGCAGCAGCAGCAGAGGATCAGGACCATGAGGGTGAGACTTTGATGAAGTGGCCGGAGCCTCTGTGCGAATGGCAGGTGCCAGTGTCCCTGGTGTCGCGGATGCTCTCTACGTATATGTTCATCAGCTGCTTCGGGTCAACACTGGGTCTGAGCGCATACTCGCTGGACTATTTCGAGCTCGCACTAGTGCACAACACGCAGAACAGTGTTTTTATCGAGACCGTACTGGCGCTACTCAATACCATTGCAGAGGATCGCCGGCGCAATCCCAATGTGTATAGTCGCCGCATTGAGGCCATGATTGAGGAGCAGGATGCCAGCGTCAGCGACAAGGAGGAGGAGATGGACATTGACTCAGAGACTCTACCAGCTTTGCTGTTGGGTTCAAAAAATGCAAAGAAAAGCGGCCGGAAGGCTTTGCTGCTACCGGTTGTGCGGAGGTCGACGCGAATGCGGCAGGGTGGCAGTGCGCTGGCCAACTCGTCTGTGGCATCGTCAGAGTGCGGATCTGACTCAGACGCCTCTGGGACCGAGACAACTGCGCGCCGTCCAACACGCGGCGGCAACCGCCTGGCAGCCATCAAGCAGCAGCAGCAGCAAAAGCAAAAGCAGCAGCGTGGCGGCAGCGTCAGTGTCAGCAGCGCGCCGTCGTCGGACAACGAAGACAGCGCCAATGACAATGATGATGACAACGGGAATACTGACAACACGCCCATTGCTGTTGATATGCAGGCGCTCGGGCCACACGCGCTGCTCCGGCACCTATCGCGCACATGGGCGGACACGCAAACGGCGCGCGACGCGTGGGCCAGCGCACTCGCAGGCTGGGTTCTCGAGGCCTCGCACGCGGACTACGCATCGGAGCTGCACGCGTTGCGACGCGCTCTATGGGACAGCAGAAGCGACACCGGCGGCCTTGAGGCGACACTCTGGGGCGCCCTGGACGGCTGCGCATCGCGGCTGCAGCTTCTCGAGGTGCTCGTGGGCGAGTGCACGAGCATCGACTGCGTGCGCGAATTTCTGGAGCAAAGTGCCGAGCAGAGCGTTGAGCTGCGACGCGAGCGCGTGGAGCTGCGGCGCGAGGCCAAGCGCGTGGCCGAGCAGCTGGACGAGCTGGACCGCGCCGACCAGGCGGCAGTGGCACTGGGCGAGTCGCGTGAACAAGGGCGTAAGGAGACTGAGGTCGGGGCTTTGCGGCTGAAGGAGCGCCGGCGACTCGGCGAGGCCGAGCGCCAGCATCAGAAGCGGCTGGATGCGGTTGAGCGCGAGCTGCGGCGCCTGGGCGTTGGCCGCCTGGTGCCGCTGGGCTGCGACCGCTACTTGACACGCTATTTTTTCCTTGATGGGATCGGCGCCTGTCCGCTGTCGGGCGCCTGTACCGGCCGCGTGCTGGTGCAGCCAGCGGCGTGGCCGGAGCTGGTCGAGCATTTTGCCGGGCAGCCGGGCTTTGTGCGCGCCGCGTGGCCGCTGGAGTTGCCGCCGGTGTGGAGCGGCGGCGCCGCTGTCAGCGACTTTCTTGGCCGCGCCGATCACGGAATCACCAGCAGTGCGCCGCAGCTGGCGGAGCCGCAGCTGCCGCTGGCTGAGCTGGCGCGCGCCGGCGAGCTGTGGGGGTACTATGCGACTACTGTGCAGGTCGACGAGCTGCGCCGGTGGCTGGACCCTCGTGGCCGCCGCGAGGCTGCGCTGGCCGCGGAGCTGGAGCTGGTGCATATGGCGCTGGGCGTCAGTCTGCGTGCGCGCTGCCGGCTGCTGGAAGCCAGCTTTGATGCGCGCGTCAGGGCGCGCGAATCACTGAGCCAGCGCCTGGCCAAGGCTGAGGCTGAGGAAGCTGGGCCTGAGGCCGCACGGCTAGCGGAGCAGCTGGCGGAGATCGACCGCACCCCGGTCCCCAGGGTGCTTCTGCCCCCCAATATCCTGGTCGGCGGCAGCAACGGCATCAACGATCCCAATGATGCTAATGATGCTAATGGCACCAATGGCAGCAGCCGCGCCAGCAGCATGGATCCTGCGGCCGTCGACACTGATTTGTTCGTACAACAGGCCAACTCGCTAGCCTCGGCCAAGCGGCTGGCTGCTGCGAAGCCTGGCAGGGGCAGGAAGCCCAAGGTGTCCAGAGCGAGGAAGACCATTGTGGACCACTTTTTGGAATACGAAAACGTTCTTTAAAAATATATACTAAGCCTAACAATTAAAATAGAAGAAACAAGATAGCTCGTGGTTTTTCATTCCTATTTTTGTGCAACAAATCAATACGAATATTAATATTGTTACGCAGCCCGAGGATATGGAGGTAGACGCGGAGGGCGAAAATCATGAGACGGATTCTCGTCAGCTCACAGATGGATCTGATATGGGCCAAATTACAGGGTATCAAATTAGGCGCCACAACTGACATCCGGACATACTGTCTGTCCCGAAATGGATGTGCTGGGCGCAAGAATACAGACATGCCAATTATGCCATATCAGAGACCCGGGTTACTTTCATAAGGACCAGTTCTTGCAAATGGAGCACACGACTCCCAGTGAGTGCCACAAAGACAAGGAGATATATATAAGGCGAGGCCGGCGATAATAGCACTTTAGAAACACTAGTAATAAAAATCTTTATAATTTCACACCCATTATTTAACACTATTACAGTAGTGCTCCCCACCCCCCTTCTTATATAACAATATTAATATTAATATACTACACTAAATAAAAGAATGAGACTGCAAATATTTAAAAAAAAAAAAACTTAATAGTAATCTGCTGCTAGATGCTTATGAATGGCTCACATGTGTGTACTGCCTTTTTTCTATCTTTGGCAAAAGGTATTAACACAATCTCAAAGGTTTTACCCCCTGCAATTTGGGGATTTATTAAAACATAATGTGAAAAAGGAGGGCATTAGAAGTTGTCATAGCTCTGGCTCTCGCCAGCGCCAGCAGCATAATAGTTATGCTGCTGGTAGCTCTGGTGCTGCTGCTGCTGCTGCTTTCCGCTGTTACCCGTGTTGCCAGTGGCCGCATCCTCCATAATCTTAAGCGCAGTCTTGACCGCTGCAGTCGCCAAACCCTCCTTATCCGCATCGCCACCCTGCGCCCGCTGGCGACCATACAACTCGATAGCCTCTTCCGTAACCGCGGCCAGGATCTTCTGCGACGCCTCCTCGCCCTCCTGTCCATGCTGCAGCTGACCGGACCTCTGAATATCCCCGATCGCCTGCACGGCAGCGGCAGCGCCGAGCTGCTCCTCAGAGTACGCCGAGAGGTTGGCGCTGTTTGTTTGCTGGTAAATCTCAGAGTGGTACCGCTGTGCGTCTTGTCTGTTCAGTCCCCCCATGGACCCGATATCGCGGGTGCGGTTTCCAAAGACATTGCTAAGGATCTTGCTGAAGAAGTCTCCACCGCCACCACCGCTGCTGTTAGTCTTCTGGTTACCGCCGCTGCTGCCTCCTCCTCCACCGAGGAATCCCATGGCCATGGGAGCAAGTGCTGCTAGGGCACCGAGACCGCCACCGCTGCTATTAGCCTTCTGGCCGCCACCGCTGCTGCCTCCTCCTCCTCCGCCAAGGAATCCCATAGCCATGGGCGCGAGAGCCGCAAGAGCGCCGAGACCACCGGCACTTGCGCCGCTACCGCCGCTAGACTTCCCGCCGCCGCCGAGAATTCCGCTTAAAAACGGCGCCAGCGATGCCAAGTCAAGACCACCGGGAAGACCACCTGCAGACGCGCCCTGCTGCTGCTGGCCCTGATTCTGGCCTTGCTGCTGGGGACGCTGTTGCTGCTGCTGGCCCTGGCCCTGGCTCTGGTAAGTGCTGCTGCCTGCACCCTGGAAGCTGCTGTTGCTTGGCACTTGCTGCTGAGGACGCTGCTGCTGATTCTGGCCTTGACCCTGACCCTGGTAACCACCACCCTGGCCCTGCTGTTGAGGCCGCTGCTGCTGGTTTTGCCCCTGCTGAGAGTTGTACGACTGCTGGCCCTGGCCCTGACCCTGGTAGCCTACACTTTGCCCATATTGGCCCTGCTGCTGAGGACGCTGCTGCGGTCCGCCCTGAGAGTCGGAGGATTGCTGGCTCTGGTAACCACCGCTCTGGCCCTGCTGCTGGGGACGCTGCTGCTGCTGCTGCTGGCCCTGACCCTGGTAAGCGTTTCCGCCATAAGGGTCGCTATTGCTAGGACGCTGGGAGCCATACCCAGCACCGTGTGATGAGTTGCCCGAGTTGCCCGAGTTTCCGCCGCCATAGGGGTTCTCATTAGGACGCTGCTGGCCGGAATCTCCAGACTGATACCCTGAATTGCTGAACCCGCCGGGGCCTCCGCCATAGGCGGAGTTATTGCTAGGACGCTGCTGCTGGTTTCCGCCACCACCATATCCGCCCCCATACTGCTGCTGCTGGCCGTATTGGGGCGGACGAGAGTTGTTGGTGAGCCCGCCGGTGTTGCCGAGGGCGCCGCCCTGGCCATTATTTGGGAGGCCGTCTAAGCCACCAATGGTGTTGCCCTGGGCATCGATGGCCAGAGCATTGAGGTTGCCGAGGGTGCCGCCCTGCTGGTCGTAGTCCGGGTTGATTCTGGGACCATCGTTATAACCACGGGAACCCATCTCGTCCTCATTGTCATTATAGTTTTGGGAAATGTGGAAGCCACCCACATCGCCGCCTCCGCCGCTATAGTTGTTGTTGCCGCGATAAGTCATTTCAGAAAAAGAAAAGAAAAAGTATATAAAGCTGTAAGTAGAAGAGAAAGAAAGAGAAGAAAGAAACAAGAGAAAGAAGGCTCAAAAAAGGAATGTGTATATGCGCTGTGTTGTTTTGGTTGAAGCACAAGTCTGACTTTCCTCTCGCTTGCTATTTATACTCGAAACAGGGGGGTTTCGAGCAAAACATGACATGACTCGCATGACAAGTGTGTGTTGCTTAATTTCCTTCTTTTTGGGTGTCACAAGATACCCAACAATTTCTGCGCACTATCGGGCGTGAGCAATCACGTGTATATCGAGCTGGAGGAATTTTTTCTTTAGGCTGTAAACCACAAAAAAAAAAACTAAAGCCGAGTCATCATCCAGCCCGCAGTTCTGATGCTCTCACCTTCAAATGCTCATTGCTTTTTCATGCTTTTATTTCAAAGGGGTGGGTGCATCTCTTTTAGTATGAGCGCGGGGCCTTTTCGAACAAAAAATAAGGTGTACTTTTTTGTTCTTTCGCAGTGCGTGAGAGCTTGTGTGCGTGCCTCCCCACACCCCTTTTTACTTTGATTTCTCAAACCGCATTTTAAAGTCCAAATGCACATTTTGCATTCCTCTCTTTTTGAAACAATTCGAATTGTCTTTTCGACCAAAGTGCCCGTTGAATTTTATATATTTTTGTCTTACTTGCATTTCCTGTTCTTTTTTCTTTATTTGTTAAGCTGGCGATTAAAACCCCTCCATTCAATTAATCAGCTCACCTTCTCAGCCAGATACAAATTGAAGCTACAAGGGTTTTTTTTTATTATTATTATTATTAGCCTTGCATTCACACTGTTGCATTTGAATCCACAAACACACTTTTCTTTATTCCGCCAGTCAACGCGTAGGCAATTCATAGTCGCAATTAAATCACAATGGCCGGCGCTCGACGGCAGCAGGGCCAGCCAATGGCAACAACAGGCAAAGTGTCCATTCACAACCTAGTAACCGAAGGGCTTCTAACCGAGGGCAACATAATAGTGTGCAACAGCTGGCCATTCACCGCAGTGGTGACGGCGCTGGGAACATTTGATGCCCACTGGCAGCCATTGCCCGAGGACTTTATTGCCGGGTACGGCACCGAATTCATGCGCGCCCAGTTTGAGACTCCGTCGGCGTGGGCCACGGCTGTCTGCAGGGTGATGCGGGCGCAGCAGCGGGCGCACCAGCGAGCGCTGAAGAGCACCAGCGATGAGATGGCTGCCAAGAGGGGCAAGCATCTGCCGTCGACAGGCGGGTCTGGCGAGAGCCGCGTGGCTGTTAACGGGTGGACTGCTTGTCGGGTCAGAATATCCAGAGGCGATCCGAATCGCCAGTTGGCACTTCGCCTGGACGCGGAGGCGCAGTGTACGGAAGAGGCGGACGACGAGCGGATACTGCACTTGGTCGACGCAAGCCCTGATGATATTGAAATCACTCTGGATGCCCTGCGCCGAGAGCTCTGTGCGCGGGTGGCCAGGGTGCGCCAGAGAGGCAGGGATGTTCTGAGGGGCATTTCGGAGGACTCGCATGATCGGCCCATGCTTGTGGATGCCGACGAGCCGGATGCTAGTGGGTCTGACGAGGACCGGCTCTTGCCAGACTTGGCCAACGATGTGTCGCAGGGCGCTGTTGTCGATGGCCTAGCGAGGCGGGTTGAGAGCGATCTGGCGCTTGGCTGCATCAAACAGCGCCGCGCCGCTGCCGCCGCTGCAGATGCCATTTCAGCTGCTGCCAATGCTCTGTCGCTGTCTGCAAAGCCCAGCGTGGCGGGCTTGGGCGAACGCAAGAGCAGTATGCATAGCCGGAAACGCAAGAGCATCCCGGATATGTCGCGGCACGCCAAGCTGTCCCGGGTGCCCACAGAGAACAGTGACGACAGCTGTGAGGACATGGTCGTGACCAACGGCGAAACAAGCGTCAAGCAGCTGGTCAGCGAGCGGACACGAGAGCAGCTGGATTACTTTAAGAGCAAGGCCATGGCGCTTAAGCGCACCCAGGCGGAGATCAAGGCGTTACGGTACCAGCGTCGCCAGCAGCTCAAACGCGCGATTGCCAGCGCTCTCGATAGCTGGCTTCGCGCTCGAAAGCAGAGCCGCCAGCGAGAGAGCACCGCGAGCCCATTGCTGATGACGCGCGCGCAGTCGCTGGAGTCCTTGGGGAGCAGCCCGGCTGGCGTCACCCCGATGGCCCTGCCGCTTGCCGCAGCCTTTGGGGGCATGCTGCCGGTAGTGTCGGCCACAGCGAAAAACGATTTGCCCTCGAGGACTGCACGGATTATGGTGCCCCGCACGGCCCTGCGATCTGTCATCAGCGGGGAGCTCGATATGTGCACGCAGTGCGCGTCGACTGGCGACTCCCTGCTGCCGTGCAGTGGTTGTGGCGACAGGTACCACAGTTTTTGTGCGCCGCCACCGCTGTCGGCATCCTGTCGCCTGCTGTTGTGCCCCTTGTGTCGTGTGTGCTCGAGCTGCGTGGATGACCAGCTTGCGGACGATCTGCTGCAGTGCGACGACTGCGGCCTTTTGATGCACGCGCAATGCAGCGGCCAGGAGACCGAGCACCCGGAGGGCCTCTCTGGCCTGGTTTCTGAGAGCGGTGGTCGCTGGGTCTGCGACAAGTGCGTGCATTGCCTTGAGTGCGACTTCAAGATGACAACGACGAGCTCGGACTCTGACGAGCTTTTTCGGGAGCGGCGGCGGTGGAACTACGACTACACGCTGTGCGGCAGCTGTGCCCCGCAAATCGAAAAGGCCAAGGTGTGTCCGCAGTGCGTGGCCACGTACTCCAACTGCAAGATGGGCACCAATATGGTGTGCTGCGATATCTGCGCTTTTTGGATCCACACGGACTGCGATTCAGGGCTGACCCCCGATGTCTACGACGCGCTGATCACGCTCGAAGACGACGCGCCATATGTTTGTCCGACGTGCGCGGCCATGGCGACGGGGGACACTCCCGCGAGCTGCTCGGCGACCCGGCCACCAGGCTGCCGCGCTGCCTGCTGACGGCCAGCCCTGAGACCAGAGCACAGACTAACAGGCTTAAATCTTGCTTTGATGTAAAAACTGCGGCAAAGACTGAGACTGAGGTCGCCAATATGCTTCTGAGCCTGACTCATTCTGACGTGCGCTTTGGCCGCGACTGCTTTGACACCGAAGCCCTGGAAACGCGATTTTGTACGGCGGCTCAGGACTGGCGTCAATGCGCCCTCTGTGCGCTGCATGGCGACGGGACCCATAAGCAGAAGCCGTCACTCGGCCGGCTCATTCCGTTGGGCCCGTCCTCCGATGAGGAGGCCAGTTGTCACTGGGTGCATGTCGAGTGCCTGGCCTGGGCCTGGGGCCCGCGCTCTGTTTCGCTTAGCGACCAGAGCAGCCTGACAATGGTTCGCTTCGAGGGTGTTCTGCTAGATACCGACAATGGGACGGAGCTGGCATGTACATTGTGCGCTCGTCCGGGGGCTTCCTTCCATTGCTGCGCCCCGGTGCCGTGCCCCGATGCCGCCTACCATTTGCCCTGCCTTTTGCTTGCCGGGAGCCCGTCTCTGTGTGCGCACGAAGAGGAACCGCAGTACTGTGCGGATGGCGCCGTGCCTTGTGTCCCTCCCATGCGCCGATATTTTCGGCAATGATGCCTGCTGACGGAACCGTCGAGTGTGTATCTTACGACAGTGTGCGTGTCGAAGGGTGTCTTACCAATTTAAATACTGGATTGCCTCCTGCCTCGCAATTTATAACTAAAGTCGGCGGCACTGTGGTGCTGGATTGTGGCGACTCTGGGCTCCGCTGCTTGCGGTATTTCGAGCTGGCTGGAGCCCGGTATACACTTGGACTAGCTGTTAATGAGGATGAGTTGCCGGCCAGATATGGCAGGGATGGGTTATAGAGGGCATGCCTGTGGATTTTGATAATACTAGGTTCCCTGATGCCACCCATTGGTCTGCAACTATGTCTGCGCTGTTGACACAATTATTGGCCACTATTCGCTTGTCGCACCCAGCTTTGTCTTTTATCACAGCTGTTGCGTCAGCTTATCCGCACAAATTTGTGAACGTTCCGGTTACTACCAGCGCTGCTGATGGCGGTAGAGTTGCGGATGGTGCTAATGAGGTTACTGACATACTGTCACCTTCCTGCACAGTTGATGTGGCCACCTGTCCTGCCAATTCCATATTATAAGTCACATTATTTTTCTTGTTTTTTATTGTATGTGTTAAAGGAAAATAATATATATATATTTTAAACAATAATAGATAACTTAATTTTGTATTTGCTGTTTCTGAGAAAAATAAATAAATAGATTTTCAACAGGGGTTTATATTAAAGTTTGTCAATACAAATATAGAAACAGATGTAGACGTGGTAGCGTAACCACTGCGCGAGAACCAAGAAAATAGAAATGCTTTTGTTTGACGACGTTCACCACTACCGTTCTATTTCTCTCAGCTGCCGGATAATCGAAAACTCCAAATACGAAATAGAGCGAGAGCCGCACCAATCCGGAAACATAGCCCGATCGAGGCATTTCATTTATTATGTATCCAAAAAATAAGCAAAAAGACAAGTAATCCACGATTTGTGGATTACTTGAACCTGGTTGATGGGGCTTCCGTGGATTGAACACGGGACCTTACGATCTTCAGTCGTACGCTACTCCCAACTGAGCTAAAGCCCCTAATCTAACAGTGGTACCAACTGTCAATACATATCCTGAAATACACAACTCAACCGCCCCGGCGCTTGTTTGCCTCCGACATCAGTGTGCTGGGTGCGCTGGATGCGCTGGGTGCGCTGGATGCGCTGGGTGCGCTGGATGCGCTGGATGCGCTGGGTGCGCTGGGTTGGCTTAAATGCATGCCAGGCAGGTGGTAGCAAGTTGAATCAATTTGAAAACTGTTTTAATGTGACGCGGGCTGTGGAAAATGAGCAACAGTGCAGCTATTAATCACTCGACACAAATCTGGCCAGTTTTACCATCATACACCTTTGGGTTGCAAATATGTTGTAGCCGCATATCGAGTCAGCACTTTATAATATACCAACTGTGTAAAACCAGCAGCCATGCCACACGAGTTCTCGGTCTTTGCTACACTTGGTTGTAGTTTACAGCCAAGAAAATAGAGTTGAATCCATCTAGTCAAAATAAATATAGCCTGTTAATTATTCACATCTGTTGTCTCTAGTGGATGCCAAAACAACAATGCGCGCCCTGCCACTTGCCTAAAAAAAATAAAACAGCATGCCAGTTTTTTCTTTTCAAAACGTCATTCAACGTCCAGTAAAAAAACTATAGTGTTGTATATAAAGCAAAACACGTGTCTGCCAAATTCTTTCCTTAGTTTTTCGTTTGCTTCAATATAATGATAATCACGTTTTATTGTTTTTGCCTCGAGATAAACATAAAAATATCAACCTGCTGTTAATGTAGCTGTGGCTGCGGCTATGGAAATGGAAATGGTTAGGTTGAAGTTTCACATGAAACTGATAAAGCCATTTTTAGTAAATAAATAACAAATTACTATTTTCATGTTTATTATTCACTTTTTAATTTCCTCATTGTAATACATATTTATACCACAAGAATGCCTGTACCAAATTCAACTCGTTCGGCAGCACAAACCTATAGTTTCCTCCAGCAAGCGGCACACACATGTTAATCACCAGCTGCAGCAAAAGTATCCAGCAAAAAGACCAACACACCTCTAGCTTCTAAAACAAGCCTGTCCCCTAAAAAGTCCACAAGTATAGAAGGCCCTTCTCAACAAGCTGCAGGCTTAAAATGAAAAATGCTGCCTGTATCCAGCACTCCCAGAAATACTACTATTACAGCGGTAGCTTTTAAAACAGCTTTTTTTACCCAAAAGAAAACCCCGAGCGCCGTGCAGACTACCCAACAAACTGCGGGTTTGAAAAAAACATGATGCCTGTGCCCACTGCGCCTAGTAAATTCACCACCACACCATTAGCTTTGAGAATGGCAAATGTGGCACCCAGGCATGGCATTTCCAACAATACTGCTAAAAGAATGCCAGCCTCTAAACTGGAAAACTTGGCGTTTAGTAAATTCCCGAGTGCCTTTCATTCTTCCCAGAAAATTACAGGCTTCAAAAATAATTCACCACATATGCCAACCACACTCAACAAAAATGCTGCTTGGCCCAATACACCTTGCCGCTCCACCAAAGAAAGCAGATGCAATTGCCGTTCATGTATATAATGTTATAAAGGTAGATAATAGCGGGTAGAAAGTAGATATAATAATTACATATGTAATTAATGTCCCAAAGACTGCTACTGTTAGGCACTTGGAAGATGAATTCACAAATGTGTATCTCAAGAGTGGCAAGTCTCAGCTTACTAACAGCCGGTATAATAATAAATCATGGCCGCCGACCAAGCTGCTAGCTGATTTTTTAAGCCCGGTGGCTTGGCACTTTACCTTGAGCTTGGTAGAACTGCAGAGTTTTCAAACATGACAAAAAACTGAATGGAACATACCTCCCTTGCCACGCCGGCAGATTTGAATATATAATTGTTTATATGTTCTTAGTTTTGTTTCTCGTTTGATTTATTTTGTTTATTACTTTTATTTACTTTATTAAATGGTTGTGCGTAGTTCTAAAATTTTATTATACTTCACATTGCACTGCCTTGATTCACAACCATGTCAACATTAATAGAACCTTTTAATTATATTAAAAATGCCAAGTGTGTTCATTTTATATTTTCTGAATGCACAATTAGTGCTATACAAATACAAGCATTTGCACACTTGTTTGCCGCTTTACTTATTTGTAGTTGCAAAACTTGCATATTTGTTTTTAAAACGCATTGGAACACACAAACTGTATTATTTTCATTACACTATGAGTTCACCACATTATTTGTCGTTTTTACCCGGCCTATCAGGCATGGTTATCAATACACCGCTGGCAATTGTAAAACCAAATTTAATACTTGCAAAGCCCGGGAATACCTTTTCATCTGGACTATCCACAACATATTGTACCATCACATAGACACAGGAGTGCTACTGTTGTAGACAAGCAAGTTTTTTGGCGCGAGTATTTCTCAATTGTAGCAAGTTTGAGATTGAAAACAACAAATACCACAATGGCACAAGGTATTTTAAATTTAATTAATGAATGACAAAGTCATTCGTTTCAAGATTTAAAGTGGAACGCCAAACAAATTGGCTTGCCAAATAAAACCAGGTTAAACACAACAGCAAATTACAAACAGGTTGATGAATATCTTGATATGTAAAAAAGTATTTATTCTAAATAACTAGCAATAACAAAGTGTATAAACTATAGTGGGATCTGACCGTCTCGGCTTGACTTGTACACGCGCATTTGTCTTGTTCAAAATTCCAATATTCCAATAGCCCATTGATGTGCATATAAACCCCAACTACTTTTGGTTTACTTGGTGAAAACTGAATACATGCAGGTGTCTAGTTGTGCTGAATGCACATTATTTAATTGTAATATTGAAAACATGTTTGTCGTTTTTAAAAATTAATTTCTCACAAACCACCCCTAGCTCCTCCAATGTTTTTGTCTTGTCCATAGACGTAAGTAAGACCTTTTTATTATTGTTTTTGTTTTTGATAGATACTCCCAGAATTCTTACATTTACATTTATATCTTCTGTATACCCCAATGCTCTTAGCTTGTTTATAAAATTGTTTACGGTACTAGTCGATTGAATAGTTTCTTTTAATTGAGTCATTATAAATATAAAAAATATGAAAACAATATAATTGCTATATAGTAGCTGATAAAAAGCAATGCAAACAAAATAATTATGTTGCAAGCTGCACACTTTTGAACTACTTTATATACAAGCAAAATGGTTATCACTCTTTAAAGCACTGCTTTTATTTTTTATTTGCAAAAAATAAAACGTATTAAATTATTGCTCAACAAAAAATAATATCGGCTGTTTGCAAACATAGGACTGCAAATCCTCATAGCGGTTCTTTTGCGTTCCATTGGATGTACTCCCTTTTTTGCAAGTCTGACCAACAAATAAAAGAAGTGCTCTTTTCAAACAAAAAGTAAGTAGAGCATGGTAAAGATACAGCACATTGGCCATAGACGTCAGTGAGAAAAAAAGCAAAAGTCGCCAATCTTGAGTGGGTGGATACTCCGCAAGGTGGGCATCTGAAAAGGGCTTCTCTATAAAGGCTGAAAGAGATTATGCTGCTTGGGACAGGTTGCAAAGGATGTGGTATCGCAAATATTGCCGACAACTTGACGACGTCGCATGAAAATAAAACAGCTGCTGGCAGAACGCACGACCAAAATGCACAAGTGACCACTGGTCATGCGAGGACAATCTGCGGAGTTTGTAAAACCAAGTCACAAGTTGAACAGATACTGGGACTGCGGCAAGATGAAGAGGATGGGGGTTTGCGTGGAGCGAAAAACGGACCGTCGCCGAGGACCCGCTCGCCGTAGTCAGTTGGACATTGATTGCCAGCAATAATGACGCATCCAACCGCACATCAGACATGCAACCACCTTTGTGCAAATAATTGGTCTGGAAAATTGTGAGACACTGACGGGCAAAAAGCGCAGTTTTGCTGTTGGTCGAGTAAATGAGCCTTATTAGTTTTAGTTGACCATTGATTGCACCGGTTCTCTATTTGTATGACTTTTCATAGCTTGGTTTGACAACAAACATTGTTTTCTATTCATATTTTGGCATCAATGTTGGTCGATAAATATTGTCAATTTAATTTTTATATAAAAACATTTGAAACACACAAAAATTATACAAATGATTCGTGTTTTCAAATTACAGCAGCGATGTGTGTTTAAAACCCGGACCTGGCATTGTCCTTGACAAGCTTGTTGTGGTACGCAGCGTTGTCCTTGGCATCCATGCTCTTGTTGCCAATGGCCTGGCCAACCTTTTCCTTGGCAGTGCCGCCGACATTGTTAGCAGAGTCGCCAGCGCGGTGCATGTTAAGGGTTTCTCCTCACGACGAGTCTGAGTCTCCCGCATATTCTGCTTGCCCTCGCCCTCGGCCCACTGCTTGCGGCCCTTGTCAGCGAGATCATTGTTGCCCACCATGCTTCCAATGGCATCCTTAATGGCATCCTTAATGGCGCCGGCAGTCTGCTTGTAAAGGTTGGACATGATAATAGAAATGAATAAATGAGATTATTTAGTTTGCTTGTTGAAAAATGGGGCTGTAGTTAAGAAAAGTAGCTGCTGGTTTTTAAGAGCAGTAAATGACGCCTTAGCAAAGTCTTTTAGTACCGCTGTCCAATTACAAGTCCGGCCAGAGATTTTTGGGCATACCAACGTTTGAATTTGTGTACGGCACTGGCTGCTTCAAAGAGTATAAAAGAGCAGCTGCCGCCAACATATCTATTTTGACAATTGTGTCTGCCACTCCGTCTTATACATTTGGCATCTTTTATTTTAATTTTTGGACCTGGTGGCTGAGTTATTTCTTTTGAGCGGGCAAATACCTGCTGCGGAAAATCATTGGATGGACGAAAAAGCATGCCAAATAAATTGTGCTTTGTTGCGTATTCTATCTTGGGTCCATTTGTCGGGACCAGCACACAAAAACGTCCTAGGTCTTTTGGAAATCCCTTTTTGCGGTTGCTGAGCGATGATATCAAATTGCAACACATATGCTACAAGATTGCCTGTAACCAAAATATTGGTGACAAGCAACATGAATTGGCAACCAACTCTGACAGCAACTGTAGAAATGCCAAGCTCAATATTCGGTCTTTTACATTCGTGTGTGTGCTCGCTCGCTCGCCCAAATT